CAAAAAAAAAAAAAAAAAAAAAAAAAAAAAAAAAAAAAAAAATTCCCTTACATAAAAGCCTTTATAAACATTGAGATAGGTGTCCATGTATCGTTTATGATCGCCCCATACAGTGCGAGCCATGCTTGGCCATGGCTTTCTGAAAGCAAGGATTCCCTCCACATCATTTCCCGGAATCTCTGCACCTGTAACTGGATCCAGAATGACAGGGTCAATACCAAAGAATGGAAGCGAAGCACTCCCTGGTTTAGTTGGAGTAATACCACCCAAGGGGGTGATAACATGGGAGCCGGTCTCGGTTTGCCAGTATGTCTGAATAGAGTTAGTATGATCTCTGAGGCCCATACAATGTGAAGGTCTGCAAAGACAATAAATCAAGGGGGCAAAACAGATCCTCAGCTTACATCAACAATATGGGCTTGTCTTTTCCCAACAACCTCATGGTACCACTTCCAAACCTCTGCAGCGATTGGTTCACCAACAGAGCCCAGAATACGTAAATCCTTCATTTCATGGTTTATGTGGTGGTCACCTGCACGTTTCAAAAGGCGCAAAGCCGTAGGTGCTACATAAAACTGGGTGACCTTGTGCTTCTCAATAACATCCCAGTATCGCGAGAAATTGGGATACGCTGGTGTGCTTTCAAACACCACAGTAGTGCACCCCAAAAGCAATGGAGCATAGACAACATAAGTATGTCCAGTAATCCATCCAACATCACCACCGCAAAAGAAACGGTCAGCTGGGTGAATATCAAAGACATATTTTCCAGTTGCAGCTGCTCCAACAAGGTAGCCAGCAGTTGTGTGCATAACACCCTTTGGTTTCCCGGTGGAGCCAGATGTGTAGAGAAGGAAAAGCGGGTCTTCAGAGTCCATTGACTCAGCAGGCAGATAATTTGGATATTTTTCAACCTCTTCATGCCACCACAGGTCACGGCCTTTGGTCCAAGGCACGTCGGCCCCAGTTCTCTTGAAAACAAGGCAACTGGTAACATCTGGGCATTGTTTTAAAGCTTCATCAACAATTTTCTTAGTCCCAATGACTTTTCCACCACGCTTTCCCTCATCGGTGGTGATAATGAATTTTGACCGGGCATCCAGGGTACGATCACGCAGGGAATCGGAAGAGAAACCCGCAAAGACCACAGAATGAATGGCGCCAATACGCGCACAGGCAAGAAGCGCGAAGATGGCCTCAGGGATCATAGGAAGATAAATCGCGACGGTATCGCCTCTCCTAACACCTTGGCTCTTCATCACCCAGGCCAGTCTGGAGACTTCCTTCAACAATTCTGCATAGGTAATACTGCGGCCGTGGCCAGGCTCATCGGCTTCATAGATGATTGCAACCTTGTTCGGGTCACGCATTGCATGGCGATCAACGCAGTTGAAGGACGCATTTAATCGACCACCGACAAACCAGGCATTATCCCCGCCTTCGAGGGTCCCAATGTGAGTCTTGTCGAAATCCTTTTCGAAAGTAATAAGATCGCGCGCCATGCGCGCCCAGAAGGTGTCAGGATCATTGATAGATTGTTGGTAGAGCTGGTTATATTCATTCATGCCACTCAGGTGTGGTTCATGGGGGTGGTTCTCATAGAAGACTCCTGGAACGTCGAAGGTATCGACCTGGTGGGCCTCCACGACCTGCGTTCCACACAAAAGTCAGCCCTCATAGTCAAGTGTAGCAACTGTGAAACTATAAAGCAGGCCATAGCCGGGCCTAAGAATTAAAATGCAAAGATGCTATGAACAGGACCACAGGCTCTCATACCACTGGGGGTTTTGGTTCAGCAGGCGTCTCAGACATCTTAGAAGTTCAGATCAGCAACACTGAGGTGATGCGCTGAGGGAGAGGATCTGCACAATTTCTGTGACTAGCTGAATTCGGCCCAGGAAACAGAAGAGTTTCACTTTTTCTTTTTCCAATGGGAGGCGAGACAACCAAGTGCAATAAGAAAGATTCTTGTGTTAGGTTGTCAATGATGGCGAGGGTAGTTAGGGAGAGGCAAGAGAGGAGAGGGAAAAAAAAAAAAAAAAAAAAAAAAGGGAAAAAAGAAGCACGACTTGAGAGGGAACAGGAAGGCGGAGGAGGCTCCGGCACATATATGTATATTATCCGAGAGATAAATAGCAGCAGCCCGGCATTTCTTCCACTTTCTTGAGAAGCCCCCGACTTAACTATTGACCCCGGGGGGTCTTGGGTCACCCACCAGCGGCGACGGGTTGATCAGACCAAACCCTGGTAACGAACTGCGCTTCTTGGATTGAATCTTCACCATGGCGTAATTACTCTCTGACAACCCTACACTTCCCATGGCTCCCACCGAAGCAAGCCAAGCACTGCGGCGTGTGGTCCATGTGCAAGGGGATTTTGGCGGGATGGTGTGCTGGTTTGGCTTTTCATCACCCCGCCATCCCCCAACTCTAAGTAGATGCCACGGTGCGGGGCATCCTATCGGCGTTTGGCCGTTCTCATAGCGCCAGGGCTCCGTTCCTCCGGTTGAACGGAGCCCATTTCACTCCCTTTGTTTCCCGGCACATTTTCCGCACTACTTTGATTTCTTCCTGCTGTGCTGTGGTGCTTTCGGCGACAAATCGGGTTCGACACTCGCAGACACGCACGCTGGGCCGAGTGAGAGGTTTGCCACCGAGCAAGCACCCTAGGCCCGGGGAGTTTATCCACGCAAAACGTTCTCAGACAGGTCACGATCAAGCCGCCTGCTATTCCCTTATATACACATGTGTAACACCCATGCTTCCCGTACGACATACTTTTACGAAACATCTAGCAGCAGCTTCTCTGTGACACCTTTTCTGCCTTGGAGTACCCTGCCGAAATGTGTTTGTGCGCAGTGATCCTAGCCGTTTTATAGGTATGATGGCGGTCAAATGTCAACATTGGGTTCAATGTCGACCCGTCTTCTCAAAGGAAAATCGCAGAAAAAAGCACAATAAGAGCGAATGAGGCCTGCTTGTTACCCGGCTACGTACGTTAGTAAAATGAGGCAGGGTTATTACCGTCTCGACCAGTGTGGGCCGATCGGTGCAAGACCGTTGCTCTGCGTAGTAACAACAGGGAGCCCACAGCCGGCCCCCCTTCCCCCAGGCTGTGACGTCCCGAGACCTTTGATGCCCGTCCTGGGTTGTCCAGCGTGTGTTGCATTGGGCTCGCGTAGATGGAGATTAATGCACCGAGCCCCCTGCTTTCAGTTGCAGGTGCCCTCCAAGATTTTCATACAGCATTTTGGAAAGCAATGGACGTCGGCGGGATACCTTATCTTGACAGATTCACAGCTTAACTACCGGTTTCATCATTTAACCTTGAAAATCGCGGGCCCAGAGAGCATTCTTGCTGTACGCCATAGTGGAAGCTTGTTTTACTTCACCCCCCTGTCATCAAACTGTATCAAAGCATCTAATCGCTATCAAGCTTTTGCTGCAAACAAGTGTCCCGCCCAAGTAGTATGTACTGAGCCAACGGAACAAAGTGCCGACAAACCTCCTAGAGGGATATTAGTCGCTGGCATTTTCGGGACGTGGAACAAGGAATGAATGTATAGCTGAATGCCACACTACCTTTACGCAGGCAAACATTCATTGATTCTTTCGGGCCGGAAAATACTTGCTTCCCATGACATGACATCCTAACTTAACACTCCCTGAGTCAGGGCACAAAAGTCCGTCCGGGAGAAAGCCTTGGTTCGCTGGGGACCACTCAGTTCCAAAGAATTTATGGCCACCCCCGGTGGCCTGGGAGTATTCCGATTTGTGCTTTGACGTAGTTGGTAAAGTTCGGCAAAAGGCCGATGGCAAAGTCTTTCAGAAACGCGATGTAGGCGAGCTAACTCTTAAGCAAGCATTTAGTTACTATCAGTTATTTGTGAGGTAGCTGCTGAGATGATGTGTGTCTTCGATGAAGTCAAATGCAACCCCTCTCCAAGCGCGAACAGAATGGCAAGTGATACGAATTTACAGTCACCTGGAAGCGAGCTTGACGGGATTTCTTATTTCCATCTCTCCTGGTTAGCAGCCCATCTCAAGGATCCTCCTCTCAGCCGAGACATTTTTTGTGTGGTGGTTTGATCATCATCAGCTGGCAGATTGCTTGATGCAATAAATATCTTTAAATTTGCCCGATACCGGTCACACCCACGGTCTAAATGTTGTTATGTACGTATGTATCTGCATTCCATTACATCTTGAAACAGTACCCATGCGTGTTGTACTGTATAACATGAGCATGTTGGCTCAGCGGGTTCCTGTGTTGTGAATTTCAAAAACACCCACCGCAACTCCTTGAATCACGCAATAATCTCTCTCTTCTGTCAGTTTATTCTCAAGCCAAGCTAATCAGCAATCATCCACAGCGGGCCTCAAAGTATTGGAGCTCGCTACGGCTTCTTGCATTCCTCTTAGGACACAATGTAACATTGTAGTTGGATTTACCATGCATGTCCAAATATCCTAGGCCGTCTACGCTCAACCCGATGGGTTGCCTTGTGGTTTTCCATCCAAAATTCATGCTCGATTCGCCAAGAAGAGGTAACATTGGATCAACTTGAATTAAGGCCAGTGCGACATGGCGCGGATCCTATGTCCTGTACGAAGCACGATGCATTTGGCCTATTATACGGAGTGGATTGGGGCGGTAAAACGACTCGTCACAAACGGTTTAGCGGACAATAAGCTTGCCCAGAACTGTTTCTCCGCAGCTGATCATTGATGTCGCTTGGGTCAGCCTCGTCGAGGACCAGGGTGATGATCTTCACCCTGTTGAAAACCCGAGCCTGTGGTGCGCATGTCCACGTAAAACGCTGAATTGCATGCGCGTACGGAGTACTCCGTACTTCTTGGGGCTAGCAACCAGTAACTATCATCTGGGGTACGAACGGCAGTGATCTGCGGTGAGAATAAGCCAACCACATGCATAACAGCCGCTATGAATTTGAGGTGAGTTTAGCTCGCCTTGATACGAACTTGCTCCCTTATCTTCGAGGGAAGATATGTAGGCATTAATTCACGCTAGTAGCTACCAAAGCATAACAACATGATTCATAAGTTCATCAACTTTTCTTCTAGCATGTCAGAAGTTCTCATCCACATCCCCGCAATGCCCAACAGAAACAAAATTATTTTCCCATCTCTGGCGATATCCGATAGAATCTGCATCCACGGCCGCACCGTCCGCAACTGTCCGTTTCTCATACTCGTCAATAACCTCGCACTGCCCAAGACAAGCTCCGCCGTGACGAAGTGCACAAATGGACTTTGAACTGTAGCCGGGGGCGGTGGATTTTCCCCGTACGTCATCGAAGCCGTCCGAAGCATAAGAATAAGCCAAATTCCGCAAGTAAAAGCGACGATTGTGTGAAGAATGCGCCAGAGTCTGTTTCTCTGTTGGCTGTCCGGGGACTCGGGCTGGAGCTGCTGTGTAAAGAAATTGGCTATCGAGGGTGGTAAGCTAAACGAGGAAGTAAGGTTTCGTGACAGCAAATCGGCTGGGGCCAGGCCAGAAGCTCCGTTGCCGGCAACGGCATCTGGGGAAGCTGAATCAAGCCCCATGAGCGTGCTCAGAAGCTTTGCGGTTGGGTCAGGTTCTTGCGGCTGATCGAGAGGCTGTTTGGATCGTAGCAGGGCTCGTAGGTATGCTTGTTGCGCTTCGAAATCTTCAGGTGATTGATCTGTAGCGCTGGAGAATTTGGGTAGTGGGGAGATGGATCGAGATGCTTCCTCTGGTTGTAATTCCGGAGTTGAGTTGCTGAAAGGGCTAACGGAGCGAGGAGGCTCATCTCTCACTGTCATGTTCTCATTGGTTAAATTTCACAGAGGATATAAAATCGCGAAAGCAGCATAATCTTGTCGGAGGGGGTCATACAGCTCGCAGGAGTCCTCCCACTTAAGCTTGTGATTTTGTCTAATCTCGCGGAGCCACCAGCTCTAATCTTTGCTTCCCGGCGCTCTCGTCGAAGACGAGCGGCCAGCTGAGCTGGAGATTCCTCAGCACCTGACATTTTGTTTCGAAACAAGTGATTCCTCGATTTCTTTTCTTTTCTTTCCTTTTTTCTTTCTTTTTTCTGTTGTCCTTTCACAATTTAATATGGACCGATGTCAGTGTTTTGTTGATGTCACCTTTCCTACAGAGCCACGTGATTAAAGCTTTGTTTGCTTCGTTTGTTTGAGAAGCTGAACTAACAATTTTGTTTGTCGTGTTTGCATATTAGGCATTGTAAGCCACATTTGTGGCGCAACATTCAAGAAAAGTTTGGGGATGGAGTACTCAGCAGATGTGGCTCGATCGCCAAGAACAAGCAGCCTTGACGTCACATTCCAAGCGGCAAGTCTGGAGCATCCAGCGTCCGCTCAGATATTCAATCAGGAGATCAAAAATTCAATTTTTATTGGGGCATTTATACGCCTAAAACCTGGCGGCAAAGCAAATAATTCGTCAAGGGTTTATGGTTTGATAGCAATGACGTAGCAATGGGAGATCCGTCCAGGTAACCCCCATGGATTCGGGCGGTTGAGAGCAGTAGATGTATACAGAATAGGGATCCTATTTATTCCAGTCTAGGCATGATAGATGCTAACCATCAGTATTCTTTGAGTGACTGTTCATAACTGCCTGTTTTTGCAAAGAATCCGGTCTCCATCCTGCCTTTACATACGTAATCTCTTCCCTATTCCTTCACAGATATAGCCACCCGCGACTCCGCTTGGGTGTTTGACTTGGGTGACGTTGCCTTATCAACGCAATCCCCAGCCACTGACATTTTTGCAACATGGCGACGCAAAGGAAACCCGGTGGTTATTGGAGTGCCGAGAACCCAATCCCGACGATCCAGCAGTTTCTAGAGAGCTTGGACAAAGACAAAAAAGATCGAGACAGGAAAATCGATGAATCTGGTCGATCTCAGGCGCGGGAACAGAAACATAGAGGACGTTATCAGGACATAGAGGCTGCCCCGCATAAACCTGCGCCAGCAGCTAAGAACAGAAGACGAACCGTCACGGACCCAACGACAGGCCGGGAGATTGAGATAGACGATGTCGGGATTGAACACATGAAAGCGGTGGAGGCTCCCAAAGTAAGCTGCGCATGCTCCTATCTCAGCTGTCGGGGAAGCGTTAGATCTAATCTCCATGTTGTAGATCACCGTTCCAAATGCGAATCTTGGCTTGCCAACCGTTAGCTGTCACACGAAACGCTGGCTCCCACATTGTATACTAACCCGTCACGTAGGCAGCTCAAACCCGGCCGGATCAACCGCTGCGCGAATATAAGTATAAACAGGATATTACAGCGCCTCCAGACCCAATTGCCGAAGGAACAACTTCCGACGTCCCAATTCATGGTGAAAAGACGAACATTTTATTCCATCCCACTCCGTCCATTAGCTATGAACCAATGTTCAAGTCATTGGAGAAACGTGGTGGTTTTCTCTGCGCAGCGATCTTTTGGGCAATCTTGATTATCGGCAAACTTGCCGGTAGTGCATTGAAATGGCTCATCCCCCTCTCTGCTTGTGTTGCCTCTGGTGTATGGCTTTGGATTCAGGATGTTATCCGCAAAGGGAGGAAGCACGAGTGGAGCGCCGAACAGCTCCGAGGACAAACGGTAGGGTAGAATTCTCGGGAACTATGAATATTTCAGTGGCTGATTCTAGATTTCAGGCCACGGCAAACCTGTTGCCAGAATCTGTGGAATGGTTAAATAGCTTTCTAGAAGTTGTTTGGGGCCTGATGGATCCGGAGATGTTCGCAGGTGTTGCTGATACCATTGAAGATGTCATGCAGGCGTCCGTACCAGGGATCATCGAGAATGTTCGAGTAGCCGAGATTGACCAAGGCTCAAATCCATTTCGTATCCTCAGCCTAAGGTCGCTCCCAGAGAGTCATGCCAAGGATCTAGCGGAGGGTATGCGGGAACACAACCTGAACACAAAATCCGTGGAAGAAACAACTGCAGAGGAGGAAGGTGGAGACACTTATACTCTTGAATGCTCGTTTGCATACCACGCCAAACCCACGGGTAACACTTCTTCCGCAAAGGCAGAAAATATGCATATGATGCTAGTCTTTTATCTTGGTGTTAAGGGCCTTTTCGGTGTTCCTCTTCCAATTTTTGCAGAACTAATAGAAGTGGTTGGAACCGTCCGACTTCGCGTGCAGCTCACACCTCAGCCACCATACGCGAAGACATTGACTTTTAGTTTGATGGGTCTTCCGCATGTCCGAGCTGGCTGTGTTCCAATGGTCAGACACGGGGTGAATATTCTGAACTTACCACTGATATCCAACTTTGTGAACTATGCAATTGGGGCAGCAGCTAGCTTATACGTCGCTCCCAAGTCTATGACGCTAGACCTCGCCCAGATGCTGCAAGGCGACGATATCCAGAAGGATACGCTGGCGATGGGTATTTTGTGGGTGAGAGTCCATCGCGCAGTTGGCCTGAGCAAACAAGATAAACGTGGAAGCTATGGAGGAGGAAGTGATCCGTACATCAACCTCTCATTTTCAAAATACGGCAAGCCGATGTACTGCACAAGAGTTATATGCGACGATCTCAACCCTGTATGGGAGGAAGGGGCGGGCATTTTAGTAACCCCGGAGATTATCAAGGCGAACGAGCAGTTGAGCGTCGAGTTGTGGGACTCTGACCGAAACACAGCCGACGACATTGTGGGGAAGGTCGAGATATCCATTCAAAAAATGATGGAACATCCTAGTAAGATGTATCCCATGGTTTCCAAACTCTGCGGCATGGACGCTGGGTCGGAGATGCCAGGTGAGTTACACTGGGAAGTTGGATATTTTGGCAAGCCGCGGATGCGAAGGGAACTCCGAACAGACGGCAAAAACAAAAACTTGCCAGAAAACTTGAAAGGTCACCCACAGCTACGGGACGAGATAGGTAGCATCCTGAATGATGAGCAGGACGCTGTCATGCACACTCCACCCGATCCTCTCTGGCCAAGTGGGATCTGTAGCATCGTCGTTCATCAAATCGTCAACTTACAATTTGCCAGAATCAAGGGAACGCTGGGGAACCGCAAAGGTAATGAGTATGATCCCGCCAGAGAATACGGGGAAAACACGGACGAGGAAGGAAAAAATCTGCCGACCAGCTATTGCATGATTATGTTGAATGATCAACTGGTCAGTTTATCCTGTCGAACAGGACCGTTGCAATAGGCCGAAGCTAACAACACTCTAGGTATATCGAACACGAGCGAAAGCCGTCTCAAGCAAGCCAATCTTCAATGCAGGAACTGAGCGATTCATTCGGGACTGGCGATCTGCCATCATCACAATTGCAGTTCGCGATCAGAGATATCGCGAGCACGATCCAATTCTGGGTGTAGTTCCCCTAAAACTGTCGGAAATTCTCCACGCTCGATCGCAAGTAACCCGATGGTATCCTTTGGACGGCGGTATCGGATACGGTCGCATCCGCGTGTCATTGCTCTTCCGAAGCGTTGAAACTCAACTCCCACGGCACATGCTCGGTTGGGATGTGGGAACCTTCGAAGTGGTGTCGGGCGGCATCACCGCCAAGGGCTTCAACCACCACGTGAAAGTCAAGCTGCGCACCAGCGGGAGCGCCACTTCGATCTCTCGATCCGCCTGCCATGACATGCAAGATGGAGGTGGTGTGTACATCGATTTGGGCTCCGAAGAGTCGAAGCGCAACACCCGCCTACCGGTGCAGCACCGTTATCGATCTGCAGTGGTCGTCGAGCTCCCCAGTGGCTCTACGATCGGTTATTCCGTCATCTGGCTACAAGATATTGCAGACAACGAGGACGCCGCCCTCGACATACCAATTTGGACAACCAAAAACCCACAGCGGCTGACTCAAAACTACATTAAAGAGGATAACTGGGAGCAGAAGCGTAGTCCTGGTTTGGAGGACTTGACTATAGCGGGACGACTCCAGCTTTCATGTCGTTTTGCTCCAGGCTTCAGCGAGGTCCATGAGCGGCTTATTGCTGACAATAATACGAGAGAAACCTTCGAGGCCTGGGAGGCTTGCATTGCTGAAGGTGTGCGCGAGCGCCGGGTACAAGTAGAAGTCCCGGAAAATATCAAAGAATTGCACGCTAAGTCATTAATCAGCGAGCGAGACATTCTACGATACAACGCAGTAGACGGGGAAATAGCACAAGAGAAATGGTTTCAGGGGCATGGTCTCGATTGGTCTATGGCTTTTGGAGATAGCCCGCATGGCCTAGCTGATTTCAAACAAGCAACGGATGAAGAAGATTCAGACAAGAGGGCATCCATCCATTCCCAGGCTCAAGGTGCAGATGCACAGGGCCAGGATGGACATTATTCGCGGAACGCCGACGGCGAGCCATCAAATCGGGCCAATGCATCTCAGAATACAGAAGACGAGGCGCAGGATGCCGAGTCCATAGTCACGGACGCAAATTCCCACGCAGCGGATTTCGAAACAAGGGAGGATAGACGCCAGCGGCTCGGCAACAAACAGAATAAACGGACTGAAAAGCGAAAACTTCGGGGATCTATGCAATGGGCACCAGCACGTAACGCAGCCTTCGTTAAACACGAGGCAACATTTGCCCTCAAGAAAATAAAGAACAAGGTCTCCGGCAGCTTGACGGGCAGAGAGCCGGATATCGAAACCGAAATTGGATAAAAGTGCGTGACCCGGTAGCGCACACTTTCTTATATTCTTCCGCATCTACAAGTGTAATTTTATCAATCGCACTGCACGTCCTTGTATAGAGCGACGTTGTAGTTACTCATATATAACGCTAGTCAACGTTGTGGAGGACTCAGTTCTGAGTAACTAACCAACTATAAAATTGAGACGGCACTCGGGATTTTGAACTCTTCAGGCCGCATACCAAGCCACATCTCAATAAGTAAGGAATGACGAAAATATGACAATGGTGATGGGCCATGGCAAGAGTTATAAGGCCCAAGATGCTACCTACTTTTCTCAACGCTCTAGGCTTCCCTCATTCAATGCTTCTCGGGAAAGTGGCCAATGCATGGAATAGCCAAATAACAAATCATACGATAACTTCCAAAAACGACCATCTAAGGGCAGTATTTCTAGGATCCAAATCATTGGGGATTTCTTGACCTAGGGGTCATTAAGTTCCATATGCTGCTCGCTGCGATTGTCTCGTGTTGGCAGGAACACGAGAATGCCGATGACGGTTGCAGCAGACGCCGAGCTTATGATCGATCTCTCAATTTCGCGGTGTGAGGAAGTCCTTTTCTTTTTCAGCATGGTTCCATCGCTTGTGAGTGAACCTTCCCGCTTTCTTTTTATATCGTCGGCTCGCAGGAACTTGACAGACTATTCAACCCGAGCGTCAGTCAGCATCGTATTAAGCCGTGTCTTCTACGCGACCGCTAACCACTCGTCAACCTGTGTCGATTTCCATTCCCGGGGTTTTGGACACGAATCCCGCTTGTCCTTCAAAAGTCATGGCAACCCCAGTCAGCTTGTTCGCAATACGGCGTGGCAGCCGAACTTAAATAGGGCCGTTGGGATTGATTGCCCTACGACTCTCTTGGAAATACCTCTGGGTTCTCGTGTTGGAGACGCGTGGAAGTCTACCGATACAACGGGACAATATTTGCGGCCGGGGAGATCGGAATTTGTAGGGGAAACCCAGGCGCTATGCACAGGAATTGCCCTTTCGGATGTGCTGAGCTCTGAAGGTGCACTTGAAGATATTATTGTTATTCTGTTGCGCGGCTTTTGTTTGCTTTTTGTTGAAACACCCTTGCCCCTTGGTTTAAAATTAGCCCTCGATGTCAACAGCACAACATGGTGCGGAGCTGATGGCTTTCCTTGGGGGGGGGGAATAACTGCGGAGTCGGCGGGAACGATTTTTGGAGCGGGACTCCGGGTTGGTGGCATGATTCCATTATTCTGGAGTACAGACGGGGCGGTCGGAAGTAGAATATACGAAGACGGTGGGCTGTTTTGCATCCCGACCGCGCTGGTGATTAGCCTAATCTCTAGAATCGACAGGTATCTTTCAAAGAATCCTTCCGCTACGAGACCGCATCTATACGGCTCCTACCAGGATATACAGTTAATATGCCTAATGACTCCAATCATCTAAGCATTTGCCTTGTTGGTGCATCGATTGATGCATGCACATGCGATTAGAACCCGAACACGAAACATCTCACCGCCGCGATCGCTCCCAATGCCTTATTTAAGAAATATGATGCGTATTCTGCAAGCGAGAGAAATTTCTCGAACAATCTTGTTTGCATTTGCATGACTGGGAGACCCCAGGCCCTGCACACGTGGACCTAATTGTTTGATCACCGGGATCCCAAAAGTTGGCATGGCAAATGTGTCATAGCCATGTATGTATGAGTTGGGCTGACGCATGCAAGATTGTTTCTGCAGTTCTTTTGTATCCAAGGCGAATAAGACCCGCGAGAATGCAGATACGTCCCGCACCCTCTATCAGTGGTCAGGTCGGGCGCCGTCGGGACAGGATGGATTATGAGTGCATGCAGCATGGGAGCAGACTTTGAATGAATGACTATGGAGTACCGCCATCAAGCCCATGCAAGGTCTTTGGTGGGTGGCGGAGGCGTAATTTCCCTTCGTGTCATAGAGCATTCAATGCTAGAAGTGCTTGATCCAAGACAAGACTTGGAGAAACCACAGAACGAGATCCGAGTAGATTGTTGAAGTTAAACTTTGATAGGAAACGGATTTTTAGTGAATGCAATGCCACACTCGAAAGAGAGGTATGCCCTGAGAAGAATCCAATGGAGAACGAAAGGCAAAAGGCCAAGTAAGAAAGACGCCATGACGACCAGTACATGCTCATTTTTCGTGGTATCAACCAGAAAGGCAAAAGGAGCCAACATGCTGGAGGGGAAAAAAAAAAAAAAAAAAAAGTTGCGCCCAAATATAAAAGGGAATCGGTTAAAGAAACCATGGTGAAATATTAAACTGTGTAGATAGATGGCTGTAGATTGCTAGAAGTCTTGTAAATAGAGAGGGGAAAACGATGGATTAGAAATGTCTCGTGGCATTCATAAACCATAGAATGAAAAAAGCGAAGCTCTTTTCTAACGCCTACCCATCCCTCTCCCCGGCGATACCGGACTCAGTTTAGGCCTCGATTGAATGGGCACCGGCATGGGGATCACGATATTGACACCTGGGCTCTTCCCACCTTGGATTGCCAGCGAGGCTGGCTGCGGGTCTGTCTCTTGTACAGCCGCATTGGACCCATCATCCCGGCTGGGGAGCACATGACCGTCCTTGATCGGGCCCAGGGTCCATCTCCATTGTCGTTGGCGTTTTCTGCGACGGTTTACGGGTGTCTGCGGAGTTTCGACGTCATCGTCCGGGCACGGCACCCTGTCGCGAAGCCCTGCGGCACGAATTTGTCTCATGCTGCGGGCGTGTTTTTTGCGCTTGCCCGGCGAGCTAGTACCACCCGTTTCTTTATGAGTGGATGTGCTGTCTTCGTCCGAAGCGCCGGATGATTCTGAGCTGTCCGACGCGGATTCTCCTTCTGAGGAGGATGAGGAAGAAGCGGAAGAGGAGGAGCACGAATAGCCACTTGGGGATGTGAGGTCGGAATGTTTGGCGATAAAACGTACGGTTTTGATTTCCTCGTCGATGGGACACCGGTAGTGCACGCGCTTTTTGGCCGGGAACAGGGCCCGTCGTCCATTTCCAGATCCGTTGACGGAGGTGGCCGAAAGTGATGCCCGCCTTAGCGACGATGCGACTATGGGAGAGTTGCGCAGGATACCCCGGATGCCCAGAGGGAGCTGGTAGGGGAGCTCATCGTGGCTGTGTCGGCTATAGTTGGCGGGTAGAGCTTCCTGTTTCGATGTTGGCTTCGGATCCTTTGTGCAAGGCTCCGCTCGTAGTGTTGGGGCCGGTGAGGGTGTATGTCGATATGCGTCGTAGGCGTTTCTAAAGGTGTTTTTGACCGTGGGAGATGGAGAGCAGCTAGCGGAATGGTTCAGCGACAGACCCGTCGTGGAGTTTCCAAATGTAACTGGCAGACACGACGTCTGGAGCGACAGCTTGGGTCGCTTTTGTACCCCGTTGGTGTTGAGGATTGGTGAGGGAGGTATTGAAGGGGGAGCGACGGCCAGCATTGTGTTAGTAGTCGTCGAACTCTGAGGCTGTTTCTGTGTGACGGTGTTTGGAGGTGTATTCGCAGCAGACAGGGAGGCGTTGTCGGAGGAATTTGGATCGGAGTTATGTAGATGAGGATGCTGGCTCTTCATCGAAACAGCAATCATCTTGAAAAGAGAAGACACCCAGCCGGCTAGGGAGTTTAAGACTCCGCATCCAAGCTCAGCGTCAGCGACCGAGAACGGCTGAGGCATATGAACTGCATGCATGGAAACAAAACATCATAGTTAAATATAGAGATGATTGACGTATCCATAGTGGCGGGCGATTAGGAGCGGCAAATCTACTGCAAAGGAAGCATTGTTGGGATGTATAAGTATTCTGGAACAGGCAGTGCGTTTTTATTTGAACATATTTTGTCTCAGCGGAAGGTCAAAGTTTAAGAAACCTAGCTAATAAAGTATGGTCCTGTTTGAAAGACGGAGGGAACTCTGCAAGTGATAGGTATGTATAAATTGCTGCACGGGGTTCGAAGGGACAAGGCTAGGATTGGGGGGGTCGAAAGCATTGCTCAACATTAAGAATTCTTTTTTATTTTTTAGATGCTCCCAAGTTGGGTGAGGCTGGCCGTCGCAATAACCTCCATCCACGATGATGATATCGAGGATAAAAATAGCTGGGAAGAAGAGAAGAAGAAGAAAAAATAAAATAAAACAAAAGACCCAAAATCGAGAGGGGGGGTTTATTTTAGCGGCACGCCGTGCTGTGGAGTTGGGAAGACTTTAAACCGTCAAATCATCGAGAAGGGTTCCCGGCCTATCCAGCGTTATTGGCAATGGCAATCTTAAACTGGGGCCCCTGTGAGCTTGTGGTTGGTGCAATTTGAACGGCGAACGAGTCGTTGTTGGGTCGACTTTCACCGCTTACCCCAATGCCGAAGCGCTTACTCCGTTGTTAGTGAAGAGCACAAAAGTCACGAATACTCAAGGAAGAATATTTTTAGTGTAGCGTGTGTTCTTTGGAGGGGAAAAAATCCACTCTGTTACGGAGTCCTGGGTCCTTCATCCGGCCGCTTTTTGTCATTCGTCGACTTGCCCTCGGCAGAGATACCTTTACATGCTCTTGTGGAGGAGGGCAGGGAGCCAACCCTTCTGCGAAATCGGAAGTACGTTGAGTCAGACTGGGTGTTGGAGAGGTCGAGTCGAGCCTTTCGAGTCTTTGGCGCCGTTTGCCTCGTAACCCGTATTCTGATGACCGCTCCTCACGACGAGGCGGCCCATACTCTGGCCCCTGTCCAGAGACGGCTAGGGAAGCCTGAATTCTGCATTGGTGTGCCAACGAGCAAATCAACGAAGAGCGCCAGAAAGGCAGTTGACAGGAATCAGGTGAGGAAATGTCCGAAAGTGGCTACCAATTCCGCTATTCCGGAGAATACGGAGTCGCCCGTCCGGAGTACTCAGTACAAGGTGCGGCGGCCTGTGGGAGATGGGCTGTTGATCAACACATGCAACGGAGTGGACACTCTGGACTGCCATGCTGCAGGGTGATCCTCGTACTTTTCGGAATACTAAGACTTTGTCTACCCACGCTGCCAGTGATGTCGCCAGTGAGGGGCAGGGAAGAAAGACTTGGCGCGAAGAATGGCAGTGGTACGTAATGATTTTGAGCTTGTGAAAGTGACCAACGTCTTCAGGGCCATCCACATCTTTGCCACGAACCAAAAGGGCGCTGAAGAGGCCAGCGTGGAGAATAGTCGCCTTCATGCTCGTCGTCTGTCTCTTGTGGGCTCGATCGTGTCAGAAAAAGCGCGTCTTCTAAAAATAAACAGCCAATCGGCTGACTAAAAGCTGCTGGCGCTTGCACCATCCCCAACTTAGACTAGCCCGTCCGCATTTGGTTAGCGAGGTACAGATGGATGTCCACTTTTGCCCCCAGACTACTCCGTACATACAGGTCAAGAAATGTTACTCCGCAGATACGGATTGCTGAGAGACCCCAGAGGCTGGAGCTCGGCTTGCTTGGGCGGAGCTGATTTTCTTCAGAATCATGAAATGTTTCCAAATACACTCTTCCTGTCAAAAGACACCAGGCCCAAAGCCCATCGATGACAACAATCGCGAAGAATGAAAAGACGAGGCTTCCCCCAAACACGAGGCTATGATACGTCCATGCATTCTTTGCACTCAGGTTCGCCACCTGGCAGACGATTGCCCAGGGGAGGGCGTAAAGAATGTTCGAAGCCAGAGACTGGTAAAGGTACCAACGGGGCCTGGTGGCAAGGAGAATTGCAGCTAGCTGTGTCGAGACTGCATAAAACAAGTAGCACCTACGGAGTACACTAAATCAGTCAGAATGCTGGGCAGGAGCAGGAAGGCAGGAAAAAAAAAGAAAAGAAAAGAAAAGAAAAAGAAAAAGAAAAAAAAAAAAAAGGCCCCGTACCAATCAATTGTTCGCCACATGTGAGCTGTGATCTCCGATACGGCTCGGGATCCGCTCAAGTAGTACGCAAATGGCCGGCAGCCGAATAATCCGAGAAGTATGCAGAGCGGAATCTCGACTAACAAGGCTATCACCACAGATGCGAGCGCTGGCCGTACGATTTCTAAGTTGCTGTCAATAGCACTGTCCCCCGGGAAACCATGGCATGCACGTTACTGAGTAAGCCCTCCTGGGAGCATTTGGTTCGGCGGCTCTCAACCCCAATCGTCTTCCTCCACTTTCCCCAAGCGTGGCTGGTGAAGGTGAGGGAGGTTGCCTCCAACGCTTGGACAGGCACCATCACGAGTCCCCAACGGTTCGTGTTGAACACCCCCATGCAGTCGCGTAGTCAGAGCCCTTTGACACGATACCACTCACGAGCCACAGATACAAAGTATTCCGGATTATTGATTCAAGAAACGTCGCAATACCCGGCGGCAGCAGGACTGACAGCGCCCGAATACTGGAACTCATCCAAGCTCTGAGCCGAACATAATCACCTTGCTGAGCCCAGGTGGAATATACGAAATAAATGACCCCTGACATTGCAGAAAGCCATATCGCATGTAAGGCGAATGCTCGCCTGCAGGTTGCCTGTTGGAGTATGACCGCCGACATGGAATTTTGAAATAATAAGAAAATCAAGAAGAATGTCAACGATGAACTTTGTAGAGCTGATTATCAGAGGAACGTCGGGCTTATCTAACGCTCGTGTAGCGTTTGAAACAGCAATCTCGATCGCCGAGCTCAAAGCAGAGAACCCGCTGATTCGAACCTAGGATACACTGGCATCACGAACAGGGGCAGGAACAAATGCTGACGCGAATTGACTGGCAGCTGAAGCAAAGATAATACTTATAATTAGACCAAAAATTGTCTGAAAGATGATGAGTGTGCGTGCTAGCTGGAGGCGAGATCCCAGTGCCCGAGATGCTTTGTCCCCGATGATCACCCAGGCTGCTGGTGGAAGCCCTTCATTGATGACCTCTCCCACTACACCTATGTATGTGTATACATCAGTGGTGACGACCATCGAAGAGTCGATCTTTGCGATCCACAATTTGGACAAGGTTCCATGCAGTGCAGGGAGAATAAACGCGGCGACATTAAAAAGGAGAGCTCCTGTGTAACTGGGTTTGTGAGCAGAATAACCCTGAAAAGCTGACAAACCCAGTTACACAAGAGAGTAGATATCATTCCATAAGTACTTCTATTTGAAGGGTTCTTATATCAGAATAGGAAGAAACCAGGCTTGTTTTCAACGTCTCTTGCAGCCACTGGATAAAAGAACCACAGCCTCTTCCCATTTGTTGGAACAAGTGATTGAACCAGCCTTCGCTTAAATTGAGCCATTCCAAAATATCTTCATAATGGGCCGGCCCGCTGAAGCCCAGTGCCACGATTCGCGGCTCCCCGCAAGCAGCTGGTTTCTGTGACCAATCCTCCACCTGACAGCCACTGATGAATCTCCTATATTATGAGGTTGGTAGGTAGTCGGAACCAAGGGACAAAGAAAGAGCTTGGGCCTGTAACCCCAAAAAACACATATATTCCGGTCAACGTACAGAGTACTGGGTACCTCAAATATTTGCTATCTACCCTTGTGGCCAATCAAGAATTCCTGGAACTCGAAAGCTCTTTTACAGCGCTCCTCCGTACAGGACCTAAGAATTCAGCAATCAGAGCTTCAAAAGTCGGGACGCGTTCTCGAAAACTTGCAATGATAGTTCGAAACCAGCGATGACGCTCTGAATATTTGACGCCCCCCACCTTTGACCTTGACCTTGCCAGTGGGCACGCATGTACGGAGTACTCCGTACCCTGTACCAGTACTACATACGGTTGCACCACGACTAGGCCAGTGGAATGCTTGGCGTTGAGCTTGGCGATATGCCAAGACTTCACTGCGTGTGACACTGCCTCTTCCCCTGCCGGCTTCACCTCGCGATCCATCCATTCACAAATCACCCCCAACCACCTCTCTTGCGGACGGAGGGGCAACTGTGCATTGAGAATCAATCACGCCTGGACCAACATTCTATCCCGACTCCTCCCGTCTCCATGTGCAACCAGAGATCCAGCGCTATCGCCACACACTCGGTATCCGTGCACCAGTTGCCTTTCGATTCTCCTGCGCAATGAACAATTGTGCGTGGAATCCCTAGTAAATTTTACTCGGAGGGAGAGGATAGGAACAAAAGAAGACATGACGTCGCTGCTTCGCAAGCAAGCAGCTTTGCGCAGGGATGATAGTAGGATCATAATTCATTTTGTTAGCATCCCCACTACTCCCCTTCCTCCCCTCCCCCTCCCCGCTTCAATTGACTCGATGACCTTGTTGCGCACAATTCTTATCACCTCCTATATTCTGGTGGTATCCCTTCTCGGGAGAACGCTGTTGCAAATCAGGAGGTTGTCTTCGAGATGGTCCACCTTCCCTTTACACCCATGGCGGCCGTCTTATGCAGGGAGCAACAGGCATTGATCTCGCCTGAGATTTTCATCTGCACCCCATGGCAATCGTAAGACAACTTCGAAGGAATGTCTGACTGACAAGGTTGTTGGCTCCCAATCCATGTCAACTGGGTTGGGAATCTGTTTCCGCCTTCTGCGCGATAGGACTATGATTGTTTCTATGCCTCCGTTTTCGAAACCGAAAACCCTGCTTTGAAGTCTCTTCCGCTTGCTGTGCAGCAGAAGCAAATCGTTGTGACCTGTAACTATGAGGCTCGACGACGTGGCTTGCGGAAGCTGCAGCTCATAAAAGACGCAAAGAGAACTTGCCCTGACGTGGTCATCGTGCTTGGCGAGGATCTTACCAAGTTTCGCGACGCGTCAAAGGAGCTGCACTCCTTCTTGAAGAAATACATATGGGGAGACCGCGTGGAGAAATTGGGGTTTGATGAGGTTAGTGTTTCCAGCCCTACGCATAGCAGATCACTCTGCCACAGACGCAATGCCAGTCGTTACGACCGTAGATTCACTTACAAGTGAGGGACTGCAGGTATTTCTTGATGTGACATCAATGATAGATCATAATGCCCAATTTTTGAATCGAAACGACCTTCGCAATTCCTTCTTTCAGCTCGACAAAAACGATCCCACGGTGGGCTTCAGTTTCGATGCTGGTGCTTTTTGCGGTCCTACCTGGCCCCCCAACGCGTGTTCCACCAGGGGAGAGGAAACGGACCCGGAGATGTTTTCCTCACTTGGAATGAGGTTGATACTTGGTTCCCATCTAGCCAACTATCTTCGATTCCAGCTGGAGGAGCATACAGGCTACACTGCCACAGTCGGCATCTCCACATCAAAGCTACTAGCCAAGCTGGTTGGAAATGCAAACAAACCAAAGAATCAAACAACGCTTATACCTCCCTATTCAGCGGGGGCTGATGGCCAAGAAGGAAATATCGATAGGTTTCTTTGCCAACATGAGGTTGGCGAGATTCCTGGCATCGGATTCAAGATGGCTAATCGAATCAGAGCCCATATACTTGGCCGACAGCCTAGTACTGAACTTTATCAAAGTTTAACTGATACGGATCGGGTTACAGTTGGCGCTGTCCGCTCATTTCCCAACATGGGACCGTTAAAGTTGGATAAGATCCTGCGTGGTGGTGGCTGGCCGAACTTGCTGGGCACCAAGGTTTGGTGCCTACTTAACGGCATCGATCCCACGGACGTGGCGGCTGGGAAGGTTATCCCGTCTCAGATTAGCATTGAAGATTCATACAGACAAGTGGACAGCATACAAGCTGTGCGAAAGGAATTACGTACACTGGCCTGTAGTCTCCTTCGTCGTATGCATGCTGATCTGACTCAAGATGCCGAAGACGAGGAAGATATCATGGACGGTACTGCTGACGAAGATGGCAGGCAGGCCCTAGCCAAAGGGAAAAAAAGATGGCTAGCTTTCCCGAAAACACTACGCATCTCAACACGCTCACGTCTCCCGCCACTGCAGGATGGAAGCCATCCGTTCAACAGCAGGAGAATATCTAGGTCATGTCCGATACCCCAATTTGTCTTCTCCTTTCACGAGAGTATTGAAGCACTGGCAGAACGTCTTATTGAAGAGACTCTCATCCCCCTGTTTCGGCGACTACATCCGGACAAATCCGCGTACAAACTCAGCCTTATCAATATTGCTGCCACAAACATGATTGAATGTGCTGGTTCGGAAAAGAGTAGTATGGGCCAAGACATTGGCAAGATGTTTCAAAATCGCACACGCGTTCCGGCACATTCTCTTTCCTTAAACCCGACCAGTAAGAACGCAGAATATATTGATGACGGCCTAGATACCATTGACATGGGCGATAGTACTGACTCAGTCAACCCACGCAACGACATTCATGATGGTAAAGAACAACACAGCTCCAAAACGAGCACGACTAAGGAGATCATGGATAATTGGGACGAGGAAGAAGTTCACGGCTGGGCAAGCGATGACGAGATTTCCGCGGACAAAGACTCAGCCGCTCCTTGTCACGAGTGCCAACTATGCGGTTCTCTCATACCCTCGTTTGCGGCCCAAGCGCACGCTACATACCACTCAATGCGGAGTACAGAAGTTGGCTGCGGCCGACAACCCTAAGATTGTTCGATTCGATCGGTACATCTTTGATATAAACGGGGATGTGGAATCGAAGTTCTCGGCTAGGTTGAAAGGCATTGGGTGTCATTTGCTCAATCATATTTTGAGAGGGAAAGCTTTTCGTGTTCAAATTACTCCGTATTGTGCTCCGTACCAGTGATTCTCAACGACTTTGGGAGCCTTGTTCTTTAAGGGCAAAAAAAAAAAAAAAAAGGGGCCAATAAAAACGTTGAATTATCCAGGCTCGCAAATGCTACTGTTGAGAAAGACAGTTACATTAATGTCGACTTATTTAAATACCCACAACCATAGTGTGCAAGCCTGTTGCGGAAAACCGATGCATTCTGAGCGCGCGAGTTTGCTTGGATAAGAGGAGCGATGGAACGAAACAGACATTTGTTTCCTTGGTGAGCAAGGTCTACAGTAATCTATCACGTTACAATACTCCGAGAATTGAAAACCAAGGTAGGACATTGTCGATCACAGCATGTGGAATTACCCCTCAGTGCCTGGATGAACTTCTGCGAGTAATCGGATCGACACTTGTCTCAGCAACTAATGTGGAGATCAAAAAACCGCTGGGTAGCCAAAGAGTGTTGCATCAAGCCTATAAAAGTGCACTTGTCGGAATGTTTAAGTGTTCATTATGCTGAGACTGGCTTGGACGTTGTGTTAAGCGGGGCTTGAAATTATTGTCGCACAGTAAGCCGAATATTGACAACTGTAATGAGGGAGGGGGGGTTTATCGAGGGAATAATGCCTTCAGCGGAGATACCGTAGCGATGCCCGCTGGACGGCCATTCCGTGAATGAGTATCTGGGGGGTTGCGCCGGAAACAATGTTTGCATCCTTTCATACAGCGGTCAAGTAGCCGTGTTCCGCACACCAGTGGGTTAGCCTAACATAGTCTGTACTGACCCCCTATGGATCCGAACTGGGAACTTTGTCTCACAAAACTGGGTTGTGTGGCATCTTGCGAGCAACAGCGTCGAAGGAAAAAATTAGAATCGAAACTCGACGGAGCAGAGCGAAATTAAACACTTAAAAGAGTAAGTCCTTCAAATATCTTTGACACGCCCCGTGTGTCATGGTTTGGAAAAGCGTCTTTTCATGCTTGACCATGCGCGTAGTTTGGGGAGGAAAAAAGAGAGAGAGAGAGAGAGAGAGATTTCTACAAAATCCAGCTCATGCTTAACGCTGTTGACCGAGACCTGGTTCAGCTAAGCCAAAATTAGCAATAAAATGCTCCTTTGTTGGACCTTTGTGTGGTAAGCGGTTCGGGGTTTTTCTGAGAGGTTCCAACTCTGGCACGCAGCAGGAGGCTCATTTGGGCGCTGGGGGTCATAGTTTGTGTCATCATTATGCGCTGGGCTGTCGGCGATGTCTCTCCGAGTTTGGGATTGACGCAGTTTAGCTGCGTCAGGATTCCAACCGGGACGAGAGCTCTCTTTGATGCGATGCCATCAGGAGGGAGGGTGGTATATCCGAAGCTCACCCTAGGCAGGTCAACGCGCTCACAGATCAACAGCGAGAGAAGAGCGACTCAGAGACTCGGCTGTCAGTCTGTTGTTATCTCGGATGCATATCTGCGCCACAATCCGCTCCGTCATCATCCGCTTTCGCGGGGGTTCTTCTGCCCTACCGACCACGATCCACGCTCCAACCTGGACGCCAAACAGGGCGTGTGGCCAATCTGATTAGGAATCCCCGGCGCCAAGTGTATCACTTACGACACCCACCAGCCTCACAACCGACGCATTTCCTTGACGTTGGAAAAAAAAAGGGAAAGGTTCAAGGCGAGCCGCTCACTCCCCTGGGTCATAAAACAAACGAGAAAGGAAGGACAACCGTTCCCCCAAGCACTCTCCTTGTCGATCGTATTCGACCGTCGCAAGAGGAACACTCCAAAGCAGCGAACATCATACATACATCCGCTGCCGGCCTGTCGTGTGCACAACGTGAGAAAAAGTGCCCCAGCCCGGAGTCCCCACCAATCCGCTCCACCCGCGCTGGGCCCTTTGGCCGCAACGCCCGCCGACCGGGGCTGCAGACTTGTCTTGTCGCCGTATCTCTACTAACTATTTCCTCCCCCCCCCCCCCGAAAAACTTCTCTCCTTTGTTTAGTTTTTCCTTCAGTCTCAATTTTTTTTTTTTTTTTATTTTTTATTTTATTTTTATTATTGTTATTTTTTTTGTTCGCGTTGTTAGTTACTATCCTCCTTCTTCAGTTCGCCTGAGATTCCTTTGGTGCCGTCAAGAATTCCAGGAGATCCAGCCAGTTAGTTCATATTTCTTGACGCACACCGGGAACAGGCGTACAGCCTTTCCGTCCTCCCCCCCTTTCGAGTCACCACCGCTGCGTGGGAATCATCCATCCCCTCGCTATGAGACTCCCAAGTTGTCTGGTTCCCGTCGTGACCAGTCTCTTATCGCTCCTGTCGCAAAATGTTCTCGGTATGTAAAGCCTTGTTAGTGTCTTGCATCGCTATCTGGCTTTGTCTTGCTAACTATACCCACCCGTTTGTTATCAGCACACGCTCAAAGAGACAGAATCAACTACATCTCACTCATTGAGGACCCGGTGATCAATACTCCATCACGACGAGTACACGCATTGTCAAGTTTCGATCTTATATTTTCACTTCATCAGAAGAACCAGCGCATAAAGCTGAGCCTGGAACCAAATCATGACCTTCTCGGGTTCCAGCCCGAGGTACACTACGCTGACAACGACGGACAACTCCAGCAAATACAGTCCATTAATAGGTATGACCATAAAGTCTTCAAGGGATGGGCTTCGGTCGAGTCTGAGAGTGGTTGGGAACGATCGGGGTGGGCACGCATCGTTGTCTATGACGATGGCCCATTCCCTTTATTCGAAGGCACCTTTACAATAATGCACGACCACCATCATGTCTTGCTGCGATCTAGTTACATGCAGACAAGGCAGCCGTCGGATCCCGCCTTGGAAGATACGACTCGGGATTATATGATCGTCTTCCGTGATTCCGACGTCGGTCGGGATATACATGCGAATCTCAAGCGTGGCTCACCGATAGAACGTTCGTGTGGCTCAGACAGTTTGAGCTTTAATACCGACCCTGACCACCCTATGTTTCGCCCGGTGGAGCGACGCGACCAGAGCTCCTGGGCCGCGATGCCACTCGATCTCATGATGGGCATCAGCAAAAGGCAAGGAGACATCTCTGGCGGGAATCCTGGGGGTCCAATAAACATCCGGGAAACGATTGGAAGCACTGCTGGTTGCCCGAGAACGAAAAAAGTCGCTTTAATTGGCGTCGCCGCCGATTGCGAGTATACAAAGTCTTTCAATTCTTCGGTCCAGGCCGCTCAACGCAACATTGTCAACGTGGTAAACAGTGCGTCTCAGATCTACGAGGAAGCATTCAACATCACCCTCGGGCTCAGAAAGGTCCAAGTTCTTCCCGGAGAATGCCCCGCGACTCCACCGGCCTCCGCCCCTTGGAACGCTGCTTGTGGCACAAGACAGAATTCAGGACCCGATATCTCTCGGAGATTGAATCTCTTTTCCGCTTGGAGAGGTGAGCAGAACGATGATAATGCGTTTTGGATGTTGATGACAACTTGCAATTCCGGCCCTGAGGTTGGCTTGGCCTGGCTGGGTCAAGTGTGCATCAACACTGCCAGCCGGCAGTCAGACCGTGACGGTGGGCCCACGCAATCAGTGAGTAGCACCGGAGTTGTCGTGCGAACTCCACAGGAATGGCAAGTGTTTGCTCATGAAGCAGGCCATATCTTTGGTGCTGTTCACGATTGTGACTCTGAACTTTGCGCATCGCCGGCCAACGTTGCCAGGGCTCGTTGCTGTCCTCTAACGGCCGATAGCTGCGATGCAGATGGCCGGTTCATCATGAATCCAACCTCAGGAAGGGGTATTACTGATTTTTCTCCCTGCACAATCGGCCAGATTTGTACTGCAATGGGTCGAAACATCGTTCGGACCAGCTGCTTCACAAATAACCGAAACGTGGTAACATACGCCGGGAGTGAGTGTGGTAATGGTATTGTCGAAGAAGGTGAAGACTGTGACTGCGGCGGCGAGGAAATGTGTGCCAACAACCGATGCTGTGACCCTAGGACTTGCAAATTCCGCGATGGTGCAGTCTGCGACGACTCAAACGAGGAGTGCTGCAGGAATTGCCAATTTGCTTCGTCAGACACCGTTTGTCGACCTAGCACCGGTCCTTGTGACCCTGAGGAGAAATGTACCGGGAGAACCGCTCTGTGCCCAAAAGACAGTTACAAGAAAGATGGTGATAGATGTGGAAATGGGCTTGCCTGTGCTAGTGGGCAATGCACCAGCAGAGACATGCAATGTAGAGTCATGATGGGTGGCAGGCTCGGCGGAAACGACACAGAATCGTGCGATTTTTCGAGCTGTTCCCTAAGCTGCCGCTCCAGATCATCAAGCCCCGAAGTTTGTGTAATTGGAATGCAGTACTTCCTGGATGGCACCCCTTGTGTTGCCGGTGGAGTGTGCAAAAATGTAAGTTCGGACCTTTCGGTTTCATATAATTTCCTCTATCCCGCTCGACCTTTTCTGATAGCTTACAATTGTTCTAGGGCTCCTGTACCGGAAGCTCCTTTGGCAACGAAATTCGGTCCTGGATTGATAGGAACAAGAACCTTGTTATCGGTCTCTCTGCTGGTCTTGGCGGTCTCCTAGTTCTCGCGATTTTCGGCTGCATTTTCCGTCGCTGCCGAAGACCTAGACCAAAGAACCGGAAGATGGCACCCATGAAAGTGAGAAGCGTACCAGATATGTGGACAAGCTCAGTACCGCCTGATCAGTACACTCGCGGCCCTCCACCAGGCCCACCACAGAATATACCACCGGTATATCCACCACCAGCATATTCGCAAACCTATGGACGTGGTGACATGCCTTCACCTCGATATGCATAATTTTCTCTCCTAAGCCATGTTACGATTGTATGAAAATGTTCCTTTTTTTTTTTTTTTTTTTTTTTTTTTTTCGGTTCATTTCATTTTGACTTTTGGACCGGGTAACAGTCAGCATCAACATCCACAGTACATTTCTTCGTTTTAAGCACCTCATTCTCAGTTTCATTTATGGCATGTACTTTCCTCATTCCACACCCCAACATAATCGTTGTTCGAACGATGCAGATACTATGATCTTGCATATATGCGGCTCTACATATCCCATGCTTATCTTTTATTTCTTCTGCTCTTGTGCCAAGTGGAAAAAGGGAAATTCTTTTACACCAAACACCTGGGGCCCCTTTTTTGCATTTTCTTAAGTTCTTTTTTGCCCATCACGCTAGCAGATACAATGTTGGATTGGGTTGCTTTGTTCTAAGCATCAGGGTCTGGACCAAGTTTGGTTAACATTTCACTATTGTTTTTGTCATCATTTTTGCATGGGAATTGGGACGCTTTTCCTTTTCATTTTTTTTGGTGTGAATATTTTTGAGGTATGCTCGCCTCTACATTTCGTCCTGCTGGCTGTGGGGATCGGGTCCTCTCAAGAGTTTGGAATTTGCGATAACCTTTGTGCAGGGAAGCAGATATGTGAGATATTCACCCTGTATATATTGTTTGGTATACATATATTTATCTCAAGTCCAGTACTGTTTAACTGGCATTGTTGTATTGTTGTGGAAAAAAGGCAAGATGTGGATCAGATACATACATGGCCAGTTGGGATATGATACCCCTTAAACTAACATATATGGCTGTACTTGTATGTATATATGTACGCACGGTACATACATACATGCCGTTTACGTATTGAGCGACCGTGTCCACCGGGTGGGCAAAATAGCCATACTTCCATCGATGTTGAACTTTCGACTCCCAGCGCGTTGGGCAAACGTCGACCCGCTTATGGGCTCAAGAGCAGTTTCAACATAATGCGCCATATTCTCGCACTCCAGAGATATTATACCTAACCAGCCGCGCTTGCAGCACATTCCATCGTTCCCAAGGTAGCCTGCATACCACTAACCTTGGTGTATCCGCTCAGCAGATATCGGAATAGTCTTGTCAAACAACGCATCGTTTCAAGCCGGTCCTGTCTCGGACACAAATTGTACCCATGCGTAAATTTGAGCTCAAAAGCTCATCACTTAAAAGATCCTTTTAAGGATGAGGTGGCTACCGAAAAAGCCCTCGAGCAACATGAAGATTCAAGAAACCACAGATAAGGAAAGATTGTACGGGTTCTGATGTGGTTCATGGAAAACAGTCCGGCTGACATTGAGAATTTTACCTCACGAGTTCTGTTCACAAGGATAAGGCTTGATTCACGCGATAAACTAACCGTATTTCAGCTCTCGGAGGACGAATGGCTGCAACAAGCCTAATGTTGAGAGTGAGTAATCATGCATCAGTTGGAGCAAAACAGGAGAAAAAAGAGAGAGAGAGAGAGAGGGGAGAGGGGGGGGGGGGGGTGGGTGAAGCACAATAACATAAAAGCATCCCTCTAAATCTCCAACATTTCCAGGAATAAACATGTCTTTAAGAAAACTCGCTAAATATAATAAAAAACAAAGGAAATCCTTCAAAACGCCTGAGACCAAAAAAAAAAAGGCACGCCAGCCGCTCCGCCTCTCTCGAATCATCTTGATATCTCACGATCCACTTGAAGGATCACTGCAGACAAATACCTACAAATCCTTCCCTTGTCACCCCGCCCACGCCTTCTAGATCAAACTCCTCAATCATCGCCCTCAATTCCTCCTCTTCAAGCCCCGTCTCTCCCAGCTCCCTGGCCACTCTCCTCAAATCCTCCAGATCGATATATCCTTTCCCGCCTTCGTCAAAAAGCTCGAAAGCGCGGAGTATTTCTTCACGCGGATCTCGTTCGAGGATCTTGCGAGCTGTGATGGTCTGGAAGGAGGAGAGTGGCATGAGCAGGGAAGATGGGTGAGGTGGAGGTTGTTGTGAAGGCTGGGGCTGGCGGGACGATTGCTGGGATTGATTGGCCTGATTTGTGCCACCGGGGGCGGCGGTGGGTCGTGGGACGCCGTAGGTTGTGAGGAGGGAGATGAGGTCGGGTTTGGAAAGGGTGAAGCCCAAGGCGCGCAGGGCGACGCGGAGTTCGTGGTAGTCCAGGTGGCGGTCGCGGTCGAGATCAAAGAGAGTGAACTGTTTTTATTAAAATCGAGGGTTAGGCTCAGTATTGCGGAAAAGAATAGATCGTGGTGGGTTCCTACAGCTTCGTTGATTTCTTCTCTCTGCTCCTCTGATAGGTCACTTAGAGGATTGTTGTTCCCTCCGCTGGCAGCACCGCTCAGCCCTCCCGTCGGATTCCCTTGATGTGACTGCAAACCATGTTGCTGTGCGCCGTGCCCTTGTACCATCACTGATCCATGCGTCGACGCCTTTCCCAGACCCATAGCTGGGCCGCCACCAGACCCTTCACCACCGTAGTCACCGGCTCTATCTCTTCGTGATAATGCTGCTGAGGACCCAAAAGGTAGAGGGGTTGGATTTAACCCCGAACGATCGGGGAGTTTGCCGGCTGCATAGGAGGAGCGGGGTGGGAACGAGGGGTGAGTGGAGGAAGATGCCATTCCTTCACTCGATGTTTACTTGTTTTCGCCTGGCTTGATAAGACCGAGCAGCGAAAGCCGTGGGAGCTGTGGTTTCCGAAAGGTATATTATGAGCACATTCGTCTGTTCAGTTCGATTTTCGTACAATAAACAATAGGTCCAGTGTGCAATTGAGCGGGAGAATCTGTGTTATTGCTCTGTGCAGTCCAGCCTGCGCCGAACTTGAAGCTGTTTTGGACGAACGCGACGTGATGGCTGACTCAGCGGTTTCTGATTCTGGGCTCAGTGCAACATATGAACTCAGGGCAAGGCCGGTCTCCATTTGACTGACACACGCATAAAAGTGATAAACATTCCTTTTGTTTCCCGCCAATATGGGTGGTCGGCGTGCTCTCAAAATAAAAGTGGCCCGGGATAAACCACGAAGATATGAAGACGGCTGGAATTAGCTATGTATTGTTGGCACCTGGAAGATACTTAGTGGAAAGCCAGGGCATTGGGTTGGTACCATTGTCAACTCTAGTATAGATTATTATTATTATTATTCATTATAGTCTTATGCAGTCAGTACTCTAGTATAGACCATTGGTGTCCGCTTTCCTTGACTAAGAAAGTCTGCGGCTGGTAGCGCAAGTAATGCTGTGATATATGCTAGGTGCTTTTCGTCATTATAAATATTGCCCTCTAAAGGGTGGACGTCTTCGAAAAAAGATCTCCGCTCAATCGATTCCCACAGCTGCCCTGCATGTTAGACTAAGCCGTCTAAAATTTTTCAATATAGCCTGGCATCACTATGTTCGAGAGGGGAGATTTGACTAGTTCGGGGAAATGGAGGCAAAAAACGAAGGCCAGATCCAATAAAGCCAACACATTCATATATCTAGCGGCTAGGATATCACGCAAGAAGCTAGGTCAAATCATACTGCTTTTTACTCGTCGCTGATTTCTGGACGGCCACAGAGGCTGCATTCCCTCATGCAAATTAATCGTTACATTTCAAACCATCATACATTCAGAATGCAATTTCGAAGGGGAAAAAAAAAAAAAAAAATTGGCCACATCCCCTATTCCTTTCCAGCGCGCCCTCCCCGCGGGGATGAATGTCAAACCCAACAGACATACTAAAATACACTGGTGAATCAATGCAAATCGCCTGCACACTCCACACAAGTCATCAAAACCCGTTTAACGCCGGCAAGCTCAATCATACCGATCAGGAATGAAAGGATAGAGAAAAGGAGGAAAAGGATGCAAGACTGATTTTGGAAGAAAAAGGCTCAGGTTTTATCGGAATCACGCCCGAATAGGGGGTTTGAGCGACTGCGGAATGCTGGACTTTTATTAATGCGTCGCGCACTGCGAAAATAAGTAATCGATGGGTTAAGAATAAAGGAATTGACGTTGAAGCAGGTACATCTTGTCGTTTCGCACTATTCACACCGATTAGGGAACTCCTGGCGGCTTGGGATCGGAAGGAGACTGCTGCTGATATGGCTGCTGTTGTTGCTGCTGTTGTTGAGCCATTGCAGCATACCACATTGCAACGTAATTCTCGTAGCCGCCGTACATTGCGTAAGGATCGGCGCTATCGCCTCCCGCCGCCGGAGCCGACGCTTGAGAGGGCTGTGATGACTTGGTCTGATCCTGAGGGTAACTCCGGAGTTGGGGCTGCGAATATCGCTCACTATATCCATCATCGCGTCTAGCTTGGGATCGTGATTTCTTGACAATTCAAGTTAGATGCGGCTGACAAGGGCTCAAGTTGAAAAGTCTGACTTACAAAAGTATCGACCTTCTCCAAGATGCTCTTCTTCATCTGTTCAATGGCTTGCTTGGACCCTATCATTACAACTTCTCTGTCAACCTCCCGGCCAACAGCCGGTAGTATATTGACTTTGCAACCAGTAATATTCTGCAGTTCTTTAATGGTATCGCCGCCTAATAGGACAATGTTAACAAGGGAGAGTATCAACCAGTGCGAGTCAGATAATACCTTTTCCAATGATCATTCCAACAGATTCTTTGGGGATGAAAATGCTGTCATCGCCTCGCTCAGGGGCTGGACCTCCTGTGTCTCTTTCAGGCGCATATCCTCGTGGCTCGCGTTGTGGTGGTGCACCGCCCTGTCGTGAGTCGGTTTCCACCACTTCTAATATAAGATCCTTCGCCCGTTGAATGGCCCTTGGGGCTCCGTTCAAATTGACTGGCCGAAGACCATTAAGGCTTTTATCTTCAGGCGCAATAATCACGTGGCATCCACTGCGATCCTGAAGATCCTTTATCGTCTCACCGCCGCGGCCAATGATCAGACCCACAGTCCGATCGGGGACCATCATCTGCGTTGAGGAGTTCTCATCTTCTCCATATCCAGGTTGCCTCCCAGGTGGTTCGTGCGGGCCGCGAGACGCAAAGCGATCTGCAGAAGCCATTGCACCTCGCGCAGCATTATTCTCGCTGATCATACGAAATATTTCCGCCTTCGCATCGCTCCGCGCGGCTCTAGTTCCGGAAATCCTGCAAGGTCTGATATTAACATTTGATTCGGGGCTATCCAAAAACTGTATCCGCGTTCCGGTGTCGGACTCAATTCTTCGAAGATTATCTCCTTGTCGGCCAATGATCAATCCGACAAGCTTTGAATCTATGTTTATCGTTTCGGTACTGTCATCCATCCCACCCCCCCTTCTACTGGGAGGCGACCTATCACTTGCGCCCCGATGAGGTCTGCTTGGCTGGGCGGGATACGCGTCCGTTGCCCGGCCCGCAGGACGAGGAGAAAAGGATCGCTCTCTCACGTAAGCGCGATCATTCCCACGCCTATCTCCGCGACGTTCATCACGGTAAGGATTGTAGTTGTCTCTGAAAACATCGCGCGTAGCGCGTGGCGGTGTTCTCGAAGGCGAGCGCGAGCGATGATACGATCGGGAGTCGCGTCGAGGGTCCGCGCCTCTTTGATCTGAATAGACAGGAATAAGGACAAGTAAACTATGGGGTGGAGTGGGAGGCCGAAGGGTAAATACCGTGATTTGAACCGTACGCAATGCCTTTCTCCGCTGCGATACCGCGAGCTTTGGCAATCGCATCTGCGATGGTGACGGATCCAGTGTTGACCGGTTTGACACCGCTAATATCGACACTTCCGGTGCTATCAGGAGGCGGAAGGGAGAAGCCCGTTTGGTTTACGAGCGGTCCTGAGCTCGGATTCGAGCCTGCGAACGTGGCCGGGGCAGCTAAACCGCCAGGCTGCGCGGCAGCTAATTCAAACAATGCGCATTAGTACCAGACCTAAAGGGAATTGCACTGGATTGCGTATTCGGTATCTGCATATGTACTCACCTAGGGCTGCTAGGATCTGGGATATGTTCTGCTGGTCGGCCATGGTATGGTCTCGTCCTTTTTCTGTGGTGCAGGTAAAAAAATACAAACTCTGGGAAACTGGGGGAGGCTTTGGAGAACGGGGGCTTGGAGCGACCGTAAAAATCCACAACAGAATTAACTACGGATTGATACAAACGTGCATCGCAGGGCGCTCCATTCCAGGGAAAGTAGGGCAACTTGCACAAGGTATGGAGGAGCTGGGCATTTGTCTGAATGGCCCGGATCCTGTTGTTTTGTGAGTGACCGCCGGCTTGCAGATTTTCGAGGCGCCAGAAACAACCCCTGCTCAAAAGGGTTTAGCGGCGTCATATCATCAGTTCCCCGCAAACTGCTGTCGCCATTTGTGCGGCGAGAAGGAGAAAAACAAAAATAAAAATAAAAATAGAAATAGAAATAGAAATAACAATAGTCACACCCAGTTGGGCGCCAAGTGAATTATTAACTAAATATCTATGTGGGCTCACGGACTGGCTATTGACAGGAGGCAGCAACCAACTCAGAAGGCAACAAAGCTCTGCTGCTGGGACATTGACTTGTTGACTACGCAGCCGGTCAACAACGTGGATGTATGGAATCCGATAAGATCAACTAACTCGCTCAGTCACTGAGAAGCAAAGGTGGTACTTCCTCCAGACTAATCATTCACTGTCAATGCTAGATACATGAACAATGCTCAAAGGCTTTATCACAAAGCACCTCTTATCACAATGTGTATCCCTTGTTGAAAAGAATCTAAACATTGCACAATTTATCGAACAATGTACTTCTGCAATCCTCGCAATCGCTTCTTGGCCTCTTCCAGATCCTCATCCGGCTTGCAAATCGAGAATCGGATCCAGTCTTCTCCAATGTGCGCATTGGCATCTGTGTAGAATTCCGTGGGTGGGATGGTCCCCACGCCGACCTCCATTGCTAGGAACCAGAACAATTTAAAGTCCCGGGGCCGGCTTTCAATGTGTGGTGGGAACGAATAATTCTCTGGGATTTTCACAGAAGCCATGTTCGCCAGCACAAAGTATCCGCCGTCTGGGTCCGTATACTGTATTCAGTATTCCATTAGAACAGGCACGGACATGTGCTGAGGGGTAATAGCGAGCCTGAGGAGCAAAGGAAAGTATCAAGCAGCCTTACTTACCGGAATGTTCAACTCATCAAAGACTTCACAGAATCTCTCTATCTTCCCACGCATTTCTTGCCTGCTTTGGTCCCAGAAGCCAACCTTGTCCGCCTCCTCAAACCCAATGGCGGCTGCTGCTTGGAGGGGAGCAACGCTGCTGTAACAGATTCGCGTATGTGCAGCGGCGACGTATTTAATGAGGTGCTCGGGTCCAATGAGATACCCTACACGCCAGCCAGTCGCGTAGAAATTTTTGCCCGCAGAGCCCACAGTGAGGGTGCGCTCGGCAACTTGGGGTGAAAGAGTTGCGATGCGGGTAAACGGCACGTAGTAGAGCCGGTCGTACACCTCATCAGAGACAATAATTGTGTTGTACTTGATGCAAAGGGCGGCAATCCTCTCGAGTTCTTCGCGAGACAGGACCTTACCGACTGGATTATGTCTTGGCATCTAGTGTCAGTATGGAGGAACCCGCAATCCGTGCTATTTACCTGGACTTACGGTGTATTCAAGACCTGAGGTAGACGATGGTCAGCTGCGATTCAGCAAGAATAGTCGCTGTGATGAAGAAACTCACTATCATCCTAGTTTTCTCGTTGAAAGTCTTTTCGAGCTCATCGAAATCGATGGACCATTCGGATGCCTTTGTTTTCCTCTTTGAGCCATCTTTCGGTGGATGTAAGGGCACGTATCTAATAGTACCCCCTGGCATTTCAATGTTGCTAATATATCTATGCAACTCGTTAGCAAACGATTTCCATAGTAGCACCTCCATGAGGGCTATGGGTCACATACTGGTCGAAAAACGGTTCGAAGATGATGACTTCATCACCCGGTTCCACAAAACCCATAAACGCGCTGAGCATGCCTAAGGTTCAAATGAATCCATGTTCGTGTATTCTCGTGGTAAACGAGTGCCATTACCTTCGTTTGCTCCGCTGGTAATCACCACTTCGCTCTCTGGATCAATCTTTTTGCCAAAGAAGGGAGAGTAAGCGGTGGCAATGGCCTGCTTCAGCCGTGGGTTCCCCTGTCGCAAGTTCAACATCCCTGTGGAATTAGAGAGGATGAATGCTTAGGAACGTACTTTTGTTGGCGCATATTGGTTCGATACCACTTTGTCAAGCTCATTTTTCGCAGCATTAAGGATAAATTCAGGGGGATTATAGCCACTAGCCGATTGGAAATAATGAGTCGTTGACACTGCATCTAACAGACAGCAGGCAATCCAGGCTTACAAGAAACCTTGTCCCATGTTCACGACAGGTTGAACAGGGGACGCATTGGCGGCTTCGCGGGCAATTGACCTGCATGACACCAGATCAGAATTCTAATCACTGGTAACAAGTAGTTGGGTCCTTGATGGGGCTTCACCAAACATCTTTCCGCTGACCAGCAACCCTTTTTGCAGGGCGGAAAGGATCGGAGGTCGCTGGTGTGGAAGACATTTTTCTGACCGAGCTGGAGAAATGGTACGCCGGACTTAGCGGGGAGAATGCGCGAGAAGGACTTATGACGAGCCCACGGTCTGGCAAGAGGTGTTTCGAAGAGATCGGGGGGAGTCTGTGAGAGATGCGCATGGGGAAGGAGAGCAAGTCAAAAAGGCGCTGTGACTGATGATCGTGTGGGCGGGCCGGCAACTCACTGACTAGTTATTGGTTTGTTCTAGCAACCCTCCCCGTCGCTTCAACTGTCGTGCGCAGATGTCGCAATATTCGCCAAGCCCTTTCCCCAGGAACAAACGCCAGACAAGCATGCACGATGCCTCAACGCCGACCCCCCCAAGAGCCAAATGCCGATTTTCGGAGTTTGAGCCACCACCTGCCGAAGCCCCGCAGCCACACCCTCTGATTGGGTGGCTTTGTAGTGGGGCTGGAGACGCGTTATGCGCGTTTATGCGCGTTTGGCTTTTCTCCGTGCAACTCTAATTCCGGACCGGCAAAGCTTTTGTTGAGAAGCAGACGACCTCCCTGCTTCGACCGCTCAAGCATGGCCTTGTCACTCCAACACAGGCAGCCACCATGTCCTTCGAATGCCCGATTTGTGGAAAACCGGTGAGGCAGAGCAAGATCAATAGCCACATCGACTCGAACTGCAAAGACTTTGTGGAGGTGGACGGGAATGACTCGTCCTCACAACCCCCAGCCCCTTTTTCGGATTTCTTCCAGCCCTTGTCGAAGAAGTCAAGCTCGAAATCGATACCGAAACCAAACAGCACCAGAATCTCCAGCCAGCCCTTACCCGGTGGAAAGAGAACTCTACCTGCTGAGGAACGTGGCGCACCTCAATCCTCTGCCCATGACGACGCCAAACCTGTAATCCCCGCGGGCGACCTGCCTGAACATGTCGTCAAAAAACCGAGAGTGTCAAATGCCTTCGAGAAGGCGGCCCCGCTCGCGGAGCGTATGCGACCACGAACGCTGGATGAGGTTTGTGGGCAGGAACTAGTGGGTCAGAATGGGGTGCTCCGCGGCCTCATAGAAGCGGACCGGGTGCCGAGCATGATACTTTGGGGCGGGGCAGGGACGGGCAAAACAACCATTGCACGGGTGATAGCAACTATGGTGGGGAGCCGCTTCGTGGAAATCAACAGCACCAGCTCGGGAGTGGCAGAATGCAAGAAGATTTTCGCAGAGGCGAGGAATGAACTGAGGTTGGCGGGGAGGAAAACAATTATTTTCTGTGATGAGATCCATCGCTTCTCCAAATCCCAACAGGATGTGTTTCTTGGTCCAGTAGAAAGTGGTCAAGTGACTCTCATCGGTGCTACCACCGAAAACCCGTCTTTCAAAGTTCAAAACGCTCTACTGTCACGCTGCCGCACATTCACCTTGTCGAAATTAACCGACGATGATATCATTTCTATTCTGAACCGTGCCCTAGAGCTTGAGGGTCCGAACTACTCGCCAACGAACCTAGTTGATGAAGAGCTCATCAGATACCTGGCTGCCTTTGCTGACGGTGATGCTCGGACGTCACTCAACTTGTTAGAGTTGGCGATGGATCTATCTAAGAGACCCGGGATGACTAAAGACGAGCTTAAAAAAGGCCTGACCCGTACCCTTGTCTATGACCGTGCTGGAGATCAGCACTATGACACCATATCTGCTTTCCATAAATCGATTCGGGGAAGTGACCCCGATGCGGCTCTATACTACTTGGCTCGGATGATCCAGTCGGGAGAGGACCCATTGTACATAGCACGGCGCCTGATTGTTGTGGCTTCTGAAGACGTTGGACTTGCCGATAACTCAATGCTGCCCCTCGCCGTCGCTGCATACACCGCAGTGGAAAAGATAGGCCTCCCAGAAGCTCGAATAAACCTCGCACACGCTACAGTAGCACTATCTCTATCACAAAAGAGCACGAGGGCTTACAGAGCATTAGGCAACGCGTTTGTCGCCTTACAGGAACCCGGAATCGCCGGGCTTCCAATTCCGATCCACCTGCGGAATGCGCCCACGAAACTCATGAAGGGCCTGGGGTATGGCCAAGAGTACAAATACAACCCTGACTACGCAGGTGGGAAAGTCGCCCAAACCTATTTACCGGACAAATTACAAGGTCGTCAGTTTCTTGAAGATCACGACCTCGGAACTCGCGTTGACCCCGATCTACATAATTCGTGAGGAGCAGAGTATATGCGATGACGTCGATCTTAAGGCTGAGATACAACCATTCACTGCGCCGTCATGGCATGACGTGACGGGCGCACTAGTTATAGCCCTGGTGAGCCCGCGTGCATCCCCTCGTTAGTGTATAATGGCCTGGGAAAACGAAACATGCCCTAAAATTCCGTTGCTTATAGAGCTGAAGGCTTGTATGATGACGATGATGATGATTGATAACGTCTCCCAACATGTCTCAAAAGTGATGGCGTACATGGTCAGCTGCACATGGATTGTGAGCATCGCCAAGCACATCTAGTTGGATATGGCGACTCTCTTTCAATCTCTCAATCTCTTCATCTGCTCGGTACCCGCTGCAATGACGTCGAATGAGCCCCAGTCCCCTGTGACGTCACTTCCGCTGTCACCAAAGCACGTGATTTCACGTTGGTTATTCTGCCACCGCTTTCGTCGCGTTGGTTCGTTGTGCCAAGGGCCCCTGGAGAGAGTCTGTGCACGCCATTCCTCATTCGCGGCGGCCGCCTTCATTGCCGCCAATAATGCGCGGGCATGAAGCAACAAGTACTGCCGGCGGCGACTGGCAGCAGAGATCGTCGCTGGTGAGATTCGAGTGAGCAGTTGCTTTGAGCTTCATGCTTTAAATCTTCTTGGTCTTCCTCTTTTCCTGTTTTCATCGATGTCAAGTTTTACAACAGAAGCATGTTGGCGCAAGCGCAGACTGCGGAGTACTCCGTAGTTGACTAGGTAGCTTATTTTGAAGCCTACACCGTGGCCGACAGGATTCTCCTGCCGATCGGTCTCTGCTGCCCTCCCACGAGCCATGGAGCATCATCTGAACCTGAGGTCCTACGATCAGGATCCATCCCCGACCCAACACCTATCGGTAGATCCCGATGACTCTAATATTCAGGTAAGCCATGGGGAACTGCAAACCTTCCGGGTTTAACATTGCTGAGCCACTGACAATGGATTCCCGTCTTCAAGAATACCCTGGCCACATCTCTCTCTCAAACCTCTGCAGAAGAGTCAACATTTCGAATAGATGCGATATCGATACCGGCTCGCAACACTCCATTCTTTCCCCTGCTACATGATTTTGAGGAAATCCGAGGAGATCAAAACCAATATGCTCACATTGCCGATGGCACAAAAGCGGTCACCAATGCTGGCGTCCATGGTGTCGTTGTTCATCCGGAATATATATCTACCCAGGTGTTGCCAAGCTCTCCAATTATTCATCCCCTTGGCATCCCCAAAATCCCCCATGTCGTCTCTCACAGCCCATCCCCAATGTTGACCCGCTTTCCCCAGAAGTTGCCCCAAGAAATTGGTGACGATTTTTCATTGGACAATGCCACAGGATCACATGCACAACAACTTCCAGTCGATTACGGGGATTCGGACGTATTTCAAGCTAGCCAGCCGGCCACATGCTCTCGACAATTGGCGCCAAAATTTGCCAGTAGAATAGCCAATCATGCTCCCATGGTCCTGGGTAAACAATCCTCACGCGCTAAAGTTCGGGAATATACTTTCGTGAGCGAAGATCCGTCGAGAAAATTACCTACCATAGCTTTGAGAGCTCGAAACATCAATTTCGACAATGACTATTCACGCAGATTGTGGGAAGAGGAGCGGCTGCACAAAGAAGCTATGAAGAAAGCTGGGGGATCATGTATATGGTGTAACCAAATGAAGAAACGCTGTGACCCTAGCAAGCGTTGTTCCCCTTGCAGGAGACGCGGTTGGCCCTGTTTCCGCAGCTATGACCAGATTTGGCTTTACGTAGCCCCTTTTTACACCTTCGGAAAGATCAAGCCGTCCGGGCGTGATCGATCGAAGGTTCTTGAGGCTGCAAAGTTGAAGACCTTTGAAAAAGCCTACGAGCTCTGCCGCAAGCTACATTCCAAGCTACAATCTCCCATCCCCCAAGGAAATGCCATCTTGCAGTGTCGCTGGCGCTACCCTAACCCCTCTGGATTGGTTGTTCTGGATTCGTCGCTATTACTTGACCCACTAGAGGAATATCAGCTTCCGGAGGATGACAAAGAAACCTTGATCAGGACAGTCCTCAGTATCGTTCCGGAGCCTAAGCTCTTCAAGGAGAATAATACCTCAGAGAGCCCTACTATCCTCGGTATTTCGATGAAGATGCTGGGTCTAGCTGCCTTCATTATCAATACCGCTCGGGGCCAACCCTTTGCACGACAGACCGATATCCCCCATGGCCAAATTGTACTCCTATATCTCCTTACCTATCTGGTTCAGATCCTTGTCCAGTTGTCCGACGATTTCTCCTTGGAATTATTTCGGCTCCTCCGCCAGAAGAAGAATAGGAAACCTGTGCTTGATGACGCATTCCTAGCTACTGGCCTCTATTATCGTGTTTTGTCTGCATTACATTATTTCGCACCTGGCCCCGATTCGATGATAGAAGTCATACTGTTCGGCGTAAAGAAACAGCTTGGTCCTGTAATATCTCTAATCGAAACTTTATTGCGTTCCGATTTTGTTGCGACTAATTATATCCAAGGATATCTTGGGTTGGCGTCGTCTGCTAAGGAGACAAACTTTTGGATGTACTTTGATCGGCGTGTACCCCCACTCCCTGTTCTGGACGACATGCAAATTTCATTGTATTTTTATGACAAGACTTCGTTTCCGGTCCCTACGGCGTTACACCGAAATTTCCAACCTTTCAGCTTTCCATATCTGTCCACGATTTCTGAGTTGATGTCATCTGAATGTAACGAGATCTCTGATTTCCAGACGGCCGAGAATCGCCCAATGCCTGGACCGGATGTTGTGTCTTTCACAACCCGACCACAGAACGATCAATTTATCACTCATTCCACTGCTCTTGGAATATGGGCGGAGCCTGTCTTGTTTGACGACAACGTAACAGGAGAACAAAAAGACATTATTCTACATGGCCTCGATGCGGAAGGCATTTATAGTCAATCTTCAGATAGCCGGAACCCCATGCAGACCGAGTCGATCCCATCGGAAAATGTTGGATCCAACGCCCAGGATGAGGGGGAGGCACCGACGACCTATTCTCCGGATCCCTTTTTTGATTACCAGAAGTATTTTGACCGCGACGGAGGAACAAGCGGCCCGGAGTAACGAAACCAACCTAATCTCTTATCTTGAGATCACTCGGGCAGACTGCTCATGTCCACTGGACCACACGGCCAACTGTTACTTTTGCTTGTTGATGTAAAAATTCGATGTTTAATTTATGCAGTTTCACATGGTATTTCTCTTTTAAGCATGACATACTAGATATCTGCATTTACCCCTCCTTTCTGGGACCCCTCTGAGCTCTCTACTTTCTCTAGCACAGTTTGGTCACCCCTTGGGGCCGAGCGCAGACCTGCATTTTCGAGAGAGGTGGGAGTTTTCCTGGAGCTTTTAAGGTTACGAACCAGTTCTCTTCGAAAAGAGATGTTATGATTTATGCTCTAGACGGAGTGCTTTCTGTCTCGTGCCTATACACTGATAGAATATCTTGGGGGCGTTCCCATCTTAACTTCTCTAGGCTACTTAATTTAATTCTAGCTTCATCGTCGAATCCTTCCGGGCTTCCAAGTCCAACCTGGCGTTTCCAAAAAGGTACGTCTCTTCAAGGTAGAGATACAGCCTCCTCCTCCAGACCGTGTTGGAGACCTATTCTACCCAAAGAGGATCACCAGAAATGGACCACTTGCGGCCATACACATCCCGACCTTTAAACATAGCCAAAGAAAGATACCATGCTACTATGCTGGGCACTGGCGAAAATATATCCAGATCAACCAGAAAGCCCATCTGAGAGGCGGGAATTTCCCTCTAAAAGGGCACCCGCCTCCTGGTCTGCGTGTTTGATTAACCGCCAAGTTGGTTACATACTCGGTGCATCCGTGTTTTTGAAAACAATGAAGGGACGGACGGACGGACTGGGCAGGTGGAGCTCCCCCGGAATATCTTCATCCCGGACACGCTAGTCCAGACACGGCCAAGCCTTGTCCGTGAAGAGGCTTAGCGTGAATTCTCGGCTGATCCCTACAGAAACGCTCTGATTGGCTACCGGGGCGTGTTTCATGTTTTGCAACTCTTCATCGCGACAAGCTCCAGCATACGGTGAAGCAATGAAACCTCCTCCGGCGGCTATCTGCAAAGCTGCCCTTCGAACTAGAATCCTGAAGGAAAGCAATGGATTCGCCGTCTCCAATTCGCCATGTCTTCAAATGATCCACCATTTCCCCTGTGAAAGGCTTCTTAGCCTGTCATGCTTAAAGTGCATGGTATTCGAATGATTGGCCACCAGCCTGCACTGAGCTGGAGGAATGCTATTCCTGTCGTGGCTAACCGCCCAGCCAAGCTTTGAGCTTTTTCTGCAGGACCAGTGGCTGCTGTCCGACCTCTCAGATACTCGGGTTCTCCAGACACAGGGTGTAAACCGAGTATCTCCTAAAATATCCCACGCTTGCTTATTTGTCTTTCTGTTTATACTAGTATCGGGATAAACTTCAGCTGTGGAGCGGGCAGCAATGGGATGTACCTTGTTCCCGCTGTTTTTGTCGTTGGCAGCTGATACAACATCGGATCCCGTGAAGAATCGGGGAGATCGGGCGCTATGGCATGGAGTCACTGTCCTTGGGCTCTACAATAAAGAGACCGGCTCTCGCCTTCAGTATTGAATTTAAAATATAATTTCATTCTTCTTCCTATTGTCTCCATTATCTTCCCTTCCTGGATGAAGGGTTTTCTTTTTTTTTTTTTACTTCATTTGTCAACCTTCATTTAATGGCATTTCCTTTCAATAGAGCTTAATAACACCTGATTGACCTGAATAGCCATCTTCTTGCCGGCACTATAGATACTTTCCCTTCCAATTCCTCAACTGTCCTTATTCTCTCTGCCTTTCTTTTCCACTTTTTCTATGCTTGTTTGACACAAGTTGCAATTGTTACATCTTCTGCCACCATCATAGACAGTTGGCAACCCATACTTAAGTCTTTTCTACCGAGAGATCATTCCTTGCTCTACCACATGCGCTGGCCGTAGCCATTTTAGACAACTCAATTATCATGCAGTTCTTACGCTTTATTCCTCGCTCGTCTCCTGGCCTGCCTCCATATGGCGCCCACGACCCTCCCATGATGCAGAACCCCGCGCCGACTACAGCTCCCCCGGGGGCAATCACGCCTTATCTCGGGTTCAAAGCCCGACTGTCGCAAATATGGATCAACAAGTGGACAATATTATTGCTTCTTGTCCTCGCTCGAGTTCTGATCGCTGTCACTGGATTGAATGACAACATGGCATCCGCAAAACGTGAAGCCCTCTCTGCCTGTACCAGCGTCGAATCGATGGGAAGCGCGATGGCATCGATGCCGCATTATATGTCCAAGGGAGTTAACGAACTTACTGCGTCTGGTGTTGAGAGAGCAGTCAATGGACTTATGTCCATGTTGCTTTTGACCGTTACGGGAGTGGAAGAGGTGGTTGTTTTCTTTGTTAACGTATTGACGCAAACATATCTCTGTCTTATTACGCTTGCAGTTTCCGGCAGTCTGCATGTCGCCCTGAAAGTTGTTGAGGACGCTGCTGATTTTCTCAACAAGACTTTGGCAGACGTGACCGAGGGTATCGAGAAGGGAGTCGATGGTTTCGAAGACAAGATTAACGACTTCCTTAAGGGCATCAACAGTATTACCAGTGCGTTTGGCGGGGAGAAAGACCCCCCAAAGCTTGATATTGGCGGAGATCTTGATAAGTTGAAAGAAATTCGTTTGCCTTCCTCCTTGGATGAAGGTCTCAAGAAGATCAACGATTCGATCCCGACATTCGATGAAGTTAATAAATTCGCAAACGATGCTATTCGATATCCTTTTAAAGAGGTTAAAAAATTAATCAACCAGTCACTGGAAGAATATAAGTTTGACCGCTCAGTATTTCCTGTTCCGCAAAAAGAGAAACTGAGTTTCTGCGGCGACAACGATGGAATCAACTCTTTCTTCGGCAAAATCGGGTCCATTATCTCAACAGCAAAGAAAATCTTTATTGCTGTCTTGATTGCCGGTGCTGTCGCTGCGTGCGTCCCGATGGCCCTCTTGGAAATTCGAAGATGGCGTCATATGAAAGAACGGGCGTCACTTGTGCAAAAGAATGACCACGATCCTATGGATGTGGTATACATTGTTTCTAGGCCATATACCTCTACTGCTGGGTTGAAGATCGCCAGTTGGTTCAAGCCGGGCCGGAGACAAGTACTCGTTCGTTGGATTGTTGCCTATGCGACAACAACTCCAGCTCTTTTTTTACTCGCACTCGGGATCGCAGGACTGTTTTCCTGTGCTTGCCAGGCTATTCTCCTTCATGCTGTCAAGAAAGAGGTCCCTGGGTTAACAAACGAGGTTAGCCAGTTTGCCGACAAGGTAGTCATGAGCCTCAACAATGCCTCTGAGCAATGGGCCATCAGTACCAACCGTGTTATCGCCGATACAAATGACGACATCAACCAGAAAGTGTTTGGCTGGGTAAACACCTCTACCACTTCCATCAACGACACCTTAAATGTCTTCGTTGATAAGACTAGTGATGTCCTCAACGACACATTTGGAGGGACGATCCTACATGGCCCAATAAAAGATGTCCTATACTGCCTCATCGGTCTCAAGATTCAAGGTATACAAAAAGCACTAACATGGGTCCATGACCACGCCCATGTTGACTTCCCTAACATGCCAAACGATACATTCTCTCTCGGAGCCGTCGAGTCCATCGCGAACGACAACAAATCAGATCCCGAAAGCTTCCTCGCAAGCCCGGGCGACAAAACGGCCGACGCAATCACCCACGTTGTCGTTCGTGTCACCGAAGCCATTGAAAACGCAATTCGCACCGAGGCTTTGATATCCACTTTCTTAATCGCCCTTTGGTTTGCGATTCTCCTCATCGCCGTCCTGCGTGCTCTCACTCTCGCTTTTCGCCGGGACAAACCCCGTGGTGAAGGCGGAATCGATGCAACATACCACCCACCTGCACCACGCGCCGCGCATGCCGTAGGGTCTATGGAGATGTCAGATTTCTACAATGTTCCTCTTACAGGAGTCCCAAATGCGAACAGTGACGGCGGCTTAGCGCCTAAATATAGCACGACTCCACACGTTCGTGGAGGATCTCGTGGCTCTGATACGGATGAGGAGGAGTACCAAGCGCAGAAATTGGGGTATGCAGGGCAAAGAGACTACGAAGCTGCGTTGAATAGAGAAATGTGCAGGGAGAGTAGTTGCGGGCAGGTTATGTATGGGAGTGAGAAGCGGTAGCTGGAGATTCCTGGGAGAAATTGGTGAATAGACAACAAAGTTAATACTGAGCCTTACGGTATATTCACTCCATTTTCCGTCCCCTTATGTACTTTATTGTTTCATACCCCTTTCGTCTTGCATCATTTTGCTATTTTGCTACTTGGCTTGCATTCATTGTCGGAGATTTGGGGATTGCATGGTGTCATATAGTTGTCAGTACATAGATGCATAGCAGCGGCGCTGTGGTACAAAATCATAATTCTTACCATAAGGAACGATCTGCTTTAATTTACAAGATAATTTAGACCTCCTTGTGTTTATCTTAGCCTGTAGTTTTGATTCCGAAACCTGTGTGCAAAAAAACTGCCTTGGATTAAAGGCAAATGTTTTGTTTATGCTGGATCTTCAAATGCTAACAAACTGAAGGCATAACTATGCAATTGTAGTCACCCCCCTGAAGGAGATGGAAAATGCTCACTTACCTCCGTCTCGCTACCTGAGCTCCCGAAAGAAGCACCGGCATTGGTCGGAGAATTACATATTCTCGATAACTCCATATCCCTATTTCCAGGTCCCGAAAACGTCTCGGACCCAGGTATAAGACTTGACAATGACCTCCTCAACTTAGTGATATTCATGTCATACTCGAACCTTCTCAGTTCTTCCTCACTGCGAGACGTCCGACGCCCGAACACGGTCTCCCTGGGACGCACACACGGTTCCCCATCAAAACGTGGAAGCAATATGCCATCCCTGCCGCCTTCATAGGGGCTAGGAGGGAGTGTCGAGGTTTTATCCTTCGTAAGAGAGGCCAAAGACCAGAATCGGGGGAAAAAGCGGGAGATAAGAGTTTTTAGGGCTGGGGCGCACGCTGCCCAAATTGCAATGTTAATTTCTATGCTTCCAAAGGTGTAGATGGCAGCATGGTAAACTTCAAGGCTCTCGGGAATCCAAAAACGTGATAGTACTACCAAACGGGCGATGCCAATGATTGTTGATCTGCGAATTATGATAAAAGATATTGTATTAGCTGAAGTTCCGAAATGTCGAACATGGAATTTGAGACGCAGGCCGACTCACATTGCACCCATACCCAAAATAACGACCACAATGAACTTTTGTTTTTTGGGCATGTTCATTCCTTTGACGATAGCACCAGGGATATACAAAGTCCAGCAATCAAGCAATATATTCATGATTGATACGGTAATAAACAACGCAGCGCGGCTGATGCAACGGGGTGGGGACCTCCCAGGGTCAATACTTATCGGAAAATCGTACCCGTAAGCGACAGAAGAACCGCACTGGAACAGATCCGCAAATAACGTGGAAACCATCAACGCCGTGCTAATGGAGAGGAGGATCCAAAGCTGTAATCGTACCGATTTCCGTAGCTGTTCGAGTCGAAGAATGAAGACAATGATGGATGCTCTGATGAAGAAAAGGCCGACATAGTATGCCACTTGAAGTGCTACATTGTATTTTTGGGCTTTGTTTAGATGCTGGGAAGTCATCAAAGGTATATCGTAAAAGTGATATCCGAGCCCGATGGCTTTGATGACTGGTCCAATTAAGTCAATTAGTGCCGGTTTCTTGTAGACAGACCAATGTAATATCGTTGCTAAAAAGAAAGGCTCCAATCCAGGCATACATAGAGAATAACAAACGCTTTCCGTGATTGCTAACCCCTGCCGGACTCATTAGAAGGTTTAACGCCCACGTTTTCGAGCGCTCTGGCATACTAAAGCAATGAGAATAAGGACATCATCTGCAAAGCGACTCGCAGTTAGCGGGGATACTCGGGTCAGATCTATATAGATGCATAATATACACTGGTTGCTCACGTACCCCAACCAAAAGCCTTTGCTAGAGCTCGCGACAGCATTCGCACGCCCACAATCCCAATACTGATGCTCGGAAACACAATAAGGATCGTCAGCGCCGTGGGTTGCAGCGAATCAGCCATTCTTCTTTGACAGCAGTTCTGATGACTGCCGTGCAGTTGCTAGTCACCGAAAGTCCCATCGCATTCTGCAGGAAGAGTTCTGAAAGGAGTGTCAGGGAGTCAGAGTATGAAAAAGCTGCCAAAACAGCTCTGACAAACGGTCTTAGAACGCGATCGCAGTCCGCATAAGTAGGTGGATTTAGGGGGAATGTATTCAGACACCGAAAAAAAAGAAAAAAAAAGAAAAAAAAAAAAAAAGAAAGAAAAATCAAAGATGGCACGCCGGTAATTCCGCTCCTCGTTAGAAAGGCTAATCAACAGCAACAGATTAACTCTTGCCACGCCGCGCCCGACAGCCTGGTTCGCCATGATAAAGCTGACCATGGCTTTTCCGTATTTTCCATGGAACCACGGTTTTGTTTAAAAGCCTGTCTGAAGACCAGCGACCAAGTCCCAAGCTTCTGCAGGTGAGTACAGTTCACCACGAAAGAAGTTTTCTCAAATAGCGGCTCCTACCTTTCAATTGGTATTACCACCCCTCAGCAGCTGGAGATGTGAAGGCGTGAAGTTGGATGAGACCCGATGGAGTGTCGGCCAGAACGAGGCCAAGCACGGCTTTGCTAAACTGGCCTCTGAATGGCTGGCCAACTTTCCGGGCCAAATATGCCTTGATTTCGACAGACTACGGGAGAATCACGGCAAAAGCACGGCGCAACAAAATACGGACGATCATCAACTCTCGCTCTCTCTCTCTCTGTGTGTGGAACATGTGGTTGAAGAATATAGCAAAAACGTGGCGAACCCAGCCCCTAGATAACGACAAAGAACCCATCTCCCCGATCTTCTACTCTCCCTCTCTCCACAAGTGGATCACAGCAGCTGATCCGTATCCTCTCCGGCGTCGCCGGACTCCATAAGCTCAAAACATCATCCACACCCCACTGCTTCCTAGCGGCTCTCAGGCCGTCTCTGATTGCAAAGAACACAGCACTTCCCATGAACAGAGGCGGTTCGCCGACACCCCGAGAGCGCTGGATTGTGCGCAAGTTTTCCCACTCGACGTCCTTTAGCAGGCTCACGTTAAAAATCTGGGGGATATCGCGGAATCCGGGGATCTTATATGCGCCGGGTCCCCTAGTGAAGAGGTGTCCGGAGGCACGGTGCCAAAGGCTCTCTTCTGTTGTGAACAACCCTTGGCCTTGGATGAAGGCGCCCTCGATCTGCCCATAATCAATGGCTGGATTGATGCTGTGTCCGACGTCCATTTTTATATCGGCTCGAAGAGGCGTCCAGTCGCCAGTCAGAGTATCGATCTGGACTTCCGCAGCGGTCACTCCTTGAGTGAAATAGTAGAACATCTGCCCGGTGTTCTCGCCCCACTTATACCCTATATCTGGAGTTTTGTAAAATCCATTTGCCGACAAGTTTACACGGTCATGGTATGCCGCATCTGCCAGTTCCGTCATCGACGCGTTCGGCATTTTTTCTCTATAAGGCTGGAGGCGGTCATTGAGCTGTTGGCACGCGTTGAAAACCGCATAGCCGTTAAGATCCGAACTGGCTGAAGCAGCTGTGGGCGAAGTATTCGCCACGGTATTAGTGGCTGTCTCAGATATATGGACGTCTGCCTGAGGAACTTTGAGTGCCTCCGCCGCTATCATTACAATCTTGGTATGGAGACCCTGGCCCATCTCTGTTCCACCATGTGCAACCAAGACACTGCCATCTCGATAGATATGCACCAGTGCCCCTGCTTGGTTTAGAAAAGTTACTGTAAACGAGATACCAAATTTTGTCGGAATGATTGCCAGGCCCCTCTTGGACCATTTGTGAGCCTTGTTATATTCTGTGACCGTCTTGCGGCGAGCCGCATAGTCCGACTCGTCCAAAACCTGCTGATACATCAGAGGAACATGCCAATCTCTCAATTCCTGATTGAAATGTGTCTTTTCGTTGGGTTTGTACATGTTTATCTGGCGAATCTCCTCTGCAGGAATATCCAGATGATCGGCGATCTCGGAAATGAAAGATTCCGCAAAGAACATGCCTTGAGGTCCCCCAAAGCCCCTAAATGCTGTGTTAGACATGGTGTTCGTGCGACATAAATAGCCCCGAACATGGACGTTTGAGATATTATAGACGCCATCTATATGCGACAACGCTCGTTCGACAACAGCCGTGGAAAGATCGCGGGAATAACCAACATTGGCATAGACGTCTGCATCTAAGGCTAACAGCTTCCCTTCCTTCGTCACGCCAACTTTCCAGTGGCATAGGAAAGGGTGACGCTGCCCAGTGGTAATCATGTCTTCATCCCGATTAAGCATGCAACGGACAGGCCTCTTTGATTTTTTAGCGGCTACTGCACATATACATGCCAACTGAACCGATCGCGACTCTTTGCCGCCGAAACCTCCGCCAAGGCGTTTTACTCGAGACACGATTTTATTGGCCGCGACGCCCGTTACATTTGCAACATACTTTTGACTAAAATATACCATTAGGACAAGCAACGAATGTTGTTGCCGCAGGGACAGCTTACGTTTCTGTAGGGTTTTGAGTGCTGCTCCAAATCTCCATCTCCCCGTCCTCTGGCTTTGGGATAGCAACGCAAGCCTGCGTTTCCAGGTAGAAATGCTCTTGGCCACCCATTCTGGATGTGCCACTGAACACATGATCGGCTTTTGCAAAAGCGCCTTCGGGATTTCCATTCCTTATATATGGTTTATAATCGTAGAATGAATCCTTCTCAATGGCTTGCTCAATGCTCAAAATCGCAGGTAGCTCTTCATATTCAATCCTAACCGCTCTAGATCCCGCCTCGGCCGCTCTTGGGGAAGTTGCAAGTATCATGCCAATCGGCTGTCCGGCCGTGAGTACTTCATCGACCGCAAAGAATACTTCGTCGGCTGGCGGCTGACCCCACCAGTTGGCTTCTGGGTTCGGCAGATCTCTATGATCCACATACTCCACTACCCCAGGAATATCCAAAGCCCGGTCAAAATCAATATTCAGGATCTTGGCCCGCGCCTTCCCTGAAAGAACAAGGCAGCCAAAAAGTTCATTCTTCTGTGTCGGAATATCGTCCGTGTACTGGGCCGTCCCAGTTGCGTGCTTCAGCGCCGAGACATGCGGAGTCTCTTTTCCCAAGATACCTTGCTCGTAAGCGGCTGCTGCACCATGGTCCTTCTGGCCCATGGAAATTGCTCTCTCAATCTCTGGTACAGAATCGGCATCGCTGAAAGCCTGTGGATGCTGCAGGTTCGACAAGATGTCATGGTAAAACCGATAAAAGAATCCAAAGGCAAGACTTTTGCGGTACGTCGGCATTCCCCCTGGAACAGACGATGGAAGGGTAAAGTCTCTTTCAAGACAATCTATCACTCCTTCGAGAGTGGCAGGATCAGTCCATTGTTTGCCAACCAAAAACTTTTCAGCCTTCGGAGCTGGCATGGTCACTGGCCCCATGCCTCCATAAATCAAGTTGGCACTAGTTACGACGTTGGAATCGTCCAGAGATACCCGCAGCGCTGCGTTGACGATAGCAATATCGTCGTCTTTTCGTTTAGCCTGTTTGTAAGCCCTGAGAAATTCCCCCTTTACCTGACTCGCAGGAATTCGCAATCCAGTCACAACCGCATTGGAGTCTAAAGCCGTGGACCTGTATCCTTTGAAAAAATTACACATGGGTATCTCACTCTTCTCGTCTAGAGACTCTGCAATCAAAGTCGTTCTCGTGGCCACGAAGACAGGGTTCAAATCGGAGATAGGAGAAGCAGTGGCTATATTACCAGCGGGAGAGGCCACATTTCGGATTTGCCGTCCAGCAAAATAACGAATTTGTTTCTTGATCGCAGTAAAAGGTTGCCCTCTGAGTGGCCCAAACTTTTTCACCGCTTCGTCACAGATATCTTCAAGATCCGTCAACGAAACGTTTCCTCCCAGCTCAAGGCAATTATCTTTAAAGGAATACTGTTTCAGTTCCGGTATATCACCCACGTACACTGAATCGGCATACTCCATAGCTTTAAATTTTATTTCAATCTGAGTTTCTGTACTTCCTCCGATGATTTTGGCATCAGGGTATATATTCTTGATTTCTAGCAGCTGACGGAGGGTCACAGGTCGATACCAGCGCTTCTTCTTATTTCCGAATGCCAGAGGGAGTAGTTTGTGATTGTGAAGGGCGGGTGGAAAGATCAGTTGCGTGCCCGGGGAATAAGGAATGAATTCGGGCGCTTTGAATGTCTGCTTCACTGTAGAAAGAGTGCTGTCATCCTTTTCGGGTTTGCTGCAGCCTTTAGAACCCCGTTCCATGCAACAGCCACCTCCTCCGCTTGATTGACAACATTTTGGTGCGGAGAAAGACTGAGCAGCATCTAATATTGAACGGTATCCGGTGCACCGACAGAGGTTTCCGTCAAATGCCTCTTCAACATCGTGTTCGGAGGGACTTGGATTGTTGCGGAGAAGGGCATATAGACTCTATAGTCGGTTTGTTCAGCGACCAGGCTTTGAATAGGATGCTTTGCCCGAGAAAAGAGAGTGCATACCATAACAATTCCAGGCGTACAGAAGCCACATTGACTTCCATTTCCCACCGCTATTCTTTGTTGGACGGGGTGGGGATTCTTAACGTCGCCGATACCCTCGACAGTAATAACATGCTTGCCGTCGACACTGACCAACGGAGCTAGGCAGGCATTCACAGAAGCATGGTATATTCTCTTCGTTGTCGGATTCCGGTACGAAACGACCTTAAAAATGAGACATCATCGTTAGAAAAGCTCGTTTGTCCACTCATACCCCCGCCTGATAATACCGTTCCTTACCACGGTGCAAGCTCCACAACCGCCTTCTGCGCATCCCAGCTTGGTCCCTGTCAACCCTATTCCTCGAAGATACTCCAGCAGCGTCGCCTCCGGATCTACAGAGTCCAGCGTGACTTCGGTGCCATTCAGGTAGAATCGAAGCGTATCATCGTACTTCTCTGTAACTGCAGCAAGGGCAGCCCGAGCCTCTCGGGCCAGTTCTTGCTCGGACAGCTGTACAGCCAGTGCCATGTCTTCCGGTAAGTATGGGCGCCCCTTTTGCCTCCTCTTGTAGCAAAAAAGGAGGGGGAGGATATCAAGGCGGGAAATCCGTCGTTCTAAATAGTATCGCGCGAGAGGCCATGGAGTTGTGCCAGGAACTTTGCCGATGAAGTAATCGTCGAAACAGAGGAGGCCAGCCCCCGTTAGTTAATTGGGTGAAAATGGAGTGCCTTGTGATGTCGCTCCGGGACACTCCCCACGAAGAGCCCCGCCACCCTGTCGTTTTAGGCTTTTGATAAGCATCCTGAAACTGTGGAGCTGCGGGGATCGCCACCCTCCGAGGAGCGAACGCATTTCGGAGTACATACGCTTAAAATATGAAGATCCCACTTGGTGGAACAAAATACAGAGTACTCCGTACGGAGTATAGCCCAAAGAAATTCTATATAAGTTTGGTGGGACATCTATCCACTGTACTCCGTACATAATCCTATACATATATATGGCTTGTTACATCCGTGGATGTTTAAAAAAAAAAAAAAAAAAAGTTTACCAAGAGAAATTGTATCCATCATTCGTTCGCTCGTAAGCGTTCAAAAAGCCAATAGGCGGCGCTCCCAAGGACTGTATTATCGAGCCTTGATCAAAAATCGCGGCCTGTCGCGTTGGTAACTCGCCATTACATGGCATTCAACATGACCTTGATAATGTATGATGAACAAGGGAAGCCAGATTTCCCTTAAGAGCCCGCAAAGCCCTTCTCTTCCTCCTCCCACTTCTTCCGCTCGACAACGCTTCTAGCTCTGAGGATAAAATGTCAGCACTGTCCTACACACAGCGAAACATGATCTCAAATTACCTATAAGCCCGCACAAATCTCCAAACCTCAGTATCGGCAAGATTCCAGGCTTCGGTGACAGACTTGATATGAATATTCTTCGGGTCGTTTCTCAGCAAATTTCGAGCCTTCTCGATTAACTCATTCTCCCTGCTCAACTTCCCATTCCTATGCGTGTTCTTATCCTCTTTTGGCTGGTCCTGTTTGGCCTTCTCTCCGGAGGGTACATTCTTCTCTTTCGTTCTTTCTAGTCGAGTCTTTCGAGGAATTACAAAGCCAAAGTGCCAGTCCAATTCGTCTAGGACACTCGTAGGTAGGCTTTCTTCTTCATTCTTTGCTGGGAGCATTTCGACAGTGAACCACAGGCCACGGGACATCCCATGATCTCCGGCAACAACATCTTTGAACGGGACCACTCGGGAGGTCGCGTCCCGTTCTAAGCCGAGAAACTGCTTGGTCGAAGCAATCAGCCAAGGGTCTCGCTCAGTCTCACGGCGAATATACGCCGCTGTGATATTATCATCGCCTTTTCTTAAAGTAGAAAGAGTGTAAGGATGTGGAATAATTCCAATCGTGAATAATGCCGAACTGTTTTTATACCCATCAGGCTGGGCAATTTTCATTCGCCCAGCATCGGTGCACAGTTGGCATTTGGGGTTGTTCGGCGGGCAGGATGGGGGCATCTGCAGTGGCATGCACTCTGCAAGAAGGGTTGCAAGTCGAACACCAGGTCCGACGAGAGCTGTAGTGTAGTCAGGAAATGGTTTGAGCACCGAAATTCCGGAGCTGAAAGCACTTTGAAAGCTAATTTGTAGATGAGAATTGATCATATCCAAAAGCGCAAGCCGCCCCTCCGTTGTCGATTTCTCGAACTTCTCAGCAACCGACGGGTACTTTGACGTGATGGCAGCTGAACCATAGTAGGCAATGGCGGTGGTGTTCTCCGCTCTAAATGTGTCTTCATTAACAAGCTCAATCACAGATTTTGCCCCATTCAGTTTTGGGTTCCTCGAAGCATCTTTGATAGCCTTGTTAATGTGAGTTTTTTCCCCGGAGAATAACGCTGAGCCAAGGCCGTTGATGCGAGTTATCTTCTCAGGGATCGAGCCTCGCCGTAGGTACGAAATGAAATCGTCGTCATAATGGGCCATGGGGAAACATTGCCAATCAGCAAACACGCCCGTTCCCATATTTTCCCATGCCAGCCACGCCATGAACTCTACTCTAAGACCGTCGTCTAGACCCGCTGCATGAAAAGATTTATATAAGGGATTTTTCATGGCATCCTGGGGTCCGAGGACCATGGGACGAAAACCCTGGGCAAACCATGCTCTCCTCCATGCAAGAAGCAATTTTCTGTCAGCCTCCGCCAGCGCCTTATCCTTCTTCGACACGGCGTCGTAATAGGTATACACGGGCAGGCGGAGTCGAAGCGGAGGGAGTACGGATCTATCTTCGTCCAAGGTGATAGAGGACGAAAACGGATTGAGCCACTGCCAATGGCTGTACCATTTTGAGCCTCCACCGGTGCTGTTCTTTTGTTCTGGGGGCTTGTGCGCAGCGGGCGGAAGAAGGTTGAATCTGAAGTCGTCAAGTTTTGGTAGCTTCGGCCTTGGTATATACTCTGCGAGAGAACCAGCCTTGTCTTCCAGGTTGGCCGTCAATTTCGCGGGCTCTGGCGTGGTGGAGAGGATCAAGAGAAGTATTGCAAAGAATACTATGACGGTAAATAGACCCGAACTCCGGTAGGAAATCATCTTGAAGGACTGTGGTCGTAGCACGGTAGCAATCAGATTAAACGGATGGAAGCGCCGAGAACTGGCTCAGTGCGTAACGACAAGGGAGGTGTCATCGCGTGAGAACCAGGGCAGAAGAGAATGTCATCGACCTTGCAGCCCACCTTTAACCACGATCCGGCCGGCCATTTTTTTTCGAGCGTGCCGTCGTCATTTGCCCGCCGGGTGGATCCCGCGCAAGCTCCTGAAGCTGGCACTGTGCGCTAGGCCAAAGAGGGCTAGGCGTAAATAAACCTTGATCGCCGGATAAATTCATATTCCGGCAGCAACCAACAGGGCTACCTACCTAAGGGCTGGACCTCAGGTAAACTTGGTTGTTTGGCGCGGACGCCCGCTGTTTGTGATCGGCGATGGCTCAGCTTCGCAGATAGCGAGACGGAGCATCATATATTAATATCACCCACTCTCCAGGTTGCTGCTTCGAAAATCTCCCAGCGCTGACAGTGGGAAAACTGATTCACGCTCCTCCGTAAGGCAAGCCAATATCGTCGCAAGTGTGTTATCGTTCTACGAAGCCGCTCCAATGAAAGAAACGTCTCTTTCTCCCCGCCGACGGGCGTTGTTTGCTCATTGGGTGAGGTGACAAAGCCCAAGACATAACATCATATTCAAAAGCAGATGAACAAGCGTATAGGACCACTCCGTACGCTATCAGAGCTGACGGCGACTGTGCTGTATTTATGCTCCCTACGCATGCTGTCTCAAATAATAGAAGTGGTAATTACGGGGCGGCCTGTATTCTCATTGATCTAACTCTACTACGTCTGAGTCGTAGGGGTTGACTGCAGTGGGAGTACGGAGTAAATAAAAATAAAAATAAAAATAACTACGGAGTAATAGTGGTAATAATAATTTAATATATCGACACCCGGGCTGTCCACCAATAAACGGCGGAGTTATGAAGGTTGCTGCAGCTCTTCCAACCACAGTTCCCGGCGACTGTTCTGCAGACTCGCTGGGCCTTGTCATTCGGCCTGTCCCCCTGTCAAACAAAAAGAGGAGCGAGCCTGAACCTTGCTAAAATCCTCCGCCTTACGGAGTACTAAAGACAGCGGATCATCCGTACCAGCCACTGCGAATGGATGGCTCGAGAGCTACAATTTTACACCCTTTCTTGCAGACGTTTGCCGTCCACGTTCATTCACATTCGCTCTCTCCCTCTCTTTTCTGCGAAACTCAACTTCTAGACCGGAATGGATGATAGGATATGTCGCTCCACAGATTTGCGATAGCCTTGTTAGTGGTCGCCCACTGGGCGCATCCGGTGTCATCGCAACTATGTTACACACCGGATGGAACCCTCTCCAACGACCGCCCCTGCAGTGCTGACGGTGGTGAGAGTGCATGCTGTCAGCCAGGATTCCTGTGCACTTCAAACAAACTCTGCCAGCCGGCTCATTGGCATCGTGGGGTTGGCGGGAATACGTTGAAGTTTATACGAGGGACATGTACGGACAAGACGTGGAAGTCTCCAGAATGCCAGGGTCACTGTGTGAAAGGTGAGAGAGCGCTCAAACAACTACCTTGACTCGTGCAACCCTGAATGTTCTGTCTGAATCACGTATAGAAAACCCAGGCGGCGGCGAGTACGTGATGCGATGCGGAGAAACTTCCTCGCGGTATTGCTGCTCAGCAGAGGACTGTTGCCAAAGACAGGAGTCCCAGAAAATAGATCTCGGAGAACCGAATATAATAGCGACTGCCGGAGTATTTCCATCTACGTCAACGACATCAGCCACGACGTCGACGCCCAGCCCCAGCTCAGCCCAAGATTCAACGCCCTCGAGTCCACAGGGAGGGGCACCAAGCGCCAGCGGAGACTCGGACCCAGAACCCAAAAATGGATCGTCTTCCGCCTTGCGTATCGGTGTCGGCGTTGGGGTTGCTGCCGGAGCTGTCGCGGTTCTGAGTGCTCTTGGTCTCTGGTGGTGTATAGTCAAAAATAGAAGAAGAGGCAGGGCCGTGCACGCCGGCCATAGCTACAATGCGGTCAGCGGCACTAAACCTGAATATCGTGGCTTCGGCGAGCTCGACGGAAGCAAGGGGGCCGCAGAGCTCTCGAACAAAGAGAGAGCGGAGCTTCCGGGGGGTTAGTTAGCAGTGGATGAGCCTTGCTGTTGCGATGCTGCATGTCCATCCCTAATGTATGTACATACATATAGTTAGCCAAATGGAAAGCGAAGCTTCTCCATACTTCAAGATATGAGGTGGTGAAGCGGTGAACCTTTTGCAGCGGGCGGTGGGGTTGGCCTTGATTTGCGGTGAAAACAGACTTCCGATCCCGGAGAGACAGCTCCGCTTAGATAAGCACAAAAAAGTGGCCGCGGGAAATTTATAGGATTTCTACCCCTCCGCAGGTGAGTCACTGCTGCTGGAACTCACATCCAACAGGAAGCACTCCTCATTGCCTGTGTATGACCTATCGCCATGGGTGCTGAGGGGGCTTCCGTGCAAGACCGCCTCACTAGGTGGGCTCAGAGACTCAAGAATTTGACCGTATCGCCGCTCACGCGAGACTACCCGGAGACGACCCCTTCCGGCCCCGATGTTTCAAAGCGCGCAATTGAAGCTTTCGAGTCGTTGAAGCTCTCTTCCGAAGTCCAGGCAGCTATCAGCAAGCTCTCCGGGCCCAGTGATTCCGGTTTCCTTGTTTTTCTCACCGCATTCGTGGTCCTCGTGAGCCGGTTAACCGGAGATGAAGATATTGCGTTGGGAACAAGTTCGGAGAGTGACGGGCGCTCGTTTGTGTTACGTGTGCCTATTTCGCAGAATGAATCGTTTGCGAAGCTATATTCCAGAGTTTCAGAGGCGTTTGCCCAAGGCGTTTCTGACATTGTCCCCCTAAGAACGTTGAGAACTTATATCCAGAAGGAGAACAAGTCAGAACGCACGCCAATTTTATTCCGTTTTGCCGCATATGAAGCTCCTGCGAAGTCACAAGAGTATCCTGCCAATACGTTTGATACCACCGATCTTGTCCTTAACGTTGCTCCCGGAAGCCCGTCGGATGATGGAGAATTGGAACTCGGAGGTTACTATAACCAGCGTCTATTCTCCAGCGCTAGAATATCCACCATTCTGACCCAGCTCGTTCAATTGATTCGTAACGCGTCGAACAACCCGGACGAAGCTATTGGCAGGGTCGAATTTCTCACGGAAAGCCAGAGGCAGATGCTTCCAGATCCAACCAAAGATTTACATTGGTCTGAATTCCGTGGGGCAATTCAAGATATATTTGCTAGAAATGCAGAAAAACATCCGGATAAACTGTGCGTTGTCGAAACGAAGTCCCACAGCTCTCCGCAACGGGAGTTTACTTATAGGCAAATCCATGAGGCGTCTAATATCCTTGGTCACCACCTGCTCCAATCAAGGATACAAAGAGGTGAGGTCGTTATGGTGTATGCGCACCGCGGCGTCGATCTTGTCGTTGCTATCATGGGTATTCTAAAGGCCGGAGCGACATTCTCGGTGATCGACCCTGCGTATCCTCCAGATAGACAAGTCATCTACCTAGACGTTGCCAGACCTCGAGCTCTGATCAACATTGAAAAGGCCACACAGGATGCCGGTGAATTAACAGAGAAGGTCCGCAGCTTCATCGATGGCAACTTGGAACTTCGAACGGAGATCCCGGCTCTGGCACTGCGGAATGATGGATCCTTGCAAGGGGGATCGATCAACGGAAATGATGTATTGCAACCTCAGGTAGCCTTAAAGGCCAAACCGGTCGGCGTGGTAGTTGGGCCAGATTCCACACCTACTCTTTCTTTTACATCTGGTTCAGAAGGTCGACCAAAAGGTGTGCGTGGAAGGCATTTTTCGCTTGCCTACTATTTCCCTTGGATGTCGAAGACTTTCAAACTCTCTGAGAACGACCGCTTTACACTTTTGAGCGGTATCGCCCATGATCCAGTACAACGAGACATTTTTACCCCTCTTTTCCTAGGAGCTATGCTCCTTGTTCCTTCTAGGGAAGATATTCAAAACGAAAAATTAGCAGAATGGATGCGCGAGTACAAGGCCACTGTTACTCATCTGACACCAGCTATGGGTCAGATACTTGTCGGAGGTGCTACTGCTCAGTTCCCATCTTTACACCACGCATTTTTCGTTGGTGACATCCTGATCAAGAGAGATTGTATGTCGCTCCAGGCCCTCGCCCCAAATGTCAATATTGTGAACATGTATGGTACCACTGAGACTCAACGTGCTGTGAGTTATTTTGAAATCCCATCGTATGCGAGCCAGGAGTCATATCTTGATATGATGAAGGACGTCATTCCAGCTGGTAAAGGCATGGTTGATGTCCAATTGCTGGTGGTGAATCGTTTCGACCGAACTAAACTTTGCGCGGTGGGTGAAGTGGGCGAAATCTACGTGAGAGCCGGTGGCCTTGCTGAAGGGTATCTTGGAGCACCCGAGTTGAACGAGAAGAAATTTTTGTCCAACTGGTTTATAGATCCACAGGTGTGGAAAGACCTTGAGCAGGAACAACAAAAGGGGGCAGCCAATGAGCCTTGGCGAGAATTCTACGTTGGACCCAGAGATCGTCTCTATCGAAGTGGTGATCTCGGAAGATATACTCCTACCGGCGAAGTCGAATGCTCTGGCCGAGCCGATGACCAGGTGAAGATCCGAGGTTTTCGAATTGAGCTTGGAGAAATTGATACACATCTTTCAAGACATCCATTAGTCCGAGAGAATGTGACGCTCGTACGAAGAGACAAGTTTGAAGAGCCAACCCTAGTGAGCTATATCGTTCCACAGATGAGCAAATGGGCTTCGTGGCTGGAGGCAAGGGGCTTGAAAGATGATGACTCGGCTGAAGGAATGGTCGGAATGTTAAGGCGATTCCGGCCGCTGCGGGAAGATGCAAGAGAATACCTTAGAGGCAAACTCCCCAGCTATGCCGTACCCACAGTTATTATTCCACTCAAGCGCATGCCTCTTAATCCCAACGGCAAAGTCGATAAGCCTGCCCTGCCATTCCCAGATACTGCCGAGTTGAGCGCCGCCGCCCCGCGACGTAGATCGTCTGTCCTACAGAAGCTGTCTGAAACAGAGCTGGCTCTGGCACAAATCTGGGCTAAACTCATTCCAAACATCTCAGCAAGGATGATTGGGCCAAACGACTCATTCTTTGATCTTGGTGGCCACAGTATTCTTGCACAGCAAATGTTTTTTCAGCTGAGGCGAAAGTGGAGAAACATTGATCTCAGTATGAGTGCTATTTTCCGGAGCCCTACTCTCAGAGCTTTTGGTAATGAGATTGCCCGTCTACAAGACATTGAATCATTTACCAGCCACGACCAACTTGGCGACTCAGAAACCCGGACGTCTACCCAGGTCGATTCCGCAAATGAGTATTCCGAAGATGCGAAGAAGCTTGTGGACTCTCTTCCAAAGCAGTTTCCCTCGTCAGCAGAGCCTGTTTTGCGTGATAACTGTACCGTTTTCTTAACTGGTGCGACTGGTTTCCTTGGTGCATTTGTTCTCAGGGAACTTCTTTCCAGGGCTAATCCATCTGTTAACGTCGTTGCTCTTGTTCGAGCCAAGTCACCAGAGGCGGCGCTTGAACGCGTCCGGTCAACTTGTCAGGCATATGGTTCTTGGTCTGAAGAATGGGTCAATAGACTCCAATGTGTCCAAGGAAACCTTGGCGATGAAAAGTTCGGCTTTTCCGACGACCTTTGGAAGGACCTTACCAACCGAGTGGACGTTGTGATTCACAACGGGGCGCTTGTTCATTGGGTGTATCCCTATGCCAACTTGAGGGGTCCCAATGTGCTTGGTACCATCGATTCTTTGAAACTTTGTGCTGAAGGCAAAGCCAAACAATACGGTTTCGTTAGTTCTACAAGTGTGTTGGACACGAACTACTTTGTTGATGAATCAGAACGCATTGTCGATGCAGGCGGAGCTGGAATTAGCGAGTCCGATAACCTCGCTGGTAGTAGCACCGGATTGGGTACTGGATATGGTCAAAGCAAATGGGTTGGAGAATACCTTGTAAGGGAAGCTGGTCGACGAGGACTGAAGGGTGCCATTATCCGACCTGGTTATGTTACTGGCGATTCAGAAACTGGAAGTAAGTGAAATTTGATTCTGCCCTTGGGGAGGCAATTGCTTATCCAATTTGTTATAGCCACGAATACCGATGACTTCCTGGTACGGATGATTAAAGGCTGTATCCAGCTCTCTGCCAGGCCTAATATCAACAACACGGTTAACATGGTGCCAGTTGACCATGTTGCAAGGGTTGTTGTAGCTTCAGCATTTTCCCCTCCACACTCTGAACTATCCGTTGCGCACGTCACCAGTCATCCTCGTCTGCGATTCAACCAGTTTTTAGGTGCGATACAGACATACGGTTACGATGTGCCACAGGTTGATTATGTGCCATGGGCAAGTTACTTGGAACGTTACGTTAATGATGGCGACCGCAACACAATTGCTCAACATGCCCTGTAGGTCCATCAACTTTTCCCCGTTTACTAGCCTTTTCTAACGAAACATCACAGAATGCCTCTCTATCACTTCGTAACAGCTGATCTCCCATCTAATACGAGAGCACCCGAACTCGATGATGCCAATGCCGCTGCTGCGCTCCGTGCCGATGCCAAGTGGTCCGGAAAGGACCTGTCGGGCGGAAGCGGTGTGACGGAAGAGCTTATCGGACTTTATCTCGCATATCTCGTGGAGATTGGTTTCTTGCCTGCTCCCACAAAAACCAATGCCAAGCCTCTTCCCAAGGGCAATATCTCAAAAGCGCAGAAGGCTGCTCTCGGTGCCGTTGGAGGCCGTGGTGGGCTCGCTTAAGTCGCCGAGCGCTGTTCAGTAATCCCGCAACATTATTCGCAAGTCTCTCTAAAGAAATCTCAAAAACGGGTATAAATTGAAAAAGTCATCATTCTTTGGTTCTAATCACCCAAAATACCTAAACATTTTAATGAATGCATACATGCAATGATGAGTCGTCGAGCGAGAGCACATTTCGGTATATATATTTAGGTTGTTTGGGGAATATCCATACAAAATTTCGGATAGAAAAATGGCCAAAGGGGTATATAAGTTATATGTAGATGTGGCTCTACTAGTCTAGAATCGGCACAAGTTTCTGTCATCGAAACATGTTTTCAACTCCTTTTAGAACCTCATCAACAGCCCAACGAAGCAATTCCTCCATGAGGCATTCTCCGTTCCCCGGTGCAACGAGGACACCCATATCATCCCTCAGATTCTTCCCTTCACCAACGACTCTCTTCAGATCCTCCACATTCTCACCCAGTTGTGTAGATTCAGGAAGTAATAACCATGCATGGTCCCTAATGTACCGTGGCCAAACAATATCATCCACATATCCTGGTGGATCCGTCCAGAAATTAGTTTCCACGGGAGTATAAGTATTGACATCTCTGTTTTCTTCTTGTTCCAGCTGCTGCTTATCAGCTTGTCTCTGAGATGATGGCTTTGGTGTTGGTGCGGGGCCAATGGTTACATAGCCGGTCCGACTCTCTCGTCTTTTCTTGAGAAGAGTGTAAGTAGCTGGTAGAAAAAACGGTATATCAATTGTGTCGTTGATCTTGCGAAGCGGGTGGGAGCGGTCGTGGGGAGGTGCGTAGAGCAAGAAGCCATCAATCAAGGCGAGAGAGATGAAGCTAGATGTGTCCCTAGCATATTTCCTGTCCGAACCCGCAGTGCTTCTTTTACGTTGTTCCTCGAGAGCAAGATCACGCAGGCGTTGGGCAACTTGTTCTCTGAACAAGCGCACGGTCTCCCCGCTAACTCCCGAGTCTGTGGCATCGTTCAGGTCTTCCTTGCTTTTGATACCAGCGGGTAAATGGCCATGATCGCGGATATATGCTAACGTCGCCTCGAACTGCGAGATATCGAGGGCATCGATAGTGTCCCAGTCCTGGACAAGCTTGCCGGAGGACGTTGTGACCACAGGGATCCTATTTCGGGGCGAATATTAGCAAGCATAGAAGTAAAGCTTAGACGTGGTGAAGGTTCGATAAAGTAATTAACTATCTTAATAGCACTTACTGGTCATCCGGCCTGTAGAAGTCATCTTGATGGAGAACAAACGGCCTTGTCGTTGCTGTTACATCTCCATTACCCTCTGTTGATGGCGGGGTAAATACGGTCCGCAACAGTCGCGCGAGCGTGGTTTTACCGCTTGATGAAGGGCCCGATAGGCCTACAAGGAGCGTTTTCTGGCACTGTAATTCCATTGATGTCTACTGACTTGTCGTCGATGGCATGACTTGCTTGTCTACGAGAGACTACCAAGGCCTTTGAAATGGGGAAACCAATGTCTAAGTTCTCACTCAGCTTAGCAATCCTGGAGCTCTACGTACGGAGAAATTATTCCGTAGATACAAATAAACAGTCTTTCCTGAAACAATTTATACACTGTTCAAGAAATTGCGTCAGCATAGGTCCTGTATTCTCCAATGACGGTTTCGTTTTTTGCACTTTTCTCTTCCATTCTTTCATCCACTTTATCTCTTCTCCATGGCACAGAACCCAACCAACATCCCGAAAGGTTCTCAACTGAGAAGTGACGGGCTTGCATTGGCGGTACAATACCGGCCAATTCGTGAAATGAACCCCTTTCCAAGGGTTGAATGCTTTGCAACCTCCTCAACCAATTGACTGGATATTGCCAACGGCTTGATTCAATTAGCTGGAGCACTGAGAAAGAAGGAAGCAGAGACTATAGGCTGGTCTGGTGCTAAAAAAGGATCCTCCAGTGAATTGTTTGGTCCCGAGGTTGCATGAACGGTACTAAACACTCCCGAAATATCCGATATATCGAGTACCGGAGATGAAGATTCGCCATTAGAACTGACCGCATTTTCGTTATTACCTGCGTTCGAATAGGTTAGATGGGACGTGGCTCTTCGTTTGCGAGGGCCTGGTGTTCTAGGCGCCATCATAACAATGCCATCATCAGTCACCACTTCTTCGGTTGTGGTTATTTGCCGTTTGTTACCTCTCCCAGAGCCAGGAGTCACGTCTGAGTCTAAGAAAGGCATGGGTTCCGAGACTTTATTATTTCCCTTCGCTGGGGTCCGGCGACGAGGGGATGGCTGTATTACTGGGCGTGGGGGCTTCTTGTCATTGAAATTGTCCGGAATTGGCATTTTATGTCGGTCGAAGAAACCAGGCTTATTCTTCATATACGCGGACTCGCTATCTTTCTCGTCTTCTGAAACTGGGATAAAACCTTCCTCTTTTATAATAGAGCTCATCGTGCGGTCATCCAACAGGTCTTTTTCGGCATGCTGCATCTCAATATTCGTCATTTGCTTCCTTCGTCGTAGCATTTTATCTTCAAGAGTATCTTTCAAAACTAGTGTTTCCACGTAAACTGGTTTCATCTGGGATATACGATGGGCTCGCTTAATGGCTTGGCTTTCGATATTTGGGTCCCATATCGGGTTGATAATAAAGATGCGAGAAGCACTCGCCAGATGTAATCCATGGGAAGCCTGACGGAGGTCCATTAGCAGAACACGCACGCATTCGCTATTATTGAACAGCGCGAGGTACTCGGCTTTCAATTTCGGTTTAAGGGTGCTTGCGTAAATTCGGAACTCCACGCCCAGCATTTCAAGGCCTTCTGCAACCCAGAAAGCATTGTTATTATTTTCGTAGAAAATAATTATCTTTTCCTCACTTTGAAGCTCGAAGACACGGTCTAACAGGTAGCTCAGTTTTGCAGACGTCGTAGCAACAACTTGAGCTTTTGCGAGCGGTGATTCGGCGGGGAGGGTCTTGAACCTGGAAAATTTCTGTGCCTTCGGGAGCTTTTCCGGCCTTGGTCGGTGAATGAGGTAATCGTTTGTTTTGGCATTGCTTGCGGCAGATTCTGCCTGAGGTTTGGTAGGGGATCCTCTCTGAGATTTTAAATCAGTGGGGTTATCTAGTCTCCGTCGCATCTCTCGCTTTGTTTTTATTCCTGCCCCAGCTATACCCTCGGCCGGGTTCTCAGCGCAGAGGCGCGCTGTAATAAATCTCTGCGCATCCCTTGCCTGAGAAATACCTAACAACAGTGGCTCCTGGTGTTCCTCCGAATCATCAAGGGACCACATAGGCCGTGCGTATTCGGGGAAGTTTCGAATGAATACGCCAAGTTCATCAAATTGACTAAAGGCATTCCAGGAAGGACAGGAAATCGTTTTTTCTGCAATATGAATCCCTTCACAAAGGAGATCCAAATCGGATCTGGTCATTCTATCAACGTTCGCGGCTAGATATTTCCTGGCGACGTCAAGGGTCACCTCAACGTCTTTCCTGTCGAAACCCGTCCACCAAAAGCCTGCATATCTCAGATTGTTGATCAGAGTGGCGAGATGCTTTCTGTTTCTCGGGTGGAACATATAGTCCCTATCAGTACGCTCGGATGTAATGGCATTGACAACCAGATGGAAAATAAACATGTTGAGGGACAGTTTATCATGGAAAGTGGGCTCCAAGTACACAACCTTGTTACTGAGGTTTGGTAAAACCAGATCTTTGTTGATATCTTCAGTACGGTGCCGCACAACAATTGACTGGAGGGTTGATCGAAGCGACGTCGCCATCGTCCGTTTGCCATCCACGCCTTTTGGCGTCATGTACTTTGACCAATTCGCTGGGTCTTGGGCACGCGAGTTGGCCCAAGGCTTCAGACGGAGGAAATCAATTACAATTCGTTTTAATCTATCCAGATTTTTCAATTCTTCGTCAATGATGCCACTCGCATCCTTCCTAGATTTCAGGATACCCGCAGCTCGTTCGTCGTCCTTCATGGCCATTTCGGGGAGGGTTTCTTGCGATGCAAGGCTGACCTCCACACCATACATCCCATCCGAAGGAGTTCCAGAGACCACCCACCGACGTTCGACATGTAGCATTTCTAGAAAATGGATGGCATTTGATTTTCCACCACTACTGGCGAAGTTATGGCCTTCATCAACGATAATTCGAAGCCAATGGAGTTCTTTTAGAGGTGAATCGTATATTGCCCAGTGGTGCTCAAAACCGGCCTTCTCCTTTTCAAACCGAGATCTCGCAAAGAGAACAATATCGTATTGAAGAAGCTCATCAGCTGGGGGTAATCGATCAGACACGTCCCTCAAAACCAAGACTTTCAATCCCTCAGTGTGCTTTTCGATTTCATGGAGCCAATGGTCAACCAGATTCGGTGGAACTATGACTAGAGTCCCAGATGCAAGTCGCAAATAACTGGATTTAATTCCCATGCGATTGCTGGACTTTGGAGCCTGGATGACCGTATATGAGCCTTGACTATGCTCGCAAGCACGAGTACAGTTTACGTAGTGCATGCCCAAGTCATTCAAATGCTCAAAGTAGGATTTCCATGGCACTGAAAAACGCCCCACTGCAGATGCAGTCATTTCAAACAGAGAGCCAGTTTTCGCTCTCACAGGGTGCAATTCTTGTAGATGGGTGGAGGGTATTCGCGGAAAATAACCTTTCGTCGCAAGGATAACAGCTAGACATATTAGCGTTTTCCCGTAACCCATAGTTTCTGCAAGAACCCCTATTATTGTGGCAAGCTCAGTTAGCGAAAGCAACATTATCCGCAGCTGAAAAAGTCTCACCTCCACATGGCCCAGAATAAAGACGTTGATCACGAGTAATTGCGCCTTCTTCCCGATCATAGTAATACGTTCGCCCAGTGGGCCCTTTGAAAGCTTGCAACCTTGGGTCAGGGTATTCTCCAGGCTCGGACTCTTTCTGGATCATGAATGCGACAGAGCGACGTTGGTATGGATACAGAGGAGTCTTGAGACCTCGTATCCCCACATTCTTACCAGCATCGCTATCAGAGTTCCCTTTGAGAGCCGATGCCATGGCCAACCGCGCCCAAAAGTCGGGTACAGAATCAACGTTCGGATTTGGTGACTCGAGCGTATTGAAGATGTAGAATAATGATTCATCCTCGGTCTTTGAATTAACTGAATGCTCCGCTAAGGGGTCAAAATTGCCAGTCCATGCCTCAGGAGAGGTATCCAATCTCGACATGACAACCCTCAATGAGCGACGGAAGGCTGTACTAGAACGCTGAATAATTGATCTTCCAACATCCTCTGGTAAGACATATATACGGATAGCCTTCCACCCAGGATAGTTTCCGTCCTCATAAATGGAAGTCCGAACCCATCCAGCCTGTAGCAATTTGTTGACTTCTGCCAGCAAAAAGTCTGTGTCTTTGGAGCGGGTCACCGAAGAAGGATCGAAGACCTTCAGGATTCCAACAGGAATGAAATTGTCTAAATTGTTAAGCAGCAGCTCTTTCTTTGTTGGAGGTCTCGAAGGAGGAGGAGGACACGAAGATTTTGAAGACGGAGTCGAGATTGCAGACTTAGGGGCGCTTGAAAATGCCGAAGCTAAATGAACCGGTGGTGAAGAATCATCACTAGGATCATCCGGTTTTTCATTCTTAGGACTTTCAGCAATTGCGAATTGAAGCTGCGTCAGAAGAGAGGGCGGCTCTCATATCAGCAAAGGTAGTTGCGATTGTGCCACAGACAACCAACCTCAGAAAATTCAGCGCCGTGTGGTTCATCTGCCAGATTCTGGCCAACGGCGCCATCGAGAGAAAACTCCATCGCTGACCGTAAAGCACTGGGGTGCTATTTGCTCTTCACACAGTCAACCGGAAGTGAAACTAGCATTGAGGGGAGGAGGAATAGGTTGCTGGGGAGAATTGAGAAAGCAGAGTTCAATCTCCAGGAAGACAAATGGAAGCATCGTCCATGCTAGTGTTATGTGTTATTATTGTTGTCGTTGCAGCGCATACCGACATCCCTCCGCTGCCTTGTGTTGAAGAGCTGGAGAGAGAGGCTCCATCGAGCTCCCGGTTCCACGAACTGGTTAACTAGCTAGTTAACTACGCACCCGCCACCTACGTACACCTGGCTAACTACCTTAGTTACATAATACCCGCTAACTCCAACTGACACGCCGAACCACGAGAAAAATCTTCGACAAAAGAGCAGAAGTGTTGAAAATTTCACTGTTCTAGGATATGACTCATCTCTGCAGGTTCTCTTGTCCGTTTACTGCAGAGTACCTAGTGTGTTGTAGCCCGGCCTGCTGTTGTGTTTAGTCGTTCAGTTGGCGGTTGAGGCCCGGAAGCGCTATTGGCGGGAATAACGTCTTGAGCTCTTTTTGACCCCTTACGATATTCTAAGCAGCAGCAGCAACAGCAGTAGCAGGAGGAGGAGGCATTCCGATATACATCTGACTATGTGGTGCTCGCACCGTTGGATATTTCATCTCCCCTACTCCCCCATGAGATACAAATATACCCCGTGAGATGGGATCAATTTGGTGAAGGAGCCTATCGCAGTAGCTTTCCCGAGGGAAAACTTATCCCAATCCAATTCTAAGTGCAAAAGATGATAATAATAGACCACGATGAGTGTATGTATGTATATACAATATATTCTCTAGCGAAAAAAAATGATTTCTTGCCTATCTACGTGCCCTGTCTTGGCCCCGTTCTGGACTGTAACATAGGCTTATCCAGCTTTGCTTATTTTCGCGTCCAAACCTACGTAGGCCTGCGAATGTCATCCCGTCACCAACAGTTTAGTCCATGTTTTCTCGTCTCTTCCTCCATTTTCTAGCATATTTACACTGCACGATTAGTCCGGCCACCGCAACAATCTGTACCACAACACAGATCGTGAATGCCACTCCGGCTCCAACGCCATTTACCATCGGGATCACAAAGCTTGCCCCCCCGGCCGAGAACAAGCATCTGGCGAGGTTCAAGCTCGCGGTAGCGGCGGCGCTCTGGTCGGGAAAGAGGTCGACCAAATACGTCGTGACGATTGCTTGTATAGATACAGCTGTCCAACCCGTGATGAAAGTGGAAACAATGGGAGCCGCGATGTGGACATTTTCCGGAAATTGGACTGTCCAGCCAAAGAGTAGAATCGACATACATTGCAATAACAAGAAAATGTAAATGCGACGCAGACGGGCATCCTCTAGCGGAAAATCGTCGTTTTCCCGGATTACCCTGGGTCGAGTGCTTCCCGGTTCCGTCAGTCCGTGATGGCTTGTATATTTGGCCTGAACATGACGGTAGTCGATGTCCAAAATCTTACCGGTAATCACCGTGCCAATTATACCGCCTGTACCATTTGCAATGAACGTCAAGCCGATATGAAACTCAGATAGACCATATAGCTCCCCGAAGAGAGTGGACATGGCGGTAATACTCATTTGCCAGACGGCGAAGTAGATGGCAAGAAACACAATTATTGGAGCTGCATCTTTTCTGATGAGGATTCGAAATGGCCCGAGAACTTGAACGCGTTTTGTGGTGGTCAACTGTTTATGCGCTTCTTTCGGGTTCCAAGTCACTCTGGTGAGCCGTTGGTAGATATTGAGCGGGTATCGGGCGAACCAATTCGATGGGGTGCAACCTCCATTCGCAACAATGGACCTGAGCGTTTCAGGAAGCAGAAGCATGGTCAGTAGGAATAAAGCAGTGCTGTAGATGGTAAGGAACCAGAATATAGCTCTCCACCCGAGAGCTCCAGCAAGAGCTCCCCCTATCACTGGACCCACTGCAATAGGAACCAACAATCCTGCCTGGAAGAATCCCATGTAGCCTCCGCGGTCAGCGCGTGTGGTGATATCGCCTACCACGCCGGAGCCAATGGCGATCGTGCTGGCACTGCCTGCGCTCTGCAGACACCTCAAAATGATCAGGGTAGCATAGTTCTTGGCCTTCGCAAGACCAACACACGCACCGATTGCTACAATCAGGGTGCAGGCGTATGCCGTCCGACGGCCCTTAACATCAGATATTGGACCCCAGAGGCTGGGTGAGATGCCTTGAAACAACAGATACGAGGTAATCGTGAGGTTGATAAGCTCGATAGAAACATTGAAATCGTGAGCGATTGCCAGAAGGGCTGGAAAGTAAATGTTTGATGCTATCGCGGAGACTTGAAATCCTTTAGCCAGATGCTTTATCTACCACCAAACGATGCCCTGCACTCACAGGTTGCGGCAGCTGAGACTATGAGAACAATCAACACTTTTTGTGTTTTATCAAAAATGCTGTAAGGTTCCGGGCTGCCAGGGAATGGAGTTAAGCTGGTGGTAGTTGGTTTGTTGCCGCTGTCTTCCGACATGGTTTCTTGGAATGAACCTGGTGAGTCAAGGCTCAGCATACACTCAGCTGAAGCTTACGAGGTTTCAAAATCACCTTAGGCGTTTCGCTGGAATTCCACTTGGCGTCCATAGAGTCAATTCAGGGTACGAAGTGTCATCGTCAGGTGGATTCCAGGATCCCTTCGCTTGTATCGGGTCTGTGCATTTTAGCTGGCTGTCTTGAAGTGTCTCCCATCGGAACTCATAACTCCGATTTAGCCACTGGCTTGTTTAGACTCGCCACGGCCCATGACTCACGGGAGAACACCGAGACGACTCCGCACTATGGGAGGACCTCCGAAGTCATATAATTTCAAGCTTCAAAATGAAGACAGGAAATCCAAGGGGTCACAATATCCGGCTATCCAGAGCGACTCCTACATCTCTTGTTTACAAATTCACAACCACTCACAGATTTCACAGTACTTCGTAGGTCACATAGTATTGTCAGCAGCAAATCGTGGGCCCCAGACTCTCCATTGTTCCCACGATGTAGTTCGTTCTCGGTCGCGGGCCTGACTCCTTATTAACCAGAGTAGCCAGTTAAACTCCTACCAGCCATGAAGCTTGTTTCGAATGACGTCAGCTTTCTCAACGGCTCGACTAGGCTGGTAGGAGCCCTAGGATCGATATCCCTATGATCACTGTTAACTCTGCAATAATGATTGAGAATCTACTCATATATCCGCGTTTAGCTATGCAGGCCAACCTCAGAGAAAGCCATGACCAGGTGCCTTTTACTAATATTTTAGGTGGACATCGTCTGCCTGGTCTGTCTAAGTAGTATTTCAAACCGGGCACCTCAGATCAGGGGAAGACAAAGAGAGAAACAAACTGCGAAAAGGACAAGGCCCAGAGGCGTTCTGAAGAGCTATGAGAAGCATGTGAAACCTTCGATGACAACATTGCTCTTTTGCTGGCTTTCCCGTATGCACTTTTTTGGGCTCTGTTATAACCGCCTGAATCACCGGTAGAGGGGGTATAATCTAACAGACGCTCCGCAAGCGAGCAGAAGGAACAATTCGATCCGTTACTCTGCTCCGAGACCTTCGAACCCTGACCATTATATTGTCCTTCCGTTATTTTCAACGGACCATTGGTGGCACTGCGCCGATTGATAAGCTGCTAGCGCCGAGTCTCCATCCCCCTTAAAGCAAAGGACAAAAGCGCGTATGTATAGCGAGTATCCGAAACAGCGCATCAATGAGTTATGACACTCCGAGAGTATACTCGGCTGGATCCCGACTTTTTAATAACAACATTCCAATATGCATGGCTGTAACGAATTCAGACCACATATCTCTAGGTTCCATATGAGGTCCAAAAGCGAAAAGTTATATCTCAATCATCAAGACGATTTCTCCAGTCTGTGCGGACAGGACATGGACAATACGCGTGTCCTGCTCCCGACGGGGCCAAGAGGCGAAGGTTTCGCTCGCCTGGGCAGCATCAAGCAAGCGGTATATTCTCCATGATGCGCGCCTATCATTGTCCAGGAATGCCCAGGAGAGCATGAAGAATGAGGCTGCAGCAGGCTACGAGCAGAGAAAATCCCCAGGCTTGCCCATTCGTATCTAAGTCTCTCGCGAATGCCCAGCGCTCCGTTTGAAGGACCAAAGACTGGGCAAAATCACAAAACGGGGAGGCGGAAGGAATGCCCGGACTGACTGCTTGCGCCAAGGCCCCGCGGCCCCCGATGTCTTGGCCGAGCCCAACAGCCACCGGGCTGTGACGGACGGAAGTTGGAGGTTGCAGTGCTGCATCCTTCGCACTCGCCGGGGACCAGCCGGTGTTCTCAGTTCTGAGTTGGTCAATCTTAATAACTACCGCTGTGAGGCTCTGGGGAATCCGAGGACACGCCACATGCTTCGAGCAGCATCCTCTTCCACACACGGACGGGGGAAGTCTGGGAACGCAGGACCGCTTCCCTCGAAACCAGTCACACGCGGTATTGACGGGGCGATCTTCGGCCTGTATCAAGTCTGTTTATTGGGGTTGTTTGTCTGTCTGGCTGACGGCTTTGTCACTGGCTAGCCCTGCCTCTGCGTTTTCTTGTGCAAATTCGATACCCTTCAGCTTGGGACGCGGAAAATCAACCGGGCCAGGGACCTCTCCAGGATAGCGCTCGCATGCAACCTTGTTGCGCTCAGCCCGTCAGAACCGTTCATGCCGATCTCGTAACCAGGACTGCCCAGCACCACGGGTGGATCTGCAATGTAAAAGTACCGCACTGCCATCCAATAGCCTGCGATTTGACAATGGATTGGTCCTCCGCAGGCAGGCAGCGCTAACAGGGAGGCGGATATATACCCGAGCATTGCACATGGTGTACTCCGTAGTCTTCCCTGCAACAATTTTTTTTCCCCTACTCATGGACGGAGTCCTCGCCGACAGTTTATGACCTAATTGTGCCAATTCACTAGGGGCAATGTCTTGAGAAACTTCCTTATTTTTTTTTTTTTAAAAAAAAAAAGAAATCTCACTATTCACCATGGGTAGTTTCTTGCCCCTCCTCCTCAATCTGTTTGTGGCTGCTGGCGGAGTACTCGGATTCAATCCAGAGAGGAACAGATTCCTTAATCCAGCACCAGGCGGACGAAACCCCGTCTGGTTGATTGGAGAACAACAGGTAATCTCGTGGAAAACGGAATTCACAGTCTACAACATATCGATTTGGCACCAATATCCCACCAATGATGGAGCAACTTTTGGCAGCGTTTTGTACTGTGCGTATCCTTCTAGCTCACTGGATGTGGTTCTGCAGGACTGACAAACGGAAAAGCGGCCTCGAGTAGGGATGCACCGACGAACTTCACCTGGACCGTGCAGACCTACGATTTCGACTTGAGCTTCTCAAATGTGTTCTTCTTCTGGTTTAATCGAGGCGCTCCCAAATACTTTATCTCGCACTACTTCAATATAACCACAGATGAGTCTATCACATCAACAAGGTCAATTTCTACCACGTCGGGCCAGACCGGTGTCTCTATTACTGTACCTTCTACGACAACACCCAGTCCATCGGATGCGACTATAGAACCGCAAGCGGCAGAAGGGCTAAATTCAAATGCAAAGGTGGGATTAGGCGTCGGAGTGGGCATCGGTGTCCCGATAATATTACTTCTTGCCTTCATTGCATTCGGTAGATACTTCAGAAGACCCAAATCTTCATACCATGAAGCATTTCAACCGCATATGCGAGAGGTCCCGCGGCGACCACAGCAGGAGGTAGCAGAACTAGCATCCAAGCACAATGCAAACGAGAGCGACAACTTTGTTGAGCTAGATGGATCTGCGGCGCAGGAGATGCAAGATACTCACTACAAGTGATTCGATGTTCTTGTGAGCTACTGTTGTGTTAAAAGCGCAAGAAAAATTAAAAAGCTTTAGGGATGTTCTTTGAGATATAAGGTGTTTTGTGGCGCACTTATCATGGACCGCCCTGCTGAATAGATGAGCTCTCAGGCCTTGAACATTGTGATACCTTATAGTAATTAATTCTTCACAAGAATAGATGGGGGGGATGTACGGAGTACAGTATAAAGTTACATGATATTTAAATGAAAACTAGCTTTCCATCTACACTACAAAAGTAAATCAGTGAAAATCAAGACGAAAAAAGTTTTGCTCCAAATATCAGCCAGGCAATGGGACTGTTAGATATCCGAGATATCGCTTCATCTCTGTTCTGGCTTCCCTGACAATTTGGCCACTAATCACATCAGCTGGAGGCGCTAGTTCAGCGTGCACGGTGTCATCACTTGCGGAATAAGTTAATAACACAAATAGCGTTGGAGTGGCATTTCATCAGCTTAGTTCCGAGTTAACTACTTAAATTAACTAGTTAATTGACCAACAAACTAGTCACTACATGGTTAGCGGCTAATTGTTCCATATGAAGGCAGGGGCTTCATACCTTATGAGCAGTCTCCGACAGGTAACTCCCAAAGGCGCATGAGAGGTAAACAGCAGTCACAGGCACAAAACCTCCCCAGGTACTCCGTACACCTCCAGGAATGTGTTTGGCTCAGCTTCGAAACCGACACTCTCTTATCCCAACGGGTCTTGTGCGGAAGAACGACGGTGACACGATGCTATCCTTTATCGACGTATTCGACCCGGCTAGATACTATCCGGTTTGCCTGTCTCTTGTCGATGCTCTGGATAATATATCAATGCTGCGCTTGTGTATGACGTGTCGGACTATGCGATCCCTTTACGAATGTGTTCATGCCAGACAATGGGATATTAACCGGCCCTTAGCCCGTTTCGTCGAGGATCCCTATCATCTCCGTCACCTGATGAAGCGCGCGAACGCTATCATTTCGGGCCACTTAGCTCTACAATTCTTCTATGGGGAGTATTTCCCCGAAACCGGCATGGATATCTTCGCGCCATATTCCGCCTATATGGTTGATTTGGTCCAGTATTTTGTGGAGATTGAAGGATATTCCGCAAAATCCTCCTGCCCTGCAACCTGGTGCTGTCCTGATACTTTCTGCAGCGGCTGTTCCTCAAACAAGTTTAAAATGAAGACGTTTACACAGGGAGACCGAGTAATACGGCTTGCCTTTATTCGAACCTGGACAAATCCAGTCAAGTTCATCCTAGCATCCTTCTATGGGAGCGCTGTTATGAACTTCATCACATACTCCAAAGCTTACAGTGTTTTCCCTAAGGCGACCTTCGTCAAGCGGCAAATGTGTATACTTAAAAGGTGCGGAGACTTGGAAGAAAGAGCGTTGCTCAAATACGAAGGAAGGGGTTTCACCGCGGTTCCTATGGAGATATGGAAACGGAAACCAACCTCTGAGCTCAGAGAGTTTGTATGCGCTCGAAAAATTGGAGATCGTCATACATGGACAATAGATCTAGACAACCCGTGGGAACATCCGGATGCTAATCGATTCGAATGTACGCGCTTCTCAGCAACGTTCAATTTGGAGCATGCAATGACAGTACTCGACGACGTGTCCCCGAAGCAGGATCACATGTCTCTGTTAAAGGCACACGCCCGTCCATCTCCGCTCCTGTTTCTGTCCGGCTCCGCTAACAGCATTGAAGACAGGAGTCATCTATGACGATCCCCGCCGATTTTATATGACAGAGCAGTATAAAGAGCACGAAGAGCGCAAAGAGCGTGAATAGGCACACCTCGGGAGCAGTTTTAAGTCAACCAGAAACTTCCGGATTGCCTTTCGACGTTTTCCGGCGTGGACAGAGTTGGTATCCATCTATGCGCATATCCACGCCTTCGGGAATATTCGCCTCTAGTCAATCTACATTCCTTTCTCAGTCGACGGTATTCTTTTTGAAAGTGGTCGAGAATCGGATTTAGACGACACTCATACCAACCGAACTCGGCAGTGCAATTTCGATAGAGCTACGGTTTCAGCGCATTCAACTACGAGGCCGGCGACACGCCAACTCGCGCACAGTACACTCAAGCACAGTTTCATATTAATCGAGCCAAGCAAGCCAGAATGGAATTGTGCGAGCGACCTCGTCCCAGAACCACTACATCTCCCACCTGGTTCGTTTAGCAGCGACACAAGAATCGCGAGCTCCTAAACTACGCATGCGGCAAATATATCATATCGTCCATATATGGCGGAGAGTGTAGATTCGCAAACCGCGTATCGTAATAATGGTAGAGGCCACTGCGCGCCCCTGTGAAGCCGATGTCCAAATTCCACCCAGCAACAAACGGAGCAAACAGCATCCCGGAAAACCTCCACGCCAATTAGACCAAACACTTGGTACGTTACATAACGAGCTCGTTCAGTTAAAGTGATTGACGCGACACGACGCGCCCTCATCCTTGCGTCGGTAGCGGGTTGATCCGAATATATATTATATATATATTTATCTCCATCAACAAACGGAGTACGGAGTAATTGCTCTGTACATCATGCGACGAATGCGAGTCCCACAGAGACACTGGGCGCGTTTTGCAAATCATTCTTGCCATCGACCACCAACGGTTTCCATCTAGATCCACAGCTGTGCCTTGGCGAGTATAGACCCCGATGTGCCGGTCGATTTGTGGGAGGAAGGCAGATCAGAAGGTGCTGTGCCATGTTCTAGCATGTTCGGTTCCATGGCTGGATCAACAGGGGTCGATATTCGTTTCGGTGGGGTCTCTGCTTGACCTGACTGGCTGGAGTTGCAGCATGTGTTGGTTCTCAGCCGCAGACGCTTGAATCCCTAACCCGATGGGAATGCTCATGCTTGAATAAGGCTTGAGACGATCCGCGAAAACGCGGAGAGGTCTTTAACTTCCATGTCCTTTTCACTTCGTACGGAAGAAATGATGCTGTTAAATCATGTATCTCTTTCTCGAACCTTTTGACAAGTCAGCGATATGGCCCACTTTACGTCGTTGCACTTCCATCACCATCACGAAGCATCCAAGGGTGGATTCTCTTTGCCCTAGCAAGGGTCTAGTCTTCTAATCCGATCTTATATCTCGTTTAAGTCCTGCTGTCTCGACACCTAAGTCACCCAAGTCCATAATCTTACCGAATAAGGGCAATGAAGCTCGGCTGGCTCGGGTGGCAGCGTCCGACTAGCTAGCATTCATGCTTTTGGTCATTTGAATACCATTCCTTATTCCAAACACGAGTTAGGCCTGAGAGCTTTCCAACCTAGAGGGCTTGGCCGGTCAAACTACGATCTAGGACCTTGGTCATGACTTTTCTATCCCTATCCCTTGGTTGTTTTATGGGAGCCAGTGGTGTCAGGCAGTGTATGAACACTCTCCAATAACGTAGCGAGGGTCATGTTCACGGTGGAGCTTCTGATGGCATCGTTGTTTTCTGCTCATATGTCTGTACGCGCTTTGGAATCCGAGAAAATATCTCAAATGTGCTGCAGCAGTGCGAACATTTGTATTTGGAGCAGATGCCATAAATGTAAAGGATTCCTTTGCCGATATCCAACCATCCCAGTGTTAGATATATCTGGCTAGCCTAGATTACCCCAGAACAGAAAGACGTACTCCCATGTGCAACGTGACGTCGAACATATGGTCCGAGATTACAACAAGGTCCAGGCTCAGGACAAACTCTCATTCATGTCACCTTAGGAATATCCATATTTATCAAATCAGCGTTTGTGTAAGTTGGGATCAAGGTCAGATATTCCCTCGTGCCCTCGTGGAATACGAACACCACAACACTGTTTCCCTCCTCTTTATCAGTCATGCGTGCTGGATAATAATCCTGATGTCTATTTGTGATACTATCCTTCCCGTATTTTGTTATCCGACTCTCGGAAAAACGCTCTAGATTACTTGGGCTATCTTTAGAATATCCTTAAAAGGCATATGTACGGCAATGCGTGTTTTCATCCAACCTGCCTCTCAGCAAATGCGACGAAAGAAAGGACGAGTTACCAGATCACAAGATTTCCAGTGGCGATCGGGACTCATACGCCTGTCCTTCTCGGTACGATCCTTATAGCGATGGATGTGGCGACGAGTTGAGCCGCAGAGCTGTCCAGAGGGTATAAAAGAAGCACACGACTCGAGTTTATGGGTACCAAAAGCCTCCCTTGCACGATCAAATAAGCCCACAATCAGCGAACAATTTGATTTATCATTTCAAATCCGCCTCCAAAGGAAAGCATGAAGCCCTCTTATATCCTGTCCCTGCTTGGTCTACAAGTTGCCAGCGTTATGGCCATTCCCGTCGAGAGCGACGCTCTTAGCATGCCCTACTTCCTATTGAAACTAGTGTCCGGATTGGACGTGGCTGCATGAAACTCATGATGAGTGTCACTTGGAAAAGGCACCGAACAAAACGAGGTTCTGCAGGAGGATAACAATATTCTCGCTCAGCTCTCCAACCAAGCACGTAAGCTGGCCAAGCTATGTTCGGTCTCTCCCTTTCTCCCTTGTGTACTAACTCGCCTCGGCGATGGATTAGGTTGCATGCTATGCAGGGGCAGATGCCGTGGCTATTGCTGCCCACCAGGCACTCCCTACTGCGTTTGGGCTCGTGGCCGCTGCTGGTGTCCACGCCGCTAAACAGGTTCGACCTCGCGGCGTTGCATGGCTCTCTGCAGTATGACATGACCGCTGCGGTCACACAGCGTTCTCGGATTAGTTCCTGCAGCGAGTAAGCTTTAAGGTCTCGAAAGGCATACAAACGTGTGTGTAGTATGTTGTTTTGGTGAAGGGAAAGGAAGGGAAGGTTCATGGTTTTGGCATGCTCGCAGGATTAACCTGCGACGGGCTTGTTACGGACAACTCGGTCGCGGCAAGGCGTGCCTTTGTGGGTTCTTCGATACTGCGACTTTTCTCTTGGGCTTATTTATATCTCCTCTGCTCCGTACACTCCTTTTTATTTCGGCACTTGCAGCTATCTTTTGAAACCCCCCTGACAACCAATTATACATGTTATTTTGGAATATACTTCTCTATGTACTTCGCACTCCGTAGTCAATTAACTAACTGCTATATCAAACCTCCATTATGCTTTATGATCTCATATACAGGATGTTAGGGGTTGGCAGATGCGTGTACTCCGTACGCTGTTGTAACGGAAGACCTTTCGTAGTACGGAGTACTTGGCTGCATATACTCCGACGATCACAGACGATCTTCAAATCTTCCTAGGCGGCTAGCCAATTAACTACGGACTCGGTAGTCACTCCGTACGGAGTACGCAGTGGTCAAACTCGTTAAACTGGAAGCTTGTCTCTTTGCACGTTTTGAAGGTGTTGTCGATGTCGTTCTCGACTGAGGAAATTTGCGTACAGGACGGGGCGCTTGAAGGAAAGGAATTCAAAAATAGATTTCTGGAGTGTTCAAAAAGAAAAAAGAAAGGCCCAAGCCGGGAGTCGAACCCGGGACCTCTCGCATTCCCCCAAGGAAGGCTTCGGGTTTGAATAGCTTCGATATCATTGCGGAATCGGAACTTTGCCCTAAGCGAGAATTATACCACTAAACCACCTGGGCTGTTTTCAATAAACATGGCTGACCTCAATGGCGCTGATCGGGAGAAGTCGAGGAGCTCGAGCCCGCCCACAGGGACGCAAGAAAGAACCAAACGACCCAGTCACCATTTGAAAATGGGAATCTACAGAGTACAACGGATTCAACATGCCCGAAACCACTCCACAGGCGAGAGCCGAACAATTTTAGCCAAATCATCAAAAGTCAATTCCTGGAATTGTTTACTATTTAACATTAGCAATTATTTGATCCTTATCTAGCTAGTTATATAGGTTTGGGCCAAACGTATAGCACCATCCCAGATGGCCTGCCCGGCTTGAGCCGATACGCGAGAGAGAACGCAAGACACAAAACACACGAAAAAAAAGTTCCAACTCCAAAGATAGAGTACATGCAACGCTGCTGGAAATACTAATGTGGAAAGAAAAACACTTGCAGATATGAATTCTGTCTCCTCATCTCCTCAAGAACTCATCCACCTCAAATCCAATCCTTCTAAGCGCCTTCTCCTCAATCGAGTTCGCAGACTCAGCAAGGCGTCTTACTGCCAGTGTTCGAGCATCGTCCAGGCGGTTCTCCACAGGATTCCCTTCTCCAAACTTGATCAACTCTTCATGCTCGCAGTCTTGTACGTACACTGTGACATCAGGACCGACACAGCCCCGCCAAAGGGACGCCATCCACTGCCAGTGATCAATCGGAGCGTACGAGTCATTTATGGGTGTTGCGCATGCGTGCGCATCGGCGGTGCTGAGCTGGTACCGGGGGACCAGAGCTATCCGAAAAGGCGAGTCTGGCGAAATGGGAACTGCACCGTCCAAATCCTGTGTTGCCATGTTCGGGCGAGGTGGAAGCGATTTTGGAGACAGTTCAGCGGAAAGCTTGCCATGTTCAAGCTGATTTATTCCCACTGCACGAGAGTCATTGATGAAATGCATGATCTCTTCGGAGATTTTGTGCCACGCTGATATGGTTTCCAAGTATTGCACCGTGGCATCACGCATGTCCTCAGCCATGCTTGGGGACTTTGACGAGTCCAGATTTGGTCCATCAAAGACGCGAACAATCTGTCCATCTTTGGACGAAAGCACGCTCTGTAAGTATCGCACAACGCACCGAACGGACTCCGAGCCCTGGCCCTCGACTGCAATCACAGCGCCGTGCCTCTCCCGTGCGGGTCTTGTTGTTGTGAAAGGGGGTGAGATTTTCGATAACATTTTGATTTTATTGATGAATGGAATCGTCATGACCATGGCCTCAACTTCATTTTGGCGATTCTGCTGAGAAGCAGATAGTGTCTGCAATGGTGGCAAAGTTAGGCTTGCGTCATGATCAGGTTCTGAGAAGCTTCTCATTCCGTACGGTCGCTGGGGCTCCATCACATAGGGATTCCTCTGCTGCAGCACGTCTGGGCGCGAAAACGACATGCTCCGCGAAGAATACCCATTCCCCGGATCCAAGTCCCGCCGGGGAGGGAAGAATTCGCAGCGCCGGCGTTTAGTTCCCGGGGAGAGTCGGGCGTTGTCGTCATGGTATTGCGGTTGAAACGCGCTTCCCCATTCGAAAATAGAATTCGATTGGATTGGGCTCGCCGATCTGGCTGCTTTTCTTACAAAACGACTATTGACACTGCTATCCGTTTTCTGGCTGGCCTGTGGCTGGACGGAAGAGTCGTCCTGAGTCTGCAAAGGCGGGCCAAAAGAAGCTGTAGGAGTCGATGGAGGGTTCATAACTCTCCCACCACACCTACTGCAGACAGATGCACCAGTAGGGTTGTTGCTAATTCCCGAACTGGTGGTGCCAGCGCTGCTTCCCTTTCGTCCATAACGTCGCGGTTGATATCGATAATCGGGATACTGCTGCTGGTGCCTTGCTTTTTCCTCCTACCATCTTGTTAGAAATATTATTTCAAGCTAAGCACTCTGCGAAAAGTCAAGGTGACTCACTTCCGCAAGATTTTTCCATTCTTGTTTGGATTCGTTCGGGAGAGTTCTCCATTTTTCGCCAATTATTTTGGAGATATCAGGGTTCGCAAGACCCGGATTTTGGGCAACAACAGCAGATTGAAAATGTTGTCTGAACAAGATGAAAGCTGGTTGTTGGACCATATGATTAGTACAGATGTTTGGATTCTTTCATTCTGTCCCAAAGCACATAATTATCCTCGTTCACGCACAGAACAGAGAGAAATTGAACTTTGAAAAAAGAAAAGAAAAGAAAAGGACCTACACACCATTCCTGGGACGTGGTATCTTTGGATCTGGCTGGCAAAGACAGAATTGCACGTTAGAGTCTTTTGAGGAGGTAGACTTTGTAGAGCCTGCAGACGTTGCACGCTCCTCTCGAGCGAGGTGGCAGCTGGCAACGGTCGAAACTCGTTTTCGGCTCAACGGCAAAGACAGGACTGGGCCGCCTTCTGTAACGTGTGCTTGCTTGGAGCTCATACCCAGCTCAAGCGCCGGAGTTCGCGCAGTCGCTGGGGCAGCAAAGTTCATTTCCAATTGGACTGACTGTTGATAAACAGGCTTGTTGAATGTGCTCCCATTCAAACTATCTGCCATGATTTTATGATCCAGCAATGTGTTGGCACGAATTGGTAGATCCCGTCCGGTAAAATCATAGCAAAGGCCAAGCGGCCGGGGCAACACTCGATCGTAAGACATGAAAAATAATGATAGGCCAATTGCAAGTGGCAGGCTTTCGAACAAGTTGTAGGTATCCTCCTCCCTCTTCCCGTGTGCCTTGGTCCTAAACCATCATGACTTTTCAGGATGTTTATTATTGTTCTGGGAATGATCTTATTTTAAACCATGACCTGAGATTCTTTGTTTCCTCAATTTGCACACTTATAAAAACTATCATATTGCAAACAATTGCAGTCATCCGATGCACTTCTGCCTTGACAGCTGTTGTGATGGTTAAGCTGACTCTTGTCTGAAACCAAAAAAGAAAATAAAAAGATCCTCTTACTTCTGGGCTGGGGAACTATTGTCTTTGGGTCCTTTGTCTGGCGCAGCGCCTGAATGCGGCGGGATGCACCATCACCTTCTTTTATGTGAGACATCCAATCACCGAATAGCTGCAACAATGCGATGATTAAATCTGTCCTTGCTTTGGCGTACCGCGACTACAAACAGGAATTGATTTACATGTCCAGCTCTGAGCCAAACGTAACCTCTGACCAACGTATCAATAACAGGAGTATTTCGGGATCGTCGCACAGCAGGCAAGATGCAGAATCCCTCCACTTGACTTTCCAGAACCTCTTCTCACATAGCTGGTGTCGGATAATTAAGCCGGCTGGGACTTGGCTTCCACGCTTTTTTCACTGCAGTCGTGTGCACTCGGCCCTCTCCTGTCACCATATCCTCATGATCGGCCACCTTTCAACAATTCTCCGGTCCAATCGTATACCAAACAGATCCAGCCTTGCAGCGGCGACATGGGAAGCAGGTAGGAAATCCGGGACGCCATGCCCGGAGTGGCGCAATCGGGGAGCTGCTGCGATAACGTCTTAACATCCTTGCCTATTGATTCAAGACAAGGACCGTCGACCCGTAAGGGGTAGACCTCAGCCAACTATCCTCCAACATCCAAAAGTTATCGGTTGCAAAATGGTCCACTGTGGGCGGCGACTGTTTCTCCCACTCCTATTCCAGGATTCAGATCTCACTTCAACCACAGTTCTTTGATGGCGTTGAAAACTTCTGCTGCCAATAACTGCTGGGCCGCTGGCCCGAGATGCAGTGAATCCCTGAACCGGATTTCTATTTAGCATCTGATGCAGGGAGAAAAAGCAAAAAAAAAAAAAAAAAAGAAAAAAAAGGAAAAAAGCGTGCTGCTAGGGATTGCAACGTACCAGAACAAAAACTTTTCCGGGTCACTGCATGTCTTCCGTTTCAACCGAGACTTCGCTGGGCCGACGCAAGGTTTGTTGACATTCTCCCACGCGATACCATTTTTACCAAAGTCTTCTCCCTCAATCAACCCGCCAACCCACAGCTGTCTTTCTCGAACTTGGTCAATGAGAAACGAGTTTGTGTCGAGCAAAAAAATCGAGCCGGTTTTCCATCGTTCAGCCCGGCTTCGTACTTCGTTGTGCCAGTGGTCAGTCAAGTTAACAGCATCCTTTTGAAGGACACCTTGCCTCGTCTTGAATGCAGGTAGGAATGTCACATCCACGGGCAGTGAAAGTATTATCTTAGTGTGTTTGCGCGACCAGATCTCTGCGAGTTCATCCAAATACGCAAACATTTTCTCCACAATTCGTTGGACGGATTCCCTAGCCGTGTCTAGGTCTTCTGCGGCAAGTTGCCAGAGATCCCAAGTCCCGAAGGACACAACAAAGATGGTGTTTTGTTTTAGTCTTGAGGTTGCTTTTCCTAGGACACCGCGAGCGGCGTCCTCTTCTTTATTCAACCATCCAGACATCTGATCATTAAGGTCTGCCGCTGTTTCCCCTCCCGTGTTGTTGAGTTCGCTGTTGTCGATGATCGCACCGAATGAAGGATCGGGAGAATCCGTTGTGACTTCCAGCGTACATTGGAACTGTTGCAGGAAGCCGTCAGCTTTTCGTTTTCTTACGATTCCCTGGGACACTTGTATTTTTCTTTCATTTTCATTTTTTTTTTTATTTTTATTTTTATTTTTTTTTTGTTTACCTGGGCGCAGAGCATTTCCGGCCACACCTGTGTTTGAAGTGGCCTGTATATGGTGCCGTCATCGCTCCATGAATCCCCAAAGACTACCAGTCTATACGAAACTGGACTGTCGAAGTAACCGTTCCTCAGTGTTTCCACAGAAAAGACGCCTAGGTACCATGAGAAATATAAAATTCCCACTACGGCTAAGCCGATGAGAATATGAAGTCTTGACGAAAACCGCATTTCAATTCTCTTCCTTTTGCGATGCTGGCTATGAAACGGAACTCTTGCAAAGGGCAACAATATCAGGCTAAACGCTTAAAAGGTAGGAAATTCAAACTGAGGCAAGATGCAGAGAAGACGAACGGCTACAGAAATTCTCAGCCTACAGAGGACGCGAGTTTCAACAGGGATAATATAGGACAAGCATACGGAGGAGAAACGGAGGGTATTTTCTCGGCTCCGGCGCATCCCACCCATGCGCCGAGTGGGCGATATCCGCGATATTATGTACATAAATTGATATCGCTGCTCAGTCTCTATATAAAATATAACTCGATACTGGTTGGCCTGCCCCGTAACACCCGCTGAAGAGGATTCTGCAAATTAATAGCCAAGACCATACTGGTGAACTTTACGCCACGATACTCCGTAGTTTGTGGAGCTCAGCCATCGAAAGGAAATTCCGGTGTTCGCGATTCGTCCTCGAGATGCGGATCAGCGCACCGGACCTTGATCATAAAGGCCGTTAGATGAATTGATACGTGGAAGATCTGTGTGGCTGAAGGTTGAAACGCTTCGCCCATCAACTTGCCAGGGGCTACGACGAAAAGCATATTTAACCCTTACTCTGGACCCGTGAGAGCGGGCACTTTTTCAAAAGTTTGACAGCAAAGAGAGTCGAGAATGTGGCTTTTATCAGCGGGGATTTACACGGCTGGTTGGGTTGGTAAATTCCGGTGAACCTTTTTTTATCCGTGGTCTCGTGTTTATTGGGTGCCGGGCCACCCGAACAAGCAAAAGTCCGCGTGCTTGGAGTGGCTGTTGGTTAGTTTAGGGCTGGGGGGCCGAGCGAGGTCGGAGTTCGATATATGTATTTGAAAGAACAGAATGCCGGTATCTCCAGGAATTCCAGAGAGGGCCAGGTTTCATATGGTTATGGAGAATTTCATGCGCGCTGGTTTTGTAAATCATGTGCTTTTCTTCTTCGAGGATTTCCTGCTCCGGACATCAATTTCTCTCGGCGCATGTTACAAAGTGTCGTTGATCATCAGTCGTCAACTTTGTAAGATCTTGGGAATTGTACGTAAGTCCTCCGTATTTGACCGGGATTAGGCAGGGGTCTCCGTATCATTTAGTTACGTCCTACGTACGGAGAGTATGAAGGAACATTTACTGGACAGGATCGTTTTGGAGGTTGCTCGCTTGTAGTTGGATACAGAGTGCATACTGTAGCAGAATTCCGCCCACATAGTGTTCGCTAGTGAATGGGGCGGGACAGCTCATTGTCCGAAGTTCAAGCAGGGGCATTGTTTAAACTTGACATAGCTCGTGTATGGAAGAACGATGTGAATACTGCATTTGTCACCGCTACTGGTGATAGTCAGATGTAGCATTCATCTCACCATAGCATCGGGGCTGGGCAACGGGATGATTGGTGACACTTCGCTTGGTTATCAGGACAGCAGTAAGAAATCAAAATCTTTACATGAAGGTCACTCAAGCAAAAGTAACGGTAGCAATTCCTGATGTCGCCTAGCACATGATCAAGCCATTCTGGAAACAATGGCATTTCGCATCCCTCACAGTGTGTGCCACTCCATAGTCTGCAGAGATGAGAGGTTGATGCGAGCATCACGAATGTCATTCAAAATAGAGAATAAGCTCATTCATGTCTTCAGACAACCTTAAAACCTCTGACTCTTCGGTGTCACGGTCAAGATACTCCAGAAAAGTTCCACGATGCCCAGTGTTCAATTGCCTTTTCGGCACAACGGAGTCTTTGATGTAGTATCTGACCAAATCATCATTGGGCGCAACGATAGAGCTTGGGCAGTCGTACTTTTGACGATGTGCCATTGGATCGCACTATTGGAGAGCGCGGGCAAAGGAACCCATTCTCCTCTGATGGTTTCACAGAGCGCGGCGTAGGAGCGGTGAGCGACGTTTGTGACGCGCTTAGCGAAGAGGGACTACATAGACCCAGGGCGAGGTCGCGTAACGGTACATGCTGATGTACTCTTAAAGCCAGAGGCACGTTAGTCGCTGGCTGTGCGGTGTCGAAAGGAGACGGCGAGGGCGAAGGGTGTTGGCACCGTGTCGTTCGACGCAGAGACTCAGAGAGACGGCGAGGTGTGCGGAAGAGCACAATCAGCCTGCCTCTGATTGGCCAGAAATATATGTAGGGCTGCTTATATCATCAAATTCCAGTTCGGGTTTAGGCTCGCTTAGTCACCACCCACAGAATGGGGGAATTTCGCTAAGAAATATCCACAAACGCAGATTTGAAGTTGTCCGTGAGACGACGTCGACGACCTACCAACCAACGCCCATCGACAATTTGCGTGTGCCTCCGTCTTGACCGCGGAATCCTGTCAAGATGAAGCTCAACATTGCCTACCCGGCCAATGGGTCGCAGAAATTGATCGAGATTGACGATGAGCGCAAGCTCCGACCCTTCATGGAGAAGCGCATGGGAACTGAAGTGAGCACCGGCCCAACGCAGCTGTTTTCGACGGAGGACAAAGGACGTTTTGGATGAAAGGATGTGTTTGTGCTGATTGCGGATTCTTTTCGCGGTGGTGGTTTAGGTTCCTGGCGACTCTCTCGGTGATGAATTCAAGGGTTATTTGTTCAAGATCACTGGTGGAAACGATAAGCAAGGTATGGGATCTTTTACAGTCAGCTGGATATAACGGTCGCTGGCTATATTGAGTCCGGGATCTATTGCTGACAAAATCACAGGTTTCCCCATGAAGCAGGGTGGTATGTACCGAGATCAGGCCTCGCCTTCGATATTCCGCAAACACTCACCTTTACTGGCTAGTTCTTCTGCCCAACCGTACCAGACTCCTCCTCAGCACCGGCCACAGGTATTTTGCAACTTCCGATGTCATAAAAATGCGCCTAGCACATTCAAAACTGACATTTGACGATAGCTGCTACCGACCCCGCCGAACTGGTGAGCGCAAGCGCAAGAGCGTTCGTGGAGGTACGACATACAACGATCCCCGTTCGATATACTGTTCTTAAGCCCAGCATTTGACATGAAAATTGTTTAGCTATCACTGGTTATGACCTCGCTGTTATGGCTCTTACCGTCGTCAAGCAGGGTGAGGGTGATATCCCCGGACTCACAGATGTCGTGAACCCCAAGAGACTCGGTCCCAAGCGTGCCTCTAAGATCCGCAAGTTCTTCGGTTTGGACAAGAAGGATGATGTCAGAAAATTCGTTATCCGCCGAACTGTCACACCCACCAAGGAGGGAAAGAAGGAATACACCAAGGCCCCTAAGATCCAGCGTCTCGTCACTCCCCAACGTCTCCAGCGCAAGCGTCAGCGAATTGCCCTCAAGCGCCGCCGGGCTGAGTCTGCCAAGGAGCAAGCGTGAGTAGCTTTTATCTAAAGTGCACGTTGACTACGCTAATATTTGTTTCTCCAATTAGCAACGAATATGCCAAGCTTTTGGCCGCCCGCGTCCACGAGGAGAAGGCCAAGCGCGAGGAACTCCGCAAGCGCCGAGCATCTTCCATGAGAAAGTAAATGGTGTTGCTTGGCGGTTAATGTCGGGGAGGAAGCTCAGGTGCGAACGGGATAAAGGAAACGGGGTGTTGTGTGCAACTATTATGAGCCTCGGATTAAAGAGAAATACCATGTTCTTTTCTCTTGTCTTTTTCTTCGAGCAACGAATACAGAGTCTTTGGGTCATGGGAGTTTTATTATCTTTGCTACAAAAATTCATTTGCCAAATGACAAATCTGTTCCAATACCTCCGCCCGCCTCCACAGGGAGATGCGAATTGAACCCCGTTTTTCTTAATGCGCCCTGGTTCCATTCTTGCCTTGCGATAATCCGCGAGGTGGATGAATGCCATCAAGAAGCTTCAAGATAATGTTGGGCGTCATGCAAGCAACTTTAACCCGCCCATCATTGCATAATACCTCAACCAACCCAACCCAAAACGTATGTTTCCAATTTATCATATATAGATATTGAGATGAAAATTTGTCAGACCTTGTCACTACATGTAGCTAGATGCAATCCGTTATCTACGTGTTAGGAGTGAGCTGTGTTAAGCTTATCACGCCCATAACTTGCATGAAGGACACCGACAACCCCAATAGTTGGTATGTTGGAGACAGACATGCCAGTGTCGCTGATTCTGAGGACTAGCTTGAGGGGCTGAAAGCATCACTTCTCCACATGATAGACGTATGTAATATATGTGCATCCTCCCTACATATGAAGCACCTATTCCATCAAAAGACGTAGTGTAAAGTTGACAAGACACACAAAACCATGCTTGCTTGGATTTCTTGGACCTTCCCAGGTTGAAATAAAGGAAGGGCCTTCCTGGGATAGAATAGCGATGATATAGATAACTAGATGATGTTTTCTATTCTTTGTTGTGGAATAGGAATCATAGAAAGGAAAACTATCCCTGGATAACAAAGTGCTCAACAGAGAATACTCATTTAAATATATTTACAAACTTATGGAGGTGGTCTGAACTCAACAGCCTGTGCTTTTGTATGCATAATATTACCCCACGCTCATTCTCACATGACATTGACCATACATAGAGTGTTGAGGCAGCAATCTCGGTAAAGAAACGCTCGCGAGAAACGAGTCAACAGGACTTGAAACATCTATTTTCATCACACTGCAAATCACACACCATTCATGCATTATCATTAGGACACCGCATGCGAAAACAGGAAGCTAACTGACTCCCCGTTATGCGTTCGTCGACATGCCTCCGCCAACACAGGACTGATGTCGATAGTCTCGATCTTATCACAGAGTAACTTCTTTTCCTGATGCGGCACTGTATTCGTAACAACAATACGACTCAATCGCCCGGTATTCAGCGTCTCAATGGCCTTCCCACTAAGAATGCCGTGTGTCACAATAGCGAGGACTTCCTTCGCACCGTTGTCGATGAGGGTGCTAGCAGCTTTGACCAGTGTACCGCAAGTATCGGCCATGTCATCAACAATAATAGCAATCTTATCCTTAACACTGCCTACAAGAACCATGCGAGAGACCTCATTTGGCCGTGGTCGTTCCTTATGAATAAGAGCGAACTGGAGATCAAGCCGATCTGCAATGGCAGTGGCACGTTTGGCACCACCAGCATCTGGACTGACGATAACGCAGTTGGATACATCAAGGTTCTGACGAATCCATCGCAACATGCTTGGCTCAGCGTAGAGGTTGTCCACAGGCACATTGAAAAATCCTTGAATCTGACTGGCATGAAGATCCATGGTGATAACGTGATTGCACCCAGCAGTCTGGAGCATATTGGCCATGAGTTTGGCTGTGATTGGTGCGCGACTCTTATCCTTTTTGTCTTGGCGAGCATAGGGGAAGTTGGGAATGACAGCAGTGATGCGCCTCGCAGACGCAGTTTTGCAAGCGTTTATCATAATAAGGAGTTCCATAAGGCCGTCATTGATATCATTAGGTCGTGTCGATTGCAAAATAAAAACTACAGCCGTCTATTAGCAACCGTCGGCTCCTTTTTCGGCTTTCTGGAGGAAATGGCAGAGGTATCCAGTGATATTATGCCGAAAAGAATAATCTCTGATACAACAGAATGCGTAGCAGAGGTCATAATAAGCACGAGGGAGACAAGAGAAAAGTACCATCTTCATCTCTCACACTTTCTCCAATAGTGACGCTGGTCTCCTGGTTTGAGTACTGCGAAACCATGACCCGCGTCAACTCGATCCCAAGCCTGGAAGATAATATTAGCATCTTGCCACTAGACATCGACTCTTCGTAGGCTTGGAAGAAGTAGATAAAACTTTTCAGAAAGTGCACCGTAAATTGAGGCGCCCACTGTTGAAGAACATAATTCCATGATAAAGCTATGGAGATATTCCCGACGCAAAAGCATAAGAGAAAGAAGATGGACCAAGGAAAAAGACATCTAGAGTCGACTAGACAACCCGGATAGAAAGGCAAGCCAACATTGGGTATACGGTAAAATAAAAATTTAATAAAGCAACGGAATAGGGATATCCTCATACCTATCGGCAACCAGCTGCGCTAGCTCCGGGTGACTGTTTCCAGTCAATAGCTTGATAGAATTCGTAGCCATACTTTCTGGTCCAGTGTGTTCCGTTCAAGAGGACTTTGGGCTTCTTCACGGGGCTAGTTCTCTCTGCACAGGAAGATATGCTCCCACGAGGCAGATGTGACTACTCCGACGAGCCGGTCCGCGAAAGTGCGAAAAGACTTACGACAGAATTAACGGTCTGCGCATGGCGATGCGAAGCGAGTCGTCGAACGGCTTTTGCTCTGCGGGACCGTCAATTTTTATGGCGCTAGGCCGAGTTTGGGAGCGGACCCGACAATCAGATAAGATTCTATCACGTGGCAAACCTTCGCCTGCGCAGACTGAGAAATGGAGGATGGAAGTGAGATGAGATATAAGGACAGAATAGATGCTGCTTTTGAGTCTAGAACTATTACGGACACTGCATTGCAGGAGCTGCGAAGGCAATGTTGCTTGCTAAATAACCCAGCTGACCTGCACTTCAACTGTTTTCTCAACAAACAACACGCCGCCAGGGCTCAAAGCCACAGCGTAACAAGCACTGTGGAAAAGAGGAAAAAAGGAGCATAAATACAGATTTTCCCAATCCTTCCAGCAAATTAAAAAAAAGAAAAAGAAAATCAAAGACCATGCCATTCTGAGAGTACATAGATCGTCAACTTGACAGCGCCACCAGATGCAAAAAGGAATAGAGTAGGTAATGCAGCCCAGGAATCAAACCGTAAATCACGAACCGGTAAAGGAATACAATCACTCTAGTTTATGCGAACCCGAAATACTCGCTGCCGGCAGTCATTGCTGTGTAGAGACGTTGTCTGAGAGTTTCGTAGCTGTCATACTCCGGTAGATCAAGCTCTGTTATACATATTAGCCAAAGGAACTATATAAAAATGGCCACGGAAAACTTACGGTTGAAACAAGTATGCGAGCTGGGTAGTCTATCTTTGTTACCATAGTCACGATGGATGTTGAACTTGCTAAATCCATTCATGCCCTCAAGCTCCCGGAAACCGTTGAGCGGAACTTTGCTAGTTCCAGTAACAAACTGAAGCAACTTGGCACGCTCTTCCTTGTCGAATGAGCGAACAGCACGCCAGAACCACTGGATCTGTGGAGACGACGCAGAGTAGTTGTGGTAGTCGGTATTGTTCTTCCAATCGTCGACATCAATTTCGGGTAGGCCAGAAATCAGCAACTCCAGTTCTTGTTCATTGAAAATGGAGATAAGGTCGGCGGGGATAATATCATGGAAGCCCTTTAAGAAATTGTCTAGTTGCTCTTTAACAGATCCAACCAACCGGTGCTCGACAACAAGCTGAACATATTCCTCTTTGTTTTCTTGAGTGACTGGAATGTTGCGTCCGTTCTCAACCAAGTCAATAACCTGCTTTTCGCCGAAAGCTTCGACCTCAACCGAAAAGTTCTCGGTGAGAATGTCGGTGATATCGTTCTCTAACATCCAGAGTAGAGACTTGTAATAATCCAAATCAAGGGTTTCCATGTCCTTGATAGACACCGATTTCCCAAGAATACGCTTGTATACGGCGCGGCTAAAATGGCAGTCTAGGACTCGACCTTCGTAGATGGCTTTGCCAATAATGCGCCCGATGAACTTGAAGAACATCAAGTGTTCCTGGTTGACCCCACTGAGCCGGTTAGGGTGGAATGTCGTGCGGTCAGACGCAACGGGGATAAAAAGAGCGTAGTTTGGATTGAACATTCCACGAGCGAGGACTTGGAACCACTCTCTCGTCACGCCTCCGGCGTCAACGCCCTCTTCGCCGTGGAAACGGACGCTAAGTTTACCGTATTTCATCTCGTCTGCTGTTTTGAAGTATAACGATTTGAAGGAATCAAGGAAAACCTGGTCTCTGCGAACAGATAGTTGCAGCGGCGGATGAGGATGTCGAGCCTCAGCCCCACGAGAATGAATACGACGGTTGAAGTAATTGCGCTTGTTGTCAAACTCTAGTACTTTCGGGTTCTTAACGAGGAGTGAAAACGTACCACTCATGAGTCGAGGGTTTTGGCGAACAAGCTCGTTGAGAATCTTTCGATGTTCCTCAGTGAATGTGAAGAACAGCCCCTCCATTCCAGCATCCGGCGGAGGGCTTGCAATGGAAAATTCTCGTCCGTGTCTGGAGAGTGGGAGATCCCTGAGAGTCGTGTTCTTGCAGACAACCATTAACGACTCGATGAGTGGGAGTAACGTGGTGGCCACATTCAGCATGCTCTCTTTTTGAGGAATAGTGGTGAGACATTCACTCAATTTGTTCCAGAGAGGCCCAAAGGTAGCACTTTCATAGAGGTTCTTCAAAACATTTTCCTTCTCGGGGCACTCGGGATCGGAACCCTTATCTTTATCACCTCTGGCTGGATCAAATAAGTAATCGAGGGCAGTAAGGACCCGGAGGAGCTTAGCCTGGTCTGAACTCGACGGCGAGAACTTTGACAAAGCCATGCCTTGGACATCGGTTCCGCTCTTAGCTTGGGTAATGTGCGGCAAGAGCTCATTCAGATCCGACAGAATGGATTCGCTTAGTGTCTGCGCTTGCTGTACTAACTCCCTGCCAATGACCTCCTTGGCCCCGGGGACAGATGACAGATTGTTGATAGTTGACAATGTTTCTCTAAATATTTTTCCGTTGCACTCGCGAGCAGCAAGTATATGAACCACGAGCTGCAAGTTATGTTCTGGTACGACTGGGGGCTCAATGACACGCTGTTTCTTTTGTTTTGAATCCGGTTGACCTTCATTGGAAGAGCCCTGGGCAGGTTCTTCAGGCTTCTGTTCAGTGGCAACTGGTCCGGGGTCAGTCATTGCAGTATCAACCGTTTCATCTGCAGCCTTTTTTTCTTTCTCCTTGGCAGCTGCGGCTTCCTTCGCTTTAGCTTCTTCTTCTTGTCTCTCCTTTTCTTTCTTGAGGAGAATAGACAATGGCTGCGTAATACTGCTCAATAACCCAGAGAGCTGCTCCATGCAATTAGGACTGTCGAGGATTGCCTTACGGTCGAGTAAGGATAACAAGGAGTTCAATGCGAATTTATTTGCCTTATTCTCCTTAAACTTACCCTTGCGGAACGACTTGAACTTAAGGGCTGTATGTGAGTCGTGTTCGGTGAGGAAGAACCAGGCAATATGAGGATTATATTGTGTAAGGAACGACAATGCACCAAGACACTGTTGGATCACAACCAATGGAGTAACATCACCATTGCCAGGTGTAGGCAACGGGATGGTGCGTTTAGGTTGGGGAGTCTTTTGTGTCGTCGGTGTTTTCGCTCTGAGAGACAAATGAGCAAAACTGCGTTCAACAGCTGAGATATCGGCGCTGCCATCCTGCAAAATGAGGAGCAATAGACTTAGAACCTCTGTCCTATTCTGTCGATTCTGGCAGACGTTGTGGAGTATATCATTGAGATGATGCCGTGCATTTCCTTGTAATGGCATGAACATAAGTCGTAAAAGAGTGGCAACACCGGCTTTGTCAAGCATCTGCACAATTTGACGTCGCTGGGGCTTCTTGGCACTTTCATCCTGTTGCGACGCCTCGGCTCTGGACTGCGAGTCCATTCTACCAATATCGAATTGTGCTAAGCGTCGACCGGTAAGGGCGCGAGCTTCGCTAACGAACTCAGGGCCGAGAGCGGCTAGGACCTCTTCGGGCTGGTCGGCCAACACGGTTTGCCGAAGAGACGGGTTTAGCGTAGCAAGGAAGCTCGCCGGATCCATATCCTCAGCATGTGGTGTTCCATTAGCAGCAGCTTGTCTACGGGCAGCGTCTCGTTCACGACGACGGCGATCAGCGGCTTCTTGCTGCAAGAGCTCTTCACGAATTTCCGGAGGCAACGCTTCTAAAAATTCAGGGTTAATTTCACTGGGTTCTTCGCCCGCTGCAGCAGCATGAGATCTCTGTTCTGCCAGCTGTTGCATGATAACCTCTTCACGGAACTCCTCAGGGATAGCTTCAAGGAACTCGGGATCGATATCCATGCCGGTGATATCAAGCTGGCGACCTCGAATAGTGGTATGCACACGAGGGGTAGGTTCAGATGGGCCTGCAGCAGATGCTTCAGCTTCCGGCTGCTGTGCTTCTTGACTTAGCTCTGTTGGCTGAACATCGTCCATGGGTTCACCCCCAGCTGCCTGGCGAGCACTCTCCGCTGCACGCTCTGCCTCTTGTTGTCTCAAAGCTTCTTCCTCTTCCTCCTTTCGTTTGCGTTCCTTTTCAGCTTCCTCCTTTGCGATACGTTCCTGACGTTCGTTTTCTTTCCGTTCTTCCTCTCGTCTCTTCATTTCCTCCTCGAGCTGCTTTTTCAGACGTTTACTTTCTTCAACAGCAGGAGGGACGAGGAGCTTGTGAATAGAGTTTAGAACCCGCAGAGCTTTGTCAACATAGCTATTCCCAAATAGGATACGAGCTTCCTCTTGCCAGCGAGTAGTTGTAGTAGAGATATTGAATGTTACTGCCTGACTAGGATCGTCGCGAGGGCGTGTGCTCACACTAGGCCTGCCTAAGCCAAGCATATCTTGAAGGCGGGAGGGAAGAGAAGCGTCACGCTCGATGTGAAGGTGGAACCCGTCTGGTCGAGTAACGACACCGAAACCAGGGCCTCCCTGTCCAATAACCTGTAGGATCGCGTTCATAAAGCTAACAGGGCTATCGACGGACAAAAATCTGCCCTGGCTAGCCGGATCGATTGCATGTACCCACTCGCTGAAAGCTTCGGTGCTAGGTGGCTGGTCTGCTGCTCGATCATTGCGACGCAGTAGTGGGTTGGTCCCATCGTCGTTCCGAGGAGCCGCCATTGTTGTTCGGTGAGCTCGGAAACTAGGAATGTGGGTACCTCCATGGCGGCCACCAAAGCCACCGGCGAAAATGTTCCACGGTGTTCGTTGCGTTCGTGTATGGGCAAGCTCATCAACCCATGCCCAAGGTGAGTTCATGTCCGCATCCTCATCTGAGTAAGAATTAGCAAAGATGATACTGAAAGGGGCAAGCGAATCGCCACTAACCGTCAAATCCATGATAGCCATGTTCGTCGTAGTCGTCTACATCTTCCTCTAATTCGTCTATCTCTTCGTCCTCGTCTGCAATAACAGTTAGCAACCGAGCCCTCTCAATGTTAGAACTGCACGCACCCTCATCTTCATTCATGTCGTCGTCGTCCAACATGTCATCATGTAAATTAGCTCTAAGCCCAATATCGTCTTCGATCCGCTCGACAGTTGCGCCGCCACCCTCAAGGACACGGAGTAGTTCATCAAAATGAGGTGGCCCGCCATGACGATCTCCTTGGGCGATATCTTCCAGGTCATCCTCTAGTTGATCCATGATTTCGGCATCTGCTTCATCATCGGTCATTTCTTCACTCTCCCACTCGTCATCATCACCGTGAAGGCTGTCATTATCATGATCCCCAGTAATCTCCCCGGCCATTATTTCGTTATCTAAATCGGACTCATCTTCGCTGTCGTCTTCATCGTCATCTTCATCGTCGTCCTCGTCATCCTCATCTTCATCGCTCTCGATAAGGACTTCAATATCCATGGGGGTATCGCCCGGCAACCCTTCGATCGGACCGCGTCCGTCAAGGTCCTCGTCTTCGCTGACCACTTCGCCATCATTTTCTGGCATATCTTCTTCATAGTCCATTTCTTCGTCATACTCATCGTCGTACATTTCGTCCTCGTCTTCTTCCTCCTCAGAGGGCGTCTCTTCCTCGTGGTCTGGTTCAAACATTCCAAGAGTTGAATGGCGGAATAAATCTGGAGTCTCTTCTCTATCATCATCGATATCTGACACGGAAGTTGCAGAAGAGATCTCGTCTTCTTCGGCTACACCCGGGGCACCGACGCCAGCAATACTAGCAGCTTCGCTGAGCAACACTGCAGTCTGCGTAAGCTTATTCAGCGGGCGAAGAATGTACTTGACAGCTCTCTTAGACGATGGAAAGTTTAAGTCTATATCGGCAACCGAAGAAGTGAATGCAGAGATAAAGTTCTTCTCGAACATCATCTTCGCAATATAGCGAGTGGATGAAGGATAATGCGCAGAGCCGTCCGTATTTGTTGCTCCACTCAACATCTTGTCAAAAAGGTCGGCTAGGCACATAAGCCGGGCATATTTGACGTCAAGCGGCTCTTGAGACGAATTGGCTTCCTTGTAACACTTTAGAGCATGCTCGAGAACGAATTTTCGCACAAACATCAAATCTGTTTCCTCTTCTTCATCCATAGTAGGACGTCGCTTTGATCCACCAAATTCACCAGTCTTGGAACACAGGGCGACAATAACCCGCATGGCCCAATGCGACGTATTTACTCTCTTCTTGAACGATATGGATTCGTCGTGTTCTAAAGTCCCGACGGGAATAAGGAAGTAAAGTAAATAATTGAGGATACCAGAGCGCGGTTTGGAAGGCGTAGTGGCAAGAGGATCGGCCTTGCGCGAGAAATTAATGAACTCAACTTTGGTGCGGTTGTACGAGGAGAGAAGTTCCGTCAGACATTGAAGCAGGAAGCATCGATAGATATAGATGGGATGGTCTTCGGATTTGAACTGCGGTTTCTCTGACTTCTTAGGGGCCGGTTCTCGTGGTGGGGGAGTTGAGCAGGCTGAAGATACGTCTGCAGTAATCATTTCCACATCCTCCGATTGATATCCGGTGTTTTCTGAGGTGCTTGTGACTTCTTTGTCATCAACATCTCGATAGGAGAGCAATTCAGAAAGCAGGTAGTGAATCACGCCATCCGGATGCTCCACGACTGGAGGCTTCAGTTCGACCTTTTGCTTGCCTTTGGTATCGCCATGCTCTCCACGTTCCGTTTCTCGGCTTGGTCCTTCAGATGTCTCTGCCTTGTTTGGCTCCTTGGACTCCTCACCGGGTGCAATGCCAGGTTGCTGTGGCTCCTTGTCACTCCTTTCAACCTTCAAAGTGAGGACTTGCTGTCTTTGTTGAGGATCGTATCTTTGCAACTTCAGTTTTTCATTGGTAGCCTCGACGAAAATCTTTGGAGATCTCAGCGCTAATTGATAGAATTGTCGAATATAACCGGTCGTGTCCGTTTGACGAGGAGATCTAGCATCAAAGCTTGCCACGATCTCATTTTTCATGATTTGCCGAATTGTGTCATCATCTTCAATGATGTGACGCAGAATTAGCATAAAGCTGCTCTGCAATCTATCATTTGAGGAGTCGGCAAGTTGCTTGATCATGACAAACAACCGCTGCAGGTTTTTCTTTTCTCCTAAGCGCACAGCAATATCTCGATGTCGGGTTAAAATGACAAAGATTCGACAAACAGATAAAGCCAAAGTCTCATCTTTTCCAATTCTAGGAAGAATTTCCACAACAGCATCGAAGAGTTGTACTTTGGCTTCAATTTCAATAATTGGTTCCTGCAGCTCGGCTGGGGAGTCTGAAACATTATCCGAATTTGGGGATGTCCACGTAATTTGGTCCGGTTGCTCGTCGTCAGACAGAATTCTCTCTAATATCAAGAGAACCTGGGCAATCCACGGGCAAGATTCACCGGTGGACTTGTCTGACTGGGGTTTAGGAATGGTGATGAAACCAAGAAGGAGAGAAAAGTTTTCTCTCAGGTGCTCTAATGTAGCATCATACACGCTCTTTTCTTGAAGGACCAAGGCAAGCAAATTAGCATAGGCCGCTATCTTTTTGCCTCCTGACTGGAAATTCTCATCCATCTGCAGTGATATTAAAGAATGTATCAACGTTTCCCCGATTTCTTTGCGGAACGTAGCTCCATCTCGGAGTTTAGCGGCAGAGTTAATCAGGTCAGCGAGTTCGAAAGTGACGTCGTGATGCAGATTGAGAACTTCGAGACATCTTTCGATCAAATTGGTGCGGACCTTGTCACGCTCCTCATCCAAATCCTCAACGGTGACTACGTCTCGCCGCTTTGGGGTGGACGTTCTTCTCGCAGTTTGCAACGCTGTCGTATTGGCAGTGCTTTGATTCAATGAGGTGGCTTCCGTATTAGCACTGTCACTAGCCCGTGCTGCAGAAGGGAATGCATCAAGGGGTGCAGCCTGGATTTCATCGAGCAAAGCCTCGATGTGGCCTTCGAAAGCCTGGCTGGATGGGGTGGCCGTGGCGGACCCATCAGAACGCTGAGCTTGATTTGGTGCAGGAGTACCGAATAGACTCTCGGTCGGAGGGGTGTTGCTGACTCTCGAGGTCGGCTCAATATCAGAGGAGGGCACTGGAAGTCTCGGTGGGGGCCTGAGCCCTTTATGGGCTGAACAATACTCTTCTGCAGAAGATGAAGAATTATTGCAGCGATACAATGCTTCCTTTGCAAGGTTCTCATCATACCCTTTCTCCGTTAAAGAACTAAGGCGGTCTCTATGGAAAAAGAATGTTCTCGGAGTGGGTGAGCCAGCCAAGGGGGGAACATCACCACGGTGGTGCGCTCCGCTTTCATACTCTCCTTCTAATACTGACCGAAGAATCTCAATCAACGCCTTCACCATCGAACTGGACGCATCTTCGATAAAGTCGGATTCCCACATTCGTTGAACCAAAGGCAAGGCTTCCATTCTCAGCTCTACCAAAAATTGAGACGGCACGAAGGCATCAGGGCGATCCCTGTGCTGTTCAGCTGCCATAGCTTGTGTCTGGCTAGAATCGATAATATATCGCGCCGACGTCGTCTCAGAGAAGAAGGTCAAGATAAGTTTGATACAGCCACAAGCTGCGGCCAACCGGGACGCCAATTCGGGGGAAGAATTCCCTCTAGCCTGGAGAGACAGGGTTTTGATTTCATCCAAGAAAAGGTCAGCCAAGTCGCTCAACGTCCGTATACCTCCTATCTTCTTAAAGGCGTTGAGAACGATAGTGAGACAATGTGAATGGGGGCGATCGCTCGCTATTTCTATCATTAGTTACTATCTTGAACACAAAAAGCCTCTCAGGGAAATCTTACTCTCAAATAATAGTTGGGAAAATGCCGATAAAATAACAATTAGATAGGAGAAACGATCTTTAGGATTTGAATCGCAAGCTTGCTGTAATTGATCCACGACCATTAAGGCCAAGGCCTCGGCAACTTTGGTAGCCCTTTGTCGCTGATAGGTATCCATGCGCCGCTTACTCGTAAGACCATGGCCCAAAACGTGGTGAAATCCTGTGATGGATAAAGGCAAGGTGCTAGTCAAGTAGCGGAGGACGTCAGTATTTCGGAGTGCTGCCCAATTTATGGAACTATCAGTGGCTTTTGATGCTTCATCAAGAGCAGAGGAATCCATATTAATTCCAGTAGGTGCCGATTGTATTGTAGGATGAACAATATTTGTGTCTGCAAGGCCAAAACCGCTTGATCTGGGCAAACCTTTCCATTCGGGCGGCTCATTTTTTTGCAATAATATCTCCTCCCACACACAAGCCGCCTGCAAACTACCCAAGCTTTGAACGAGCTTGGCATACTTATCCGCTAGATTAACTTGGACAAAAGGAGAAACTTGTTGACTGGGTCGAACAGGGTACAAATGTGGTCCGTACATTTCGCGCAGAACATCTGTCAGTGTCACAACTGCAACAAGATGTTTCACGAAATATGTGCCTTTCAGCTTCACATCGTGTACATCCGGTTCGCTCGTCGGAGTCGAGCAAGTAACAGGGGTGAAGAAGCCATGCGTGTGCCACGTTTCAAAGAAAGGCCCCAGTCTATCAAGCACCTTTTGAGTTCGCTTGACCACCGAAGGCACGACAAGATGAGGCTTCGTCTCAGCCATTACCTTGATAACCTGCGACAAGTAGCGACTTGCTTCAGTAGTGTGGAATGTATGTGGCACACTTGGTAGGGTTGCCAAATCGAGAACGTATTCCACACCACCGAATTCAATGAAATTAGAGCACATGTTTTGATTCTCAAAAAATCCTGCCAGAAATCTCACGGTAGTGAAAAGATAGTCAGCGACATCGAGGCCATCGGGGTCGGCAGCATTGTCCAAAATCCATTTAGCGACATCTGGAGAACCAAAAACATCGGAATATTGTCGTGGAGGCAGGCCGTTTATAGAAACTCCTCCATCAGTCAGGCTAGGAACTGGAGATTTTTGTAGTGACTCGAAGTCTTCGGTGAATGATGCGCCAGGCTCAGTAACAGCAGACGCTGGCCCACCGAGGATAGACATGTTCCGGTTGTCATCTTGAGTCCATAACTTCGCTCCTAATCCATGCTCCCAAGCTTTGGAAGACACGAGAATTCGGATGCGAGCAACCAGACGAACAATCGCACTTGTTACCGCCTTCTTTAAACGGGGATGATGCCTAATAAGCTCGTCGAACGAATTGCCCAAAGCCCGTAGTAAATTTGAATCGTGTCTCATGCACTTCACATGCTCAGGGCTTTCAAAAATGTCGAAGAAGCGCTCTAGAGCATCTGAAGATCCAAAAAGTTCCAGGCCAGTTGAATTCAAGCAAATCGCCCCGAACGCCACTGGAATACATACAATAGCCTCTGAAGAAGGTAAAATGCCATCAGATCCTTTATGCTGGGGTGAAGCGAGGATCTGGGCCACAAGGGAGTTGGGGTCCGTATCAAGATTAGAGGGAATGAACAAATTCGGCAACTTATCGTTTTCTGTGCCGCTAGGAGCAGTTTCAATCGGTCCCGCCATTACTGCCTCTAACAACGATTTGCTCAACCCAGCTTCCGCGATAACCGCGTAACTGGTTGGTTCATTATGGATAAAGTTGCTCATGACGTTCACAACGCCGCTCCACACATGAGAACCGAATACCACAGCATTCTCAAGAACCAGACGAAGTCCTTCAAGCAAAGGAGGAGAATCGATTAGGTTTCGTAATAACCGTTCAAATCCACCGGTATTGTGTTGCATAACATGGTTCACAAACTTGAGAAGCCATCGCAAAGATTGCTGGTGGAAGTATGGTATTTGGTAGTCAGTGTACGCATTCTTATGTTCATCCGGAATCCCTTTCCCTTCCTTAACGAGCTCGAAAGCGGATTTGGATTCCCAGGAAATGAGGCCGGACAGAGCATCGAACCCACGGGCTGAAGCTAAGGTGGCTAAAGCGTCCCGGACTGGGTGAACGTAAGTATCGAGAAACTCCATCACACGTGGGTAGACTCTTCGAGCCTTCTCAGTTCGAAGATTGAGCACATCAACCAGCATTGGTATCAAGCCTGCCGAAACAAGGGTCTCAGGCGTCCTCGCACCGGAATTAGGGAGCGTACGGAGCAGGGAAAACAGAGATTCTCGCCAATCATCATTATCGAAACTATCATCATCATCGGGAGTGCCAAGATCGGCAACCGTCTTTCGAATGATAAACATCAAGATTCCGTGGTTCACATTAACATTAAGTGCAGTACAAACATCCGCTGCCTTAGACTTATGTCTCGCAAGTGCGTCAAGACAAGCAAGCGCAAAAGTCTGGTTGGGAATAGAGGCACTGATATCACCCGCTACGCCGAGGTGCACGAACTCAGCAAGTTGATAAGCAAGTTGAAGTCGCTTTGGCTCGTCCGAGTCTTGTAAGAGAATCTTTTGCTGAAATACAGCTTCCGGGTATACGTATGCGAGGTTCGTGAGTGCAAGGACCCTGATAGCAAGTATCTGCTGCCTTGTTTCAAAGGATTTGGCGAGTGCGTAGGCGGTACGCACCCGGTTCAATAGCTCGTATTTGGACTCCTTTGGGACCTTTGTAGCATATTCATTCACAACCTCTTCTATGCCACGAGACAGTATCTCAGAGTTTGGTATTTCTAATACAGTCATTCCTCGCGCAGCCTCATCGGACTTAACGGCCGGAGATGGGGTAACAACGGATGGTGAGTCGTCAAGGGAGGAGTCACGACCAGGCCTGGAGCCGGGGTGCACAGAATGTCGACGAACGGGAGTAGGCGTCGTGGGAACCTGGGCGGTATGGCTGTGGCTTATCACTGGTGCAGACGGTTCTTTGCTAGGCTCCACATCTCGAGGGTAATATGACACGCGAACGTTGCCCCAGTCTTCCCAATCATTTGTGCCAGCCCCATTGTCAAGGAGAATATCAGTTTCAACTTTCTTAGTTGTATCTGTGCTGGTTAAACTGATCAGATTATTCGCATTGCAATTACCAGGGGATGTCGAAAGAGGTTTTGCTTTCTCTTTTCCCTTCCCGGTGACGTGGGCATCGTTAGGCTTCGCCAATAACGGTGGACGAGGAAATGGCGCGGCAAGCTTCTGGACGCGTTCAAGTTCGATATTGTAATGTGTTGCTAAGAGCGACTGATGGAAATGCGAACTATTTGTCGCTCGATGCCTGGAGTAGTACCGTTGAGCAAGGCATACGCCAAGGCGAAGAGCACACTGAAGCAAAGAAAGCGAAGATGTATTGAGCAAGGCGTTCAACCGCTCACTACTATTAAACAAGCTTCGATTTCCGCATTTCTCCAGAAGGAGCCGGGAAAAATCTAATATCGACTCCACCAGCTCTCTGTCGCCCTCACGGCCAAAGCCAAACGCATCCAGTTTCGTTTGACATTCTTCTCCTTTTAACGATGCATTACCAGCAAGCAACTCATCAACCAGGAACAGCCGACCAAAAGGCTTCGTCTGTGGGCCAAGGTCAAGGTCGTATTTACTGATAAGCCGAGCCAGGATGTCATCAAACCGATTCAGGATGGGGATCCAGTTGTAAAGATCGCCTCTTGGGAACGGCCATCTGCGCGGGAATTGGGACAGCAGTGATGGTAGTTCTGGAACCGGAATTTCAGCAGCCGATTCGGCGAAGCGCCGCAAGGCCACGGACTGTCAAGGAACGGAAGGTTAGAACGATGGGTCACCCTTCAAAGGAGGTGCGAGTTTTGAAAGGGGGTGCTCACCTTTGTAGGCTCATGCTTGGGGCCCGGCACCTTGTCAATTCTCCCCATGATGCAGGTAAGCCTTACTGGCCACCATGTGAAAAGGCTGGATTACAGGTGTAGCTCTTCCGACAACGCTGATGGGTTCGCCACAAGTTGTGATGTCAGCGAGGAAGAGCTCTCGTTCTCGATATTGTAGAATTCAAGAGACCGATGTTCGCGAGGCCAAGGAGATTGTCAACTCACTGAACTATTCGGATCTCTAATGGTTGCGAGAAAAATGAGGGATGAGAATAAAAATGTGATTTGATGGGAGAGGGGTGATGTAGCTCGGATGATGTTGCAAGGCGTTGGCTGCAACTGAGGGCTGTGTGGAAAAGTACAAGAAAGATTTAGGGCACAAGTGCAGGTCGTGACCCTTGATATCTTCAATGTCGACTCCAAATTCCCTGCGTTCCGTGTCTAATTAAAGCGACGATGGAGGGAATGTTGGGAGCTTGTCGGTTCTGTAAGAAAAGTGTTGGAGACTCGCAACTAAGATCTTAGCAAAAGCATGGAGGGTAGGTTCGCCCGCCCAACTGACTGGTGAAGTTTCCCACGAGTGCGAGGTGTCCTCCCCTCCAATCAGCGTTTGCCGTCGCCAGTTAGCTCGCCCGGAGCGGATTATCTGTTCGGCCCCTCTCTCTCCTCTTTGCTCTCGTATTTGGATCAACATCGTTCGAGCAGCGCTGACATGGAACTCTCCCTGGCCATTGCTTTTCATCCATCTAGAAAACAGGATTCTAACTGATTTAATAAGCATTGCTATTGATTCGAATTCGTGATATTATTATTATTCTCCTACAGATACAAGTACCTTAGGAACTACATCGTGATACATACAAACATACCACATATCAGTCCTTAAAACAAGCCCCACAACTTGGAACACTCTAATAACAGGACAGGAAGTCAAAGATTTAAGGAAACTTCATACGATCAGTCGCTTTCACACTTTCCTGACTCACTGTGGAAGAGGCGGCAGCTCCCCGTCCCACAGCACCTTCATCGTAGCCGGGAAAGGAGAAACCTCGCTCTCATCTTCCGACATGTAAAGCGGGATTCCGCCTGGTCCAGGAATGCTATGCAGCTGTCCCTGGGGTCCGGGTGCCCGGCGCAGGTTGTCAAGTCTCCCCACAACCTTAAGCATGGTTGTAAGGCCTATTTGAACCATGCCCTTGCCCAAACACTCATGAGGACCGACGCCAAGGTGAATGTACGAATTTAGATCGCGAGTGAGGTCAACCTCATCGGGCTCAGGGAAAACCTCGGGATCCTTGCATGCAGACATCTGTTGTACCTGTTAGACATTTTTACTACCCATCTCCCGGGGTAGTTCTGGAGAAGCTCACCAAATTGCAAATGACTCGTTGTCCGGCATGCAAATTTACCTCTTTGCCGTGATCTTTAACCTTGCAATCTTTGGAAACATCGCGATACAGAGCTACAGTGGATCGTATCCGAGCTCCCTCCAAAAAGCTGTCCAGTTGTTAGCACATAAACATAGCAAGCCCATGGCGAACAATAACTTACTATCTCAGGAGAAGATCATCAGCCTCCTTGGTATTCAAGCCAGCCAGTCGACGAATTTCCGGCCAGTGTCTTGATCCTTGCTCCGAAAGGTAGAAATCAAGGCACTGAGAAAACAGTTGCGCTTGATTTGCCACCATGCCTCCAGCGGTGGGAAGGATATGTGTCCAGACAAGCTCATCAATAGGCATCTGTGTTGCTAGCAAGCGCCGTATCATATGAACCCCATAATTTGCGAGAGCTTCGTTTCCGTGCAGTTTGTCAATAATACTCCCAATAAAGCCAGTCTTCGAGATAGCTTGAACATTCAACATTACAAGCTCTCCGAGTTTCTGAGAATCGCTTCGAGAACGCTCTCGGAGCTTGAAACTTTGCGTTGGGTCGACGTCGTAAAATATGTAATTCAAAATCAGGGCCATGCTTCTGTAAAGCTCTGTGTCTGTGAAAACTCCATGTGGCAGCCCTTCTGTCTTAAGAGGAAGCAGAAAGATGTTCGAACTAAAGTGAATTGCGGCCAGATTGGCAACATCACGAACGATATCAACCTGACTAACTCCAGAAATTCGATGTGACTTTGAATGAAGCAGTTCTAGGGTTATTCGTTCGTAGAAAGCCCTAACCTGCCCGCACCAGTCCTCTATGTATAACGCTTTTTGCATCATTTGGCGTGAGTCCTCGTGCACCTGCTCATCTCCAGACAGCATAAAGTCAGCACCGTACGGAATAGAATTTCGCGCCATTAGATGCTTGACTTTTTCGCCCCAAGTGATCTTGAAATCTTCCTTATTGTGCAGTATCGCGTTGCAGGCGCCATGAGAAAGGATCACAGTGGGATGAGGCACAGCACCAGGTCTTTCCCAAGAGTATTTTTCAGCCAAGCCCAAGTCGCTCAGTATCTTCTTGTTCTCAGAGGGTATAACAAATGGGAAATGGGCGTAAACCGAATCGGGCTTGAAATGTCGGGGAAAGGCGCGGAGGATAAGCTTGTGGAATATGTGGCCATTGTTAACCGTCATATCGTAGTTTGCTTCGTTATATCCCCAGTTTGTAAGATTCTGTGGTGTATAGTCAACAGTATAAAATCTATCGCCTCTCACTAGTGCCACCGCATCGGAGAGGACTGTGCGGGATATGGTATAGCTGGCACATAGACCGCTTCCCGGAACTATACGGGGTTTTCCTTCCTCGACGACGATACCAGGGTACAACTCGACATTGTCGGGATGACCATAAAAGTGCCTCAATTGTTCCACAACCTCGGGATCTGAGTTGATATCTTCAAACGAGGTATGAGGGGCGAGGTTGAAATACTTCCGGAACTCATTGAGGCTCGACAGGTTCCACGAGCGAGCCTGGAGAATGCCCAATATCTCCACAGATCGCAAAACTTTGGGCACATGTCTCGCTCCAAAAGAGCCGGCGCAATCTTCAATGCTCTCCGTGAGGATTTTAACCAGATCGTTGTCATCATACGACCCGTTTGACTGCCGCTCAAGATTTGCAAACGGCCGTAACATAGGGTCATCAGGAATAGAACTCTGTAGTTTCCTGATTTTCCCCAGGAATTCTGGCATACCAATAGTGTCTAGGTCTTTTCCATCCAAAGCTTTCTCGAAGATTTCCTGCATCCAACGATCATCTCTATCAGAAAGGCAAGAATGCCATCGGTAAACCAGGTTGAATTCCGCAGCCACCATGTTTCCACCGGCCTCCTGAACAGGTTTGTGGCTCAAAAGTTCTTTCACATCCGAACGAGGGTCGAGGCTCCAGTCACTATCTGTCTGATTGATATTGAGAATGTTCCTAACATAGTCTTTCAGGATAATGTTTATGTAAAGGCCGCAGGTGATTAGGCGTCCAGTTTGGAAGAGATCGTTGTCGTACTTCGCACAGGCATCTGCATCACTCTCATCGGGTTTTCGGAACCGGTTATTTTCATTAATCGCTGCGAGATTTTGGACAACATAGTTGTGGAAACGATTGAACATAATAAGCAGAACACCAACACCAGGAGGGAACCCGAAAATACGCCTTTCAGAAAAGCAGTCCGGCCGGAGCTTCCCATCTTTAAACGTTCTAACTTGATTTTGCTCTTCCTGGTTGCAGCCGTACAACGGCGATAAGTCCAGGTATGAAGACGTCATGTTGCGAGAATTATCCCTTGGGTCCGTTCGGAAAAGGTCTAGTTACTTGTTAGATCGAATATTCTCATTTCGACAGTGCTGGGAAACATACCATGAATGATAAGAGCTGCAAGATAAAAGAGCACACTCGATAATTTGTTTGGGTGCTCTTTGAACTGTTGTCTTGCGAGAAGGCCGTCGAACAGGAGACCTGGATCTGGGCGCGAGGCTGGCTGTATCGATTTCGGCTGCACACTCCTTGCATAATTGGATCCCGCCTTTCCAATTTGAGGCCAATAGATATTCTGTCCAGTTTTCCATTAGCACAGCAGTGCGCACAATCACCCCGGGTGCGAATAAACATACATTATATGAGCCATCCGCCTGTCGATAAATAACATCGCGACCTAAATACCTACATCAATGTCAGCTAGCGGCCTTCAAAGTTCTTATCATCAGAAAACTTACGAGACCGGTGGGTGACTCAGGTCATTCCAAAGCTGAGCCAGCAGAGTATTTGTGATAGTAGTACGGTTGTGGGATGTACTGGGTAGCGACGAAGCCAGCTATAACGGAGTTTAGAATTGTGCCCGACAGTAGTCCATCCTCCTAACGTACCTGTATGACTCTTTCCATAATATAACGCTTGTCCTCGACAGGCGCACCACTGGCGGTATTCTTAAGAAGCTCCAGGACCGTCCCGACATCCTTGACATCCAAACTCCCAAGGTCCTGCAGCAGCCCACCCGTAGGCCCCTGGGACGGCGAGTGGTGTCCCGAATCAGGAGTTATCGGCCAGAGGGAGCCGTTGGCAATCCCGCCGAAATGGGGGAAATACTTCGCAAGGTCGTCAAGCACACCTCGGCGGGATAATGAATCCAGCACCATTTTCCGTTCAGAAGGCTGGGATTATAACTTGAGCAATTATTCGACACACGCTGAATACGACACTCGCAAAGGATAACTAGTTATACAAGAATATTGTAGGCGATTAAGCTGGAGAAAATCGGGGATTGGCCGGACACAACAGAGCAGAAACACAAAAAAGAAGAGATGCACCATGGACAGATATCTCCTCTTTAAATAGTTAAACGATTAGACGGAACCATGAGGCTCCGCCTGAACGATCCCGCCCACCCAACTGCACATGCTTCTCCCACCCGGTGCCAAAGGAAAAAGGGCATAATGAAGGTGAGGGCCGTGGCATTTCGTATTCGATGGGCTGAGCCTGACATGGGTTGCAACCCCAAAAAAGAGAAATGCGCCGCGTTCTTCATTCGGGGTCTCCGAAGCCGACCCTGATTCAAGGCCAATGCTAGTGGGAGTCAAGGCTTCCAGACCCCACTGCACGTTGACCAGCCGTGTCATATTGATGCGGGAGCGTCTGGGGAGCCAAAAAATGGGTTACCAGCTCCGCTGCAGAGTTCACCAGTCCGCGCCGCTTGGCACGGAGCTGATGCAGGGACAGCCAATTGGGATTGTGGACTGAGTGCGCTCAGCCCTACGCGTGCGGAGCGCGGCTGCTTGTGCGCAAGGTAGGTCAGCCTATCGCAATCCATGGTTATCGGTCTGGTTGACAAGGTGCTCAGCCTGCTGTGAAAGTAATAATAGAAACTGATTGACTGTGGACCTTGGGGTAATAGCTCTATGATTCATGACCATTCGGCGTTCTCTTCATTATCGGGTCGTTGATATTGCTCCCACTCACATCACTTCTCAAAATGGCCTTTAAAACCACTCAATTTATTTAGTTTAGTCAGTTGGCCAACCGCAAGTTACTACGTTGCGAGGTTGGTTCCTAGCATTAAGTCTAAGCTTTTGATTAGCCCTCCATGAACCATGTTTATGCTAGACACCATCATCCAGCGGCATGATGTAAATCTGAAAATCCCGACGACGAGAATAGACTAACCCCGAGGATAATCATTATTCACTGCCCGTGCCTACTCCAGCCATTGTATGCTGTCGTTCTAAATCCTCTTGAGGTTATTCCGTGCTCTATATAGAAGAATTTTCTTGTGCTGTCCCCTTGGGCTGAATCGCGGTACGTCTTTGCAGGTTTATGCTGTCATTTCTCCTTCGAGCTGGCTAGCTAAGGGCTGTTCTACTCTTGTATCTTGCTTGTACAAAGTGGAAGCCATATCCATCCAGATCCCAAGGTAGGACATCAAAGGATGTGGCAAGTCACGGCAAACGACAATATTTGTCCTTGTACTCCGTACCGGCGTTAGGTTCATAATGGTCTATTAACTTGGGATTTGAAGTCATAAAATTGGACCAACAGTCCAGGCGGTTGATAGGTGGATCTCGCCATGGGCACGCCGTACCAAATTTTGGGCGGAAGAAGATCCTGTTTATGCTGGAAAAGTGGCAGAGCGCCTTGTGATCGTCGGTTAAGCACCAGGCTACCGTAGCCCCTTCCCGAAGCCTCGTCCGAAATAGTCTCATTTTGTATTCCGATTGGCACGATTCTCGCACGCTGTTGGGATATGATCATGCGCGCTTCTTCGGCATCTTCTATAATCAACGAAAGCACAAGATGGAGGCATTACCAGAACAGCTGCTGCAATATGCAGTCGCGTTCGAATATAAGTCGAACAGAAAGTTCATGAACCCTGGGACCCTTAGCTGTTCATAAGCCAATCTGCAGCACGTAGAAGATGCCGCCTTGTTGGAGCACCTTTTGTATGTTACCGGTTGTTATATCCTCGTTTAGCTATGTAGTTCATACTATCCGTACTGCAATTTGTCTTGCTCTTACAAAACGCAAACCTCCGTAGATCAATCTGGTACAATCTTCTCGCATTTCTACCTGTTAAAGCTCTATTACCTCATGGTGCGAATGTATAGATATCATTCCTCTAGCAAAAAAGACCTTACCTGGCACTTAATCTAAACCTCCTTTTTGCAGAAAAAGGAGATATGGGCCAAACAAACCTCTCAGGGCCAGACATCTCTCATGAATCCAAACAGTAGATATACAACCCGAAAGGCAGCCTGGCTTACAGAGAGCTCGCATTGGGTCGTCAGAGCATGGTAAAAAGGAAAAGGGAGCAGCCAAGCCACCAAGTCTTATACGTTCCCTCATGGCCAGCGCTCGAGTAAGATAATGAGGCGAAGTCAAAGTGAAACCAATACTTTGGGTGGTTAAAAACCAGTGTGAAAGAGACAAATGCTCCCAGCGCCCCGTCTGGGAGACCGCAAGCATCAGCCTGCTGGGACCGTAAAGAAGTTACTTATTCCTCTAAGGAGGGGAATATTGCCACATTTCTTAGTTTAATGACAAAAGACCGTGAGAGGAGCATTGTTGTACGGTCGAGGTTAAAAATACCTATAGATTTTGTTGAGTTTGAACTCCCATGTTATTGTTCGGTTGACGATTTTAAGCTTCTTTCGGCGGTCTCCCAAGACTCGAAAGCCACCACGCTCGTCCTCCAAGCGTCATCGAGCCGACCATAAATTTTTGTCGGTTCAAATCAGAAACACATCTTTACAACACGTGTTCCGAGCTTGCAATTTCCTAAGAGCTAATATCACCGCTATAAGCTTGCCTGGACGGTTGAACGGCCACAATGGCGTCTCAAGAAATTACGCTTGAAATAAAACCCAGAGGTAGGTCCACTCTTCTCGGGAAGCTCGGAGTGAGGAACTAACAATTGGATTCTCCAAAGGGAAACCAATTCGAAAGCTCCCCAAAAGCATCTCAATCGGCAGGGATGCAACCGCAGTTAGCCTCTATGTTTCCATTTCCCAGCAAGCCCAATTCTCCATCCATCGTTTGAGGATCACCAAGGCCAGTGATGGAACGTTGGTCAAGAATAGCAAGGATATCACAATTGAATCGACGGGTCTTCGCAACCAGAGCGTGATATATGTTAAAGATCTTGGTATATCATACTCTCAGATAACCGCCTAGAACCCCCGTTTGGCCATGTTTAGAAGGTCGATCATAGCTAACATCCAGGTGTTTTCTTGATAAAATAGGGCCCCAGGCAGCATGGCGTACAGTCTATTTCATCGAGTACCTTGGACCTTTAATCATGCACCCTCTGCTCCTTTACGTTATTCGTCCATACGTTTACCGGAGCCCCAGCCCTCTACCCCCGCCCTCGGATCTCCAGCGCCTCACTTGTCTCCTGTTAGTCCTGCACTTCGTCAAACGCGAAATCGAAACCCTGTTCATTCATCGATTCAGCCTGGCCACCATGCCAGCAAGCTACATTGTCCGTAACAGTGCACACTACTGGATTCTTGGTGGAGCCAACCTCGCGTACTGGGTTTTCTCCCCAAGCTCACCCACCGCAAGGTCCGAAGCGAACCCCATCCTGCTCTACGCTGGTCTCACGCTCTTCACTTTTGGTCAATTGGCGAACTTCAACGCTCATCTGACACTTCGCAATCTCCGAAAGGAGGGTGATACCACGAGAAGGATTCCTACTGGGTTTGGCTTTAATCTTGTCACCTGCCCGAATTACTTGTTCGAGGTTATTGCGTGGCTTGGTATTTACCTTGTCAGTTCATTGAGCTGGAGTATACTGCTTTTCATCGTTGTTGGTTCGGCTACCATGATGCGGTGGGCTGGCCAGAAGGAGCGCAGATACAGACGAGAATTCGGTGACAAGTACAAGAGAAAGAGATATGTCATGTTCCCAGGCATTTGGTAGTTAAGGGAGTACATAAACAAATCCTGGATACTCCTTGGAGAGCGGTGGTGTTAAAGTAGATGTGGTCCAATGTCTCCCAGCTTGAACGGTAGTGTGTTGTGTGACATTTTTAGGTTCCAATAGGTGTGTCTGTTGATAGTCCAGACATTAAAAATAGATCTAGCAGTTGGAAGCTCAATACAGACCTAATTTTCTCGGAAAACTTGTCTTATCTACTATCCATTATCGCCGACCCCGGTTCCCCTGAATACCTCAATAAATCAGCCCATGGAATTGGTTGGGGAGGAATCAAGTACGCAAACAAGGTCTCCATTGTACAATAATACTGTAAAATTAAAGGATAATTCTGATATGCCCCGGCCAAAAAAAACGAAATCAAAAGAGCAATCAGATGATAGACGGCAAAAAGGCAGCCCCGCTGAGTTAAAAAAAAATAAAAATGTTCATATCATGTCAGAGACATCAATTCTAGTGGCTCTTCGTCATTTATCATTGCCTGTCTTCTTCGCCCATTCTTGAAAATATGGCTCCATTTCTTGCTCGCAATTCCGTTGTCCACCCGCTTCGCAGCCCTTGAATCGAATGAGAAAATCGCCTTCGCGATACTTGCCGCTGGCAGCTGGTTTGGATGATTGTGGACTATAAGAGTTTAATATTCGCTGTGGGACGAGGGCAAGCCTGGCGAGCATGGTCGGGTGCCATTGTACGATGTGGTCCTAGAATCATGTGTGTTAGAATCATACTGGAAGAACCATGCATGGGATTGGATCTGATGGCGTACAAGAGCATGGGTTTCGGCTTTGGCAAAGTTATAGCGCCGATATAATGGGTCAAACCAAGCGTCGAGGAAGTATTTCGCCCATTCTCCCTGTCTGATAACGAAGCTACCGGGGCATAAGTTCTCCGCATCTTGAGTAATAACTAAATCGACATCCTTTCCGGATAAGTGGCTGAAGGTTTTTATCACGCTGTCTGGCGGCACAACGGGGATGTCTTTGAGCATAAGGGACTCGAGCTGCTTGGGATCGAGAACGTGTGAGGTTATAGGTATCGTGGGATCCATGATAAGTGAATGAGGGGAGAGGTGGAAGAAGTATGTGCTTCCGGGATATAATGTCATCGCATGCCGGACGGCCGGAACACTTGCCCAGCTTCGAGGGGCATTGTTAAGGACGGAGACGTATTCCGATGTACTTGCGAAGAAGTTGATGTACCCTTATCCAATCTGTTAGCCGTTGCACTAACATTGAACTGCAATCCGCTCTGAAGAGACGCTAGATTCCGGAGAATAATACCATGTCGTTTCACATAGTCCTCCCGATTCTGCTTGATCCGCTGGATGTACTTATCACTTAAACTTTGCTCGTCCAGAACCGTGACCAGCACCACTTTTGGCCCACTAGCAACCGTCGTCGTCGAAGAATCACCGGAGGAAAAAATATGGGAAATAAAGAAGAATACAGAAATGATTATGAACCCCAGAACAGCAACGGATTTGAGTTGTCGACGCCGTAGGGCTGAGGATGGTGAGGGTCGAGCATACAGGGGAGGATTTGAGCTCTTCCGCGGAGGTAAAGCGAACTGCATGGTCGTGGTGAATGTGATCCGAAAGAGTTGCCCCTTTCTACTCTCCCATCGATGCGAGCGCCGCACTATCTGCAAGGAGACAAGAGCTATCGAAGGCTCCTGGATGCATTGATGAATGGCATCTGGATTGCTGGTCAACCGATTTTTGTCTCAGACCTCGTGCTGGAGATGAACCTTGGCGAATTGGCCTAGCCCCATTGCGCTTCCCACCAATCAATGATACGAAGAGGAGTCGCTGGCAGTCTTACGCCGTGGATCCTACTTTTGTATGATGCGTCGAAATTGCAATCGGATGCATATCCAAAACAAGTTGCAAATAGCATTTATTGCATTCCATATTTACAATACTCCGGATGCGCACAAAGACCTTCTTGGTACGGAGTACTCCATGCTCCGCAGCCAGCTGTACCACCAGACAAGGATTCCACAGAGTCTCGTCAGAATCAGTGCCCAGCATCAGACATGGAGGCATTGTCTAATTTAACAAAGCATACCGCATAGTTGTCATTCCTATGCCTTGTCTATTAAAAAGAAAAACTTGCTCAGGCAGCGGAAAAGAAATGCCAAAATCCCATGCCAAACATAACTTGAGAATACATGAAATCTAATATACATAACGATCGGATCCGGGTGGAGCATCGGCTTCGAAAGGCCCAGTAAATCCCTCCTCCCAAAGCCACCAGAATGCTTCGGCGGATTTCCCCATACACCCGAAGCTTCTTACAATGGTTTGAATGTTTTTTTTTTTTTTTTTTTTTTTTTTTTTTTTTCCTTTCTTTCTTTCTTTTTTTTTTTAATCCCCCGGAATGGAGCAATCCTCTCAAGCGGTATTGAGATTTGGAGCCGGGGCAGTCTCGGATGGGGTGTCAGCAGCGACTGTCACTTTGATCTCCGCCGGAGGCTGTTCGGCGTCTTCAGCGGCCGCCTGAACCTGCTGTTCCATCGTGTGCCGGGCGAGATATTCCTTGAACGTCGCTGGCTTCTCCAAGCCCAACTCTTTCCTTTCTTCTTCGAATCGCTTCCTCATGGCTTTCGAGGTCATAACTTTCCATCGCAAGCCCCAGCCAAATATGCCCAGTTCCTTTATTCTCGAGGGCTTGTCGCTGAGAAGGTATTGATCCAATCCGCCCTCTTTCTTAATTGTTCTTAGCACTCGATGCTGCACTTTAAGATCCAGCCACTTTTCTAAGGCCTCGCTGTAGAGCTTCTCCTTGCGGATATTTGGTTTCCAGATTCTCCTCGTCTTCCCTTCATTTCTGCCCTTGGATATCTTATTCCCAAATTGAATGGTTGCGCCTCCGTAAAGACCGCTATCGGCCTGTTTAAAAGTGTATCTTGGTCCGTATGGGTAAGGAGGAATATAATCTGGAAGCGTCCTGGTTCTTTGAGAGGGAAGGGTCGTGGAGAAGTTTCGTCTTGATGCGAGAGAGAGATTGTGGAAAGCGGAGGAGAGGGAGGAGAGGGACGCCGCCGGCCTAGCTGAACCGGCCAGCATTGGAACGATTGATTTCCGGAGACTGAGTAAAAGTTCGCAATTGAGTAAAAAAAGAAAAAAAATTAGAGAAAACTTCGAGCTTTTCTTTGTAACAGAGGCTGGATTGGTCGAGGTGCAACCGTTTCCGACTAACTGCCCGTCGCCGTGCTGAAGATCAAAAGATGGTTTTGCACTAGAGCTCCCAATCGGGATTAGCAGCTAAATTCAAGCGCGGTTCCACGTCAGCCAATCAGCTGCCGGCCGCAAAAAGTAACCGGCCGTTGGATCGCTTTGAGCCCGGAAAGAAACAGCAGATCTACTGAGCTTGCGGCCGCCCGAGCCTGACCTTCAGACTTTGTTTTGCAAGGCAACGAATACGGCGATAACGAATTTTATTCATCGTACCCACAAGGTTTATAACTAACATCCGTAACTCTGGGCCCGCCAGTCCAGAAATACGGGTTAGCAGGAGCTCAAGATGGTTCAGATCAGCGAGGTGAAGGGCAATTCGCGGGAGAACAGAACAGCAGCACATACGCACATCAAAGGGCTGGGTCTACGATCAGATGGCGCAGCTGAACATATCAGCAGTGGTTTTGTCGGCCAGGCCGCTGCCAGAGAAGTGAGTTCGACCCTTTCGTGGAGCCACAGAATTGCTACTGACGGACCTGCTTATAGGCATGTGGAGTTGTCGTCGACCTGATAAAGTCAAAGAAGATGGCTGGACGCGCAGTATTACTTGCCGGAGGACCAGGAACTGGAAAAACAGCTTTAGCTCTCGCCATTTCGCAAGAGTTGGGAACAAAAGTACCCTTCTGTCCGATCGTTGGCAGCGAGGTCTTCTCAGCAGAGGTCAAGAAGACAGAAGCTCTTATGGAGAATTTTCGTCGGGCCATTGGTGCGTATGCCAATTAGATATGCTGTTGTATGGTTCTGACATTCGATAGGTTTGCGTGTTCGTGAGACAAAGGAGGTTTACGAAGGGGAGGTGACGGAGCTCACTCCCGAAGAGGCTGAAAACCCATTAGGTGGCTACGGGCGGACGATAAGTCATTTAATCATCGGACTCAAGTCAGCTCGAGGCACCAAGAAATTACGACTGGACCCAAGCATATACGAAGCTATTCAAAAGGAGAAGGTTGCGGTCGGAGACGTCATCTACATTGAAGCCAACACTGGGGCCTGCAAACGCGTTGGGCGATCAGATGCGTACGCAACAGAGTTCGACCTGGAAGCAGAAGAATACGTTCCCGTTCCAAAGGGCGAAGTCCACAAGAAGAAAGAAATCGTACAAGATGTTACACTCCATGATCTTGACGTCGCCAACGCAAGACCACAAGGCGGTCAGGATATAATGAGTATGATGGGCCAACTTATGAAACAAAAGAAGACCGAAATCACGGATAAACTACGGCAGGAGATCAATAAAGTCGTTAACCGCTATATTGATCAAGGCGTCGCCGAGCTAGTCCCCGGCGTCCTTTTCATTGATGAAGTATGTTTATTTCATCATTCTCCCTCAAACAGTTTCCCTTGATAAATCAATCGCCTAACATTCACCCCTCCAACAGGTCCACATGCTCGACATCGAATGCTTCACGTACCTCAACCGCGCCCTCGAATCCACTATCTCCCCCATCGTCATCCTCGCCTCCAACCGCGGCAACACCGTCGTGCGAGGAACCGGCGACATCGTCGCAGCCCACGGCATCCCTCCAGACCTCCTTGCCCGCCTCCTCATCATCCCAACCCACCCTTATAGCCCCGAAGAAATCAAAACCATCGTGCGCCTCCGTGCAAAGACGGAAGGCTTGCAGATTACCGACGCGGCCCTGGAGAAAGTCGCCGCACACGGTGCGAAGGTTAGCCTCCGGTATGCGCTCCAGCTACTCACTCCTGCGAGTATACTGGCACGGGTGAACGGTCGGCCTGGTGGGATCGAAGAGGCGGATATCGCAGAGTGTGAAGATCTATTTATTGATGCAAAAAGGAGTGCGGATATTGTTTCAAAGGAAACAGGGGGCTTTATTTCTTGATCCCATTCATATGTATTTGGAGCATTATTAAGTGTTTATTCGATACTATTGTGCTGTATACTGATCATGAATACCGAGATCATAATATATTGCTTGAGAAGGTTCTAAGATCGGGTAGATGTAAAGAGGCTAATCTACACAATAAGACCATAGCAAAGAAAATAACAGAGAGGTCAAAGAGTCTGAGGACTTTACACGGCGTACGCTACTCATGGTTCTCAGCGGGAAGTAATATATACATGCTGCCTAATAACCAATACTACCCCTACTATGTAAATATATCCTCCAGCTTAATGAATATACCAATAAGGATATCGTAGTTTAAAGAGACAGCACCGATCAAAAAGATGGCGCAGCCTGACTACCAACGCCAACAGTATTGAGCCGCGATCCAACAGGCCAACCCCGACCCCGATAAAGTCCTAAGCAATACGTAGTACGTGTTGAGATGGTCGCTAATATTCCCGGGACTGCTCCACATAGCGGATGGGGAGCCTCCGAATAACCGCGTCGTGTGTTCGAATGGCAATGAGCGAACATGCCACAATCAGCCAGTCAATTATCCATAAAATCGACCTGATCGAGTAGTCCCAGAAGTTCAATTGGCGAGGTGGCTTATAATCTATGGCAGAATCATTCACTGTGAACGGCAGTTTGGCGTCGAGGTATCTAGTCACAAGCTGGAAAGCACTCCGAACTCCATCCTCATGCAGCCCATATCCTGTCCAGGAGCCGCAGAAAAGTAAGTGTCGGTCCTCGACATTTTGAATTTCGTGAAGTTTTTCACGTGCGTTGAGCGCTTTGGCATTGAGTAGTGGGCGTCGGTACTCCCATCGAGCCACTATTTTGGCCGGGTTAGGATGAACTATCGGGTTAAGTGTGATGCATAAAGCACTTTCACGACAGTTATAAGCATCAAATGAATTTAAACGATAGCTCACAGAGAATGCATTGAAATTCCCGGGCGGAAATGCCGAACTGTCGGCCCAATTAATATACGCTGAGATATTTCCGGTTGATATAAACTAGAGATAAGCGCAACAGTACGTTAGCCGTTTGAACTGGGGGTTATCTAAGAAACAAAAAGAGGCTTTTACGAAATGGCTGCAAATTTTAAGAGAAAAGAGAACTTACTCTTGGATCTGAATGTAGCCAGGCTTCAATTTTAGTCGTCTCAAATGCGCTTAAAATAGCCTGCTCCTTTTGAGTTGCCCCGGAAGATAAAAGACGGAGAGCCTCCTCGGGGGAAACGGCAAATATAACATAGTCATAGAGCACAGGTACAGGTTCTCCTAAGGTTGAGACACGTAGCTTGGGGCAGCCGTTCCGGAGGACAACCTCAACCGTGGTTACTTTGCTGCGAAGATGGATTGCCTTAGTTTTGCTGCGTAGAACAATACGCTTTCTAACTTTTGCTTCAGTTCTGGTGCTTGGTTCGACGATATATACTTCTGGAGCCAACGCCATAATACCAGAACTCCACAGGAAGCCGACGAACTGTTCGACCGAAAGATCGCGGAAATCTTTCTCAGATTGAACATTCCACACAATTTGGGCCATAGGCACCAGATAATTCTTGATGAAGATACTTGAGTAACGCTTCTCGTTCAAATATTGACCGATTGTCCGCCTAGTAGGGCATCTGCTCTCAACAATGATCTGAATATCATTTTGAACTGCTTCCCTGCCTCTCAGGAGGTCCAGAGAAAAATAATGGAATCTCCAAATGTCGAAATACAATTTCCAGGTATCCAACCTCAGCCAATCGCGGACCCGAGAATTCGCCACTTTGAGAAATGAAAAGCCCATATCGAACTGTTTGCCGTTCTCTCTTTTTGCAACTGAAAAGCTGAACGGGGTGCTGATGTAAGGTATCTTCAATCTGCCAAAAAGTTCTTGGAGGTGTGCTAGTCTGTGTTAGCTCTAGCTGGCAAAGTGCACAACTAGATCTTACTCACAGGAAGTGCCTGGGAAGAAATTAATGAAGCTCTTATTGATGTGCACATCATTTGGCTGGGTCCCAGCAGCAATTGGTCTTGTTAGAGTGCCGAGGTCATTGGTCATCTCGAAAAGCTCAACAACGTGATGAGTCTTCTGCAAAGCCCAATAGGCTGCAAGACCAGAAATGCCACCACCGACGATAGCAATCCGTTTTCGGGGTGTCTCTGGTACCTTATCGAGTTCAATGGGATCATCAGTCATCGGGGAGTCAGGGTCAGGAACCGACTCGATCTGCGATACCCGAGGGGATTTGGTGTTGAAACGATCAAGGTAATCCTCGAGCGGTGAAGTATAGCGGGGAGTGCCCCCGTGGCGACTTGAAGCATCTGTGCTCTGAGCCATCCTTGAAGAGATTGGTATAAAACGAAAACGGATGCGGAATCTAGCGACAGACTGAAGTCGTATTATAAGATATAAATTTACATGAATATTAATATAGCATATGCCAGTGACTGATACAGGGGACGGATGGATGCAACGATGATTTATTCGGGTATATGATGAGAAGAAGAGTGCGTAAAGAGATACCTATATACTCATCGCCGAGTATACACCTTCCTAGGGCTCAGCGGCCAGACAAAGGAAAGAAAGACAAGCTGAAGGGCGACTGCTCTTCAGCGATGCAGAGGAGGAGCGGATCGCATTTTCCATCATGTTTAGGACAGCAGATAAACGCTTCGCGGATGAAGCGTGTTTTCTCCATTGCACTGAGTTTCCCTGGGGGTTTGCTTTCTCCAGCACCCGACATGTCAACGAGTGCAACGGCACAAGAGAGATGCGGTCAAAATTACTAGTGGTAATATATTACAGATTTCGTACGAAATTTGACTTCGGCGGAGAGACGGAGAACGGACCAGCATCCATCCATGACACCGCAGCGAGAGACAAGGCACCCACGCTTCACCTAGTTCACGTCGTTCAACGTCGCATGCCACACACCATTATCGCTTCCATCAACGATATATGAGGTCGTTGTGACCAAAGATTCGATCCCTCCTTTTGGTTCTATCCTCATCTCACCAGATCCTGTCCTCGCGGGTTGACAACGTATCGCCCCCATCTCCGTCCCGGCGGCTTCCACAACATCCAGGCATACTTCAAGTTAGCACCCGATATCAACTTTCTCGACTCTATCTTTCAATATCTACGCGATGTCGAACCCGTTAGACACAGATGCTGGCTCTGAATTATTTAGCAGCTATGAAGCTGAGCTGAAACTCGTCCAGGCGGACCTCAACCAGAAACTCGACCAGATCGCTGAGGCTGTAGGAGAAGAAAGGAAGTCGGCCATAAGACAGGCCGAAAGAGCGCTAGATGAGGCCAATGAATTGGTGAGGATATTCAACCCTCACTCCGGTATCCCTAAACAATCGCTAACTTAAGCCGTCTTGGCTCTATAGCTCGACCAGATGCGCATAGAGAAGGAGAACATCCCGTCCACAACCCGTTCAAAAGTCAACGCACGGTTCCGGAACTTCTTGAGCGACATCGATGAAGTAAAAAGAAAGTTAAAGTCCCTTTCCGATGATCGTAAAGCCCTCTTCGGTGATAGATATAGAGATGAACCTAACAGTGTCAATGATCAACACCTTGAGCAAAGACAGCAACTCCTAGAAGGGACAGAGCGTTTGGGTCGGAGTTCAGCTCGTCTGCAGGAGAGCCAGAGGATAGCACTGGAGACGGAAGATATTGGTCGAAGTACACTAGCAGACCTTCATATTCAGCGCGAGACGATCGAGCATACGAGGGCTGGATTGTTAGAAAGTGAGGGATATGTCGATCGAAGTGTGAAGACGTTGAGGGGGATGGCACGTAGGTAGTACTACCCTCTATACTATTCCCATCTATGTGGATGCGGATGCTGATTTTCTGACAGGATGGCTACGAATCGGATAATTACTATTGCAATTATCACCGTTCTCATTCTTCTTATCGTTGCGGTTGTCTACAGCAAGTTTCATTGAATGACTCGAATAGGTAATATACGGCGTTTTAGGTGATGTTTGATATCCGTTTTTGCAGCCAGCATCACAACCCTTGTATGATTTATTGCTTTGCATTTTTGGCTTCCGGCAATCAAAATGATTGCCTGCATGTTGCTTTTTATAAGATCGCTTTTTGTATAAACCAGCCGGGGGTGTCATATGTATAGTCACATCTAATAACGCCTCCAAATAACATGCCAATCCTAACATCCCACACTCCAGCGCCGATGTATACAATGCCAAAAAAACACATGTCAACTAATTCATCCACCTTACCGCGCCAAAGCCAAAGTTAACCAGTAAGCCCACAAACACAGCCAGTCCTTTTCGCCAACTCCACACCCCTTCCTCCCTCAGCAACCATATCCCGCATCCGATCGGCCAGAAGAAGCCCATCACCGATCCCCATAGCATATCATCCAGAACGCCAGACACGTCGCTGCTCACATTGCCAAATGCATCTCCGCCCGTCAAGTCACCGCCAGCTCCGCCGCCTGGCAAAGCGTCGTTGGAACCTTCGTCCATCCAACGATCTTCAAGGCGACGGAGCTCCTCCCCGACAGGCATAGTATCAGGTGTGTGTGAGAGGGACTGGAGAGCAAGGAACTGGGAACGGAGAGCGGAGACCTCGGCGACAGTGAAGCCAGCGGAAAGCAGGCGATCGAATCCGCGCGGGGCAGGAGTAGTCGTAGAGGCACCTGTCGCATGGGACGGATCGTGTATGTGGTCTTGGGGAAAAGCGGGAGCGCCAGAAAGGTGGGAGCCTGGAAGGTCAGGTTCACCGGGTATCGTAGACAATACGTGGGACTGTCGAGCCTCTTTTACCAGCTCCTCGTCAGAGAGAACGATGTCACCGATTGAACAGTGGATGTATAGTATCCTCTTCGTGGCGTGAGACGGAATATCGAGTCTTTGCGTGTCATGGGCACCTCGGATCGGCCGTTTGCCCTTGACATCCCCGGGCTCCAGCTCAAATTTCAGGCTCACACCCAATCCCACCCCATCTTCAAGTGCTTTTCCCGCGTGGATCAGGCGTAATCTCCTCTTCGCTAAATCGCCAGGTAGCTTCTTCCGAATCAGCTGTTTTAAACCGGCTGTAGTTGTCGATGAGGGATCGGGTACTTCCAGGCGGAGATCTGGGATAGAAGCAGAAAAACGGATTGTTACAAGAAGGTCTTTTTGTGCAGCAAAGGTTTGAAAGCTGTTTGTATCTTCCATTGTGAACTACATTGAAGTGGTTAGTGTGCTTGTATAATATATTTCATTTCGTCATCCTCCGTGCAAGGTACTTCTGTACAGTTGGAGTCCGGAACTCCGCCGTGGTCGAGCTAATCCGAGTCATGTGATATCGGTTGGGGCGAACGCAACGACCTCAGGAGGAAAAATACTAGGAATGAAAGTGAGACTCAGGAGTTGTGAATTCAGGTTTTTCAATTATTATTATTCCAAAATTCGGAGTCTAGCCTGGATCAATTATATTCATCTGAAAAGCGTGGCTCTTCTATTGACAAAAGGTCATCAGCTGCCTCCTCAAAGCAAATTGCTTTGGGCCTCTCATCGACACACGAGTGTAAGTCGACATGTATATATTTAAAAACCACAAACAACGAAGAGTCGGGTATTCCGTTAGATAGAATGCGGAAGATAGTCTTGCTTGAAAATGCCATATAAACAGTAGCAGCAACAGATACAAAGTCTTTCCAGAAAATAAGACCGTCCTAAAACGCCAGTGTAAAAAGCCGTAATATTGCAAAAGCGGTCATCATACCATGAATGATTCGCCACAGCCGCATTCATCCTCTGTCAGATGCAATTAGTATATTATCCCGTCTCAAGTATATGGCATAGAGAACCTACTTATGTTGGGGTTCTTGAACACAAAACGGCTTGCCAGCTTATCCTCCTGCCAGTCCATCTCGCTGCCAATTATGCTGAACAAGGCTTTGCTGTCGATCAGCACTTTAATGCCGTCTTGTTCCACCACTTCATCAAAAGGCGCCGGTTTCTCAACGAATTCCAAATGATATGCCAAGCCGGAGCAACCCCGATTCTTCACACCCACACGGATCATCTTGGGATCTGGCTGAGACAGCAGATTGCGTATTTGCTCTACAGCCGCTGGTGTGAGAGTCATCGCAGCTTTGCGCGGTCGTAATTTACTCCGACGCGGCTTCTTCGTGGCTTCCGCGGATGATGGTGGGGTTGCAGGGGTCGCGGGAGTCTGGGTAGGAAGTGGGTGGGCTTTGTGCGCGTCGCTTTCTGGGAGGCTATAACGCTTGAAGCGGTCGGGACCCTTTGTGTAGGGGAGATCTGATGGCAGTTCGGCACCGCCTATACCTGGAATGGCCTTTGAGATAGAATGGTCTGAAGCCTCAAGGTTTCGTGGAGGAAATGGCTCGGGCAGGGTTTGCGGTCTGTAGGCTGTTGCAGTTTGCAGTTCGCGCTTTGATGACTGGTAGGACTGCCGGCAGGACGAGAAGGCCCTAGTTGTCTGCGAACATGCTCGGCGACTGGCGTCTCGATAGATCAGCCTCATGGATGATGTCACTGAGTTGTGAAAGAGGGACATGATGGCTGAGAGGCAGGAAACTGAAGTCCTAACAATGGGGGTTCATAAGCAAGAGAGAGCTGCCTAGGAAAGATCAATTGGTGGATGTTGGGGAGGTGAAGATGAAAAGGTGCCGCACGACAGTTGGTCATTTCTTGTTTGCAGCTTCATCACAACCTTTAAACTCAGGCCAGCAGTTGAGCAAATTCACGGAAACATCGCGGCAAAAAGTGGCGCCGACAAGGAGCCCCACGACAGCCAATCAGACGCCACATGTTTCTATTCACCTGGCGTGGAGTGGCGTGGCTGGTCCCTACGGCTGCTGATTAAGCGGTGCCGAGGCCTGCGGAATCAAATAGTTCTCCGTGCCACAGGACTACAGAGTATTGGTCCCGCTTCCCTCTGTCGTCACCGGGCAGAAACAGCGCCGGCCTTACAGATCTTGCTGCATACCAAAGGTGGTGTTGCGGACTTTAGCCGGAAAGCCATCGAGGCCTGCTGTTATACTCGGAGAATATCTCCTTGCATCTCCTGGCTTCTCCTGGCTTCCGCTTTCTTTCAGGAACAAATAGTCAGCTCACCGGTTATGGCTGGCTTCCGACAATAACCATCTCCCTTAAGCCTATCATCTCCTACTTCCCCAAGCTTCTCACGAACAATACCTTGTGGCCCCGCACAGTTAGAGGCTGCTAAGAGCCACGCCGTATTTTATCTGATTTGCTCGGCATGCAAAAGTAGAGATCGCATGGAAGCAGCCTCCTATTGGCTCAACTTAACGCCTGCCGCTTAGATGACGTAAGCCGCGGTTGTTGAGGTCTGTTTGCAGTGTTCGCTCCGGAAATTGGTGAGGCAGCGATGCTCGTTGTGTGAGAGACGGGAATGCTGGAGGGTGCGAGGACAGCTTGACATCTATTTCATATTTTCGAGTCTTGAGACGATGTAATCATATCATCTGTATAATTCATCTCTTCATCCTGAATCATGGAGTCGTCCCCTTTGACACAACAGACCCGTCCAGAAGCCTTCCAGCCCAAAATAGTCCAGCTCTATGAAAACTTACTTTTTGTACGTCTCCGAAGACCCTTCAAATTTCCGCCCTATGACTATGGTTGGTCATTCATATTTATATGTTCTCTAATGTCCTGGTTAGAATCCCGACTATGTGGAACCTACGGAGGGATTTTGGCGGGAGTTCTTACTTCTCCCGCCCGACAGGCCGTCCCTTGCTGAGATGCTCAACCGGATAGGTCCTGATGATATGCTGCACATTCAGGTATGCTTCGACTCAACTACTCTCCTACCGCCTCATCTGGCTCCCATGTAAGCTTGTTTCCTGACTCCCCTAGGCCCAAACCCAGCGCCTCTTTGCCCGTGCTATACGAGAGTCGGCTTCTGGGAAGGACCCAGTGAATTCCCACGCTCTGGAGGTACGTAGCCACCTACCTCCTTTCAGTATCTACTCGATTAATTTGTTTCCCTGGCAGACTTTATCCACCTTCCTTGGTGGTGTTTTGTCGAAGAAATACACCAATCCAAGTGCAGATATCATCACCATCCTTGCAGGTTTACATGAAGTAGACCAGGTATTCTCAGAATTTGTTTCCGTCTTAGACGGCATTATACGGAATGGAACAAACCGTATGCATCGTTCGCGTCTCTTAACCTGTACCGGAAGGGTGATGCTCACATTTGGTAGTGGATCTACGGTCGAAAGCTGTGGATGCCGCGATTGCAATAACGAGCGGCGCTTATAAAACCGGCCTTATTTCCTACTTTATGCATCGAGATTTATTTCCATCTCTAATGAAAGTTTGTTTTTCTTCACATCGGCTCAGTATACATGAAGGCTGACGATTCTCCAGCTTGTACATGATTCCGATACCCCCATGCAGATTTTCAAGCCTTTTTTGTTATTGGGACTCCTTGCGAATTACAACAAGTTCGAGTTTCAAAACCCCTACCAACTGCGACTCGATGATTTTGTCAACGAAGCAACGATTTCGAAGATCGTCCGGGGCGTTGGCAACACTTGCTCCATTCTAAGGAACTCTTATGTTGCAGTTCAAGATGATCTTCCCGAGGGATGGACTTGGAGCGGTACGCTGGCGTTCTTCGGACTTGGTGTGCTTGCTGGAAGGTCCAAAACCCAGCCGCTCACCACCGAGGAGATTAAAGAGCGGTTTGCAGAGCTGTGAGTGAAGTTTCTTTTTATCATGATCGAAAGTACTAGAACGCTGATGACCCTCAGTCCTTCATTTGAAGCAGCAGTATTGCTTTCAATGTACGAGTTTATCAATGCAAATAAGCTGTTCTCCCATTCCCTCGTTTTGTCAACGCCGGAGAAGCGCTCCGAAGAGTCGCCGTTCTCTAGCTTCTTGTCTTTAACCTCGTATATGCTTCAACACGCCTACAGATCTGTGCGAGTGGCCCTCTACTCCGAAGCAAATTTGCTGTCTCTGCAAATTCTCGTGGAGGATCCTGTTCTGTGCAAGCAGATATGCAGCGATGAAAACAAGAGATCTGTGAGACTCTGCCGGCAGCGAACGCCCCATCTCCCATTGGTAAATGGGGATAGGGTCTTAGCCACTGTCATTTTTGACATAATGATCGACACTATCACTCATAATCTTCGCAAAAGTCTTGATGTCTTCCTTTACAGGTGGGTGCTGTTTAATCTTCATGAAAGTCTCTCTCCTAACCGATCACTACTAGCCATGTGATATCCATAATCCTCCGCCTCTTAACGTATGTTTCAGCGAACAAAACCCGCTTACAATACCACTGGTCCGAACTATGGCGCAGTCTACTGACCCTGGTTCGTTTCCTCACCACTTACGCCACCGATTTGTCTTCCGACCCAAACATTCATCTTCTCACGACAGATTTAATTAACCTCCTTGCATTTTGCATATCTGCTGGCGATACCTTTCTCCCCGACCCTGCCTCTTACGACGATCTGTTCTACAAATTAGTCGAAGCGGGCCCTATCCTCAGCCGTTTCCGCGAAGTGTATAAAACTACGTTTTCAGCGCCATCAAAAGCCCCCAACGGCAAACTTGATCACAAAAGTAGCCAATCTGACTCAACCAAATCGCTAGCTCTTCTCCTTAGAGTCTCAACCCATTTCCATTCCCTGTTATTCCTCCCCGAAAAGCAGAAAGAAGATACCACGACCGAATCTACGGTTCCGACAATTCACAGCAACAAAAAGAAAAACCTCAGTCCTCGCGAGGTTCACAGCATCATCAAAGAAGGCTACGCGACTCTCAGTATTGAGCCACAGGAAGGGTTGAGTAATTGGGAAAAGTGGCGCGAAGCTGACTGGAAGCCCCGTCTCAAGCGGATCGGGCGTACAGCGGTTGACGATTCGCGGACTCTTGTGGCGACTCGTGGGGAAGGCATGCAGAGTCACTTGCCGGTAACTGGCGGTAAAAGTATTGGGGCTGGTGGAGAGAAATGATGCTTCATGCTAGGACCGTCTTCTCACTCGCATCGGTTGTGGATGGGCTCCCCTCTTCTAGCTTGTTCTATTCAATTTGTCTAAAGCAAGTTTATCTTTGCACAATATCCCATTTCATCAAGGATCTGTATCCTGAGTTCAATAAAAGATATGATATGTCCACAGCCACTGTAGCTTTCCCTGATAATTAGTAGCAATTTGACACATCCAACACGATAATTCGGCCTGTCCATGGAGCCCCAAAGTACGACCTGCGATGCAGAGAAAGAACGCCAAGATAAAGCACCCAATATATCCACCATGAGAGACCGAGCAACCCCATACGCCATATAGAGTTATTCGGAGGAGTATGTCAAAATTAAGGCCTTAAATCCCAGTAACAACAGTTGCTGTCCATCAGAAAACCGTGGAGACGCATTATTCAGACTCTTCAGCGTCTTCATCCTCGTCTTCTTCGTCCTCGTCACCTTCCTCTTCCTCCTCGTCCTCTTCCTCATCATCTTCCTCTCCCTCTTCATCTGCTTCATCATCGGCTTCCTCCCAATTTCTACCACCTCTCTGGCTCCTCGCCATTCTACTCATTCCAGCGGGGTCTTGCTCAGCAATCCTGTCGCTGAACAACCTAGCAGTTGCCGTGCCAACATGGTCATCGGTCTGTCGGTGTCTATCCTCAACTTCTTCGACGTAATCGCGATCAAGGGGTTCATAATTCTCCGTGAAGAGGTCATCGGCATGTTTGCTAAGCCACTGCATGAATATCACTAGTTCTCTACGAAGGCGATTTGTAGCTTGCGGGCTGAGATTGGTTTGAGCAAGTAGCTCCGGTAGAAGAGCTGAAAATTCATGTTAGAAATGCTGTCTGGGAAATTTGCGAATGACAGAGCAATCGAAATAAAGAGCAAAGGAAATAAGTAACTTACAAAGCATCCTTGTCAAATGCTCCACTCCGTACACGTCGGCTGGCCCTTTCCCCTCGTACCCTGGCGCACTTGATTCCCATTTTTTCCGCTCTGTGGCATACTGTCGTCTCTCTAGCGCATATAGTAAAATTCTCCCAAGTGTCTTGTCAAAATACTTCTTTAGTCCATCCACTACTTCTTGAAGCACATCCTGCTCAGCTTGACTGTTTCTCGTGCTACTATTCTTTTCTTCTTCCAGATACCGATCAAGTACCATGTTAACCGGTGACTTCGCTGGGAGTGGCACAACACTCTTATCTTTTGTGACAAATTCCCAGTCATCCACCAGGTACTCTTTGAGTCTTTCTGGCATAAGCATCCGTATAGTCGGCCTTGAGTCAAAATCTTCTTCCTGTAACCCCTAACGCATAAGCAAAAATTTCAATATGGAGAATGTTGTGAAGCAAGTTGAATAGATAACAACATACCGCTTCAATCTCCGTCTCTCTACCCCGTTTCCTCGATGGTCGCTCATCATTGGATCGGCTAGATGCTAAATCAGCTGCTTTTTTCTTTCCCGACTTCGTACGGCTCCGCATAGCGGCCTCAGCTTGACGTCGGAGAGTTGAAGCAAGCTCTTTATTCTCCTCGGTATATTTACGAAGGCGGTCTTGGGAAACCCAATCATCCCATCTATGGTAAAAATGAAGTTAGCTATGCGCCCAAAAACAGGCTGAATATGCGACGATAGCTTCATATCAAAGCCTTATTCTAAGTTCCAACCATGCAAACCATATATCCTCAACGCGTGTGTTGAAAGGTCTGCGCTGAATGCTCCTTGAGTAGGGGAGATCTAAAATCGAAGAAAATTTGCAGCGAGACGGGGAGAATGTTACAAGGCCAACGTACGTGTGCTTCCAGCCTTTATAATGGACCCGATACTCATATAGGCTGTTTTTATCCTCTGGGCTCTCTAGCCTAGAGTCAAGGATCTTTGCATCGTAAAGGATATCATGATGGAAGCACAACACAACTTCGTCCTTCTGATACATCTGTTTTTGTGGAGGCATGGTGAGAATTGGAATAACCTTTCTTCTATGATCTTAATATTTGGGTGCTCAAGGCCAAGTCGATATAATCAAGAGCGCCAGTAGACGGTTGGGGTAATAGTGTGGGTATTGGCAGCAGCGTAGAACCCGGAGAGCTCCGATAAAAATCGAGCTAAGGTTCCCCCAGAAAGGTTCGAATAGCAACAGTCCACTCTGTATGAGTTGGGCAATTTTGAATATTTTCGGATAAAAGCTCTCAAGTAATGTCGCAGCCACCGAAGCAGGCTGGCCCAAAGTGGCGATGATGAAAGCTTTGCAGTAAGGATAAAGCCCCTACAATGCGACTAATATTGAATAAAATTAAAATCAAAGATAACAAAAAGGATAAGACGCCCTACAGATTAATATCGGCTTCTCAGCGGTCGTCGCGCAGGCTGGGTTCGACGCGACAAAATTGGCGTTGCGCAGTAGTATTGCTTGATGTAATTAATACGGCGAATATCACATGATCTGCTGCGACAAACTCTTATTTTTAGCATGTAACTTGGTACTGTATTGTAACACATCGCCAACGTCAATTCACTTCCTCTCCAAGCTGTACGGACTAGATACACACCGGGACACAATATTAATTTCGGCTTAAATGAGCTGCTGGGGAAGCCATATGTATCTGCTACGCTACATGCTCCACCAGTAAACTGTCAGGCCTATTGAGCTCGTGGATTTTCTTTGCTATGGCTCCATCTGAGGAATCGATTCTCTCTAACTTTCTCATTTCGCCATCACCACTCCCTAGGATCATATCTCTTGAGAAATTTACGGAGCTCTTCCCAAAGAAACTAAGGTCTCATCCCCAGATCAGGACTCTCTATCGCGAGCTACAGCATGTCCGGGCTCAGGATATTGCCTTGGTCAAAGAAAATATTGAGAGAGAGGTCAAGAACGGAGAAAAACAAAAGGAAGAGCTCCGACAATCTTATGCTCAAAGAGGCGTATCCAATCTAGATGCACGCGATAAAATGGAAATAGACATGGACATTCAATTATTCGGCCAGCCTTCCACCACTGCTCCGGAAGACGCTCATACCCTTGACACCATTTTACCGGAAATGCAACGTGCCATATCTGCCGTGGAAAAGGAAATCGAAGCCACCGAGAAAGAGTGCTCTTCTATTCTAGCAGGCCTTACTACGACAGTTGAAGAGCTCAGCGACCTGCGCTACGGGAAGCTCAACAACCTTCCTGGTGCGGATATTACCATCGCGGAAGACGTAGTAAAAGGATTGAATAACCTTAAGGACATCTGCAATTCGTCTATGAAGTGATCGATGAACGTACGTAACCTGGTTTCTGAGTTATATAACACATTAGAACCTCCACTGATTACTAGCCATAGAATAAAGCTCCAGGTATTCTTGTGGGCGGGGATCCTTCAACGTCCACCTGGATCTGTTCCCCGTGTTTCGATCACATCAACTCCGTATAGATGGAGGCATTCCCAAAGGCAACCCGCGCCCCAGAAGATGGTCTCTGGCCATCCCTGGAACAATAAGTTAAGTGATTAACTCTACCACGTCCTCATGCCCCGCCTACTCATCAGCCCTGTTCGACCTGTCTTGAACTTTAAAATCGCTCAAACGCCCTCGATTTGGCTTCGCTTTCCAAAATAAGGAGAAGAAACTGCTATGAGTCAAGCAGCAATATGAGTGAAGCACCGACGAATTCCATAGCAAGCAGTTCATCCAGGCCCGGTTCTTTGTCTTCCTCGTTGTCCACTGTTGTTCGCCGTCCCACTTCATCGAAAAGATATTGTGGTAACGGCTTTCGCTGCTTCCAATTTACGGTAACGTTGCCAGGGTCTCTTGGCAACGGAAGAAATCGTCTATACCCTGATTTGCTACGGTCGTCCCCTTCGTGTTTGTATTCTTCGTATGAAGGCCATGGTGCCAAGCGACGGCCCGGGAAGGACTCCAAGGATTGTCTCCATATAGTTTCGCGAGCTAGAACCAAAGCCCGGCGGTCCTCGATCTCTTTTACCCCCAAAACTGGATGTATCGTTGTCTCCTGGCGATCATCTCTTCCACTTATTCTTGCAATTTTCCTTACGACTTTTCGAAGTTGGTCCTCCTTTATCGCGAGTCGGTGCTCCAGCCAGTCGGCAAATGTTTTGGGAATGAACGGAGAGCGAGGGGATATGCGCATGATGGAGTCGCGGATCTTTGTCCATGTCTCCAGCTCCTTGGTCTGAGGTGATATCCATGTCTTGGAAGCGGAATACGACATACTCGTCTGAGGCAGGCCTAATGGAAAAGAAAAATTGCTAAAGCTGTGTGTTCTCTTCAGCGCTCCCAGGAAATGATAAAAAAGTCTGCTCGATACCTCAGTTGCCATCCTTATGCCTACCGCTCATGAGCTTTGAGCGCATTAAAAAATTGCTGCAGGGGAGAACTTACCTCAATTTGTGTTCGACCTATGTTGCTTCAGTATACTTGCTGGACAATTTTGAAATTTTCATTGATGCTGTGTGGTTGCCGAGCCTTTAGAGAATGATCATCTACCAAACAGCAGTATGTTCCCTGGGGTGTTTGGAGCAACTTTTTGCTTGAAGGGTTGGCATAGCACTGCGTAATGAACTAGACCTAAACACAAGGAAAGGAAAGGAATGATGGAGAGAAATGAAGGTCATTGCTGCCCAGCTAGATTATTTCCCTGAATACAGTGATTATCTCTGTGTTATGAAGTAATGGAAGATCCCAAGAAAACAGTGACAATAAACCACAGAATCTATTATGACCTCCTCTTTGACCTGATACCCAAGGAGGGATGGGGCCTAGGTTAGTAGGGATGGTTTCTAAGAAGACTAAAGAGGTTCCCGCTCTCTTACAGCGCTGAGGTTCGGGTTGCTAAGATGTTGGGATATTTCCTGTTTGTTGCTCTTTGGCACAATGGCAAAGGCTAAAAGGATCACATAGGGGCTATAATAAGGGAATTTAGTCTGTAGGCCGTAAGGAAATCTTAGGGGAGCTGATACTGCTCTGTTCTGGCGGCCGCCTCCAGCTAGCGAAGTTGTAAAGTTACAGTTTCCGGGCTTGGCCCCTCCGCTCCTCTTCAAATTTCCGCCCCGCTCACCTTTTCTTCCTTCCACTCTCCCTCTCCTCACAACCGCGACAAACGAACTGGTTGTCGCTCTGGTAAAAATGCCTACTATTCCTATTCATTTAAAGTGCCAGACCCGGCTCAATGAGGACATTGCAAACCCGCTTCCTACCTTGCTAAATACACCCTCTGGGCTGGCAATCCTCGAACTCCAAGGAACAATTAACTTGCCTTCCAATGAGCCGCACTACAACGATGAACAAACAGACTTGCAGTCAGAATTCCATGCTCAAACCCCAATTGGCCGCCTCGTGTTTCCAGATTATGATGCTTCAAACCCTCCAAGCAGTGGTTCGTGGATGAAACGCGTCCATCTTTACGTCGGCCGGCATCAGCGTCTCACAGGGGAGGTCAAAAAGCTCCCTAAGCCATTGGCCATCATACGACGGCGCCAAAGCAAGGATTCAAGTGGAGCAGGACATATTATGAGGTCGGCCGCCAGAGACACTGCTGCGCACCCCGACGGAAACCCCAGCGTGGAGGAGCTGGAAATTGCGGAGATTATTAGGTACAGGCTACTCTTCTCGGCGAGACCCGAACCGGTTAGTTAGTGATGTGTTGCGTGGCGACGACGGCGGCATTCCTGGAAACGGTTTTCACCATCAATATCGCCACTCCTATTCGTACTTTTTTCGCGGGCCAGCAGTTCGATCAGCCAAAGTTTGCGCCAACCATGCCGGGATAAACGATGGGGCGGACGGTCGTGTTATGAATTTCGGGCCCCGGCCCTGGTCTCTGAAAGGCCCACGGGATAAGATGCCAAAGAGTTGATGGCGCAGACCCGCGACTTGGCTTGCAGATTTGAGCAAGACGTGGAATCTGGACTGGAATACGGAGTACCATTCCCTGTTGCAAGGGTCTTGGCCGCCCTTCACCTGCAACACCTGGGGGAAGCCACCTTCCGATGGTCTTTGTGAATGGTAGACGACAAGTACCTCGGAGCTGCGAGGCCAGCGTCCTCGCACTTCACCTCACTATGGTAGTTCTTTCTTCGGCCGCCCCAGCCTGATAATCCGCGATTTCCATTAGTCTCCGGATGTGAGCTCAGCATGACAAGCAGGCCCATCCGTTCTTCGTCGTTACGCCTCTGCTGTTGGTACAGTTGCATGTGGCGGTCAAATATCAATAGTCACTGGACCAGGGCCCCCAGGCTTTCTTTGCCCGTATCTTGCTGCGTGAAGCGCGTATTTCTGTACACTAATATTCCCCATCGGGCTGAGATCCGCTCGCCCCGTATCAATCGGTCCTGCTGCAGCAGCGGGTGATCCGCCATTGAGGTAACTTCCCGGGTTTTCGCGCGAAGCTCAGCCAGGGGATTACAAAGAGGGTTTCTCCATCTAGTTAGTGACGATCAGAGGAGGCAAAACTAGCTAGTCATTGTCTGGTTATTTCGAATCTCACAATTCAATTTAAACTGATTGACACCTAGATCAAAACACTCCCACGCCTTCCTCAGTACAGATAACTCTTTTGAGGGAAATTTTTCTGCTTGTGCATAAGTAAAAGCTACTTCACTTGTTCTCTTTTGTCACCTCACCCTTTTCTTCTTCTGCTGGTTAAGCTCATCTTGGCATTGTCTAGTCAAGACGGGGCGCGGTGTATTTTAAAAGCTTCATTCAGTTTTCTCTTTGACTATACCAAAGTGCTTCTCCCACAGAATGCCTGGACTGGAAGGGTTGAAGCCCGAAATCGCATTGAGATTCGGACCTGGTTATGTTGGCTTCGACCACGTTACGTGGTACGTTGGAAATGCAAAACAAACCGCCTCCTACTACATTTCTCGTATGAATTTTACCCAGATCGCCTACAAGGGACCCGAAAATGGCTCTCCTTATATTGCTTCATACGTTGTTGAAAATGGGGATGCACGATTCGTTTTTATTGCCCCTATCTGTGGGCCTACGGATGAGAGCGTTCCGGAATCTGAGAAGATTCTGTTGAGAGAGATACATGAACATCTCACTAAACACGGCGATGGTGTCAAGGATATTGCTTTTAGGGTCACCACAGATGTCAAGGAAATCTGGGACAAGGCTGTGAAGCACGGTGCCCGTCCGGTGGCTGATCCTACCATTGTCCAATCTGAGTCTCCATTCAGTGGTGAGATCCAGATGGCCACTATCGGTGCATATGGAGATACGACCCATACATTCATCAATCGAGAAACATACAACGGTCCATTCCTCCCTGGATATACGATTGTAAACGAAAGGGACCTGATCAATAACCATCTACCTGCAGTCAACTTCATTGATATCGACCATTGCGTTGGTAATCAACCATGGAATGGAGTGGATAAAGCTGTCAAATTGTAAGTCGTCCTGGATCTCTTATATGCTCACACACTTCGGAGCGTTTTAAATTTTACAGCATAAGATAACATGTGAACAGTTATGAGGAGTGCCTTGATTTCCACCGGTATTGGTCAGTAGATGATAATTTAATGTGCTCTGACTATTCCGCAATGCGCTCGATTGTTATCGCATCCCCAGATGAAGTGATCAAGATGCCACTCAATGAACCTGCTGTGGGGAAAAAGAGGTCTCAGATTGAAGAGTGCGACTCTACCCCCTATTATAGTTGCTACTTTCCGCCACATCCATGTTTCATACTAACCTATTGAAGATTTGTCGATTACTACAACGGAGCAGGTGTTCAGCATATTGCCTTCCGAACCGACGATATCATCACTGCAGTCACGAACCTTCGCGAACGAGGAATGCAATTCCTCTCAGTACCTACCACCTACTACACTGAAATCAGAGAGAAATTGGATCAATCCAACCTGGTACTCAACGAAAGTGTCGAGCTTCTTCAAAAGCTAAACATTCTTATCGATTTCGATGAGGGGGGTTACCTTTTGCAGATCTTTGCGAAACATGTCCTCGATCGCCCGACTGTATTTATTGAAATCATCCAGCGCAATAATTTTGACGGCTTTGGTGCTGGTAACTTCAAGGCCTTGTTTCAGGCTTTTGAGCGCGAACAAGCACTGAGAGGAAATCTATGATTGACGTATGGTCTTGAGCTGACTTTTTTCCCTTGGTCTCATTTCGGGTTTCATATAGGTTATTGGCGGAATGAATTGGAAGACATGGTGTTTGGGAAAAGGATACTGTGATGAAGGAACGATCAGCTATATCTCCGCTCAACACCACTTAAAACATCACCATGATCGTAAGCACACCGGGAATGGAACAGACTTTTATGAAAGATAAACAAAATAATCCAGTTAACTGAAGTTTTACACTGTTTAACATATGCCAGGAATTAGACTACTTAAACAACCCAGGGCACATCCTATCTCAATCTAAGACGGAGGCTGCCAGAGAGAAAGGGTGAAATAGCTATTGCCGTTCATTGCTATCGTAAGACAAGCACACAAAAGAATTGTAACGACATGGGAGTTTAGTACCAGCAGTAATGTATAGTAGTAGCAGCAGGGAAAGTATTGTTGAAACATGCAACGCTAAACCGTGTACATGATAAAAAAAAGCTGGTTTAAAAAGACAATGGTATGGAAACATATGTTGGACTCAATGTAGGTATGCATACTCTGTACATGTCCTTTGGGGTAGTCTTTGCCCAGTCGGCAGTTTCTAATGGGACAGCATGTTCCTCAAGAACAGGCATCACCTGTGTTCAACCCTCCGAAACACAGCGCAGCCAAGAAGCATAACATGTACACAAAACGTGATCGAGCGGCAGGAGTCGGGGATTTGTCTAACCATCCAAGGCCTTTCGCAAATCACTCCACTTCTGCTTGAGCGTTTCATGGTTTTCCGAGATCTGCATTGATTGACTATCAGCATCAAAAATTGCTATTGGGAAAAAAGAAAAAAAAAAAAAAAAGGGGGGGGGGGGGGGGGGGGGGGGGGGAGAGGAGAGATTGGTTTCTCAGGATAAAAGCAGGATATATATGACGGTATTTACCTCTGCCCATTTCATCTTTGCCTCCACCAGATCCTTTTCCATCTCCGCCATCTGCTCCTCCATTGCCCTATTTTCGTTCTGGACTTCGATATTCCGTTTCATAATGCGGTCCATTTCTGTTCTTAACTTCTCTTCTAGCTCAGCTGGCTGACGATCGACTACCACTTTGAGCTCGGCAACTTCGACTTTGAGACCCTCGTTCGAATCCTTTAGCTCTTCATTTTCAACCTTAATGCGTACCAGCTCCGATGCAATCTGGACATGTTCTTTATCCGACTTCTCTGCATGCTCTTCAAGTGATCGGATCCGCGCTGCCTGCGTGGCTATGGTGTGTTTGTACCCTTCTATCTCAGCAGCTAATTCCTTTTCTGTGCGAGTCTTCTCTTCCCATTCGGAATTATATGTCTGGATCATCTCAGGTGTAAGATTAATCGCGCATGCATCCTCAACCATGATATCCGCTCGATAGATTTCCTTGTCGCTTGCCCCAGAACTTCCAAAGAAACCAGACTCAAGAATGGAGCTGGGAGACGGCTGTTTGTCGATGTATACGTCAAATAGCTTTTCCTTTAGGAAGCTTGTTAGCGAAGTCATATCGCTCATCCCGAGTAACGCATCGACATTACGGCGCATGATCGCAACAGCGAAACGAAGGATTGCACTCTCAAGACCTTGCTCGAATATCAAGTCATAAATACGGAGTACAAGCTGCAATGGGAAGCGATACGCGAATAGTGTAAGGAACCACTGTGTCGCATAAAGCTGGGGGCTAACGCCACGACGACGGAGGTGGCAAGTCAATGCGGGCTCCAAGTCTTCCAGCAGGCGTTCGAACTGGTAAAGATGGCGGTGAAGACCGGGCATATCGTGAATGAACATATTTCGTAGCCCGTATTTGTTCATAAGCTTCACTAAAAGTGTAAAAGCCTCCCCATCGTCCATCTGGATTTCCAAGTCAGTAGGTATTGAATCGTCAACTCTCTTGTCGGCACTTACATTAAACAATAAAGGCATCACTATGAAATTCATTCCCTGGGCGTAGCCAACCCCACCGTCGTACAAAGCGTAAGCTTTACAAACATTAAATAGCGCTTCTTGGTTTCGTTGTGACATGAAATACTTCGAATAGCTGGTCCGAGAGCCCAGGTCCCGCCTGATAGCCTTCTCCAGCTTAACAAGAGCAGCAGCATCTTCCTTTGCCTTTTGCTTTCGTGTCTCCTCCAACTCAGCTTGTGCTTTGATCATGGCCTCTGTTTCTTTCTCGGATATCGATGGCGCTGGAAGCTGTGTAGAATTATCCGAATGAAGTGAGGAGCGTGATGATGGCGACGAGCCTTTCTCCTTTGGCCCTCCATTTGTTTGGCCGTTCAGAGAAGTGGGAGATGGCGTGCCCCAATGTTTTTCGCGTTCTTTATCGGTACCCCGTGTGCAAAGTTCTCTATACACATCCTCAAGATTGGGGTTCCTACTATCGGCAAGAACCTGCCAAATAACACCTCGAATAGTCTGGGGAATCCCTCGTCTAATAGCCAAATTCAACTCTTCCGCACTGGTTCCACTGAACGCTTCCAGGCCCTGGTTTACGACCTGCTGCCATAGTTCCCAGTTTACAGGTGCTGCGGCATCCGTAGCAGAGGCTGAGATCCCGGCAACCGTTCCAGGAGCAAGGTTTGGATTTATCGTTGACGGTAGAGGAGACGGCAAAGGAGAAGGTTGGGGCGAGGTAGTATCCAGGTCGGGCACACTTGGAGGTGTACTTAGCATACCAGAACCCTTTTCTTCTTGGCCATCTGCGAGTGCGACCTGATCATCTCCGCTGCCCTCTTCACGCATTCTGAGAAGCTTAAATTGGTCCTTCAGGCTGTTCCGCAACTGCTTCCGTGAATCTGTACTCCCTGCATCTCCATCGCTACCATCGAAGCGCGCCAGCATGTCAGGGTTGCTCAAAGTCGTGGAGACCGATGCACCGGTATTTCTCCGGTTACTTGTTGCTGTTTTGTTTTCTTTCTGGGCATTTTGCCCTCTGGAGAGCCAGGCAAACGGGCTGGTGAGTTTTCTACTAGGAGCGGAGGGTGGCGGTTGCGACGGTGGAGGAGCATTTCTATTTACAGGCGGAGGACCCCAGGGGACTGAAGGGAGTGTAGCGGAGAGACCTTGAAGCCGTGAGCCGTGCTTAGAATCTCTTGTGGGTAGGGGAGGAGGAGCATCGGCAACGGGGCTGGAGTGAGAAGTGGGTGGACTCGTAGCCTCGTCGTCCTTGGAGCTCGTAAGGACGATATCGTCTAACGAAGAGGTAGACAACCGGTGTGTGGTGAGGAGAGGAGATTTGGGCTGTTTTGGTTTCTTTGACGTGCCATCTTCCGGGGGCGAGGCTGGCGAATCCTGGAGCGATTCTTCGTCTGGATCTGGAGAATCTGCGGCAGAGAATGTGCTGGCTTTTGGAGTAGGCAATGATCCGTTTGAAGGCCGTCGATCTGTTAGAGACCGGGTAGTGCTGATAGGAGTCGAGATGTCGGCAGCATCCTGTGCGTCATGAGCGTCCTCGAAGGCGTCCTGGTGACAAGCAGAGTTAGCAAACGAGTTAGTTATAGCGCTATCAGAGTTCCGGATTGCTCACAGCTTCATAATCTGTAGTCTCCGCGCTGGATACCATCGCGAGCAGTGAGAATGTAATGCGTCGAGGCGCCTCCGATTCCGTCTGCGGCAAGCCAGGTACGTCAGATTGCAGTGAAGCAGATGAACTCGTCCATGCGGCGGGTCACCCAAAAGGCGGAGTGAAGACAAGAAGGAGAATTGGTGATGGCCAAGGGTCTAGAGGACAGGGATCGGGGCGGTTCGATAACTCGGTGAAGGATGGGGCAGAGAGAAGACAATTATCCAACTGTTACGTGGGATTTTAAGCTCCGGGAAGGACGTTGTTTGGGGGAGTGGCCATAAATAACACAAACGGGGTCCCAAGCGTCTAGAGATCTCTAGTTGGGTCTACGGGATGCATTGCAAGTCCCTGCGTTTTTCATTCTTGAATGTGAGGCCTGCATAAATACACATTGTTTCTTCAACGTCTGAAAGGCCGGACAAAAATTTTATCAACGGGAAACGGTTGATCGTCTGCGTGCGTCCCCTGCTCGACTAGCTCCTGAGACACGCCGAGCAGGCCTCGCCCGACGGCCCGCCACCACAGTATCAGAATCAACCCGGCGCTTTGCGACTCTTCCCACTGAGCCATCTATGATTTGCTTGTTCACAAGTCCCATCAAGAGAGCGCCAGTGTAGGAAAGGCATACGTAGTACAGAATAGTATGTATGTACAGTACATATCTAGTTCATGGGATACGCCCCCACGGTTAAACATGGAGGCCCTCAAGTCATCAGCGATCTCTCTAAATCCTCCCAGCGACCTCTCCTCAGCGGATCAAGGCGTTTCAAGTTCGAGAGCCAATCAGAGATGTCCCGCTTCACCCGAGCCGAGACCGCACCCTGAATGTTCAAGACAATCAACGTGCATTCTAGAAGCGCTTGGTAGATCCATTTACAGTCTTCCTCCTCGTCAAGTAACTCAGTAATCGCGTCGATTTCCCCTTTGAGATACTCGAGACGCGTCTCGTCGCTCAGGTTGGGAGCCATACCTTTGGGGGCCGTGGCCCGGTCCAAAGTGCACATCAGATTCTGGTGGTAAAACCACAAAGATTGGTCATACGGGTCGATTAGAGCACGGTGTATCAGTTTGAGCTCTTCCTGGGTGTTAGCATGCTACGCTTCTTCAGCGAACTCGACGAGGCTTTTTACCGTTATCCAGCATCTTTCTCCTTTCAGCATCATCAGCCGAGCGTTCGTCCAACATCTTTAATATCAACTTTGACCGGTTATGCCAGGCAGAAAAGTTGGACAAGTTTGCCCCAATCATTTTTGTGGTGTAGTTTAACTCGTCTTCGGTCAAACGATTCTCTTTTACCTCTACACTTGGATCTCCTGCCTCTGAGCCCAGGGACTCCAGGACGTCCACGATCTCGCGGCGATAACCCCAGCCATGGAAATTTCTCGCGTCCAGACTCAGCATCTTCCCCACCAGCGCGAGCTCTTCCTGCCAAAACCTCAGTGCTTGAGGCAGTGGTAGCCGCCCCACGGTTTGCTTCAGGGCCCACAGGCGATGGTTCCAGATCCAATAGCACTTGGGGAACTGCCTCAGAAGAGGCACCAGGAACGTCAATTCTTCCTGGATCAGTTGGCCGATACTCTCTGCATGATGGGCAGGGCCGGTAGCACTGATGTTGTCAAGCTGAGACTGTAGAATCAGACGGCGATAATTCCATATTGAATAGTATTCCGCATTTTCGGTCAGTAGCTCAGAAGTCTTCTTCAGCGCATCTTCAGTATAGTCATGCTCGGTCTTCTATTGTGTTTTACCCCTAGTTATTAACAGGCAAGATTCCAAGGCAGGGGATGTGTTTCATGGACGCCACCTTTGTCCTGACAAGATGGTCCAAGTCTCTATATTTTTGGATTTTCTGGCGTTCTCTCTTCCTGGCTTCCTCCGTCCTGTCATGAGGAGGAGCAGCATTTCGAGGGACTCCGTGCTGACCGAAATTAGCATGGGCATCGTCTAATGCCGGGTTTCCTTAAATACACACACTGGTCATACTGGCAGTTGCAGGTGCTGTTCAACGACGAGGCATATGTCTACTTTCCACTACGCCGCTGAAGCCCAGTTGATCAACTGGTTGGGTAACCACCGCGTTGCTTCAGTTCAGCTTCTCCCTGGCCGCCTGGTTACATAAGCAGCCTAATAAGGCGGCAAGAATAAGCTTACTAATCAGGGAATGTTTTATAATAACCAGAAGCAGAAGCAACGACCAGCTCTTTCTGCAACTTCGATATCGGGAAGGCACACACACCCACTCCGTAGTTACCACAAGGGGAAATGCGCGATGGAGGGCAGCACGTGCCTTCGCTCTTCTCCGCCTGCCCATCGCCGTCTCCACCTTCACCTTCACCTTTCATTCTATCTCTTTTTTTTCTCGCCATGAAGACTGCAAATATGGACTTCAGGATACAGCTCCCTTAGGGATGATGATAACTGTTGTCCTAGTCCGGAGGCACTAGGTGTCCTCCTTTACATTGCTTGCTTTTGTTGTGTCTGTCTATTTGTTGATCTGTCGCGGCTGGCCCCATTCTGTCCGAGGCAGTCTGCATACCTTGAACATGAGTTCCAGGAGATGTCGTTCAACAGGAGACTTAAGATCTTCTAATGTCGATGGCTTCTTGGCTCCTCTCTTTCCTTTCTATCACGATATCTCAGGCTTCCCCGACTGGCATCAAACTCCGGAAAAGGCCCCTTCGAGTGCTTCACATTCGCCTTCTCCTCGCTCTGCTCTAGACTCCAACGACGGGCGACTCCCCTGCCCATCACCGAAAACTAACAAGGATCCAGGTGTTTTATGCGATGAACAGGATGCTTGCAAACCCTCGTCGAAGAAGATCGGGGTCTTCATCCCTAGTCCAGACCAAGCTTCCCCCAGAAAGGATCCCTCATACTTTGATAGGAGATGCAAGGATGGAAGCCCTGTCCTAGAGAGTCGTAGCCTCGTGAACTCCCCAGACCGTTTTGTTCCATCAAGAGAACTGCACTTCCCGCCAGAAACGCAGTTTCGCGTGAGCAAGAATCATGACTTACTCACACCCCACGAAAAGGCCCACCGGCGGCGAGATCCAAACGCAGACCCGTTTTTCATCCCAACAGCTTCCAGGATTGTGAACAATCCGAGGCGATTTAATCCAATAGATATCGGGCTTATTCCCCATTATCGACCACGCCATGTTCATGAGATGGGATTTACTGACTTGCCCGCGGCTATCGACAATGGTTCGGCAGAGCAGCCACGACAGGTTAGTGTAGGTGCTGTATGGCATGTTGGCGGCACTTCGCCGGCACTAAGTGACCCCGCAACTGAAGCCCCTGACGATATCGGCTACCACCGTGGGTCAGGGACAGTGGCACCTAGGTACTCCGCGAAGTTCGATCGAAAGGAAACCGATGCGGAGCAGCATCGTATTCACGAAGCCCGCATTGCATTAGCTCTAGACCTTGACCCTGCTTCCAGAATCCTTGGGTTCACTATTCCAGGAACCCCACCAGATACCCCATCCAGCCTCTCATCCCCAGGTCGTGTTCGACCTCCACTTACTTGGAAGGACAGTGTATGGACGAAAGATTTTGGCTGTACCCCAAGTAAGAACATTCGTCCTATTTTTTTTGAATGTATAGCGCGCAAAAATGAATTTTTCTGTATTGCTTAGATATCGTCGCGTTCTCTACAAGCAGTCAACTAACCCACATATAGCGTCGCCCAAAAATATGGCGAAAGGGAATGAGCGACTCGTTTCTACCGTTCCATTCCGAGTGTTGGATGCTCCGTTTTTGCGTGATGATTTTTACTCCACGACCCTGGCTTACTGTCACAAAATTAAAGTTCTTGCCGTTGGCCTTTCGTCACGGGTTTATCTTTGGTCTGAGCAGGGCGGTGTCAGAAATCCACCGTTGCAACAAGTCTCTAGGGACAATGTTGTGACCTCTCTTTCCTTTTCCTCGGAAAAGGGGGGGTGGAGTATTCTTGCCGTAGGGCGGCGTCACGGGGAGCTTTCTCTATGGAGTACCTTCGATGCAGAGGTCCGATTCGAGGCACATTTTCCAGCTGGCGTGGCCTGCGTTTCTTTTAAAGATACTCCAAGCATCGGCCCATCTGAATGGTCTTCACGAATATCAGCAAGCATTGAACATTTAGCTGTGGGAGACGATGCAGGTAACGTTTGGTATTATACTTTGGAGTGGACTACACCTAGGTTAAGGAAGCGGCGTAATTGGAACGGAAGTATGACACTTATTGCTAGGATAGCCTCACATACACAGCAAATATGCGGACTCTCTTGGTCCCCGGATGGGAAGTACTTCGCAACCGGGGGCAATGATAACGTTTGCCTTTTATTTGAGACGGCAAGCATTCTTGCTGGCAATACACAATCTGAGCAGTCATGTTCAAACACGTCCATGGCGATCCGTACGCGTCCTCCGAAGCAACGACACATGCATCAAGTTTTGCCTCTGCATCACCAGAATTATAGTACTGTGTCCTTGTTGTCTGACCCTACCTCTCGGGATGCAGAGAGCGTCGGCTCTGAGGACCCCTTATCTGAGTTATCCCAGGCCGAGACAGTCATACATCCACGCCGGGAAAAGCATATATTGAGGCATTATGCTGCGGTCAAGGCCATCTCTTTCGCGCCTTGGGAGCCAACACTGCTTGCTACCGGCGGCGGAGCTGACGATCAATGCATACGCTTTTGGCACGCCCCTACAGGCGCATTGCTTGCTTCACTCAATGTGTACGCACAGGTTACTAGCTTAATCTGGAGTAGGACACGACGCGAAATAGCAGCAACTTTCGGATACGCCAAACCTCCTCATCCTTACCGGATTGCCGTCTTTGCCTGGCCAAGCTGCGAGCAGGTTCTCGCTATACCATGGGCAGACATTGATGACATGGAAGGATATGATGACAACACCCCTGGACGTGCGCTTTGGGCGATTAGCTATCCTGGGGGACCCAATCAAATGCCGGTTTATGCATCCGGCAGGTCGCAAGTTACTAGTGAAGCTTCTGACGACGGAACACCTAGTCGTTTACCTTCGCATATAAGGAGACAATCACCGCACAGGGGCGGAAGGGATCCATCATCCAGTTCACAGATAGCTAATGTAAGGTATACCGAGGGCCGCATTTGGTCCACTAGAACTGAACGAGAAGGCTGTATCGTCATCGCATGTAGCGATGAAAGTATCAGGTTCCAAGAAGTTTGGGGAGGTGAGCCTAGGGGCCTTGGAGGAAGTAGTGGCGTATTGGGAGGAAGCCAGATACTCGAGAGTTTGCATGGACTTGATACGTCTGTGGACTCGAAGGAGATCATTCGATGATTTTGGTCAAAATTTGATCAGTTGAGCGGAAGCTGTTCTCTCTGTTCTATCAACCTGGAATAGTGCATCGGCTTGCAAAAAGGGATTAGATATATTTATCAACACATGCGCCGCATAGTATTTCTATACAATCTATTTTAGTTAGCCGGTTACCCGGTCGGCTTGCTGTAACTTGTGCAGTAATGGACACTCGAACAACACCACTTCAACCCATAATGCCTTATAGAGTGCCCTGCTATTAACCGCCCAGAGATTTGGAAGTTGAAGTGTAAATTCATCCGGTGTATCTCCGCCATGTGTATATTGCAAAAGCCATAGAGAAGTTGGTAGATACAGTAGAGTACATCCAAGTATTCAAAACACAAGATGCTATTTAACTCTTTGAGACTTCACTCACGACTAGAGAGTTGATAGTCAATAAAAGATGCTGAATGCCAAAGATGTTATTTTTTGCCCAATTGAAAAAGGAAAATTGCGTACTGAAACACAGACAAAATTGGAATAACTTCCCAGAGGTGGAAAGGGGACAGTTCGGCATAGGGGGAAAAAAAAGAATACAGAAACCAATCAACAATCTGTCTATCATCTTTCCTCTTTATCCTCTGGTTTTACCCTTTTTTTATTTTAGATTTTTTTGTAGAAGCCGGGGGGTCGACCAATATCTCTGACTCCTCATCAGAATCGGCAATGAAATCAGCCATGCTACCCAGATCTTCGTCCTCCTCCTCATCCTCGTCTTCATCATCTTCCTCTTCGCTGGCGCCTTCTCCATCCTCAGACTCCACAGCCTCATCGTCAAAGAGCTCATCGTCCTCCTCGTCTCCTTCATCCTCCCCGGATTCCGATACCGCACCATTAACCACCATGGGCATATCTTCGCCATCTTCCTCATCGCCGGTAATATCCCTCATATCAACATCGCAGGTTTGTCGCGCACCCGCATCCTCGATGGCAAGACGTTCATCATCTTCAGTCTCCACCTCATCCTCCTGTCCTTCAACGTAAATCACGTCGTCCTCATCACTCTCAAAGCGTCCCTCCCGATTCTGGTTCAGACTGCGTCTCAATCCTAACTGGGCGTCAAGCATGTCTAGTTTCCCCTTGAGAAGAAGCAAGGACGAAAGGCTCGACGATCGCTGGTCCATGACTTTGAACAGAGAGGTCATTTGTTTGAGGATCTCTGGCTTTCCTGCTATCGAACCACCATGTGCGACGCATGTCCATTGTACCCAGACAAGTAGGTGTCCATAGCGTCCCGGCCTCGAAGCAAGACGTTCAGCAAGTTTCTGGAGGAGCGTTGCGGCGAGGGAGGAATCGAGGCGTTGGATGGTGGCGCGGACGATGTTCACATCTGTCGTGTGAAAGCAGGATTCGAGGAGGTTGTGATCGTTTGTTTTAAGAGATTGAGAGAGAACAGTAGCGACGGAGAGGCCTGAGGGCAATTGTTGGAGAGACTTGGGTTGTCTGGTACTGACTAGCGCTCCTACTTCGGCCTCGTCGAGTTCTGCGGCCACGTCGATATGTTTGGCGGAATTGGCGCGTAGGAGCTCGCCAAACGATGGTCCTCCCTCTTCCTCTTCCTCTTCCTCTTCCTCTTCCTCTTCTTCAGCGTCAACGTCAGCCATATCAACGTCATTGTCCTCTGCTTTTGCTAGGCTATGCGAAGATGGGATCTCGTTTGCCTTTTCTTGCTCTACGTCTGAAGCTTCTTCTTCGTCATTGCTTAATCCTGAAGCATCTTCTTCCACACCATCCCGCATAATACCCTCTGCGACGCCACCTTGTTCGACGACAGTATGTGATTCATCTACATGGCTTTTACCCATGTTCTTCACGCCATTCATCATAGCTGAGCCAACCATCGACGCGGACTTGCCACGCGCGATTTCACTTTCACCCTGGAGTATCAACTCTTTCGTCTCCTCGTCCCGCCAACGTATCCTATCAAATACAACATTTGCACCTGCTTCGGCCCATGCGACAACAAGGTCAGATCCGTCGAAGGAAACAGCGACGACGGGAACAACCGTTTTCGAAGCGTCCGGTCTAACGATCTTGACGGTAGCATCTGATCGCCGTGTCATAGCCTTTAAACGAGACTTCAGACTGGCGGTTGCGTTGACGGATTGTGCGTCCTCTTGATGGAAGGGGTTTGAAAACAATTCAATCGCCCCATCCCGGGTCACGGCCGCAAGCAACTGCCTCTGAAAAATGGCGGATCGTGAACCCTCATCATGTTTCTTGCTTCGGGAATCTGAGCTTGCCGGATAAAATGCTACGGATTCAACCTCCTTCTTGGTCACCAGAGAGCCGAGCAACTTTCTCTTTTGAATGTCGAATAGGTTCATGTAGCGGTCAGAGTCGATAGCGAGGAATTGTTCGGATAGGGACTCCAAATTAGTCGATGATGATATTAGTGTGTGCACGGTATTTCGCATAGCGCTAAATGATGGTCCAGAATCTTGGCCCTCCTTCTCGAGATCTATTAGGTATGGTGTTTGTGAAGCACAGAGGACGGGAGGATTGGTAGGAACCGGTGGTGCCAAAGTTCCGACGGACGACGAAGGTAAGGAAATCACTCTTGTATAATATTAGAAAGAAAAAAAGAAAATACGAAGGACGACGAGGCAGGAACTCGTAATGGAGGCGCATTTCATACCTTATAGCATTTCCAGTCTGTAGATTCCACTGTACAAGCTTCGCATCGCCTCCGATGCTCCAACCTTCCAGACCAGGCTTCTGGACGGTGAACCGGAAGTCTCGGATTCCCCTTTCATGTCCACCGGTAAGCGTAGCCACGATTTTACCCTCTGCAGGAGAATACATTCGAATCTCGGACGTATTCGTGCCAAATGCGACGACGGCATCGCCGGGCTCAGAGGCATCGATGACAGCATTGACCCCCGAGCTCCGTTTGCGCTTCTTCTTCAGATGCTGATCTCTGTCCGCATCGCCATGGTAGCCCCAGTCCAAAGAGGTGATAACCTCCTTCGGATTCACAGCATGTTCACAGCGTAACCGGCCGGAATTAACGTCGTGAACCCGCAGATGCTGAGCGTCCAAACCCTGGATGACAGAGGCGAAAAGGGCCAATTGGTACTCTGAGGGAGAAAACGAGGAGCGAATAACAGATGATTTGTTCACAGTGATCTGGGTCCCCGAAGATGCTGCCGCGGCCGCGGAGATCTTCGATACTGGCCCGCGGGAGCGTTTTTTGGTCGGCATGTTTGGAGATTTTAAGAGGGAGCCGGGTTAGAGGAGAAAGGGGGGGAAATGCACGTGTGTTTGGGTCTTCAGGTGCAAGGCCGCAATGATTCAAAAGGGTGCTGCTACAGCCGCCATAACACGGGCAGAAAGCTCCTCTTCTTCTTCCTTTGCCTGCTTGGTTGATTCGGTGTGTGAAAAAAATGTTGATACCCATTATACACTTGTCCGATTTCGGACTAGCGTGCAGGACTGGGAGGTGCGGAGTTTCTTTCCGTGAACGGAAATTAGTGGACCGATCGGAGATACCATTTTCAGCCTCCGACGCCAAGGAGCTCCAGAAGTACTTTGTGCTCGCTCAGTCAATATTACCGGCACATGCAGTCGACATATCAATCACTCGATCACGCAATCATACAGGTTGGCTCTTTGACAGTTGAATATATGCGATGCCTTGTGTGCTGTTTAAATGGTCAATACAGAGCACATAGGTACTGACGCGCTTTTCAAAAACGCCTCAAAAAAATGTTCATAGTTCCTGGCGACGCGTCGTTTTGATATCACGTGGCCAGCGCGAGCTTTTTTGGTTGCAGGGTGTCAGGGAAGTGGTTGGAAGATGTCAATGATATTAGGCTGCAAAGGTGCGATCTTTTTGCTGGCTGCGGTTACGTGCAGCTGGCGCCGTCCAATGGAGCACTTCGAACCATCTGTTGGAGATTTCCCCATCGTACGCGGACAGGATCACGAATCTTTCGCAACGGCGATATAGATGCTCGACCGACTTCCGTGACATCTTCAACACCGATGGTACGGAAGTATTTTCATATTAGGTGTTAGCGCGGTCCGCCTGTAATTATTAAGTAATTAACCGGTCACTGAGATTTCGACGATACGGCGGCGGGCAGCTGGTCCGTGTGGCCAAGAGAACCAGGCGCGCTGTTTTTTTACCCGAAATTTCGTTACCGGGCGCCTCCTTACTAGGACCCAAAGCCACAAGATGGCGCTAAGTGGGGCACTGCTTCCGTCATTTTAACCAATGATCGCGTGAATGATCTCAGAGGGCCCCACATATAGCCAATCAGCGGCGAAGAATTCTAAGTTACCAGGATCATCGATTTTAGCGTCGTCATCCGAGGCTAGTGGCAGGAGTCTGTCATGATTCCCTTGAAAGATCAAAAGCCCGACCATACTTAAGGATTCTAGCACCCCCCTTCGAATTATCTCTGTTTTCTCCTCCTCGCGTTGCCTCTTTCTCGTCTCGTGCCTTCTATCCACGCACCTCACTCCCTCCACCCACCAACCACAGCCCAGATCAACCGCCCTATACCCAACGGTACGTCTTATTTCCCGCTGATGCTTGACGTTACTTCCACGAACAGAGCAGATTCGTCCGTTCTTAAATTATTACTCCGTTCTCCCTGCACAAATTATTCCCCCTTTTGTATCAAGTAACACACTCGTCGTACTCTTGTGTATATGTGTTTCCTGCCATCCTATATCGTGTGATCCAACCCAATATATCTCTTCCCCAAAAGAATATGCCCCTTGGATTTCTAATATGACTGGCATCTGATGGTCATCTTGTTCCCCGCTGCTTCCCGTTTCCTGCTTCTTCTTTTTGCGATTGATGCTATTGGTACTTGTTCTCCGAGAGCGGAAGTCTTGGTATTGTGGTTTTCTGCTATCCTGTCCATCCAATCAGTCTCGCTGCCCAGTGCCGTTAGACTTCCGCTCCTCACACCACGTGACTTCCTCTGCTTACTCATGTTCTTGGCAATATAAAATGGCAGCTTTGGCTTTGCGATCGCTCCTACACTTCTTTTTCTCTACTCTTTTTATCTTCATCCTTTTGCCTCAAGGCCACACCTTGTGATTTAATCACCAACTCAACAATCAACGTTTTTCCGTCCGTTTTCATTTTGTTGTTCCTGATACCCGCATCTATCGCGCGCAGTTTTTGCATTGATCTGTCCAACCCAGATCTAATTTTCGCGTCTGCTAGGGCTCATCGCGTCCAACCACAATTGTTGGAGGATATCTTTCTTCCTTCCCTTCACCAGCCTTGCCAGGAACTGCCGCCTGGAGGCATTGCTTGTCCTTGTTTGCGACGCGTCGCACAGCTCTCGTCCAAGCCAGTCCGGCCCTTATCAACCCTTATCGACCCTTATCGCATCCAGGATAAGACCTAACCGTCTTATCGCCACGTGATCATTGTTTTCCAAATATGGTAACTCCGCCTCCAGAAGCCACGGCGCTGGAGGACAAAGTCAAACTCCTCCCGGTCGCCGACCCTGCCGTCGCTGCAACCACCACGGGGTAAGTGAGCTGCCCATATCGCGAAGTGCGCTTGGTCTGAGTTATGCTAACGGCAGATGCGCACAGCAACGCAGAGCTGCCTTCCAGGCCACTTGACAAGATGGATGAAGCCGCTGGCAGGGTCGACAGAAGCCTATCGCCACTTGCGAACGGCACCTCATTGCCGAATGGCACGAAGGAAGCTTTAAACGGCCTCACCTCCCCCTCAACTGAAAAAGAACCCAAACCGCCTGCCGAGACTACATCATCCAATAGATTTCTTACACAGGGCAATGAAGTAGAAACTTCGTCCTCTCTTCCAAATGCGGACACCCTCGATGGGGAAAAGAAGACAGAACCTACAGAAAGCGAGGCCAATTCGCGAAACGAACCATCTGCCCCAGACACAACTACAGAGGTGGTGACCCCTCTCGTACCTCAAGGGGAACAAGTAATGCCTCAAGTAGAAAAGGCTGAGGATAAGCCGCTCTCTCAACCGATCTCTCCGCCTGCGACGGCGCCCGTGGTCGAACCAAATGAAACCCAATCCTCCGCACCTGCTCCTACTCTTTCCACCAGTCAAGACCAGACCATGGCAGAGGCTCCACCTTTGTCGCCGACAAAGATGTCGCGGGAACGGGAAGAGGATGAGGCAGATGAACCAGCAGCTAAACGCACCAAGACCGATGCTATCACCCCTCCCCAAGCTGAGTTTAAGGTCCCCGACCTACCACCACCAGCCTCCACCGCCATCACGCCCTTACAAAATAAGTTTTTTATCCGCACTCTTGCAGCCTTGAAGAGAACACACGATGCGCGATTCTTCAGAGTGCCTGTTGACCCAGTCAAGCTTAACATTCCTAATTACCCAACTATCATCAAGGAACCCATGGATTTACACACTATGGAGGACAAGATCAAGAGCGGAGCTTACAAGATGGTTGACCAGATTACCGCGGATTTCAAATTGATGATTGACAACTGCATCACGTTCAACGGCCCGGAACACGTGGTGACTGTTGAAGGTATGCGGCTCAGGGATAACTGGGAACGTCATCTTACCAAACTTCCGAGTCCAAGCGAGGTAGAACCTACCGCCGCCGAAAAGAAGGCCAAAAAAGCGAGTACAGCTCCAACCAAGACACAACCAGCACGACGAGAATCCCAAGCAAAAGCAGCAGCACCCAAAGTTGTCAACGCCACCTCGCCAACTACTTTCGCTCTCGGTCCCGAAGGTCTTCCCCTAATCCGCCGTGACTCTAACACGGTTGATGGCCGTCCGAAACGATCCATCCATCCTCCTAAGAACCGAGATCTTCCCTACAGCACAAAACCAAAGAAGAAGAAATTCCATTGGGAGCTCAAGTTCTGTGAGGAAGTTATCGACGAGTTACATAAGCCTAAGCATTATAACTTTGCCGCCCCTTTTTACCAGCCCGTTGACCCCGTTGCGCTGAATATTCCCACGTATCACAATATTATCAAGAAACCAATGGACCTCTCGACCATCAGGACAAAACTCCAGACCGGGCAGTATGAGAATTCTAAGGAAATGGAGAACGATGTTCGGCTTATGTTCAAGAACTGCTACAAGTTTAACATACCTGGGGACCCAACTTACAATGCTGGTAAAAAGCTTGAGGAGATTTTTGACTACAAATGGGGTCAGAAAGCCCGTTGGCTCGAGACACACGATCCTGCATCCGCTCACCAAAGCGACAGTTCAGACAACGAGAGCAGTGAGGGCGAGGAGAGCAATGACGACGAACAACATGAAAAACTACAGATCCTACAAAAACAGATTGCAGAGATGTCCAAGCAAGTCGAAGCGATCCGTCAAAAGAAGAAGAAAACTCCTCCAGGACCTTCAAAGAAAGCCAGCAAGGCCAAGCCCGGTAAAAAGGATAACAAAAAAGGCGCACCATCGCGAAAGGATAAGAAGGGTGGATCCAAGTCGACCAAATCATCAGAAAAGCAACGCTGGATTACCTATCGTGAGAAACAAATCATATCCCATGGTATCAGCACTCTTCCCGAGAACAAGGTACAGGACGCACTGCACATCATCCAATCCAATGTGCCTTCGCTTAAGGTAACCTGAGCCTTGTCCCTTTTTCTGTTTTAATTATTTCGCGTCATGCTGATGCCGGTCTAGGGAACTGATCAAGCTGAGGTCGAACTCGACATTGACGAACTCCCGAATAACGTGCTAGTACTATTGTTGAACTTTGTCAAGAAGCATGCTCCGCAATCCTTCGAATTTGACGAACCGGCGCCAGAGCCCCTTCCAACTGCCGTCCCCGCAAAGCCTAAGAAAAACAAGCCTATGAATGCCCATGAGCAGGAGGCGCAAATAGGCCGCCTCGCTGGTACTCTTTCGAAATTCCAGGGTGGCGCCCAGTCTTCTGACCCAAGTATGATTTTCCTCTTTATTATATTCTCATATAGCAGTAATAGCTAATGCCGATTTAGTTCATTCTGAAGCCGCTCGTGAAAGCAGTGACGATGATGACTCTGAAGAGAGCGAGGAAGAGTAAATGCTCATCCGCTCTCCAAAAATAATTAAAAATAAAAATAAAAATAAAAAAACACAGCACGATTATGCCTTTATGCACCTTTTACACTGCCACAATCGCTGCGGTGCTCCATCAACGGTTTTAACGTTCCACTACATGATCCACACCTTTTTCTATCCACAGCGTTAGTGGACCATTACAATTGGCAAATGGTCCTGCTGTTTCGATAATACCAAGTTGCCTCCTCTTGCCGTCCGTTGAATGCATCTTCGCCTGCGTTATTCCCTTGCACTGTGTAATTTACATCTTGAATGCTACGATACAAGCGATTTTATGTGTTTTTCTTTCTATTTTCTTCCCTTTTATCCTTAGGTATCCGAAAACATCCCTTTTCGAAAGTTACGAAGTACATGTGCGGCCAGGCTAGGGATTTACATTTCTCGGGTGCTGATCCGTGACCGCTATTACGTGTCATTTGGTCCGTTTGATCAGTTTATTATGGACAAAACGGAGGTCTTATTCTAGGGTGTGTCGAAAAAGGGAGATGTACGAGGCTGTATGATAGGATAATGATATTGGTGCTCACTTGACTATTTGTTCCCGTTCTCTGTACTTCGTATACCGTAAATCAGTGGTTAATGGTGGTCCTTGGGCAGAAATAACCCACAAGTGCCTTAAATCCCGAAGGGTGGCTTGGCCCAAGCATGGATCGCAACCAAGCTTCCCCCTGATCACAATTTACCCAGGCAGTTTCTCTTCGCCATGCTCCCGCAGTGTGATCCCGCGATCCTTAATGATAACCCACGTTTCAAAGCACTTCATCAGCATTTAACAACTTCAATTCTAAAGCCAGATGGATCGACGCATGAGCTGGATGGGGATCCGTCGCGGAGAGAGGTGCAAGTTGTCAGTATCCCCGCACAGAGCTTCGTTTGGCCGATATCTCGACAGTGTCGTTACTTCTATAGACAGCAGAATTCTGACTTCATCACACTAGTATAGGAGCTTAAGAAATTCCAGATCCGCGCTGCGAAGAGACGCATCTTGAAAAGGCTTGTGTGCCAGCTACCGTATGATTTGAAGAATGGCCTACCCGATGAAGTACGACACTGACTTCTGCTGTTACTGTTATTTTCTTGAATACGGCATACTTACTATTATGGACAATAGCTACGGGACCTAGTCGCCATCATTGCGCTTTATCTCGATCATCCTACGTCGAATACCAATTCAAGACGAAGCACTAACGACAACGCAGACAGCGTCGACGACACCCTCTCCCTTCTTGGACCAGACTTAAACGCCTTCAGGTCACACCTCCCCAGCCTTCTTCCCGCAATCCGCAACAAGCTCGACTCAGAGCTAAGCCATCTAAAGAGTCTGGCGGACGCTACATCGCCAAATCATGCTGCTAAAAAACCGGACCAATCCCGCATTCCACAGCAGACTCGCTCTAATGACAGTCGGCTTCGCCCTCTGTCGTTGAAGCCTACTATGTCATATTCCTCGTCCGCCTCCATCGCAAAATACTCTCTTTCAGCACAGCTGTTCAAGCGACAACAAGCACTCCGGACGTTACAGTCCGTGGACCTGCCGGCTGCGCAGAGACAGTTAGCAGTTACGGGTGCAAAGGTCCTTTCTGCGCATACTCGTGTGATGGAGCGAATGATACAGGTGCTTGAGAGGACGAAGCACGGATCGTTGGCGAGAGCAGGGAAAGCGAGAGCGGAATACCTAGCAGCTGTGGCAGAGGGGTTGGACGGGAAGGTCAGGTATGTGCTTCTCCTGGGTCAAGCGGGTTTCAGTCCGTTTCTGCTTTTTTTTATCTTTTGTTTAGTATCGGGCAGTCACTGATAGGCACTTTATGCCCTTTTTAGGATCATGCAGCAAGATATTCTCTCGAGTATATACACGCCCGAAACGCTCAGCGCGTTGCAGAGCTATCGCAGATATCTCCATGATACCCGTGTCCAGTTGGAAGAACGGGAAAAGAAGGCCTTGCAGGAGTTGGAGACTTATGAAGTTGCTAATAACTCCTCGAGAGCCGACGGTGATTCACGAGGGACCCGGGCGGGAGCTTTGGGCGATATCCCGAAGAGATATGGATCCTTGATTCGGGAGGTGGAAGCTGTGCGGATGGAGATTAGACGACTTGGTGGGAAAATGTAGGTATCTATATAACGGCCGAACAATTGAACCTGCCTATCCCTTCGCCGGTGAGAACCAGCAAAGGTGTTTACCGCATGAAATCGGCTCGGCGAACAGCTTGGCCTGTTCACACCGCCTTCGGAGACCGTGGCAAAAAAGGCTTGGCATCAAAAGGTTGATGAGAACTTTAATCTTTTGCCATTGCGCTTCATCTCGAGGTGACGGAGACATGAACTAGGAATCACACCAGCCTGTTCACATCAGAGTCCATTTCTATTGTAACAGTTCCAAGATTTGGCGAGCAGGTGCGGTCAGTCCTCTCGCTTCACCCCCATCGGCGACCCATCAAAAGAAACCCTTCAACCCCACCACACCCCCGCCGGTGCTGCCTTGACATATTTATCAATCCACCTTCCGCTCTCGAATACGTCTCTTCCTCCATAAACCACCAAACATGGCAGACAGCCTATCCATCTACGATGAGGTAGAGATCGAAGACATGACCTTCGACCCTGCCCTGCAAATCTATCACTACCCGTGCCCGTGTGGCGATAGGTTCGAGATCGGAATTGCAGATTTGAGGGATGGAGAGGAAATTGCAATCTGTCCAAGCTGCAGTCTGATGATCAAGGTTATTTTTGACGTGGTATGTATAATCAACCTTGGCAACATTTGAAACATATGTATAAGCTAATCGAGGTGGATACTTTATAGGACGACCTACCCAAGGATGGAGATGGTGGTGCTGGATTGGCGACCGTGGCGGTTCAGGCGTGAACGGGATAGGTTCTGGTTCTTTACGGATAACCACCAGCGATATTGGTCCCGAGCATTAATTGTGTTTCTGGTAACCTGAAACACGTGCCAACTCTCCCGTTTGCGGAAGACTACACCCGATGACGGGCCACTACCAGCATCACCATAATGGCTACTGTGCTTGATCTTCGCTAGTTATGGCGAACATCATTCGCTGCCGATGATAGCATCACCACAGGTGTAAGCAAAGGTGACAGCCACCGGCTCCATTACGGCTCGACTTCGTCAGTGTGGATGGACTTGCAATGTGGACGAGGAAGAAGCAAAAGCATCGATGGAGGCTTAGCACGCTAAGAATGTTGATACAGAGTATATCGTTCGAATAATGCATTTAGCTCGGTTTTTATATTTGATGTTGTGGGGGATATTTTTAACCTGCTGCAACTTCGGCGCTTCTGAAACCGAACATATTCAAAATAAAAATACATGAATGCTTGGTGAGCGGCGTGACCCGGTAAAGCCGTTTTGTAATCCTCTCAAGGAAGCCTCCCGAAGGCAGGTATGTCAACACCTAAGCCTTGCTTTTCTCGTAGAGATCGTAATCCAGTTCCAGGCCAAGTTCTTTATTCAGTAAAGTCGTCAGATTCGAGCCATCCCGAAGATAGATCCACTGTCCGCCAATGTTTTCTCTTGTCCCTTCCTTCTCGGTCATTGAGTCGCCTTGCACAACCCAGTCGTAGCGCTTGGGGCCGGAGATGGGGGAGCTCAGCCATATTTGCTTGTTGGGGGGCTGTTTATTCAGGACGTATGTTCCGATCCCAGGAACGGTGACGTTGAGCACGCCGGCCTACAGCACAGGAATAAATCAGCAAATATCATTTTCAATCTTACTCCTTCGATTGTTAATTTGCATGGGATCATTTAGACATCGCCAGCAAGTTGCAGTGAAGAGGACCGACGTACACTGTACTCCGCCTCTGTTTCCGATCCTTGTTCCTGTGCCTCTTCTAGCTCTGTGAGCAGTACATTGAAATAATGCTCTGAGTATTCATGGTATTTCGCATCCGATAATGGCGAAGGTTCCACGACATGGGGCGACACTCCGCCGAGATTGTTAGGTTCGGGGCTCGGGGGCGCGGGGTCCGATGAACCAGGCGTGATGCCCTTGTGCAATGTAGGCGCATAGTGAAAAGCACGGGCGAAGGGTGTTTGGGGCGCACGGGACGAAGGTGCTCTTGATATTGCGCGGTTGAATGATGGGATTGCTGCCGGAGATACTACTGCCGGGGTGTGCACAGCATGGGTTGTGGATGAGAAGAGAGAGCTCAGAGCTCGAGATGAGTTTCGGGATAGCATTGTGAAAGTGAGAATTAAGCAGGCTCAATTGTACTAGGTCCTTGTTTTTGACATGCAACAGAAGTGTGAAGAGACCCAATGCTGGAGCTCGACCTCAAGAAACGGATACGAAGAACTTGGAAAGTCGTGAGGGAAGCTCCAACTTGTTGTGGGCTTCAAACCAGGAGCTTGCTGCCAACCCACATTTGTTCCACCAACATCGGCGTCATCACCACGTAAAAGTGAATAACCAACACACTTCATCTTGTTGGCATTCACCTTGAGATTCAGACTCCCTGCAGTGCATGTCTCTTCAAATATATATTGTTTTATTCTTACATGGCCTTGATTGCCCTACTTGAACAGCATATTCAATCATCATCCCACCGACAAGAGCGTTGCGCCTCATAGGTACATGAATGTACTTAGATTGAGCCGTTGTGAGAAGAGAACAGTGTTGGCATTTTGGCCCCCCATAGTTATCCTGCCAGGCTTCTTCTGGGCCTAAGGCTACGAAGTCTTGACTATATATGATCAAATCATTCTGCTATATACCTGGCAGAAGCACCAGATCATCCCCCCAGATCAGCTACAAAGCACCAAAGCGCTACTTTTCTCTCGCCATGGGGAATAAGAATCATAAAGGCCGCCACGGCCGGGGCAATATGGGTGGAAATAAAAAGCCTCCACTGACACATTTCCTCTGCCTGCCCCTTGTCAACCAATCCTCTGCTACCCAGCTCGTTAATTCCCTAGCGGATTTTAAATCGAAAATTCCACTTATTTTTCCGCCAGCAGCTGCAAGAGCAGAAGCAGTAGGGCATGCTGTGCGCATACCATTGGTCCCCGATGATGCTATGAGGCCCCTCGGGACCTTGCATCTGACGCTAGGTGTCATGAGTCTCACGACGGAGGAAAGACTACAGCAAGCTCTAGATTTTCTGCAATCCTTGGACCTCAATTCATTGCTAAAGGAGGCGGGGACTCAGGCGGAGTCGACATCTGATGAGCAGTTATGCAAAGCTACAGCCGATGAGAGCTTGGAGCCTCTTACTATTACGCTAACTTCGCTATATGCACTGCCGAAACCTCGCTCTGCAACAATACTACATGCCCATCCCTTAGATCCAACGTCACGTCTCTACCCTTTCTGTGTCAACTTGCGAAACAAGTTCATTGAAGCGGGGCTTATGCACTGTGAAATGATTAAAGATCCGAAAGGCAAATGGAGAGCTCAGGGAGAGGAGAATACACCTCAGTCTACCAGCGTATCGAGGCCGACAGTTGAGCACAGTGATAGTGATAGCGATGGTGGTGTGGACCTACCCGTCATTCGCAACGCAAAATCTACTGCTTTGGGCCAAGAAGGGCTGGTGCCCAGACCACTCCTGCTACATGCCACGATATCAAACACCATATATGCAAAAAGCCGGCGGACCTTCTCAAATGACAAGAGAAAGAAGAGGGAGGCCTATAAGTTTGATGCAACGGAATTAATTGCCATGTTTGGGGACAATGCTAGTCCGCATAGCCAAGGTCAAAACAAGAGTCAAAGTAGGTCTCAGCCTCTTCCAAGCCGAGCTATCCCGCGATCGATGCCACAAGAGACTCAAGAAACTGAAACCTGTGAAGAAAATCATGGCGAAAAACAATTGCAAGCTCAGAGAAATGCTGCGAGAGAGCCATATATCTGGGCAAAGGACATCTTGCTCGATCGCATATGCATCTGTGAAATGGGTGCTAAGCCCGTGCCACATGATGAGTCAAAGGAAGGCCCTGCCTTGGTTGAAGAGTACACTGTTGTTGGAGAAAAGAGGTTTTGACATGATAAAAGAATACTTTGTTAAGCCGTCCTCTAATGAGTTCTCACAAAAAGCAAATATAACGCTGGCTACTATGCTTCCTGATAGCTACTCCTTAGTGTAATGTGGATTATCCTAACTCGGATGGCCTAGATACAATACATATACCAAAGTGGAATTTGGCATATTAATCTTCCATGCACTTGACTATATATGTTTCCTGTATTGTGAAAACTCATACAGTTGACTACATATATGCATCGGGAATGCCTGCGATATAGTGCTCCCGCTGGCCCAAATAATCCAACAAACTCCAGTCATCTCCAATGGACTGAAAAAAAGAAAAAGGAAAAAAAAAGGCACTATTACCACACATAAAAAGAGTTAGACCCATGCTCCAACCCCACTGTTAGATATTTACACATTATTGATAGCTTATGTGAATTCACATCATCTCACTCTTCCCATGATGGTCTCCGCTCCACGCTCAACTGATAACTCTGCAGCCTTCGCCTTCACAGCGCTCACCATCGATCTCTCAAAGTCATCTCTAGATCTCAGCACCGCCTCCACCCATGACAGGTTTAAATCCCAATACTCCCTCTTAAACCCTTCGTACACGTTCACAACCTCGCCTTTCTCTGCCTCAAGCAGCCTAACTAACCAATCAACTAATCTCCACCTATCCTTAATCGTGCTGGCAAAGCTCTCCGGATACTGCTGGAAGAAGGCAAATAGAGTAAGAATATCGTCCTTGAATTTTTCCGTAAAGGGGTCTTGCCGGCGGAACTTTGCGCCACGGTTACGGATGCAGAGGAGATAATGCACGAGCAGCTCGTCGGAGAGTTCTTCGATTAAAATGTCACGGAGAGAAGGGTGGATCATGGATAGGTAGTCTGTCATGTAGTCTTCAAAGGTAGATATCATCCGTTTCATGGCAAATTCGCCATACCATTTTTGCGTGAAAAAGTCGGGAAGGGTAGTGCGGAAATCAACGGAGAATATTAGATCGATGAACAAGGTAATGCAGTGGGTACTGAGATCAACGTAGCCATCTCGAAGAACATTGAGCTCTGTGTCTGCGCGTGTGATGAGGTACTTTTCGGTAACCAGCGGCTCGAAGTCTCGCCTGAAGCGTGTGAGGTAGCCGACTTGTCCCGACGCATCGTTGTCATCAATGCACGCAATTTGATCGTTTGCAACAGCAATGAGCCAGTCTTGCAGTTGCTGGAAGCCTTTGTTATCTGGAGGAGCATCTGCACCTTTATACTTGGCGCATTCTTCATCGAGCATCGTTTGCCAAGCAGTCTGGCGGGACTTTAAGGCGCGGAACATTGCATCTACGACACCTTCCGCAACATCGGTTCTCTGCGAGGCACCAGCAGCAAGGAGCTGCTCGTGGAGCATACGCCACAGGTCTCCGAGAGTCTTGATGCGGAAATGGCCATCCGGGTTTGTGTCCAGGGCTTCGATATCCCTTTCAGAAAAGGATCTCTTGTCCACAGCAAACATTCGTTCTATCCATTCGTCCAAGGCTTTTATAATTAGATTTCGCCAATCACGGACTAGTTCTCCTTCACGGTCGTCAATCACATGGGGGGTGAGGTCAGCTTGGGCCCAACCAAGTTTCGCCATTTTTGTATAGTACTTATCGCTCCAGTGGATGATCGCCAGCATATTCGCAGCAGGAAGTTGGTCATCATCAACGAATTGGATTAACCAGTCATGCATCATCTGGTGGTAGATATCCGTATAAGTCTTATAAATTTTCCATTTCTTAGGCATGAGGGGCTGCATTCCTTCTCTGACGGTAAAGAGATCGTTGAAGAACCATTTGAAGCCCTTCTCCAGTTTATCGGGGTCATCGAGGAAGCCCTCCTTTGTAGCTTCAAACTGTCCTTGAGCATAGAGTTCAATGGCCTTTAGGAAATTCTGCTTATATCCTCTGACCGTCTTTGGACCGATATTCATGGACTTGAAACGGGTCGCAAGGTACTGATGATCCTTTTGCGCGTCCTGCAATGCCTGGACCTTGGCATCATTCTTTTCCTCACTGAGGATGACTACGGCAAGCCTGACCACCATACTCCGGTTGTCTGATTGAACCAGCGGAATAAGATTCATACACGCAGTCCCCAGATGGTCATCGAACCACTCGATAACAGAATCGAGGCCTTGAAACCATTCAACAAGCGTGGCCTCGCTGCTCCTATCCTGGGACTTGGAGATTTGATCCATAGCTTCATCCCGAAAATCTCTCAGCCGTGTGATTGCCATATGTGCATTAAGCAGGTTTGGTTGATTTTGTAAATCTTCATCGTCTTCTCGCAGCATCCTTTCCACCTCAGCCAAGTCATTATGAAAGCTCTCTAAGCCTTGCTTCATCATCATTGTCGCCTCGAAATTCCGATGTATCCGCGCCAGCTGGTCGATCTGCGCAAAGTCACCCACAGCAGCCTGCGACTCAGCGCACAGCGTATCGATCCCGCGCAGCTCATTTTTCGTGCTCAGAATCAGCTTTTTGCCCTCTGTAAGCTGGTTTATACTCCGCTGCACCGTTTCCAGTTGGTCTCTCAGTCCATCCCGAAGCTGCGCATCTACAGCAGCTTTTTTTCTCGTATATTCTGCTTTCAGCGCGGGGATCTTATCCAGATCTTCCGCGTGACGAAGCAAATCCTCCAATCGAGGCAGCGCCAGGCCGCCATCTTCCTTACTCTCACTAGCCATGGCTCTGTAGGCCTGGGATACCATTGGTGGGGCGGGGGCTGTTATCGTCGGATGAGGAGAGGAGCTGAAGATCCGATCGAAGAGGGACGCATTGGTCGAGGAAGCGACGGTATCCAGAGAAGAAACGAGAGAGACGCTCTCAGAATTCTCCACTAGTTTAGGCAGCGGTTCACAGAATTGGGCGGTGGGCGCTGGCGCATCGGGAGTATGGTTTTCAACAATGGTCTGAATATCGCCCGAAGAAGCAATTTGGATGTGCGCCGTCAATGGATCAGGCTTCTCGATGGGCGGTCCGAACCTCAAACGCGCCCGGGGGCGTATAGATTTGGACAGGTAGCGAGTTACAGAAAATTTCGAGGGAGAAGCTGGCGGCGCCGCCGTCGCCTGGTAGCTCTCTGCGGCTGAATCAGTCTCAATGATACGTGCGTCTGGCTCGGGGGCATTCGATTCCTCGGGCTGACCTGAAGGTGTCGATTCCAGGAGATGATGGCGGTCGGTACCACCCGAAACAGTGCCTCCGTTCTTGGCCTCGGATGACACTGGCGGCCTGTCCTTCTCCCGCCTACTGAGCGACCTGCGAAGCTTTCCAGGGGCACCCCGAAAGGACCGCTTCTTGCCCTCGATCGCGCGTTTCTTAACGTAATCGCCGCCGCCGCCGCTGCTGGACTTGCGGATTTGCACCTCGAACGCTGCTCGCCGTTGCGCCACAGACGGCAGTGCGCCGGGGAGGAGGCTCCTCCGCTGGGGCTTGGCGACATTAGTCATCGTGGTGTGGCTTGACCGGCCTTGTGAGGCTGGTCGGTGGAGAAACAGATTTTCCGGTTGATGGTTGAACCTTTTCAATTTTGTGTCTCGGTTTCTGGACGTCCCTGGCTCAATCGACGAACAGAGACGAACGAAAAAGAGTGGTCGATGAAGGGATGCGAATCCGTCGGGAAAGAGAATTGAGCGTGTTTTTCGGGTGCGAATAGACAGTCGGCCCCTGCAAATTACAATACCAACTTCGCACCTTAAGGAGTCCGTCGATCCACGTCACACCGTGCGGCACATCCAACGGGGAAGATTGCCTTGGCTGGAAGAGAAAGCAAGCCCTGCAGACACGGGGCGAATCAACTCGACGCAGACAAAAGAAGAAAAGGGCTCGTTTGCCGAAACAATAAGAAAGAACCAGATTGTTGGGTTTTCCTTCTTTGGGTCTGAAATAAGCACCATTCCGCCTTCATCCCAGCAATCATCGCTGGTTGGATCAGAACAGCCCAGAGCAACAATTCGGACCCTTTTCTCTTTGAAACCAGAAGAGAACTGAAGCAAGAGAGTGCAGGAGAGTGAGAGAAGAGAGAGACATCGTGCCCAAAAGGAACTTTCCTGGCGTGACCAAACAAAAGGGACTCCGTGCGCCGCGTGCACACACTCACCAACCTTCCTTGACAATAACACCAAGAAACAAACAAATTCGCCGAAATACAAAGAAACCAAAGCAACACAAAGCACAACCTGTACCCCCAAAACTCAGCTGGGACAACCAAAAATAAATAAATAAATAAATAAATAAAAAGAAAAGAAAGGGAAACGCCAGGAGAAAGGGTGCTGAAACGTCACATCTCCCATCCTAAAAAGCACTCACAAAAATAAATTAAAAAAAAAAAAAAAAAAAAAAAAAATTATTCGATTTAAAATTAAAAAGAACACACCCGAAAACAATGACTTTCTTCCGCATCACCCTCATCCGCTCCGCCATCGGTCTCCCACGCCGTACCCACGGCGTCCTCAAAGCCCTCGGCCTCAAGAAGCGCATGGCCACCGTCTTCCACCCGGTATCCCAGGACGTCGCCGGTCAGATCATGAAGGTCAAGGAGCTCGTCGCAGTGCAAGAAGTCGACAAGCCGCTCACGCAGGAGGAGCTGCACTGGTCGCGCAAACCCGATCCGGGGTACTATATCGAGAAGAGGGCGGCGGAGGCGTTCAGAGAGAAGAGGGAGGTGTAAGGAGGGGGGAGAGAAAGAAGGGGAAATGGTTAGCCCTTCCTTCCTTCCTTCCGCGCGCAGCAGGGCTGGATGGCACGATGAGGAATGCAGCGATGGATTTTTGGGGGTGGGGATATACCTGTTTTACGATGGTGGGAATATCGAAGAGACGGCGGGCGACCCTGTTAGAGAGGGGAGGCCCGATTTGTGCAGCCGATAATCCCACGGTACTCGTGTTGGAGAATAGCATTGATGCTCGGTGTTTGCGGTCATGGTCCTTCGACCCGTAAGTGCTTCAAATGCCAACCAGATTTTGATAGAAGGGGGGCAGCAAGGATCGATTGTCTTCCGCTTATATCTTGACCTCAGCAAGTCGCCACAGGTTCCGTTGTACTCTTACTGTATATTAGAAGCTATATCGCGATGAGCGTGCTGAAGTTGCCTTTTTTTTAAAAAAATTTATTTCATGTATCATAAATTTTGTGTCTCAGGCCTTGTACAATTCTATCTACCAAAGGAGTGTATTCTCAGAATTCTTTGTTAACACTATCTTTAGGAAACCGTGAGCTAAAAGAGAGTACACAAAAAGACAAACAAAGCCAAAGGTTAAAGCAGAATATGAATATTCGAATTACCTAGTAAACTGCCTATGTAGGTGGTAAACAACGCCTGTGACCATGCATCCATGCATCCGGCCAACCCTTCTAACACAATTCCCAATTATCTTCGCCCTTTTTAACGCCACTGACCTTGATTCCCCTAGAACAAACAATACAATTCGTCCAACTATGAGAGATACAGCGTATCAAGGAACCCTTCAGCGAGACGGCTGACAATACTTTTGTCCGGGATGCTACCCGCAACACCGTAGAGGGCAGAGGTATCACCACGCTCCTTCTCCACCTTCTGTCCCAAGCGCTTGCGCTCATCGGCCTTCGCACGTTTAATCTCGACAACTTCGGTCAGATCAGCGGTGAGCTGATCGACGGCATTCGCTGTTGGAACGGTGAAGGCGACATGCATGGCAGCAGGGTTTTGGAGAGCATTGAGATGCCACCCCTTGGCTGACATTGCATCAGCAATATCGTAGATATCGATCTCCGCGGTGGTGGTTGCAAAGGCGACGACGCTCACCATCGGCTCACCAATTACTTTAAGATCGCGAGAAAGGACGGGGTCCTCACGAATGGACGTTTCAAATTTCTTCGCCGCGCTGACAATTTGGTGGCAGCTGTCCTTGTAGCCCGATTCACCAATGGCCATCAAACTACTCCAGCAGCCGGCGATCAAGGCTCCGGGGCGGGAACCAGCAATCGAAGGGGAGGCGTAAACACCACCAGACCACTCTGGGAGGATGAAATATTGGTAGCTTCGCAGAACACGATCGCGATACAAGACCACGGAGTTCCCCTTTGGAGCGAAGCCATACTTGTGAGTGTCAACGCTAATGCTTGTGACGCCTGGAAGACGGAAGTCAAAACCTCCCTGTTCTTCATACGGTGAAGGGAAGCCGGATTTTTTCAAGAATGCAATAACGAACGATCCAAGGCAACAATCAACATGCAAAGGGAGCTTGTACGAGACTGCGAGGCGGGACAATGCAGGGATGTCGTCGACGATTCCGTGAGGGAAGTTGGGCGCGGATCCGACCAAGAGGATAGTGTTGGGATTGATCAAACGGCGAACAGATGGGATATGCACTGTATAGTTGGGAGCAGGGCAGGGCACGGAATGAAGCTTGATGCCAAAGTACTGCGCCGCTTTATTGAACGCCGCATGGGCAGTGATCGGAACGATCCTGACGAAGAAAACGTGTTAGCTCTTGGTTAGTTTACATTGGATATCCCCGTGCGACTAACATTTCTGGATCAGTGACACCACGCTCGGTATACGCCTTTTGGCGAGCTGACAAGCAGGCCATAAGGATGGACTCTGTTCCACCGCTTGTGGTCACACCAGCACCGCCTTCAGGGGCATTGAACAATTCAAGAACCTACAAAATCAATCAGTCAGTCATCTCAATTGATTTTCACAGCTCCCAAAAAAAAAAAAAAAAAAAAAAAAAAAGAGAAGGAAGGGAAAAAAAGGAAAAAGCAGAAAGATGGGAGCTCACCATCGCGACAACTTCAGCCTCCATCTTCCTCACGCCCGGGAAAACGTCGGGATGGATTGGGTTCGCGACGGCAAATTGTCCCCAGGCAGCTGTCTGGAGCTTCAACAGGTCTTCACCACCATGGTAGACAGCGCCGCTGACGCGACCTTCCTCCCACATGGTGTGCTCCATGCCGGCCAACCTATCCAGCTCGGCGTGGACCTGCTCGGCGGACCATCCCTGCGCCGGAAGCTTGTTGTACTTGACGATGCCGGGACCTTGGGGGGCGAGTTTTGACTCTAGCTTGGAGATGGCGGTGGAGACCTGCTTGTCAACCTGGCCGCGGACGCCGGGGGCGCGCAAGAAGAGCGAGTAGAGCGTCAGGTGGGCTTTGTGGTAGATGTTGCAGATGGTGCCGATGAAGCCCTGGCCGCGAATGGTATAAAAGGATCTGCGGCTCAACCGGAGCAGGAAGACGATGAACACGAGGTTGCGGACGCTACGAAGGAGAGAGAGAGGTTAATTGGCTCAAACTCATTCCTGGCAAGAGACCAGCAGGCAACGTACAGGTCCAGATTTGACAAGCTGAACAGGGCATCCGATGATGCCCGCGTGGCCGCCATGACCTTGTGCAGGGTCATCGGGATGTAAGGATGCGTCATGCCGGAGTTATCAGACAAGCAGTAGTAGGATGGTAGCACTAGGGATATAAACTCATAAGGTTAAAAAGAAAAAGAAAAGAAAAAGCAAAAAGAAAAAAAAAATAGGATGAATTGTGAGAGGGTGGATGTTGTGCAGCAGTGCAGGATGATGGATGGTTGGGAAACCGGTGATAGTTATAACCGTCGCAGGGTGACTTGGGGGGAAAGCCAAAAGGGGACCGCCGCTACTTAGTCACTTCCTTTCTTCCTCTTCTTACCTCTTTTTATTTTACTTAATTTTTTTTTGTTTGCTTTTATTTTTTTGTTTTATTTTATTTTTTATTTTTTTTTGGTGATGCGATCGCGTGGGGCAAGTGCGCGGAAAACTAGTTAGTTCTAAGGGTCGAAACGCCCCTTCCGGGTTGGCCAGAACTTACGTACTACTAAATATCTTCCCAGCAAAAGGAAGTGGCAACAATACTAAAAACTACATCCCATGTTTATTTTGTATGTTGCTCCATAACTAACTACTCCGTACAGCACCTATATAACCTGACATTAGCAGCCGTCAACAGAGCGTGGAGACAACTGAAGTTAAAATGAACAGACAGACAAACACTCCTTTCTGGCAGCTGCAGCTCTGCGCGCCAACCCCCGGCCCTGTTCGGCAACTCTAACTGACTCAGCGTCGGCATGTGAACTTGTCGGTCTGCGGCAGCAGCAGATGATGTTTTTTCTCCATACAAGACAATCCCTTCTACAGAGAACTACTCTCACCACAGTGAATTGACCGTCATCGAATGAGTAGAAGCTGAACATCCCCTTATCCCCCCTCCTGAAATAACAGAATTAACAACTGCTTGGTTGGTTGGCTGTTTGTCTCAACTTTTGAACTGTAAACCGGGCGATATCGAAGCTCCATCGCGTCGTATTCGGATTGCGGGGGTGGGTTGTCTCGCATTCGGGTTCGCTGGGTGGAAGGGCGGAGAACGACAATCCGGCGCTTCTTCACAGTCTGTCATTTTTTCTGTGCTGGGATGACCTTGTAGCTAGCCAGGATATTTTTTTCCTTTTTCTTTTCTTTTCTTTTCTTTCTTTCTTTTTTTTTTTTTTTTTTTTTTTTTTTTTTTTTTTGGGTAAGGAAATGGAACGAAAAAAATATATAGTTATATAAAAAAAAGGATGATAAGATAAAGAAACATGATCGCTTGCATGGAAGTACATATGGCCTTAAAAGTACATCAGGAAATTCGTTTTCAGCCAAAATGAAAAATGAAAAAAAAAAAAAAAAAAAGGCAGGAAAAGTAGTACGTCAAGTTTATGTCACGGTCATTAGAGTGGGAAGCGCGCTTTAGGGAAAAAACCGCCTGTTTCATCTGCTTCCCCACAAACTAATTCCCCCCAGTTTTTTAGCCGGTCACCTTGTAGATGGATTCCGCGAGTCGCTTGACGTTGCCGGTTGTGATCCCCGCAACGGAGATGCGGCCGTCCTTGGTGGCGTACACGGAGTGCTGGAGACGAGCGGAGTCGTCAGCAAAAGTCTCATCCTCCCGTTGATGGGCTCGGATAGTTACGGGGTAGGGGGGAAACAGTCCTTACCTCCTTGGCCAACTTCTCCATCTGCTCAGGCTTGAGTCCGGTGTAGGCAAACATGCCAATCTGCAAAACGGGTGAGGCGTTAAGCACGGCAAGTCAAAACCATTCTCTAGCGTGGAAAAACTAACCTGGCTGGTGATATGGCTCCAGTCATGCTTGCTTCCCAGCTCTTCTAGGTGCTTCTTGAGAAGGGCACGCATCTCGATGATACGGTCGGCCATGCCCTTGACCTCCCCGAGCCACTGCTGGTTCAGGGTCGGGTCGTTCAGGATGGTCGATGCGATGCGGGCGCCATGGATGGGCGGATTGGAGTACATGGGGCGAACGAGAATCTTGATCTGCGAATCCACGCGCTGCTTCTCTTCCGCCGATTCGCAGACGACGGAGAATGCACCAACACGCTCACCGTAGAGACCCTTAACAGGAAGAAAAAGGAAAAAAAGCTTGTATCAGCAAAGAAGCAACGAGAATAGCACAGCCTTAACTTATGCGACATAAGAACTTACCATGTTCTTTGCGAAACTCTGGGCGAGGACGACAGGCTGGCCCTGGCTCACAAAGTGCCGCAGGGCAAAGGCATCACGGTTGATATCTCCACTGGCGAATCCCTGGTAGGCCATGTCGAAGAAGGCAAAATGTCCCTTCTGCTTCATGACCTCGGAGATCTGGAGCCATTGCTCCTGGGTAGGGTCGATGCCGGTGGGATTGTGCGCACACGCGTGGAGCAGAATGATGCTCTGCGCAGGAGCGGCCTTGAGGTCGGCGATCAGGCCCTCGAAGTCAAGTCCGATCGTGTCCTTGTTGTAGTATCTGTACTTCTCGACCTTGAGGCCGGAGTCCTTGAAGACGGCGGCGTGGTTGGCCCAGCTCGGGTTGGGGATGTAGACCGTCTTTGCGTGAGGGTAGAAGCGCTCCAGGAAGGCCGCGGCTATTCTCAGCGCGCCGGTGCCGGAGATGGACTGTGTGATGGCGATGCGGCCCTCCTTGACGGCAGCGCTGTCGGCGCCGAAAGCGAGCTCGGCAGCGGCCTTGGTGAAAGAAGGAACGCCAGTGATTCCCGCGTATTCCTTGTCGAGCTTGGAGTTCACCACTTTGGTTTCGGCGGCTCTGACGGAAGGGAGGACGTAGGGTTTGCCTTGGTCGTCGCCTATCGCGGCAGCAGTCAGCAAAGACCGACTTCGAAAGTTTCATCTGAAAAAGAGAGAGAGAGAGAAAGAAAAACAATAATGGTAATAATAACAGGTCGCTTGCAGGCGAGGAGGGACATACGGTAAGCTCCAACGCCGAGGTTGATCTTCTCCTTGAAGGAATCAGCCTTGAAGGCCTCAGTGATCCCCAAGATGGCATCCTGTTTGAAACTCGAGCTGTCAGCAATTCTGCACGACCATCGATCGGTTCTTCAGGGATTGCGGCAGACTATCATACAGGAGGACCCTGAGGGACATTGGCCCAAGTGGAGGCTTGCCGGTACGCCAGGACGCGAACGCCGGCTTCCTTCGTGGCAGCTGAGCGGCTGGCAATTCTCAAGGTGGTGAGCATTGTGAACAAGCCGATGACCAATCTACGACGACAAGGGCAAAAAATTTTTCTTGGAGGGGTGGGCTGTGTGGAATTGGGCGAGGAGAGGAGAGGAGACGAGAAGAGAGGAAGAAGGTGGGCAAAGCTATGTCTGCTTTTCCTTTTTTTTTTTTTTCCCTCACTTGTGAACACAAGATAATCTTAAAGTGTCCTGATCAAAAAAAGTTTTGCGGAGAGTGTCGGACTTCCAGGGATCCGCAGGCTTCGGTCTGTGGCGCGGTCCCCCAGCCAATGTAGTGTGTTCCTTTGTTCGAGCTTCACCCCGTAATTTTGCTAAAAACCACCCGCTTTTATCAGTTGTCCAGACAGCCCGCCTGTGCGGCGCGAAAGCCTCCCTTCGCTGGGCGACTTTCTCCAGATTTTCGGCCTTCAAGGACCACGCTAGCAAGCCCATAAACCACCGAAGCGTCACTCGCCGAGTCATACCGACCTTGGCGGCGGTGGAGCTGGCCCATAGCTCGGAGCTGCTGATCCACGGCGACAGCCAGATCGCTGGATGGAAGAGGACATGATGCCGAGGGACAGGAGACCAGGGCTCAAGCTGCAGAAAGGGCCGGCAGATGCGCATCCGGGAAAGGATCGGGTTCACCACTCCCCAGCCATGTCGCGGCAAAACAGTCAACGAAGCTATCTACATACTCTCATAATACTCCGCACTCCGTAGTTCTCTATTAAAATTTAAAAAAAAAAAAAAAAGGAAAAAAAAGAAAAGAAAAGAAAGAAAATCGTCTTGCCGACCGCCATTTCATGGGAACTCAAATACGTGTGAATACGATGCACAATGTAACTATCCCTGGAATACCCCCCTTTTCATATTCGCTTCCCGTCAACCACGGTACATCACCAGAGAAAAGCGCGTGTGACAGACCATGATGAGCAAGCGCTTAGCGTACTGCCCGCACAGTAAACTGTTGTTTTCTTGAATTCTTCCGCGTTTTCTGTTCCACATCATCACCGAATCGTCATCATTGGTTTGTTTGACGACGGAAGCAACCAACCCTGAAACTAAAAACGCAATGTCTCATTCTCGACTCTGCTTCCTATGCGAACTTGATAAAGGCCCCAAATCCCGCAGAGGCATGCCTCATATCGCCGGAAATAACCCACCAAAGCGTCGATGAAAGAAGCATCAAGGTGCCGACCACAACAGGCAGAATCCGCTTCAAGGCCCTCCCTCCCCGAGCCGCCTTCTTCCCTGGAGACCTGGTCAGCCGTGTAGTACTATCTTCATTCCATCCCAACTTCCCTGCTTTCCCCTCGAACGGCACATAATTGAGCTTGGGCGTTCCACTGAAGAGCCTGGAGGCATCCCTAGCCAGGCAATCCAATCCGATGACCGGCGTTATCCATCGTTGCGTTATATAATTCCACCATCCATCGTACGCCTGTAGACGTGTCATCTTTGCCCCGAACTCGACAATCCCCTTTACACGATCAAGACGAGAATCCTGATAGTGCTGCAGCGCATCGCGGATTTCAACATCAGAGGGCTCTTTGTTTGGGTGCGCGTGGACAAGGCCATGAATTGCGTTTGCAATGCTCACGACACTTTCCATGGCCGTACAGCCTCCTAGGGCCGAGTTAGGAGTTATCTGAAGTGGGAAAACCCAGTTAGCAAAATCGACATGGGAAAAAGGCAAAAGTTCTTTTTACCTTGTGGATGGCATCCCCTGCTAGGACTATGCGGCCAAAGAACCAGTGCTTGAGGACACCTTCTTCCAGCGATATAAGCTGGCCTTTAGTACGCGAGCGCCAGAGTTCTCCAAACAAAACAGTCTCGGTAACAGGACAGTCGGCGAGCTTGCTAGCCAAGGCTTCCATCTCTTCTTCGGTGTATTTCCCGCGATTAGGCCAACGGTATCGTTTGGCCTCCGGCAGTTTGCAGTGTGCTATGAACGTGATGAAAGTCGGCTGGCACAAAAGGAGAAAGGAAAACCCGTTACCTGAGGTAATTTCCATGTCGTGTTTACTGAGGCCGGGCACCGGAGGGCACATTGCGATGAGCGCATTGTAGGTGGTGGCCATGGCTAAGGAAGTGAACATGTCAGATGTGGCCCAGCTTTATTTATTATTGAAAGGGCCAAATTTCTCTTACAGCGCTTTTCTGCGGCTGAGATAGAGCCTGGTATGGCTCTGTTGGCTTTATCCCACATGAGCTCTCGTACCTTGCTGTGGACACCATCGGCTCCGACAACGAGATTGCCCACATGCTCCGTTCCGTCCGCGAGCAATACCTTCACTATTCCAGTTTCTTCGATGATGTTCTCGACTCGGCACCTTTCAAGGACCTTCGATTTGTCACGAAGCTGGTTGTAGAGGGTTCTCAGAAACACCCTCCTATCCAAGGTACAAGTGCTGTAACCGGAACTACACATCTTAGCCACCTAGATAGCTAGCGGTGGTCAATAGGCGGACATACTATTGTTGTATTACTTCGAAGAAACGATTTTCTGCGTAAACTTTGCCGGTAGACGTGCGACAGGAACATCCTTTCATGGTGGAGCACTGGGATAAAACAGCATCTAAGCAACCAAGCTGGTCAAGAATTCTACAGCCATGGGGCTGCATAGTAATTGTCGTGCCAAAAGGTGGTGCCACTATGCCCTTGTCTAGGACAACATAGTCGATATTGGCCTTCTCTAGGCAGTGAGCCAGTGTCAAGCCAGCAACTCCAGCCCCGACAACGATGACCTTGAAGGGAGTCTCCCATGTGGGATGGTCAACGGAAGGGTGTCGCATTGCGAATCAGTTTTGGTGGTCGAATTTTATAAGGGGTAAAGAAGTAGTAGATAGCAAAGCAATGCTATGAGTGACAAAAAAGAATATACATATCAAGAAGATATATCTACCCGCAATCTGGGCTAAACAGCCCAGCCCGTTTGTTCCTCCACCATCCTACATATATGTAGCGGTCAAACAATGAAAGCAACCACCGTGGATGTACTGTACATATGCAGACATGCCACTGATGACCAGTGCCATGTAACACAGCTGGAAGGAAAGTCGTTCAAGAACAGCAATGGAAATGTAATAAAGCTAGAATTAGATATCTGAGGTAAGCATGACAAGCGGCCCAATATGGAGCTCAGAATGTATCAAAGTGAGTGGTCGTTCGTCTCGTTCAATTGTACCTATGATGCAACAAGGGAGATGTGCAAATTTTTGCTTTTTGCGTACAGAGCATATAAAGCCCGGTGAAGAGATATATATATATACATATATATATATATTTTCCCTTTTTTTTTTCTTTTTTCTTTTTTTTTTTTTTGGCTTTGTTTGAAGATCTCTGTACGAAACACATACCAGTGGCCCTGCATTTTGGCAATCCAACTAGAAGTTAGATTTATGCTGTCCAGCTGCGTCGTGAAACTGGAATCTCATCAACACAATTAATATGTAAAGGATACCATCTGCCGATCCAAGGGAAAGTTGGCAAATAGTGGCGATGCTGCCGTATGAAGTATCCCACAATGGGTTGGTTCATTGTCTCGCTGTCGTCGTGACTGGCAGAGTCCATAGTCCGTGGGTAGGGATGATGATGTTGGGCGGATCAGCACAGTTGAGCCCTGCCAAGATAACGCCTTGCCGTATATGGTTAGCTAGCTACTAGTTAGTTAACTTATCTGATAACCTCTGTTTACATAATCAGGCATCCGGTGTGGCGATTGGGCTGCTGGCGTTGTGATTGTTCGAGATCCAGGGGAGCACGACTCTCATTCTGTGCTTATTGTTGTGATCCTGGGTGAATGGAGGAATAACTGGAGTGAAAGCTAAACTTATGAAGGATGGTGCCTATCTGCCTTCCCTTCTCTTGACCTCTTCCTTGCTGGAATCAAAGGAATGTGCGTTCCCAACTATCGGCGGGTCACTGCAGGAAGTAATGCCTTTGATATCCGTTGACCAGACTTCTCTTCCTCCTTGATCACACATATCACCTCTTCCGAAATGTCAACACCCGACCTCCACCACTGCTTCTTACGCCCACCCATCATCCAGATTCTCCGTGCCGCTGGCTTTCATTCTGCCCGGCCCGCTGTCATCGACACCTTGACCGACATAGCTGGACGATATTTGCTCCTCCTCGCCTCATCGACCGTTGATCATACGCTCAACAGTCACTCCGAAGATCCCGTCCCCACACTTGACGATGTGCTCATGGCATTTAATGATGTTGGCGCCTTGAGGCCACAGAAAACCCGACTCGAAGAAGTGCATGAAGGAAAGGAAGATATGAGGGGTTTGGAGTCGTTTTTGACTTGGTTCAGCGGGCCCGCAAATACAGAAATTAGACGGATAGCTGGGTTTATCCCCAGCGAGGGAGATGTGGTGGATGTGGAAAGCATGGGAAAGGAAGACTATCTTACAGGTTAGCGTTTGAAATCCCCGCTCCCAGCCAAAACCTTTCCTTTTTCTTTTTCTTTTTCCTTTTTTTTTTTTTCCCTTCTTGCGTGTTTTCATTTCTAAACCGGTGCTGACTTTATTGTTTACTTTTAGCGCTTAAGAAAAAGCATAGCAAGACCGGAGAAGAATCTCGATTTCAGGGAACCGTTCTTGGGAAAGATGCAGATGACCGGCCGATCGTTATTGAAGGTGGAGTCGAATCTATAAAGGCGTGGGGCAAACAGATCAGGTCGAGAGAACAAACCGTGGAGCCAGCATCTACGGAGGTGAGCAGCATTTCAAAAAGCATGTCGCCGCCGGAGCGAATGGAGATATGAGCAAGGTGGTGGTGGTTGGAGGGGCGGCTGTGGGCTCTGGCAGCCAGCTCAACCTTTCTTTTGCTTAGCCATATGATAGCTATCTACCACAATAAATGTGATCAAATCAGTAATAAAAATTTGAGATAGAGATTAGTTCTTTTGCTAACCCGCAGTTCTCTTGCGTCTAACGGTCATTTGCACCCATCGGGGGCCAGTACTACCTCGCTGTGACATCACCGACCTGGAACATCGTTATGTTTCGCTGGCGCAGCCTCTCTCCGGGGTCAAACCGTGACATTGTGCCTATTCACCCTTACAATGGAAAAGATCCCTTCAAGTCTTAATTTTTAGTCTTTGTATAGTTGTATAGGGCAATTTTTCCCCCATTCCTAGCGATGGTGTTCTCGTTCTCTCTCCCCACCACTTCCCACCTCTCCTTTCAGTCGTACCTCATCTCCCCCACCCACCCGTCGCTCCCGTCTTGCGCCTCAACAGCCCGTCACGCCCTCCGCGTCGCATTAAAGAAACACAAGGCCACTTTACCCTCGCAACGTGCAGCACACCTACCGCACATCCTCAAGGCATTGAATGAATACATCCCCTACTTATTCGCGCTCTCGCGGGGTCTAAGCTCCAACCCCGCTTCCGGCTCCGGCGCTGAGAATGAAGATGTCGACGTTGTCCTACGAGCTGAAATCGAGGTGGAATGGCGTGCGACTCTAAGCTCGCCGGCGTCGTCGCTACATGTTCTACACCGTGGAGGTCGAGACCGCCGAATAAAAGGATGCGGGTTGGATTTCGAAGTCGCTTTCGTCCTGACGACTCTAGGCTATGTTCTCTCCCTGCTGGCGCGCACAAAGATCCTCAAGACGCTTTATGCAAACACGACGCCGACAGTGGAACAAAAGACTGCCGCCGCGCAAGGTGCGATGAAGAACCTAATTGCGGTGAGCAGCGTCCATACATTCCTCGCTTCTTCAGGCTTGAGCAGCGCCGAGGTAGGCAACGGCCAAATTTCCGGACCAGTACCGGATTTGGATCCGTCGACGCAGTCGGCTTTATCTTCCCTGGCCATGGCCGAGGCTACTCTGCTCGCCGTCGTGAAGGATGACGCGTATCTATCGACGTGTATTCAGGCGCGCAATAAGCACGACACGGAGTGGATGATCAAGGCTCCGGATATACCGAAAGTGCGGACACTCCTGTTCGCTCGGCTCTGTATCCGGGCGGCGGAATATGCGGAGCAGGCTGCTGCGAGCGCTGGCGCGGTGAAAAGTTGTGGGTCAACTTCGCCCGAGTCAGTGCGTACGGACAGGAGGAAGCTAGATGAAGATCTCATCAGCTACATGCGTGTCCTGGCGCGAGTGGCAAGGGCTAAGGCATGTCGATTTTTTGGGATTGATGCGGAAATGACTGGTAAAGTCGGAGAAGGAATTGCTTGGTTAAGGGCTGGAAAGTCAGCATTGGGGATCAAGGGGTCCCTGGAAGGTGATGAGGAAGTATCCGGGTCAAAAGGTAAGGGAAGAATTGGATTTTCACGGCTGAAAACACAATGGAGTGAAAGGAGAGAGGAGAGGAAACTAGAAGAGACTACGTCGACCAAAAAGGGCGAGCCACTCAGAGAACTTGATTGGGGGGATGATGCCGGTAAGGAAGAGGAAGAAAGGGTCCTCGAAATGTTGGAAAGTAAATGGACCAGAATGAACAACACTGTATGGCCTTGACCGTAGAATTGCTTTAACCTTGGGATCACCTGGCGCTAACGATGATAGATTAATACGCAAGCAATCCCGTCATCCGCATCTTATTTATCGAACTTACCTTCCGGGAGGGATATCCATCCGCCTCCCGGTCCATACATACCTCCTCTATTGGATTCTGAACATCTCGCGCGCATGCGTGCTCCCCCGGAGAGCCCTGAGCCGGTAGTCATTGCTGAAAGTAGTGAGGAAGAAGGCGACATTGCATCCTCCGGGAGAAGTGGTGGATACTTTTAGATGTGTCCTTTCCGACTTTGATTCTAATATTGACTACGAATGTGTACCGAGAGGTGCCAGCATTGAATGTTAGCTTTCAGAGCACCGATCCTAAATGATTACAAAAGATGTCAGAGAAATAGCAAGCACGATATGGCAACATTTCGAGGCATGAATTGGGATCGGCTATGAAAAAGCAAGTACGCCCAAGAACCAGTAAAATCTTATATACACATAATATCGCGCGGATATTCAATCCCGAATCATTGCCAACTTCTATGCAAATGAATCTCACCCCATCAATGCACCACACGACACCAATAGAGCGCAAGAATCGTGGTCGAAGAAGATTCCTATGCCGTCGTAGATCCAAAAAAAAAAAAAAAAAAAAAAAAAAAAAAAAAAAAGAAAGAAAGAAAGAAAAGTAATGTAATGTCCGCTCGTACATCCAGCTAGCCTCTGAACTGTTATAGGAACCGCAACTCGCAGACAAAGTGGGTAAATCCATCTCTATTCATCGATGCTTGTGAGAATTTCTTTTTTTTCCGCCTCTAGTAGAAATACACAAACGCAGCCCCCGTTCACATAAAACCCACAGCAGCAGATAATCACGAGGACTTCTCTCCCTCTTTCGAAAAGTAGTTCTTCTCCTCGAACAAGTAGCCCTTGATCTTGCGTTCGTCGATCAATTCGAAATATTTATCTGTTGATATAAAGAAAAAAAGAAGTTATTTAGCTTGGGAGCTCACATTCCAAACAAATTTGGGCATTTTTACCTCTCAATTTGCCGCATTTCTCCAGATGGTTCACACCTTCTCTCCGATAACACTTGCCCAGTTCTTCACCGACTAGTCTGGCCATCATGCTGCGCACCCACTGTTCACGGATAATGGCATCACGGGCGTTGTGAACGGCCTCTGTGTCTTCGAAGTTCACGCCATCGTAGGTCGGTGGCACCGTGGGCTTTTTGGCGAGGAAGGCGGCGGACTCGGGTGTGGGCATTGTTGCGGAATGTGGTTTTATTCGGACTGGGGTATGGAGAGCCAGTAGAGACAGGCTAGAGACTGAGATGTGACCGGGTTTCAGAAGCCAATTGCGGCGGAGGAGGTTTCAATTGCTCTCGTCTTCGCCGTTGGTGAGGTAATGAGTGAAGTTCAGCCAGCGCGGCGGGTTGGCGAGATCGTTCGCTGATTGGTTACGACTCACACTTGCCTCTTATTGGTGAATGTGAAAAATATGTTATCACGTGATATAAATGATTGATGAATAATCATTATTTACATAATCAGTGATTTAATGATCACGTGACATAACCGGGGATCGGCAGCACGAGTACATATGAAGGCAGGGCGGACTGGGTGGGTAGTTAGGTGGCGATGTAACTATGTAGTCTCCCGAACGAAGGTTGTATCCAGTTCTCCATTCCGGAGTACAGTACTTTCATAGTGGGAGGAGAATATGAGCATGGTCTTGAAAATTCCACGAGGTCGCTCCTAAAAGCGACCTCAGATTTGAGTGGCAGGGTTTCTCAGCGAATGGGACGCGTGTCTTGGACCTGGATGACTGCCCACGGAACGCTGATAGGTGAGGTTCTGGGTTCAAATAAGCGCAGGCTTGGACAGCCAAATTTCCCGGCAAAATGCTGCTGCCAAGCATTTTCTCGATCATTTTGTTGAGTCTTAGGATCGCTTAAAATCTGCCAGCCCATCTTTGAAGCGAAAACTATCCTCGAACGTTTTACACCTGGAGCCATGGTGACCCGCTGTCATCCAGCGAGCCAGTGCGTTGGGAGTGCGAATTGGCATTCCAACCACTGAAAGGTGGGGGGTTCTTCCGTATGTCCTTGTACTCTGTACGACTGTGCCTTTCGCTTGCTTCCCGATCGCCGGTCCATGGTTCTGAGCAAAGAGGGTTGCTATTTCTGGAACGTCGAGCTTACTATCGTATCTCTCCCCACTTTTTCGCTACAAGGGATGCCACTTCTTTGGCAGGGAGAAAAGAGCAAATTTATTTTGCTGGGTAAATGTCACAGATTTGTGTAGGCTTTCCTGGGGCATTGGTGAGGCAGTGGCGGCAGTCAGAGATCGGAAGATCGCCTTGCTGGGCCGCACTGGAGCTGGCTGGCATTGTGCGCAGAATTCAAACGGTAGTCGGGTTTGGTAGGCCGCGCAAAGTGCTGAAGATCACCGCCCAATGATGGGTCCAAAGAAGGGCAGGTTGCGTACTCGATCCGCTCGACGGGGCAAATCGATGATAAGGACTCCCTTTTTTTTTTTTGCAAGACAATACCAGGAGGATTGCTTCGCTCCTGAAACATGAAATAAGCAGAACCGGTTGTTGCACAGACGCAAGAACAAAATTTAACTCCGGTTTAGATCTGGGCTTTCTGGGCCGCGTCTGTTCGGTGGAGGTCGAGATTAGGTTCCCCCAAGACCCTGAAAAGCTGGCCAGCAAGAGCCATGATTGCTTTTTTGGCGCATCATCATCACCCATAGATTCTGCCCAGTATTTTTCCGGCTTGGTAACGATGTCCGTACACACCTGACGGCAAGGCGGATCATGCCGTCTTCCGTCGTAACAGCCATACTTGAAAAAGGGAAAGAAAAAATTTAAAATTATAAATGAGAAAACAATAAAATGATTGACAAGTTCTCCCCTTGGTCTCTTTCAACACGCTGTTGCTGTGGCTTGAGGGCCTTCGCACGACCAAGCAGTAAACGCTCCCTTTTTGGCTCGACTCGACTTCATGGACACCTGTTTATTGGCTGGGCAGCACGCTAACGACACGCCGCCCCCCGGGCCTTAAATTAATAGCAACAAGCCAATAATTGAGGAAATTATCTTTCAACAAACTGGAGGTCAAAAAAAATATTTCCCCCTTCTTCTCGGCCATTTTTTATTTCTTCCCTTCCCGTCTTAGACAGACAGTGAACTCGACGTCGCTAGCGAGGAACACCTGTCTTCTGAGCCTTGTCCGCCTGTTTCGTGGTGACATCCCACCGTCGTCTCTCGTTTTTGAGTCCCATTCCGATCCAAGTCGACCCGTACTAGCCCTTATTGTACGTAGGTGGCATTGCGTCCGCAAATTAACTACCTCAGAAGTTGGACGAACAGTGCTTTTTCTTTTTTGCGTGCCTTTCTGCTTTAGGGATACACAGCAGCGGCGGCGGAAGCGGAACAGAAGTGAAAAAGAAAAACGAATTTACGCAAGACCAAAAAAAAAAAAAAAAAAAGAAAAGGAAAAAAAAAAGGGACACAGAGCCACATAAACGGTTGGAAGCGTACGCCCAGGGCTGACCACGTGCTTTTGACGTTCGTCGAACATAACATCAAACGCCCGTTGACTCTGCTTGTCTTCCATCCAGACTCATCCCCCTTCTCGCGGTGAATCCCACACCGTGGAGCGAGTGACTGTTGGGGAGGGAGAGAAGGCTTGATGCTACGAGGGCTTTCGGGGGCTTTCGAGGGCTAAAAGAGGTCCTGAAGAGCTGTTCACCCACTAAAATTTCCGACGGATCTCCTGTCAATCCCTGTTAAAGGTCGTGGCTAGATTGGGTTCTCTCGCTTTTACCCTCGCTTTTCCGCGTGCTCCTTCACCGTGGCTACTACATCCTCCGCAGACCACAGAACCCCGGGTTCGCACCACCGGCGTCGCTCCTCAACTCTCGTTTCTCCTCTGAACCTCCATCCGTCCGGTGCTAGTGACCACGCAACCAGCCCCGGCTCCTCTTCTCATTCTTTCCTTTCTGCTATCCCGGGCACCCCGTCTGCGACCGGGCCTTCGCCCATGTCGCTGTCGCGATCGCCTTCGCCGAGGCCTGATGGAGGATGGTCTAGCCCCGGTCTGACGACTGGTACGGGAGGTAGCGGCACTTCCACACCACGAAAGGGCTATTCAGATCTACAATCAGGCAGCGGGCTGTATATGAAGGGAATTGGCGCTGCCGGACCCGGCCGAGTATCGTGGGCGGCAGCCAAGGCCAAGAGCGACCAGGTCAGAGGCTATCCGTCCTTCTCAACTCGAAACAATGGCTTCTTTTCTAGACAACGCCGGAAAATATCTGCTAGCTTACCCAGGTTCCGGATGAATTCGGCCTATGGAGAGAAAGAAAAGCTGGGCCGCGGACGATGGAGCCCGAATGGCGGACCGTTGTTGAGTCGCCTAAAAACACTGCTAGGAAATTTGCTACGACGGAAACGAGTACAGCTGTTATTGCTCTTGATATTAATGTTTGTTTTCTGGCTCGTTTTTTCCCAACGTAAGTGACACCTTTCCTCGAAACAGACGCTCGAACGGGCCCTGACCAAAAGCCACTGTAGCCATTTATGAAGCGTACCGAAGGTCCTCCCTGGGTGGAGGCAAGAAGATCGTTCTCATTGTCGCATCAAATCTCGGAGGAGGAGTAATGGAATGGAAAGGCGCACGCGAATGGGCCATTGAGCGAGATAGTTTACGAAATAAGAGGCGATACGTAAAGCGATGGGGCTATGACCTGGAGATCGTCAACATGGTAACCAAAAAGCGATACGCGCACGAATGGCGTGAAAGTTGGGAGAAAGTCGACACGATCCGCTCAGCTTTAAGAAAATACCCGAAAGCCGAATGGTACAATGCATCCCAAACTCTCGCTATCCCTCACTCTGCTAACGGTTCTTCAAAGGTTCTGGTGGCTAGATCTTCATACCTTTATTATGGAGCCTTCCTTGTCGGTTGAGAATCACATCCTTAAAAATCTCGGCAAAAAGACGTACCGCAATATCAACACATATAACCCCCTCAACATCACCCATCCGCCCTCTCTATTCTACCTCGATCCGCTTTCTCTTTCCGTCGAGGGCGATGGCAAAGAGTCTTCCATCAATATGCTTGTACCCCAAGACTGCTCGGGCTTCAACCTTGGGTCCTTCATGGTGCGACGCAGCGCCTGGACAGATCGTCTGCTCGACATCTGGTGGGATCCTGTCCTCTACGAACAGAAGCACATGGAGTGGGAGCATAAGGAGCAGGACAGCCTAGAACACCTATACACCCATCAACCGTGGATCAGGCCTCATGTTGCGTTCGTACCTCAGCGACGAATGAATTCCTTCCCTCCAGGTGCCTGTGGCGACGGGACCAACCTGGGTATTCACTATCAGGAAAAGAATCGCGATTTCTTGGTGAACATGGCGGGCTGTGAATGGGGAAGAGATTGCTGGAGCGAGATGTATCACTACCGGCAGCTTAGTAACCGCTTGAACCGAAATCCGTGGGAGAAGTTCAAGGACGGGATCTCAGAACGATGGAAAAAGACATTTGGAAAGAAGAAGGAGGAGAAAAAGAAAACGTAATGAAAGCAAACAAATAATGACATTCCCTTTCTTTAATCTTGTGGCGGCATTTCAATATTCATGGTTGTCCCTTGGGTGTCTTTTATTATCTTTTTACCTTCTGGGTTGAAACTTTTTTTTTTTTTGCCCTTTTTTTTTTATTTTTTTTTTTTTCGCGTTCGCTGATTTAACAGGGGCCTGGCTGTTTCAGACTGATCCTTCCTTGGATTCATATATTCCTTGACTTATTTTTAGCTCTTTTTCCTCCTTTTTCCTTTTCTATTTGGTATGACATTTTGGACCATCGGTTTACCTGTGCCACTTCACCGTCCTTTAGGCTGCTATTTGGATGCCATGCTTTCCGGCGTTGATAACATTGTATCTCATATGCATACACAGGGTGTACATATATCGGGTTTTCTTATTACCGCTCGAATACGGAGTGCACCTATACGGAATATTAGACAAGCCTACGTGATCCTTTGACACCCATTTCTTGACCTGAATATCTCGTCGCTGTCCTCCAGGTTTCCTCCAGTTTGTTATTTAATGCTGTTGGCACCGTTTCCGAGCGGAAGCTGCGCACAAGACGGGCCCGTTTTCCTTAGGGGCAATAAGCCCCTAGAGCCCGTGCGCGTGTACCAGGTATCGATCATGTCTGGCTGTTCGACTTTTTGTCCGATGTATGGGGACCCAGAGTAGTTTTCGCGCTGTCCATCCTCATTACAATCGCGACTTCACGCGAGCTTTTCGATGCTAGCTAGTTGCTGGCATGTCGGGTAGCACGGCATTGCAGTAGGAATTAGTCGACAGTACGGAGTAAACTTGATCGGATAAAAGACGGGTATCGTCATCGGCGCTGATTTTTCTTTGGCAGACGGCGCGATCTCCCGCAATTCCTTGGCCTCCTATTGAACGTGGTTCATGGAATTAAAACATGGTCACCAATTTTCCTTCTGCCATCTCTCTTCCAACCAATGGCTGGGCCTGTTGAGCGTGCTAGATACTGCTGTATATTAGCTCACAGTATAATTCGTGTGCCTTCTGGGATAATTGGCTCAGGACCGACTCGGTGCAAAAATGCAACAAGAGCGCCTTGGGGAGCGCCATCTGGCGTCCTCCACCAATGACGATACCGCTGCCCTTGAAAAACTTGGCTTCCTGGGCAAATCTCGAGGCAAAAGAATAAGCTCTTCGCTTCTCTTTTATTCGGTTATCGACGGTTCGATAAATGACGTGCTCGTTTTTCTCTGTTCGACACACGGCGGAGGAGAGAGCGTTCTTTAACGTCTGGTTGCGTGACGACCGTTGACAGCTGGGATGCAAACCAGCCAGACGCCACTCAAGGGCCACTTGATTCCTTGAAGTGCAGATGGCATGCTTCTCGGAATCCACGGAGATCCTCCGCTAGAGAAATCTTGCCCCAGTTGATCCTTTAAGACTCCGACTTCTCCATCGCGTTATTTCTCTTGGAACTTCCATCGGTGGGATGAAACGTCGTATCTCACCAGCTGTCCCTTGCCAAGCATCCTGGCACAGGGTTCTCCCTGGCTGCCTCTCAGCGAGTTTGTTCTCCAGAGAACGGAGATTCAAGTGCAGAGAAAGGCGCTTGAGCCTAGTGACCAATCAATTGGTGTTACTTTTCCTACAATTTGGTTTCCGCCCGGTGCCCCGATGAGTTTCCCGCCCGCCAACGGTCGATCATTTGCTTATGGCTGTCCAACCGTTTCTCGGCACAGCATCAGTCATGACTCCTCTCCAATCGAGCCGCGAAGTTCATATTCTTACCCGATTTTCTATTTTCTTCGGCTTGGAAGCCCGGAGACCCCGTCCCGGGGACTCGTGGACATCGCGCAGCCGAGATGCCTTGAGGAGAGATCTTAGGAGATCCTACTCCTGGACTGAGCTCTCAAAGATCTTTGCCAAATGACCCATCGGATATATTATGTTCTATCAATATCCAATGATCCACAATCACATTCTTTGGGTTTGGACCCTCTTCCCAAGCGATGCCGACACGGTTCTCCCCTGCTCGCTTGGGCTGCTGGGTTCCGCTGGTTGAACTCTTGGAGGATATGGGTTGCAACGAGAACCGAAATCCCCTGTCGACGAGCTTTTTGTGGGGCTGGTAATATCCATTCTTCAAGAAACGCTCCTTCGCGAGCCGCAGCTAATAGTATATATAGGCTTGTCCCGTGAAAAAGGCTTATCCGGCTGTCGATTCTCCCCATCTTTCCCCGTGCAGCGAAGACAAGTACGATTGCTTGAGACCGGCATACGTCACTGTTCTTGCTGTCAAGATGACGGATGAAAAGCAGGTCTCCACAGAGTGAGTGTTAGCGAGTCGATATTGTTTACGCTGTGTGGACTATGGAGCGCTGATTATTCTCTACCATCCTTATCCAGGCCGGTGCCTCAACCCACAATCGAGAGTGAAAAGACAGAGGTGGTCGTTCACAGGGACTCTGACGTGGATGACCCAAAGTGGGCTACACCTGACGGAGAAGAGCCCACCGAGATCGAAAAGGCTACGTTGAGACATATTAGCGACAAGCTTTCAATATCTATTTGGTTGGTTGCTATCGTTGAGTTTTGCGAACGATTCACATACTATGGCTTGAGTGCCCTGCTTCAGAATTACATCCAGAGACCTTTGGATGGCAGTGAGGGTCGAGGCGCTCTCGGTTCGTATTCTTCTAATTCACTTGATTCTTCAGGGACTAATACGTTACAGGTCTGGGCCACAGAGGAGCCACTGCACTGAGTACATTTTTCCAATTTTGGTGCTACGGTGAGTATTTTCTATTTATGCGAACGATCCTATAGGCATCAACTAACTACAGCACAGTCACTCCGCTCTTCGGTGCTATTATCGCTGATCAATATCTCGGAAAATACAAGGCGATTGTTGTGTTCTGCTTCACCTATGCGGCTGGCTTGATAGTTTTGTTTATGACCTCTCTGCCATTCGCTCTGAGAAATGGAGCTGGTCTTCCTGGATTCATTGTCGCCGTCATCATCATCGGAATTGGAACCGGAGGTATCAAATCAAACGTCTCTCCTCTCATTGCCGACCAGTACACTCGGAGAAGAATGGCTGTCACAACCACCAAAGAAGGTGAACGGGTGATCATCGACCCGGCAGTCACCATTCAGCGTATCTACATGATCTTTTACGCTTGTATTAACGTCGGATGTCTTGCTATGCTTGCTACGCCATTCTTGGAGAGAGATATCGGCTTCTGGTCCGCATATCTTATGTGTACAATCGTCTTCTTTATTGGAACTCTAGTTTTGATCCTCGGTCGGAAGCGGTATATCGTCAAGCCACCGCACGGTACAATCATTACCGATGCCTTCAAGGCAATCTGGATGATGATCAAAGCCCGAAATATGGATGCTCCAAAGCCCAGCTACCAGGCTGACTTGGCAAACGGTGGTACCAATGTCACTTGGGATGACCATTTTATCGAGGAGGTAAAGCGTGCGCTCGTTGCCTGCAAAGTGTTTACATTCTTCCCCATTTTCTGGGTTATCTATGGCCAGTTTTCATCGAACTTCGTCAGTCAAGGTACGTTAATCACGTATATTTATTTATTCATTTTTTATTTTGTTTCTGCAGTTCTTGTCCCGATTTATATACTTAACATTATTTGCTGATGTTGATATTCTTTAGCTGGTCAAATGGCTGGTCACGGTATTCCTAACAACCTTATGCAAAACTTTGACCCGATCTCCATCATCATCGCCATCCCACTGCTTGATCGTGTTGTCTATCCCTTCCTCCGCAAACGTCACATCGAGTTCCAACCAATTACTCGTATCACAGTTGGCTTCCTCGTCGCTTCACTTGCGATGATGTACGCTGCTATTGTCCAACATATGATCTACTCCGCTCCTCCTTGCTACGAATATCCTCTCTGTGAATTATCCAAGATCGACGGAGTCAAACAAGGCAACGATGTCCACATCGCTATCCAGGCACCGGCTTATATATTCATTGGTCTTGCCGAGGTCTTCCTCAGCGTGACTGGCCTTGAATATGCGTACATGAAGGCTCCCGAGAGACTAAAGAGTTTCGTCTCTGGCTTGTTCCTTCTCACCAACGCCTTTGGCTCTGCTATTGGTTTGGCACTTACCCCAGTGGCATATGACCCAGTCATTATCTGGATGTTTGTTGGGTTGTGCGGTGCCTCTGTCACTACTGCAGGTATCTTCTGGTACTTATTCCATGGACTGAACAAGCAGGAAGATAAGATGAACTCTTTGGATAAGAACTACACCGGAGAGGATAGCTCATGATTGTGATGAGGTGGTAATGAATAAGTTTGGGAAAAGGGTTTAATTTTATTTTTGATTTCGAACTGGCAAGATGACTATTTTATCGTAATTATTTTTTGATGAAAGAGACGGATACCCCAGCTGTTGACACTTGAACAATGAGCTCTTGAATTGAGAATATACTCTCCACTGTGTTTTTACACATTGTGTGTCTCCCATCTCATTGATGTTGGACACATTGTCTCACTCAATATCAAGAGCTTTTTGCATTAAAATATTAAAGTACCTGGGCATGTAGTCGTCCGACCATGGGTGTGCTACGCAATTTGATTGTACATACAATCAAAGCTTTCACATTCATTACCACTTTATAGGGGTCAATATTTTCGCAGCGGCGAAGATAGCTTTTGTAGTCTTATCAACCCATTCCTGCGCAAGTTCTTGATTGCCGCCGAATTGCAGGGCCTCTGTAACCCCAGGGAATGTAGTTGGGGCATAGCTGTTAACGTTAGCCTGGGACTCACTTGTAGAGGGGGCAAAAGAAAGGAGAGTGGGGAAACGTACCCAGTGTCCAAGCCTGGAGCAAAAATTACATGTTTATAGAATTCTCTATTGGGCAAACCGCCTTGACCTACAAAGGCCCGCTCAAAGTCCCTCTGTTTATGGTTGACCATGTTGAGCAGACGCTTGTCGTTTGTCAACCTTGCCACTTTCTTTGCGGCCGTCAAGAGCCTCGCTGCCTTGCTGAATGCTTTGATGGAAAATTCAAGTTTCGATAGTTTAAGTTTGACATTTGATTCTTTTTCAAGGGCCTTCAGGTTGTCAAGATAAATGTTCATCTGCTTGGGATAGTTGGTGATGTCAAAGGGGACGACTTTGTCGCTGGCCAAATGATACGCCATCAGGCCCAAAAACTGACCCACTGCAAGGTGAGTCTTGAATCCGGGGTCGCCAAAGTTGACCATCCAGTAGTACGAATCAAAGTTCGAATGATAGTGATATATGGCATCGCTTGGACCACCGTAGGCACCGATGTCAGCCTACACAAGCGACCTGTCAGGAATTGAACGCACACATAAGGGATCTCGCTGTCAACTTACGGATGCAATGCCATTGTGAACGAAAGCAGTATAATCAGAGCCGCTTCCAAGGACGCCAATTTCTCCATTGACTACTTTCCAAACATCATACAAGCTTGTGCCCTGGGAACCTTTGAGGGAGTAAGGAACTTTCTTCATCGAGTCCATTCCTAGCTCGTGCAGCTGAGGAGTGGCATCAAACGATGGAAGTGGGCCAGATGTCGCAATATCGACATTAAGGTAGGCCACAGTGGTGGCTTTCAGCCAAGGAAGCTGTTCGCAGCGGGTTAGTACTCGCTGACGCTTAGAATGGTAGGATAGGAACAAATTACTCACATATTCTTCAACCCATTCCACAGAACCAAGAAGTCCATACTCCTCAGCATCCCAAGAACACAGCACGCTATATTATATTAGTAGGAGAAATCTTCGGTGAGGGTCGAAGTCAGTACTTACATTGTTCGCTTAGGTTTCCATCCGATTTTTTGCAGTTCACCAAAGGCTTTTGCGAGTTCAATCATAACTGCCGACCCGGAGTTGGGATCCGCAGCGCCTCCCACAATCCATGCATCGCGATGGTTGCCAATGACGACAACCTCATCGGGGCTCGTTCCGTTGATAATCCCGACGGCATTCCAGATAGGAGTGATGGCGTCGCTCATGACGTTCTTCAGTGAGAGCTTGGTTCCCGGAGCGGGTCCGGTTGAGTAGGTAACATTGAGACCACCGACCCATTTAGGACGGCCGACCTCTTCTCCAGAGACACCATGGCCGTCGAGGGCGGCAAGAATTGGAACAGCCTCTAACCATGAAATTGGAAGCGACGGAATTTTGGGCACAACACTGCTCTTGTCTTGACGAGGAGAATCGGGCTTTGACGGATAGCCTGGTGTAGTGGGATCTCCAGGGTAAGTGGACAGGAATTGAACAGAACCTCGTTGCACAGATGTAGGGTTCCGAGCTGGGCCGTGGGGATAGGCTGCATATCCGTTTGCCTCAGTCACGTTTCCATCGTCACCGGGATCTGTGAAAATGACACAGCCAATCATCCCATAGTCTTGGGCATTTTTAACCTTAAGACCTCTTTAAAAATCAGATCAGCATGATGCTTTAGTAGAAAGATGGCCCTGTTAGACAAGGATCAGGAGGATGACTTACCTAAAGGGGCCACCATAACGGGCAATGGCAATTTTACCCTCAAGTTCAACTCCCAATTCCACTAGCCGTTCAAAGTCAACCTGTTGCCCACGGCCAACGTATACGTATTCTGCTGTTACTTCTCCACTGGCAGAGTAGCCGTGGAATGTTGGAATGCGATTCGGATAACTCGAAGTATCGTCTTCTGGCAGCACTGCTTCCTCTAAGCTTGCCTTCCACTCGGTGCCATTTGCCAGTGAAAGTGACAGGGAATGTGACTCTGGGTAGTTAAGGTAGACAGTGTACGGCACCACCGAGGATTCCAAGCCGTATTCAGCCCACTTGTCCGCGGTCCATTGGGCCATGGTGCGGTTCTTGCCCGCCAAATGAGCTCCATGAGTATAGTAGTGGGACCAACCGCCTATGGAAGCGCTGTCAAAGCTGTTAAGCAAGATAGACTCATGCGTCGTCAGGCGAGGAGGATGGTGCGGTCGGCCGCGTTTCGTTAGATACGGATGATTTAGATCAAAATCTCTTCGCTGGATGTGGTCCTTCCCACATCCTTCCACCGTAAATGGCAATGAAAGAGCGAGTAGTGAAAGTGTCTTGACATACATGCTGGGCTATGGTTGAACCATTGACACTCCGCTGGAAAGCAATTTTGAGAAGACCAGCAAGCTGGACGGGGCGACCGGTTCAATTTATACGACCTCCTCCATTGCAGATCCAAGACCAGCGGGAGCCATGGCAAATGACAAACAAGCCACGGCGAATTCAGACAGCTGAGCATGACTGATGTCAGCCCAAGTAGCATCGTGCCGCCTGGCATGAAAACCGCGTTCGTCTCCCAATTCCGGGTAGTATTGCAAAGCAATCATCCGGCCACTTCCCCGCATCTCGTTTTCCAGAAAGAATGGAAGACCAGAAGAGAAGTCCCTTGACCAATGTTATTCTTGATTATCTGCTGCTTGGTGGGCCGAGTTCTGCACCGGTGAGAACGAGCTTCCTCTTTAACTTTAGACAAGGCGACGGCGATGCAACGCTGCTCCATGTTCAACACGGCGCCGGGTCTCCCCCATGTCGATCACAACCTCAAACCAGTTAGCCACTGCCCCATGGGGTCAGGGAATCCTGGCACAAGAGGTGTACAGCACAAAACTCCGGAGTAAGCTCCATCACTGTTGTCCACGCGGTGCGGTTTGCTGGGATTCCGAGGTTGAGGTCGCCGCCTGCAAACCGAGAGGTGCTCCGGAAATTATTTGGCGATGTCACCGCAAGAGCTAGTTACTCTATGAAATTAGTTAAATTGCATCTTGGGTTGGCAGACGCTGCAGCCAACCCCGCAATTGAAGTTTGATATGCCTTTGTGACTTCGGACGGCTTCTTCCTCTGACCTAGCAAGGCACTTTCTTTCGTCTAACTGCTCGACTTCCACAGGGCCTTCGTAATAAGGAAAGGATCCTCAAAGCTACCTTAATTTGGGCAAGCTGGGGAGTACGTCGATAAGGAGCTGTGTTTTGTTTTGCAGTTAAGGTCGTTCCAAGAAGCTCGCTGCCTCAGGCCTTGGCCAGCGGCACGGAAATCGAGCCTCTGCCGTGCCTAAACAGAGCGCCCGCACGCCAAGGCCTCTCCCCAACCCCAAGCCTAATATCAAGCCTAAGGGGAACCGGCCAGAGCCCAATTGGCCCTTAATTGGGGCCTGGGCATCACGGCTCGATGCTCGTCACGCAGTATGGTAAATGCTACTTCTTCACCCGCGAGAATTGTAATGTGTCCACACTCCATACTCTGGTACATACATTTAGGTAACCCTCAAAATATCGCCTCTAGGTAATTACAAGGTATGAAATTGCCTTTTCTAATAAAGATAACCCCCCCCCCCCACAACAATCGAACGTTTGATTGGCATCCGTTGAGTATTTACCAGAGGGCATGCTTAAACAACAGTATCTCTTCTCGTGCTTGACAACAATATCACCAAAAGGGAAGCTGAACAAACCAAGAAGCGGGAGGGAAGAAGAAGAAAAGGAACAGAAACAAGTACCGAAAAAGCTCAAAAAGGTATCAAACTAATATTCCAAGATGGGAATAGGAAATTCACCTAGTAAACGTGGAGAGGTAACGCAGAGCGGTACATCAAAAATGATTTTCAAAAAAGGGGGGTGTAGATAGAGACAGGAATCTAAGCCGGCGTGGAGTATTCAAAGCTAAATGCTCAATCAAATCTTCTCGTGGCGATTAAAAATCACTCTCCGTGTATCCTCCAGTGACGGTGGATACGGTCACAGCTCTCGAAGAGGCATCACCTCTAATTTTCTTCGTCCGCTCGATCATGAATGTATCTTCGTCCGCTGGCCGTGTTTGGGCGCTGTTCCCATGAAAAAACTCACAACGGTACCGCAGAAACTCATCTCGACTACGATAGATTGTGATGACATCGCCAGTATACACCTTTCCAAAAAGATAGGCATCCCCATCTGGGGTTTCACTCTGCAACTCCACATCGTTGATCCAGATACGCTTGCTCGTCTTGGTGGATACGATTGTAACAACATCTGACATCTGAGTCCAGTCCTCACCTGCGCCAATACGTGACTCAATCGCAGGTGCCCAGAATGTCAATTCCAATGCGTACGTTGGGATACGCGTATCCATCGGGTCGGGGTATCGAATGGTGTTACCGGCACCACGGCCCCAAGACGTCATGCGAGAGTTGAGGAAAATGGTTTGATCGGTAATGGAGCCCAGGACGGGCGTCAATTTGCCTAGAACGGTGGGAGGTTTTGCGAAATTGTTTTTATTCTGGCCTTTGTCTTCCATGTCCTTGGTAATTAACTGGGAGTGATGCTCTATGGCATGCGAGATATGGGACCCATGACTTAAGTCGAGCCCTAACGACGAACGGATTTCCTTTCCTGTGCGCTCATCAATCGTACAAGCGAGATCTATCCAGGAGGCATCATTGAATTCTCCAATCTGCTTAACTGATCCATTTCGGATGGATGATTCACGTAAAGAGCGAGCTCCTTTGTTGTCATTGGTACCTCGGTTCGGAATTGGTTGGCTGGGCGAGAGAATGGGATGTACGCGACTGTGCCTGCCTACCTGTTCCTCTTCATCGTCCGAACCATTTTCCATGTCAGAATCATCTCCATCTCCAGGTCCATTCGCTCCATTAGATGACATTTCGTTCTTTTCTTCCTCTAGGGGTGCGTTGTCACTATTGGGAGAAGTAGATATACCGTCGGAGCCCATGTTCAGGTTACCCACGAGGGATTCGGCACCCATTAGACTCGACGCTGAGCCTCCAAATCTAGATGCCATCTCCGAGAGTAAATAGTTGGACGGGGTTGTAGTGTGTAGACTATGTCCATGAGAACTTGACTTACCGTTGGATGACGGATAGTCACTTCTCGACACGCTACCAAACTCCCGTTGAAATTGGGGACCATCCATGGGAATCGCGGTATCGGGGTCTAGTGCTCCGGTGTTTCGCAATACAGAGGGGGTTACTTCGCCGAAGAGGCGTCGGCCTGTTGGTGTAGATTCTAGGTGAACACTGGAGCCAAAATCGTAACTGGAGATGTTTGGGAGCGACGGATATGGAATCCTTGCGGGAAGAAGAGGAGTCGCGTGATGGCTTCCATCTTGTTTTTCTGTCACTCTCGGTCTTTTAATGTTAATAGGTTCTGAAGACGGTGGGTCTTCAACTTCACTTTCTTCTTCGAAAGGATCGTGCGTCACGTCATTTAAATCAATGCCCGAAGCGTCCAGCCGTTCGTATTCGCTTGACTCCGGCTCACTGACTTCTGCTATAGCTTTCAAGTCGGAGTTGACTTCTTCTTCATCCGCTTCATCTATATCCATGTAATCGAATTCATCTGGGACATCAACAAGCCACGGATGTTTGAAACATGCTGATTCCTTGGGTCTAGCTTTCGGATCACGGTTAAGGAGTTTCGAAATGAAGTCTATTCCTTCTTCTGATACGCCTTCTCTCCTCAACCCGTTGAAATCCGCATCGGTTGTCATAATGTTCCGTAGCATTTGGGCGCCTCTATCATCTCCCCGTCCCATATATGGAGGAACACCGCAGAGTATATGAAACAAAACGGCACCAAACGACCACATATCAACTGATTGGTCATATGGTGATGTCTTGGGTAGCCTGTTGAAGGGTAAGTAATATTCTGAACAAGGCCCAGAGGAGACTTACGGGTCGCCAAGTCGTCGTCGCTTTCGGGCTTCCTTTCGCTTATAATCCTCATATTCCGGATACACTTCGGGGGCACAATACAGCAGAGTGCCACAGAAGGTCTTCATAAACGTTTCTTCTTGAACGACTTTGGATAGGCCAAAGTCAGACAGCTTAACCCTCAGTGGGTCAATCGAGGAGATAAGGATGTTATCTGGCTTGATATCACGGTGCGTTATTTTCTTGCTGTGGAGATATTGCAATGCGTGTAAAACTTGTCGGGCGACGGTTTTGACCATTTGCTCGGGAAGTTTACCCATCTGAGAAAGATAAGAGGACAGTTCGCCTCCTCCGACATACTCCATGATAATGTAGATCCAGCGATTTTCATGATCATGATAATCATGAAATCGAACGATATTTGGCTTCAAATGTTATTAGTTTGCCAAATCCGGAGAAATATGGAAACTGGAGTCTTACATGCTCGAGATCTCTCATGATCCTCATTTCGCTATCGACTTTCTGATCCAAAACATTGTTCTTCATCAAGCGGCGCTTATCAAGTTCTTTGCAGGCAAAGAGTGCACCATCGTTCTTGGTGGCTAATTTGTACACAGTAGCAAACGCACCTTTGCCTATTTGTCCGGTGACATTGTACTTTGAGCCGCCATTCCAACGCATGCCATGGGAATTGCAAATTTGCTGGGGTATAATGAAATCGTGTACATCTCGACGCTGGTCGCCTTCGGGTTTCTTCGTGGCTTGGCGGATCCTATTCAGGTATTGAACCAAGTTCTGGTTGTATTGAGCCTGGAACTCATCACGGGAAGGAATGCGAACGATGAACTTGATTCCGCAAGATGTTTCGTTGCCGATGACTTGAATTATCGACCCGTGTACGAGCATTTGCGTCGTTGGAGCTCCTCCTTTTCTGTCCCTTCGAATTTGTGCATCGTCGACAATTGTACCATTGGTGGAGATGTCCTCAAGCATCAGAATACCATCGGGTTTAAGGTAGATCCGAAAGTGAGTGTTGGATATTTTCTTCTCACTGTCATCCGGTGAGAGAACAATGTCACAACGCGACGTGTTTCGCCCAAAATAAAAACCCGAGCTCAAATTTTTTACTTCCGAGGAGAACCTCAGAGCTATATCGCGGTTTGGTTCGACGGAAAAGGTGTCACCGGTATCGTACTCGAGGCCATCGTCCTGCTGCAGAATATGTTGCGAAGAACGCTTGGCAGTGGCGGCCACGGCAGTGTGGGCAGCGATAGAGCCGGGATGTAGAATGCATATGATGTCTGCGATGTCTTGTTGGTCAAGCCCTGAGTTATTGAGACCCCTGCGTCTAGGATCTGTGTATGGTTGCGTGGAAGGCTGAGTCGCGTCATCCATGGTTAAGAAGATGGGCCGGAAAGACAGAGACTGCTTTCAAGAATGTAACAAGGGTATCAACCTTCAGAAATGGGCCCGAGTTGGCAAACAGACTGCTCGATCATGCGATACGTTCGCATAGAAAGTCTTGGATCTTGTCGAAATAGATGGGAAATGAGATGTTTTATACATATATTTCACTTCCTTTGGGGCCTGATATGGATAGTAATTTAAGCAATCTGGTCTTAATAAAGATGAAAATGATGATCTGATTTCAAGAATAAACTGCAGATAGAGCATTTCACAAGGACACTCAGACCTGCAATGTAGAGATATATCTGAATAAGTAAGAGAAGCGGGAGAGAGGTCGCCCGGGCACCTGCAGTTGCTGAAGCAATCCAGAACTGGGGCAAAGATGCGACGAGAACAGTTGTGGTACCAAACACTGAGCCTAGGAGTCTAGACTGCAGACACTGAAGGGAAAAGGAAAAAAGGTCATCACATATGATATGCCAAAGAAGGGAAAAAAAAAAAAAAAAAAAAAAAAAAAGGAAAAAGAGAGAAGGCTGGACCTCGAGAATTTATACTTATGAGACAGCTATGACTAACCTTTTTAAGCAGCTGACAGTCTGCAGAGATCCCTGGACGAAGCCTCGCCAAATACAAGCAGGGTGCCGACGACCGTTGCACTCAACTGAGATCTCCGACGGGAAAATCGAGAATTGAAACAGTGTGACTCAAGAGGGCAGACCAAAAATTGGGATTCTTGTTAGGCGTATTCCTGGCTCAAAGCCAGGCGAACACTCAATCTGCTGCACAGTGGCTCCCACGCCTCACTGCAGATTATCCCATCCCACCCCAAAACACGTCCTTCGTCGATTCTAGATATAGTGAACACTCGATTTTATGTAGCGTCTGGGGGTAGTGTGCCCTGGTGGATCACACACAAACTGGTCGCCTTACCAGGCAGGGAGTCACGAGCGTAGGCGTACTGGGGTGGGAGGAGAAACCACTGCTGGGATCCAGAAGTCGAAGACGAGGGAAAACACAATGGTTCAAGGCTTTTCTCAGCTAGAAGGAGTCAGTAGGATGTTTAGTGTCTCAATTGGTGCGTTATCGGCACGAGAAACAAGGAGAGAGCACTCAAGGATGTCGATGAGAAGGCAGCCTTACTGTCGCCCAGGAACAACGCGTTTCGCCACTCACTATCTAGCTAACGGCTGAGAAAATTGTAAGAAGCTAGGAAAGTATCGTCGCATGGCAGGATGTCAGCAATTGTCCTGCTGCGTGTCCCGGATGGAGTTTTAGACGGCAAACACCAAGAGCCCTTGACAAAAGCTGCCGTCCAAACAAACAGCGGCGAGTTGCGGTCCGCAGAAAGTTAACCGCAGTTCCTCGCAGCCTCGCAGCGTGGTTGGCCCGTGCATTGCTTAGCGCTGCCGCTATGCCGTTCCGGGGCCTAGCGCCCCCATGCCATCCACCAAACCAGCACCCGCCGGCCTCTCGCCGCAGGGACTGCGACGGTGACAACGCCCGCTGGTCCGGTCCCGCCTCGAGGCCGGGGAGCCCTTTGTTCAGTCTACGGGGTGCGTGTGGGCATATCCAATTATGTCCAGTTATTACTAGCTACGGAGAAGGGAGTATGGAGTCTGGTGTTTGGCCGCGGAAATTGCTTCATCGTTGGCCATATCGCTTCTGCGTATTGTCACCCGTGGCGCTGGAACCAACCTCCGTCTGTGTCAAAGCTGCATTCATCACCCGGTCCAGCTTTTCAATCGCAGCGTCGCTGATTTCTGTGGCAACTGTCAGAAAAAGTCGCCAACAGCTCAGCCACGTCGTGATGGGGACAACCTACGATAGTGCACCACCAGCCGATTTCCCATCAGCTGCAAACCTTCTCTCTGGCCCAGCTCCTCCCACGCGTTGCATGAGACTTCACTAGCAGCCAGGTCAAGCCATACCATATTCGTCTCTGTTGGGCTTACAAGTTTACCTCCTTTGCGAACCCACATATCAGCAATTCGTTTCGCATTTGTATGGCTGGCTCGGAGCTTGCCGCCCTCGCCGCACGGGCCACTGCCAAATGTTTCTTCGACAGCGACTCGCGCGGCTGCCGCGATAATACCGGACTGTCGGGTCCCACCACCAATAGATTTTCGGAATTGACGAGCCTTTTTAATGAACTCGTCTGACCCGGCGAGAATACTGCCAATCGGCGCTCCAAGGCCCTTCGAGAAGCACAGGCTCACGCTGTCAAATAGGTTAGCGTAGCTAGGCAAATTGCCCGCCCCAGCAGCAACTGCCTCCCATAACCTGGCACCATCAAGGTGCACTTTCAAGCCGTGGCTACGGGCCCACTCGCAGATTCTCTCTGTTTCAGGTAGTGGCATTATCATGCCATCCAATGTATTCTCCAGGCTTATAACGCGAGTGGGACATCCGCGGAAATCGTCATCCAAAACAGCGTGTTTTTGGATGTCTTCAAGCACAAGATACCTTCCATTTTTCGGCACAATGCCCTTTAGATACGCACCAGTCCACGTCGTCACTCCGCCCGCTTCGTAATGGATGATGTGCGCCCGGTGGTCGCAGAGCACCCCGTATGGGGGCTGAGTGAGATGCGTTCTAAGGGCAACCTGGTTTCCCATTGTTCCAGACATCACCAGTAGAGCGTCTTCCTTGCCGGTAAGCTTAGCTATATATTCCTGCAAAGAGTTTGTAGTGCGATCTTCCATGAAGTCATCATCAAAAAGGGATGTGTTAGCAATGCCCTCCAGCATTGAAAGTGTCGGCTTTGTCACCACATCGCCTGTATAGCCATTAGTAAAGACCGTCAACTGTGTCGACTGAGCCATCGAAGCAGCTTCGGCGGACCGACTAGATACATATGAATCTGTGGGGCTCACTTCGAAAATCGAATGCAGCATCGCCGGGAGATTGCCACGAAATCCCCGATCGCAAACATGAGTCCAGCCGGGTCTGAGATATGCTGAATGGTCGCCTACACAAGCTAGGTCGTATAGAAGACCTTGGGATATGTAAACCGAGGTGGGAGATCGACTTCGGGAATCGCCCCGCCGCGATTAACCCATTTCGCATGTTTAGGGGCTTTGGTTTCAAGAACTACTATCAAATGAATAGCGTGAAACAAGACAAGCAAGGCCACGAGCGTATTTTTAGGACGAAGTAGCAGTGAAGACGACTCCGATTCGCAATGTAGGAACGGGGAACTCCAAACAGAGGGAAACCGGCGGACTGGCTCTGGAGCGATGTCGGATCATAAATCATCCGCGCAGTAGTGTCCGGCACCCCTGTGGCAGTGGACCCATCTCGGATCCCGATATCAATCTTCGTGAAGCACCGGGAATTGCTACTTGTTTGATACAATAAATCGTTAATTATTGGCGGGAAGGTTGGAGCCGTCATGACTCCTCAGAGTATGTACCATCTGACCATTGAGAATTAGTTACGCAGATAGATTGTTTACGGAGCAATAACTAGTCAAGTTGACCCGCAGGCACACGGAATTTGTTCTAACCACGCCAAATACAAGCTGTAAATGTACCAACAACCGTCTACTCGTAGGACTCCAAATCCATTGAATATCTGTGCGTAGGTAAAAAGATAGGTCAAAAAGGAAATGTCTAATACTCTGCGCTTTCAATCCACAGGCACAGCTCCTCAAACATGGAAAGTAGCCATCAAACCGGTTCAAAGTACTCCGTTCCTCAAAGAACGCGCGAATCCATCACTTCCACTCTCTGAACTGCCGTGCGCGACAAGATACCCTGCGCAGTAACATGTGGCCGGCAAGATGGATGAGAAGAACTTCTCTCTTCGCCATGACTTGGTGTGAAGCACGGGAGACTTTCTGTTTCGAGCTTCACCCTAAACGGGATTGTGTCTCTGCATACTGGCTGCAGTGACTTCCCCGTGCTGTCGGTGCCGGGGATGCTGCGAAGCATGAAGCGAAGGGGCCGCACAATCATGGCTCTGTTTCTCCGCGCACGACTATCCGTTGTTTTGCCGTGCGCATTTCGAAGACAGCCGCAACTACCACGAAGAAAGTGAAGAAGATTATCTGCACAAATAGGCCACTGACAATGATCTTCTCTCCCATAAGTGCGCTGTTTTCATCTTTGACCATGATTCCGGCGCCTATTTCTCGTCAGCCTGTCATTGTTTTTATCGCTGTCCTGGTTAACCCGGATATAGGCTAGCCTAGCTCCATTGGAAAGCCCTGCAGGAGCAGCATTAGGGAAATTGACAGGAGCCGTGGGGCTTGCTGCACAAGGATCACTCTTGTTGCCGCGGAACCTCGTTCTGAACGTGGACCGGTGGGGACCGGTTTCCTGATTTCATTCATATAATAATGAGCTCCTTGTGGGTGGTGCTCATTAGGCTCAGTAACCGTGCTAGGGCCACGATCCCCGTGGGTTTCGGAGGACGTCCTCCTGGATATTTTTTTGACTTTGGTCCACGACGCTTCGGTGATTTTGGATCTGTACGTAGCCTTTGGGAGCCATTGACGCGTGACGGTTGGAATCCACGCTTTTCTGCGGCTTGTTTCTTCCGCCTTTGAAAAGCAAATCCCGCCCGCCGGCGGTCTTTAGCATCCGACGGGGTGCCGGCTTGAAACCAGCGTGGAACTGGCTGGCTGCTTTCTCTATTCTCAGCACCAATGTTCCCCCTCACTTTTATGGCTAAGTCCAGGACCCGCAAGATTATTGTGCTTTTCGGGCCAATGTGGCATGCGAAGCGGAAGCGGCCAAACCTGACTCTTCGACGGCTTCAGCAGCATCATTATTACTCATTCCCGCGGTGCGGGCATTAGACCTGAGCGGACGTTCCCCAAAGTTGATGGGCCCGTGGTTGATTGGGCAGAACCCCAGTGAAAGAAACCTGGGTCACAGAGCCGGAAGGCGGAGTGCGGCAGTCGATGGCCTTCGCATTCCTGCTTCCAACTGCTCCTCCAGCTCCTTGACCCTCAAATACAGAGCGGCATTCTCGCTCGTAACCTTGGAAACGTCTGTATTTTTACTCTGAAGCTCTTTCAAAGTAATAGCAACCAATTCGAAGGAACCTGACAAGCCTGAGCTTGCGGTAGCATTTTGAAAGGATGTTGCGGAAACCCGTTTGACCTCAGTTTATAGCTCCGAAACGGTCTGGAAGAGGGTTGTAGGTAACACCCGTGTCTGGAGTAGCTGCGTTAGGTAGTCTTGTTTCAAGATTACCTGGAGCCCGGGGGGACATGACTGAGGACTGCGCAATGCTATTCCTAGATTTCGCCTAGAGAGTCCACAAACTCTCAATCCTTCACCGCTACCCATTCCTCGTCAAATAATGCAGATTATGATACGGAGTACGGAGTACACATCGCTCAATTGCATTCTCGACAATGTCCAATTATAGCTGTATTTGCCGGGGTTGCCGTTAACAACGAAAACATAGGGGCCAATCACGAGCTGGACTTACCCCGGGCTATCGTCTCTGGGATGTCGAAAGCTAAGATCATCGTCACAGCGGGAGCAGCAGATCTTTTCGTCGTCATACTGAGGTTCGTACAACACAAAAATTGTTATGGGTCTTCCTGCGTTTAAGAAAGGGGAAATCCACCTTCATACGCCGAAAGAAGCTGAAACCACAGATGACACAAGTGGCTTGTGGTAGCATCACCCGGATCGTATAATTTTGAAGGATCACTTGCATATATGAGCTCCACAGCTTTGGTTGGAGGCACTGGTGTCATCGGCATTATGAAATAAGTTGGTCACCTTTGCTCTCCGAGGTACTGGTTCCAATCGAGAGCCTCTTGGGGTAGAATACCACGATGTATCCCGTAAAGTTCTACCCAAGACTGCTAGCATTAGACTGCCCATTAAATGCCGTCAGCGATGGGATGAGAGAGTGTAAATGGAGACTACGGCCCCGCGTGTACAATCGAAATTTCCAGGTAGAGACTCTGTCCCAAGGTGCTGGAAGTGTCCAAAATACCGTTGTTGTCGGAGCGGACTTTGAAAACAAAAAAGAAAGAAAACAAGGCTATTTTTACGGAATAGTTACACCTATAGATGAACCGTTGCTTGTGTGGAGTCGGCTTAAGTTGCACCCGGCTATGGCTGCTATTAATCTCCTACAGAGTACTCCGGACAGCATGCTCACTACTTTACAGTCATAAAACCACACCCTTCCCGGGCTTTTACTAGTGCTTTCTTCAACGCCTGCTCTTCCGTATCTGTCCACTTCACGCTCAGTTCATGCCATGGCTTTCGGCTGCGAAATTCCTCCATGTAAGTCCTGTGCATGGCCTGTAGACGAACAACGTCTCGCGGGTCCCCGGTGCCGGAATAGACAATAAAGAGCGTACACGGAGGCAATCCATCGTATATGCGCTTGATATGTGCTACTAATTTTGCAACAGCGGGAGCAAGAAACTCGGGATGATCCGCTGCAGACGATGGCTTGACAGCCACAGGAGCTGAGTCGTCCGTGTTCGACGTTCCAGGAACCCGATTGCACCAGCCTCGCATAACCTCCAGTTCTCGTAATCTTGCCCAGGTGAAGTCGACACCACCTCCAGGAACGAGATGGCCATCCTCGTCTCCATTGACAGCCCTATCCACCGCAACCACCACTTCGTCATCGTTTCGACAGCCCAAAGCAACTGTAGCGTGGGCTCCAAACCCACGTTCGGGGTTTCCCCAGTCGACCACGGCACCCGTTCTCCCTTCGCCTGGGGCTGCCTGGCCGACTCGACTATCTCTCGAAGCCCTAGAGAGCCGTCGGAAAATACTTTCGTTGAAGGAGTCACCTGTTCCCCACCGCTCCCCCTTTTCGCATTTCTGTTTGACAAGGTCAAGAACCGCTTTAGCATCCTCAATGGAATCGTGGCCCAATTGGCCTTTTTGGATCTCTCGGCTGAGATATTTCTGGGCTAGCCACCTGAGGCTCGATTTCAATGGTGGCCCTCGAGGATGCGGATAGATTATTGCCGTGTCGATAATATAGGGGTGCGTTAACTTCAAGGCAGTCAGGTCAGAGTTTAACGAATGGCCGACTAGTATCGTACGTGGGTGCAGTATGTCTAGCAACTTTTTCTGAACATCGGAAAGTGTTGTCGTAACTGGGTCTAACTTCTCCTTTGTCATTCCGGAATATTGTGTCAGATAATCAATCACGGGTCGCTGGGGCTTGACAAGTTCGTCTAAGACTACTTCCCCATCCCACCCGACCAGACTTATCCGTGCCAGCTCAGAAACGCCGCCTTCGGTGATACACATCTCACAATCAAGAGCCAGCACCTGCCGGCCAGCGGTAAGACTACCCCCTTGTATGTCCTTTTCAGGAACGATTCCTTCGGTAAAGTGGGTCACGGTAGTATCAACCCAACCGTGTTCTGGGGTCTGCCCTGCCTTTACCCGGATGTCTGTGTTGGCTTGCTTTTCTTCAGCAACATCAAACAGAGCCGGATGCAGGACATAGTCTCCCTCTTTTAAATCGCTAACAGTTGCAATGAAGCTAGTGATGGGTGTTCGCTGGGAAACCCAAGACGCTTCGCCACGGTGCGGCTTGGGGCCTGAGGCGCGTCCGCTTTCCTTTGATTTCGGAAGGGATGACATGAGAATCGCCTGGAGCGGAGAATGGAGTTTGTTGTATTTTGTATCTCCAGGGGATTTCACTGGCCAAACGTGGGGGAACATGTCAGCTAGGGGCTGTAACGGCTCCGGAAGCTGCTCCCGAGACAGAGCTTTTGGGTTTGAACGAGGTGAATCTTTGGTCGGAGATAGTCCCTTTTTCCATCGTTCAAATTCGCTGAGCCCTTCTCCTTCCGCAGTAGAGCCATTCGCCGTTGATGCAACGGTAGGTTCCTTGATCAGTGGTATCGAGCCATCAAACATCCCAGGCTCCAAGCCAGGAACCATAACCACAACAACCTTTTTGACATGCCCGGAATGCTTCACTGATATCCATTGCGGAGCAACTCCGTCCGCAAAACAATAAAGCAGTAGTCCCTGTAAATCCGATATCTTGATCGGATTTTGCATTTGGCCTTCGGCGTAGGTGAGACTTGGGTACTTAGTTTTCTCTTTGCCTGCTCTCTTTTTCTTCTTGGCTTTATGATCAACCACCTCCCAGTCGGCGGATATATCGCCTTCGGCAGTTCCATTGCTATCTACCTGTCCAGAAGATGGCTGAGCAGCAGTAGCAATAGGAGAAGGAGGAGGCTCGCGAAGAAAAGATAGAGTATGACCTATCCCAAAACCTTTGCTGGACATAGACTCAGAGCTTGGTTCTGAACCCCGAAATAATTCTCCATGCTTACGCTTTTTGCCCATTGTTCTTTTAACGCCCGTGTCTGGCTCAGAGCAGATGATGGGGCTGAATATAGCGGTTGAAATCCTGTCTGAAAAAAGCCAGGGTATTCCGTGTAAGGGGAAGAAACAATGCTGAAGGGATTTTCCAGGGGGTTCTGGATGATTCCAACAAATAGGTACTCTATAGCATTCCGGCACAAAGACCAAATTAACATAACCCAGATTTGAGTGCGCTGGCTGGCAAGAGGAGCAACCGCCTCGCAACGATAATGCGGCGTTGCGGAAATGGAAGACTCGAGCGCGTTGGCAAAACTCGGCTCGTGTTGCTGGGTTCTTATTGGTCAACTGAAAACGTCATGGTTGGCCGGTCTTGGCGCCAAGTGTTATCGGGAAAATAGTTATTCCATTCCGATTCCTCCAGGTGCCCAGCCAGGGGAAACCACCAACAACTAAGCACTACATTTGTATTGGGAATTTTGTGTTATAACCAATAGTTAAGTTATCTAACATTTAGATCCCAAAGCTTTGCTCGCTACATTCGCCCATCCATTTCTGCCTCACTGAACGCCATCCCATATGGTTATGACTTGAAAACTTCAGAGAACAAGCTTTCACCATTACCAGCAAAGCAGACTATCCTGGGTATATATCACCAAATGCTAAAAGATGAGCCGCACTCCTTATCCCGCACTTCTCCATTTAAACGACACGGCCCTTGACTTGCTTGAAGTCTTTGACCTTGATGTCTCTCCAGACGGCTGTTGAGACAACTGCCAAGCTCAAGATAGCCGTAGCGGCAATAAGCATGTATTTTTGGGCATCGCCGTAGGCTCTGTTGATGGCGTTCCTAGTTGGACTGCCCACAGGGTATGATGACTGGATTGCCACGTCGCCATAGATTGCCGTGAGATTACCCTGTGATTCCGGCGGAAGGTATTCGGCAAGCTTCTTCGGGAAGACTCCAGTCCAAACGGCGGTGGCAATCGTGCTCCCAACAGCACCCCCGATATGAGAAAACATGCCCTCGATGGCAAGCACGACTGCGACAAATTGATGAGAAGTCGCTGCCATGACGGCCATTTGTTCGCAGATAACAAGTGTACCACCGGCAAATGCGATAAAAATCTGACACATGATGATGTAGCCGACGTTGACATCTGGTTGACGGAACCTGATCATCAAACCCACCCCAAGGATTGTGAAAGGAACGCCGAACCACACGGCCAGCCATTTGAAACGACCGCTCCAACGGATCAAGATACCGACAACTATGGCCCAGAGGCAAGAGCCTATGCTGTAAATGTTGCGGATATAGCTTGCGTGTGTGACGCTAAGGTTGTTAACAACCAACAGAAACGAGAAGAAAAAGCTATTCCAGATGTAGAAGCTGACGAAGAGAACGCCCGCGAGAATGCACGCTCCGAGAACAGTGCGATCCGTCAGAAGGTCGAACGGGATAAAGGTGACAGGCGCGAAAAGCTTCTCGTATAAGGCGAATACAATAACGAGGAGACCACCGAATATAATGAGACAAAGAACCAGCGGTGATTTCCAGCCATCGGCCTGGTAGGAATAAAGACTGAATGGAAGGAGGAACATCGCCAGACCGCTGGTGACAAGGAGTAAACCAATAATATCGAACTCGAAGAAGTAGTATTTGAGGGATTCCATTGCGGTGCGGTTGCTTTCCCTCTTCGGTAGTAGTCCGACTTTTTTTGCTTTATTATAATTGTACATAAATAGTCCGAAGAGAAGCGAGCAGACGACTGGGACCACGATGGCAAAGGTGCCGAACCCCCATCGAAACCCAGTGTGCTTTAAGAAGCTCTCTGCCATTGGCCCGCTAGCCCAGGTCGTGACAATGTAGGGAGAGGACGAAAACGCAAACATCAGAGCTCGATTTTTCAGGGCCGATGTATCAGCGATGAAGATAGAAATGGTATACGACACTCCATTATACCTAGTAGCATGCTTTTAGCTGGAACACTTGGCCGTCAGGGAAATAAAAGTACCTACCCAACCCAATAGAAAACTTGAGCAGCGGCAAATGTTTGGACATTGTTGCAGCCCGCCATCATGATAAGTCCCATGGTCATCATAATCACCATAAGTCCAAAACCTTGGGGGCGACCCCAGATATCAAGGATCTTTGCCAGAGGCAATTTGAAAAGTCCACCAATGAGACTTGCCATAATGTCCGTGGCAGCAGTCAACGAATGCCTCTGGAAGTTACTGGTTACGAACGGCGTTAATGCGAACGACATTCCTGACTGCAGCGAATCTAGAAATGCGATCACCCAAATTCTTCCGGGGATATTAGTGACCAGGAATGATAATGATACTTTGAGCTGATTAACTTACAATATGTAGGCCGCAATTAGGTGGTATGTGCTCCAGACAGTTGTCATAGCTTGCATATCCTGCACACCGGTTTGGGCATCTTTCGAGATGTCCTCGCTGTCGCTGTGCGAGGTAGCATCATCTTTACCAGCCTCTGCATCGGTAGGCTTCGTATCGGCCTTAGCCACAGGGACTTCAAGCTTCGTGTGCGAAAGGAGAGACCTCATGCTGGCAAATGCATAAGACTCTCGAAATGAATGCAAAAATCTTTCCCTTTGGAGACGAAGGAGCGGGAATACAGAGACTTTGAAACCGCTTGAGTTTGCCTTTCGCACAAGCCCGAGCGTGATGACGAGGATAGGGACAGAGCAAGCTTTCTTGTGGGAAGTAGGTAAGGTTAACTTAAATAGCAAGGCGACATGCAGCTCATCCTTGCTTTGATGCCATCAAACCCCAATGCCGGTAAGTTTATTGCGCGTGTCGTCTCGGTTTGTGGTCATTGGAGCTGGACACCGAGCCCACAGTACCAGATATATTTTAGAAACCGCTGCACGGAGTATAGACAGCTATTAGCTCATCTATCCCTTCCCTTGGCATCATCATTTTTTAGTCCTTCTTCAAGGTCTTTTACTTTGTATTGGCTACTGAAAAATTTGTGCGCCAAAAATCCCGCTCGAGAACGGAGAGCCAAATGGGGGGAAGGCTACCGTAGCTGCTCAGTCATGCAAAGCATTTCCGATAGTATCCCCATGCTTGCCGGTTGGTCAAGGGCCCTTCCGGTGTAGAGGAAAAACAAATTTTTCCCTGGCTTTGTGGCTGCAAGGTGATGGCTTTGTTCATAGACCATGACTCAAAATAGAGTTGCTAGCTTGCTTGTTTCCCGCGCATGCCAAACTGTCGTGGCACTGGCTCCCCAAAATCCGAATGTTGCTTTCAAAGGTGTCAAACAAAAACAACAAAGCTCATCCTGAACTTTGGGTGCGTTCTCAATGGGCTTGGCGTCGATTTGGGTGGGTCTCAGTTGTATTTTGATTAGTGTTTTACAACCTTAGTACATACCGTAAATTCCGTACGTGTCATACTCCGTACACAAGCGCGTTTTGTCATGCCTCGGTTACGTATCCGTAATTGGGCTTTTCGGTCGCTTCAGGCACACTAGAGGGAGCCACGGGCCAGAGCATTCAGGCTCAGGAACAAGCCCGATAAGGCCGTATGCGAAAGGAATGACATCCTACCTAGGTAGGGTGAAGATTACCTAGGCATTCGACGGCGTCTTGTGCAACACTCCATCCACCGCTAAATTTTGCAGCCTCCGCCTCTGTGGACATGTATTCTAGGCTGGACCCGTGGCAATTTCCCATAAAGCCGTAGCGAAGTTCGGCGCAAAGAAAAAAAATTTCAAGAGTAAAGGATCACTTTCCACCCGTCTCTCTCCCTCAGATCAGAGCGGACTTCAAACATGACCTTCACTTCGAAAGCCGCCGAGCTTCCGCTCGTAAGACTACCAGAACCGTATCGAACAAAATATGAAATCTGGCAGAGTCCATCTCGTTCGAACGGGCGGATATTCCAACTTCGACTGTCAAGCGAGCAGGATAGCAGCACAAGCCAACCCCCAGAACCGCTTCACAATGATACACTCCTCTTCAGCGAGCTAATATCAAGCCCCCAATCCCGCCTACCAGCCGCGTCCGATAACACTGACTGGGCTCGTGCCTGCAGATGTTTGGTGTCCTTCATTACGTGGGACGGAGAGATTGCTCCCACCGTGGGCCAAATTTGGATCATAGTATACGCGATTCTGTCAGTATGGCCTGCCGAGGAGTATTTCCGATTAAGTCTTTCGGGTGCGCAAAACGATCAGCTGCGGGAGGAAATATCTGCCACAGGCCTTGGAAGACGTTTTCCAGAACGTGCCGGATCGGAGAAAGTTGAGGATGTGATCATATCGAGGGCAGCTTTCTGGCAAGGAGCTGCATCGCCATTCGGAAACCGTCCTGCCTGGGTGGCACAACGACAAGGAACGGATAGTTCCAGGTTCCAGGCTACAGATTATCCAGCTTTCCCGCTACAGTACACCATTACGACGGAGTTCTCTAACCGTCCCGTACATGTGCAGCATCCCGTTCGGCCAGCAAAACCTGCCCGCGGAGCAACCATATACAGTCGCTATATCCCACATTTGGACGAGTTTTTCTCCATGGTGCATCTTGACTACCAGGATGAAACCCATCTCGCTCTATTCCATAAGTGGCAAAACGATCCAAGGGTTGCAGTAAATTGGAACGAAACCGGAACATTGGAGGAGCACCGAGAATATCTGCGAAAAATCGACCTAGATCCTCATCAGATGGCGGTCCTCGCTAAGTTTGATGATAACTATTTTGCTTACTTTGAAATATACTGGGCCAAGGTAAATGCTGACCCCACTCTGTTGCGCTTTTTGAGAGGGTGAAAGACTCTAGACCACTTTCCGAATATCACTGACAACCGGGGTTCGCAGGAGGACCACATGGGAACGTATTACCCTGCTCTTGACTGGGATCGGGGTCGCCATTCGTTAGTAGGGGATGCAAAGTTTCGAGGTCCTCATCGGGCGATGGCTTGGTGGACAAGCTTGATCCATTACATATTCCTCGATGAGCCGCGAACGACATGCGTCGTGGGAGAGCCTAAGGCCACGAATGAGCCAGTGTTGGGATACGATGCTGCTCATGGATTCCATATCTATAAGTGGGGTGATCTGCCGCACAAGAGGTCAGCAATGGTTAGGTGTGAACGCATACGGTTCTTCGAAATCGTCAATTTTGGAAGTGTAACAAGCAGCGGAACTGCAAAGTCCACCAAGCCCAAGCTGTAGTACTAGTAGTAAATAGATTGGATGGTTGAAGAATGTGTTGATGTTTTGGTCTCTGGTGCGAAGTCCGACAAAAATTGAGTTTAACTATATGTAGTTAGAGTACTTAACTGAACTAGTTAGCCAAGGTCGTCGCTCTCTTTGGGTTCATCATTGCAGATCATCGAGGCGGTGCTGACTGACTAAGTCCATCACGAGACATGCCCACTTCGCCTGAGGTCGAGCATCAGGGGCAGTGAAACATCAACAACAATACAATCTGAGAAGACGCCGCGAAATCATTATATTGTTCAAAAGGGATGTTCTGCGCCTCTAGTCTATCTGTGCTACCAAAGTCTTTCCCAAGTCCCTCAATACTTGCTTCTGGATTTTACCACTTCCCGTCAGCGGCATCAAGGGAGGAAGACAGGGATCGTGCCCAAATACAAAGACATGCCTAGGAGCCTTATGTCGTCCAAGGGTTTGCCTCGTCCAGTTCCTTACTTCTTCGGCTGATGGGGGAGAACTGCCTTCCTCAAGAGACAAGAACGCTCCAACAACTTCGCCATAGTGGCTATCCGGCATTCCCACTACCGCAGCCCGCGAGATCGCTGGGTGAGCCGCAAGCCGCTCCTCGATCTCCAAGGGATATATATTTTCGCCGCCCCGAATTATAATGTCTTTGAAGCGTCCTGTGATGGTGCAGTACCCTTCACTGTCAAATACGGCCTCATCCCCTGTCCTTAGCCACACTCTCCCATCCTCGTCGCGAATCAGGGATTCTGCGGTTTTACTAGGGTTGTTCCAATATCCTCTGAACAATTGATAGCCCGCCATGCAAAGCTCTCCTCGTTCGCCAATTCGAACGGTCTTGCCCGTCTGCGGATTAATAATCTTTGCGCTTGCATGTGGCATCACCTTACCAACTGTAGTCAAACGTCGATCGATTGAATCGCTGGTGATCGCGTTAAAACACGTCGGAGAAGCTTCGGTTAGGCCGTAGCTGCTGGTAAACTCCGTCATATTAAGCTCATCTATTAACCGCCGCATCAATGGCCGGGGTACCGGTGCGCCTGCAATTATCCCAGTTCTCAGGAATGTGCAATCAAATCCCTCAGGCCGTGGATGTGATAAGATTGACTCAAACATCGTGGGAACTCCATGGAGTCCGGTGCATTTCTCGTCAGAAATCGCTCTTAAAACAGCTTCTGGATCAAAGGTCTCTCCTGGATAGACAATCTTGGCCCCGTGAGTTATACAGGCAAGGAGTCCGAGCACTAGGCCGAAACAATGGAATAAGGGCGGTGGACAACATAGGACATCTGACTGCGTGAAGTCCATACGATCTCCAATAAATCGAGAGTTATTAATCAGGTTACTACCGATAAATTAAGTGATTGCTCTAGCTCATAAACGATCAATGGGTTCATACTAATGAGATAACATAGCTGCTTTCGGATTTCCCGTGGAGCCACTTGTGAACTGAAGATTGCAAACGTCTGACGGCGAAAGTTCCTCTTGCCGGCGCTGAACGGCATTCATTGGGACAGACCGACCTGCATATTTCACGTCGTCATATACTTCAAAATCTCGATATCGGCCCCGTATCATTATTGTTTGCTGAAGCTCGGGAAGGTCGTTTGAACGCCCAAGTGGTGTTTTCAGGTTGCTCAGTGCATCGAGGAGGCTATGTCGCCCGATTCGCGGTACAATAAACAGTAATTTGCATCCTTTTCCCTCATTAGCACTCCTGCTGCTTGCGACGAGCTGATCTCTATAACATACCGACATGCTTGAGCGCATACATCAATTCTGGGCAGGTATAGGTGTTATTGATAACAACCAGAATCGCCCCCACCCGGGCCGCCGCAAAAAACAAAGAAACGTATTGTTCGCAATTGCCGGCCATCACACCGATGCGATCTCCACGTTTGATTCCCTTGGCTAGCAGTCCACGCGCGAGTTGGTTGCTCTCATCTTCTAAATATCCGTACGTCCATCTAGCACCCGTCCAAGGGCAGACAAGACATTCGGAATCCCGGTATCGCAGGCATTGGAAGGACAGCAGCTCGCCGAGTGTCATATCCCATAGAGGGGTATCAATTGGGCCATGAACGATAGACAGTTTGTGCGCATCTGTCTGGTCTGATGGTGCTTGGATATGGTCTAATGTCTGCTGCAGCCGTAGCAGTGGTGTCTGATATGATGTTGATGTTAGTGCTGTCGTCATTTTCGATATGCTCCTAGTTGCTGTGTTACAGTCACTTGTCTAGGACCCTCTTGAGATTATGTGTGCTTTACATGAGTACGAGTTAAACACGCTTACTCGGCTCTTCCGGTGATATATGCCCACCAATTATACGATTTTAGCACATAAATGCGCGATAGAGTCGGACATGGAAGCGCCAAGGCAGCTACGGGTTTAATCTTTTAACTTTTCTAGGTTCGCTTAACCGACTCTAAGAAATTCGAGCTGAGGGCAAGTTTGGTGCTTTAGTCAGTCGACCGAGCAATTGCCCCGGCTAACGGAAAACGTAAATTTGGAGAAAATCTGCGTTTCTCGTGTGGTGTTGTTTAATGTCTTCCAATCCGGCGAGTGGGAATATTCGGAGCCCGGATCCCGGTTTCGGACCTACGTTCTTCTCAACTGATATGAACTCGGTTTGAATTTCCAATGTCCCACGCACCCCTATGAAATCATCCTTACATTCTCGGCCGCACGCTTTGGAGCTCCGCAAACAAAACGTGGCCGCTGGTTGAGATTCTTCTATCGCAAGCATATTCCACTCCTGTTAATGCAGCAGCGACAAGACACGGTTACATCTCGGGCCTTGGTACCCCAGCAAGGAAACGTTTTCTGGAACGGGGACGAAGAGCCACATTGTTTTTATGGACAAAACGTTCTGTATTTTTCCGAACCCCACTTGGGGGTTGTATATTTTTTTTTTTCTTTTTTTTTCTCTTTTCTGTTTTTGCCCCTTTTCCACTCAGAAGTCCAATCTTCGGTGGGTCTGTTAATTTTTTTATCAGATTGACCTTTTGGGATTTGCGACTTTGGGTTGTGACCGTGACAATAGCTTATCTGATCCTGACGGAAGCGTATTTTTAAGTTATCAGATCCGCGCGTATTTTAGTACCAGCGTATATTACCTCGTGTAATATTACTTCACCGTTTTGCTTACAATACATACGATATCCGCAAGTGGACCTCACCTTTTCGCCGGGAATCACAAGATTCCTCAGGAACCTTCCAGCCGACATGCGATGTTTCAGTGAATTTTGCACCCCCGCAGTTTACGAGACTGAGCTAAAATTTCTTTGCCTTTTTTGCCTTTTTTTACATTGCTTTTGCGGGATAGATGCCATACTCCCAGTTATCGTGGTGGAGTGATGTACGGAACAGGTTTTCCGCTCCAGTTCAGAGAGACATGGAGCTAGTCATCCCTGTGGCAATAACCGGGAAAGATCCGCGCCAGCAACAACACAGACCAAAACCGTGGATCCTTCTCCTAAAAACAAGCCCGCGGAACCTTTGGACGGCCCAATGGACCGCTTCGCCGAAAGCACTAAGGACCGCAGGAGCAGAGGGATTGTCTGCAATTTCTCTGCGCAATATCGAATCGTTACTCCACCCACCAGCCTGTTTTGAGGGCTGATTTGTAATCGCGCGGTGTGCAATCTGACGCGGTCTGCCTTCTTGAGGTGTCAATCTCCGCGATATGCACAACCCTCTGTGTCGTGGGATGCCGCCATATAGTTGCATGGATGTGAAAATGAAAAACTGCTAGATAAAATCTCAGTGAGACAGTCTATACAGGAATCCGACCAAAAAATTGACATCCTACCTATCTCGCGGATTGGTTAGACATTGCTTTTTCCATCCCATCTTCCGATCAAACCTCTCTATAAGCCGCCAAGCTAAAAGTCCGATTTGGACCAAAAATAAATAAAATTTTATTTTCCACCTGTTCCCTACTGTCTTCCGTAACCTGTTCCCCCTGCGGAGAAACTACCTTCAGCATTGCCTCTGCAAGCCGCTACAGCTGACCTGGCTAAGGGATCCTTGTACTAGAAAATCCGGCCAATGCCGTGATTAACAGAGTGGGCTCACTGCTTGGACCTGGCCACTTCCCCGGAGACATGTTACAGATTTAACCCGAACCGTGCCGCACATCTACTTGGGCAGTAGTACTTCAGGGTTGTAAAATCACAACTCGGCTAATTGTCTGTGGCCTACTCAATTCTCAATTTTCCCTTGTTTTCAGCGCATCAATTGACTTCCTCTTGTCCCTTTTTGTGTCCATCCTCCATGGAGACCACCCTGAAAACCAATACTCCTATCCGCCACTCTCCGTCTCCTTCTCACGAAGGAGGAAGCATGTCTACCGGCTCTGGGAGCAGCGAGCCGTATGACATAATCTCGGTCGGGTTTGGCGCATCTGCGCTCGCCATTGCCATTGCAATGCGCGATCGGGGTGTGCAAGCGAAGGTGCTCTTCTTGGAGCGGCAATCGGAGTTTGGATGGCACACGGGCATGCTCCTCCCTGGGACCAAGATGCAAATCTCCTTTTTAAAGGATCTGGCAACATTGCGAAATCCGCGGTCTCATTTCACATTTCTCAACTATCTACACACGAAAGGCAGGTTGGTCCACTTCACCAATCTCTCGACCCATACGCCCTTCCGCGAAGAGTTTAATGATTATATGAAATGGTGTGCTTCGCACTTTGCCGATTGGGTGCAGTATGACCAGGAGGTTATGAGTGTAACGGCCGTTAATTCGCAGCCCGGCTGGCCTGCCGAGCTATTCAGGATCGTTGTCGGCGACCGACGCTCTGGAGAAGTGAGAGAGCTTTACACAAAGCATGTCGTGGTAGCTACTGGTGGCGAACCAGCAGTTCCTCAGTTCCTTCCACAAGAATGCCTCTATAATACTGTTATCCATTCATCGGGTTACCTTAATTCTATTACTGAACTCTTGAAACACGAGGCCGCTGAGTATCGCGTTGCGGTTGTTGGTGGAGGACAAAGTGCGGCAGAAATATGCGAAGACCTTTCATCAAGATATCCAAGGTCTAAAATCAGTCTAATTGCCAGAGGTGCATCCTTGCGGCCCAGCGACGACAGCCCCTTGTGAGTCATCTCTTTCTACTTCCTTGATATGGAGCCAGCCCAGGATCTAATTTCTCGCTCAATATCTACTAGTGTCAACGAAATTTTTGACCCTGAGAGCGTCGATACCTTCTATTCTCTTTCATCCTCTCAACGTAAACAACAGCTTCAAGAAAATAAAGCTACAAACTACAGTGTTATTAGACTGCCATTATTGGAGACCTTGTACGAGAAATTGTACCGCCAAAAGCTCCAGAATCCGGATCAGTCCACATGGCCTTTCCGCCTGATAACAAACCGAGAACTCTGTGGTGTCAAACAAGTTATTTCCGACGCCGGAAGAAGTCAAGTCGAACTCCAGTTCAAGAACACTATGACGGGACAAAGTGAGACCCTCGACAAGTATGACTTAGTCATCCTTGCTACCGGATACAAACGCAACCCTTTTACGACTGTTTTGAAGCAGCTGGAGCCAATCTTGGAGACGGGACCTGCCGGGGAACAATTCTGCGTAGATCGAAAATATCGGTTGGCTTTCCTCCCTGGTAAAGTACGACGTGATGCTGGAATATGGCTTCAAGGATGCTGCGAAAGCACCCACGGAGTAAGTTCATTCTTCAAAGGGGTGTTTCTGGTTTTATTGCTAACGATCCGGTCTTTAGTTAAGCGACAGCCTTCTCTCTATCCTGTCCGTCCGTAGTTCTGAACTTCTTGACGCCATACTCTCGAGCAGCAAGAGGTCAGAACAATTTGCAAAGTTATAATTTTTCTTTCTTTCTTGAGCGAGTCACTGTATCCTATGGGAAAAGTTAATGCGGGTGAGGGAATAATTTTCTGGTCTCGTTTCAAATGTTTCGGATTTCGAGATTGTTCTCCAACAGTTCACTAGTTGTTTGCGTGCTTGAAAGCTCTTGCTTTTCTCCAGTTAAACATGGTTCGATTTCTCTTCGAAAATACAAAGCTCAAAAAGTACTGTATCATTCCTCACTGCTATTTTGATCTTTGTTCTCCTCATCAGAGAGCTGCCCGGCTGCGTGGAGCAAAAGCCTGCTGTCGCCCCACTGCTGCCCGTCATCATCCGTGCAACGATCTGATAAGACAAGTCTCGGCAACTCGACGTTTATTTCCAGAATACTCCGTACAGCGTTGCATACGCCGTCACTTAGTAGTTGTAGTAATTACAATACGCGAATTAGTCATCTGATCGTATTTGGTAACTCTTCAATTTCCTGATCTGATAACCTAAAATCAACCGACAAAAGTTTATTGGATCTGATAACCTTTGTGGGCTCGCGGGATTGGAGGGACGCACGCTCTTGTTATCGCCAAGGATGGTTCAAAACACCTGATGGAACATTTTGAGGCGCTAAAGACTTTTTTTCTCTTTCCGAACCCGGGCCCATAGTTATCCCCTGGGGTGGTTGATCTGATAAGCCCTGAGTGGGGCTGTCACAAAATGGCTCGTTATTGCGAAGCGGTTGGAGCAACTCGATGACAGCAAGGGTGAAGATGATCTCTGGCGAAGATTGCCGTCGAAATGCCGGCTTCAGCTAAAATTACCGGGAAGTCTGATTGCGCCTGTGGAGTTGCGAGACTGTGCTTCACATCAGCAGTTATTCGACACATCAAGCCTTTGAGTAACCGATGGCATCTTTCTTTTCCTTCCTGAGACTCCTAGCCGAGGTGGCTCGTCTCTTCTCCCAATATTCCAAACGCTTCTTGCTCTCGATGATGCACACCAGCGCAAGGAGTCCCATTGCTTCCAGCAGGACGCCATACAGGGTCCTTGTTGCTGGAGGATCGTATGCTGGTCTGTCAGCAACGCTGAATTTATTAGACCTATGTCATGGGAATCCTACTCGTTTCTCTGCCGCTCGGTCTCCAGAGGTAGCAACCTCTTCAAACGAAAGGCTTCCAGTGCAGATCACCATAGTGGATGAAAGAGATGGTTATTGTGAGTGGCTAAGGTCTTGCTATATTTCATAGCAGCTAACCTCAAGTTCAGATCACCTTATTGGAGCACCGCTTGTGTTTGCTTCACAAGATTATGCTCTAAAAGCGTGGAAGAAATTTCAGGATATCCCCGCCCTCCAAACACCCGAAGTGAAATGCGTCCAAGGTCGCGTCATCGCCGTCGATCCCGAAAGCAAAACAGCTACGGTTCTAGAAGCTGCGACAAATAACGAAGTTGAAGAGAAATACGATTACTTCGTTGCAGCAACTGGACTCTCCAGAAGCTGGCCCAGCGCGCCACAGTCATTGACCAGAGAGGAATATCTGTTAGAGACGAGGAAACATATCAAACTCCTTGAAAACGCTCGGGACAAGATTGTCATTATCGGCGGAGGTTAAGGTTCCTGAACCGGCTTTATGTCTATTTATAACTAACATGTAGCTATTAGGTGCCGTTGGGGTTGAAATGGCTGCTGAACTCAAACTTGCACAGCCTGATAAGTGCGTTACCTTAATTCATTCCAGGCCGAAACTCCTCTCCTCAGAGCCACTTCCAGACGATTACCGCGACAATGTCTTCTCGCTCCTCCAGGAATCCGGCGTCGAGACCATAATGAATTCGCGAGTCCTGGAAATTGCACCAGAGATGAGAAGCGGCTTTGCTCCGAGCACCACGCTTAAGCTTGACGATGGTAGAACCATCAAAGCTAGCCATGTTGTCAGCGCAATTTCAAGATACAGGCCGACCTCCTCTTATTTGCCTAGCGAAGCTGTAAATGAGGATGGCTATGTCAAGATAACTCCAAGGTATAGAATGACAGTCTACATTCAACACGGAAGCTAATGAGGAGGACAGACTGAACCTGGCCACAAACATTGCCAATGCCAAATATCACTTTGCAGCCGGCGATATTGCTCTGTGGTCCGGAATTAAAAGAGCAGGTGCCGCAATGCACCAAGGACATTATGTTGCCACAAATATATACCAGCAAATATGTAGTGATCTCTTTGCCAAAACGCCGAAATTTGTTGAACTTGATCAAGCGCCACCAGTGATTTGTATCGCGATCGGAAAGCAAGCGGCTTCTTGGAGTGAAGAGTACGGCACCCTTTTCGGAAAGGACGTATTGGACCTTTATTTCAATGATGACTTGGGATATAATAGTATGTCGCCTTATATCCGGTTCTGAAGATCATTTATGTTTGCTGACATTGATCCCTTAGTCTGCTGGAATTACATGAAGCTAGGAGAACCCCCGATCACCGAATGATTACTTTTTGAGACTGTTATTTTCAATGGCGTTAGCTAGGATATAATAGGGCATGGAACGCAAAACGGACTTTATCAAATTCGATCGAGTGGAAATAACGTGGTATTTAGGTGTAACTGGATCATAACCTTGAGATTAAATGCAATATATTGGTAACTCCCGTTACTTAGAAGGTCGAAACGTTAGCGATGATTGGAACGATAGGTCTATTAACGTGCACCCTTTTACCCCCCACCCAAAAAAAAAAAAAAAGCCGAAATCAAATCTAGTCTATTTTGCTGATAGCTTTGCCCCATCCACTGCCTGATGCAAAGCATTTACTCTGTAACTCTCACTTTTATCCATCAACTCACGATGCGTTCCCCTATCGACGCATCTCCCATCCTCAATCAAAAATATAACGTTCGCCTTTTGTATTGTATTTAGTCGATGGGCAATAGCAATGACGGTAATTCCCTGTGCTGCTTTTTCTAGCCCATTCTGCAATAACCTTTCGGACTCTGCGTCCAAAGCGCTCGTCGACTCGTCAAGCAATAGAAGCCGTGGCTTTCGAACCAGCGCACGAGCAATAGCCAAGCGCTGTTTCTGTCCACCGGACAACTGGCTGCCATTCGGACCACAGTACGTATCATATCCTTCCGGCAGCTTGATAATAGTATCGTGTATATTCGCAATCTTACACGCTTCCTCAATCTCGGCATCGCTTGGTTCGTGTCCAGGTCTGGCACCTAGAGCAACATTGAACCGAATACTGCCGTCGAAAAGCACATTGTCTTGAGAAACAAGTGCAATATTGTTTCTGAATTCGACCCCTTCGTATTTAGAGATATCCTTATTATCGATTTGGATAACACCGGAACTTGGCGTGTACATCCGCTCCACCAGCGATATTATGGTTGACTTCCCAGCACCGCTTGGGCCAACCAAAGCGGCAAATTGTCCCGGTTGTATGCTTAAATCTAAGCCTTGGAGTACCTGAACATCTGGCCGAGCAGGGTAAGAAAATGTGACCTGCTTGAATGCCACACTTATCCCGCCTCTATCGGTATCCAAATTTTTCTCTACCGTTAGAGAAGGAGCTTCAATGTCCCTCCTATTTCTACGGTTCTTCGAGAGTTTGCTGTTTGAACCGAGATCCAGGAGGTTCAATATTCTGTTTATCGCCGTGAATGCTCGCGAAACATCAGGGGCGAGGGTAAACATTTGACCCCAAAGCTGGGCACTGACAAGCAAGGCCATAAGAACGATAAAAAACTGTGCTTGCGAATAATCCCCTGATATAACCCGCCTCGCACCCCACCAGTAAGCCAAAGCGTAAAGAAAGTTGCTCAACCCGTACGAGATTGCTAGCCATAAACTCGCGTAAGCGCTATGCTTTGTGACAGCCTTTGTTGGAGCTTGCAATGAGCGGCGATACGTATTAAATATTTCTTGTTCGAGAGAAAATGACGACACTGTTTTGATTGAATTAACAGCTTCGATTGTAATAGCAATTGATTTTGCGAAGGCTTCCGCATGGTGTTGCTCAAATCGAGCAATTTGGATAACTCTCATGGCACCCGCACCAAGCATCAGTGGAACAACAGCCAGGAAAACCAAGGCAATCTTCCACGCAATAATATGCGTCAAAATAACTGCTGTCAAAAAATTGACAAGCACGGAGACGAGATTTCCAACCAAGGATCCGGTGAGTCCTGAAAGTGCATTTCCATCTTTCGTAATAAGCGTGAGTAACCGAGACGGCGTTCTCCCGTTTGATTCATGCCACTGGAGATCCTGTTCCAGGAGCGCACGAAACGAGAGTACTCTGATTTGGTAGACAATTTTTTCTGCAACAAGCCCGAAAAGAGACCAGCTGGCAAAATTTGCGAAGAATTCGATAATAGCCAGCACAAAGAACATCAAGCCATAGAAATTTCCCGCCCATCTTATCTTGCTTTCTCCCTTGCATGGACTCAAATCTCCTATAGTATGTCCGAAAACTGCAGCACAGGCAGAGTAAGTTCCACCAACGATGATTGCCGCAACAAATGCCAGAAAGAGTACGAGAATATATGGTCGAAAAAAGCCCCATAGCACGCTGCATGTTGCACTGAAAGGTCTTTCGGCCCCCAATCCAGCGTCCTCTTCGTCCGTAGCGGGCTCAACAGGATGCGTTTTCTCTGCTATGGCGTAATCCTTGTTTAACTGCTCATCTGCCGTGAACGTATACTCATTTGACAGCTTCTCTGGTATGTCTTCGAGAGTGACATCGGTGACCAATGAATTACTTGATTGACCGTCCTCTTCAACGTGTACATTCAGATTTTGAAGACGAATCAAGTCGGCATATGAGCCTTCTTGGGCTAGCAATTCAGTATGCGTACCCTGTTCAACAATCTGGCCGTTCCTCATTACGATAATATTGTCTGCATTCCTTATAGTTGAAAGGCGATGGGCAATAGTTACCAAAGTTCTCCCAACTGCCGCTTTTTCCAAGGCAGCTTGAACTCTTTGTTCACTTGCCGAGTCCAACGATGCGGTAGCTTCATCCAGAATTAAAATCTTAGGATCTTTGATCAGAGCTCGTGCAAGAGAAATCCTTTGCTTTTGGCCTCCGCTGACTAGGCTGCCACTAGAGCCCACAAGGGTACCAAATCCATACTTGAGGCGCGAAACAAATGTGCTAACATCAGCTATAGTCGCCGCGTTTTTTACCAGCTGCACTATTTCGAGTACTTCTGGGCCATGGGATTCTGCGGCTCGATCTAAATCCTGGCCTTCCCGGATAGCTGCAGCGACTTCGGAAAGTTTCGCGCCCTGTAGGGTTTGCCTTAGGTGAGAATGGGCCGGCGAGTTAATTAGGCCCAAGGCAATATTTTCAAAAATAGAGCGTTCCAGGAGACAGGGCTCCTGCTGTACAAGACTGACGTAGCTCCTCAAAAATTGCACACCGATATCCTTTATATCGTGTCCATCGATCATTATACAGCCGTCATCTGGATCATAGAACCGCATCATCAAGCTTGCGACGGTCGACTTGCCGCTCCCCGATAGGCCCACTATTGCGGTTTGCTTGCCTTCCGGGCAATTAAAAGAGACGTTCTGCAGCACCGGTTTATCTGGCCGCGAACCATAAGTGAAAGAGACATTCTGTAGCTGAATGTGTCCAACGACGTTCGGAATTCCTTGGTTAATGTTTTCGTTTGCCCCGTTAATTTTTGGCTTCCTATCAATATCTTTCTCCAGCTGTTGAAAAGCCACACTCGCAGAATCAAAAAATTGGAAAAATGGCGCCATCGTGCTAAGGATCAAAGATGCTAAGGGAAATGAAGTCAGTAACCAAATGCAATAGTGCCGTCGAATCAGACACACCATCTACTAAAATAACAATGACCGTATATGTAGATCCAACCGTGGCCCCCGTGCCACCGGAAGCCACTGAATCCGCAATCTTTTTGGACCCCAACCAGTACGCAAGTGCATTTGCAGAATATGCAATAAAAAAAAGCAATCCCGCCTGAATCGCTGCAGTAATAGCCTTTTTTATTCCCGCTATTTTCGCTCTCCCGAGAGAGTTTGAAAATTTCGATTCCAGGCGAGTATTTGCCGTCAATGCGTGTACGACCATAATATTCGATAAGGCTTCTAAAGCGACAGATGTTGACGAAGCCACGTTCTCAGTAATTCGACCGGTGTATTTTTGAACAAAGTAGCTACCGACGAGGGACATGAGCATAAACGCCGGCAGGAGGGAGACGAGTGCCCCTCCGAGTTGAGCATCTTTCATGAAAGCGACAACATATCCAGTCACGAAAAAAGAGATGCTGTTTAAAACAAGTCCCACTTTCTCAGAGGTTCCATTTTGAATGGTCGCGATATCTCCATTGAGACGAGAAGATACTGCACCAGCGGGCAAGTCGTCGAAGAAGGCGACATCCTGATTCAGGAGGGCCTTGAAGTACTTTTGGCGAATTCTTTGCGCAAGTCTTTCGCCTGTCAGACTCCAACAAACGATGGAAATATATGCCAAAATTAAGTAGGCAATTCCAATATAGACAACTTTCAGCACTTGTTCGTTCACGGCAGACTGATAAGAAGAAGGACTTGTGAATCCTGCGTTGCAAGTCGCAGAGTTAAGGTCATCAACCACCTGGCCAAAGAGTACACCCAGCAGCGGAAACGAAACCCCAGACGCAATGGCAGCTATTACACCGCCAAGTAGAAGCAGTATATCGTAGAAAGTAGGATCCGCGTATACAAAAAGCCTTAGATATGATGTAAACGTTCGCGTACGGCTCTATACATGTTTGTTAGCACTCGCACCGAGATCAACCCTACTGTGGCGTCTATACCTTTGGAGCTTTTGAAGAATTGTCACTCGACTCTCCATTAGTGGCAGTCATGATCAAAGCGAGGTGTCTTCGATACCACTTTGGATGTGATCAGGCGATATTCGTCACTGAATATCAAATGCTCATCTTTCATACCATAGCCAAGTCAATCATCCATTTTGAGAGCTGTTGAGCAGGTCGAATACGAGTCTTCCATCGCAAAAGAAAGCTCACTACATTCAAGGACAAAGGCCTAGCTTCTACCACTTGAATCATATAAGCTTGGCAACGATCCGCTCCCCGGCGTTGGGTCGTGACCACTAAGGAAGGTGTATGGTATGGTATGGTATGGTATGTTATGTGTTATCTGTACAGGCAGTGACAATTACAGTATTGAAATACAGGCTGCGTATGGACTGTATTGTACTGCGCTAAACCGGTAAAGAGGGCCATAATCTTATCAGATTATCGCCAAGCCAAGCCATTGAGTCAATTGCTTGCCGGTCCGGGTTTAGCCGTGTAAATTTTGTCCCTGCATGTCAAACTCAATTTGCCACTCTAGCGATCAGATAAGATAAATCCCGCGTGGTGCTCCGGGATTGTCCGTGGAGGAAGGATTAAAGTTATCTGATCCGTCCCATGTTCGCCGGTGGAGTCGTCCACTTTAACACGAGCACGCAGGCTTTCCGGGCTTCGGTAAACGTAACAGCGTCAAATGCGCGTTTTGTTCGGAGCAGAGTTAAACACAATGGAGCTTTCATTCCCCACCCTATTAGGGCGGAACTGGACCTTTTTTTTTCCAAGTCCGAGATCCTGCAGAATTGGGCGCCAGCCGCATTTGGCCTGGTGGCCGGTTCCGGGATCCAAAGATAGGCCCCAAGGTCTCGACGAACTTTGCCCTGACTGCCACAATTTGGGACAAAATTTGCGGCCGATATAGTTAAGTCATGCGGTGAGCGGGAACAGGTGCTTAGCAACCATGCAAGAGACAAGGGAGCAACAGCTGCGCCTTATGACTTAGGAATTTCCGTGCGACAATACAAACTTTGCATTGTTTAGCCAATGCCCAAAAAATTATCTTTCATCTTTATCTTCTTCTATCACAACCGTCAGAATGAATACCCCGAATTCTCAAAACGGACGTGCAGAGAACGGTGTAAACGGTCAAGAAGGGCCCCTTGTCTTTAGGGAACCTGCGTTTGCCCTTAAGTCCAACGAAGAGTTGGCAGAATCCCTTCTGCTTGGTTGGATACTTCTTCTATATCGAGGTAACAATTCGAGTGAAGACGCCAGTTTCTCATGCGAATATGGATCACGAGGAGACGATGCCCCAAAAGAGGGCGTCTCGGGACTTATAACAGATGTGATTTTGGAAGAAGTAGAACAAGTATCCTTGCTCCTCGAGAGAGTGCGGAATATACTACGGAGATGTCGAATATCCAATACGGACCCCGGAAAATGGAAAATCTTCTCTGCCGTATTATCCAATTCCGCTGCGTTAACAGAAGATTCAAGGAGAGAAGTGCCTAACGTATGCAATTTTCTGAGAACCCTTTATATGGAGCTCGGGCTGATTTATTAGGAACCGTTTTGCATTGAAGCCCAAATCTCAGGGGAAGAGCTCTCCATAAACAAAATACAAACTCCCGCTCTTAAATCCCCCTCCATGGTCAACATCTCCGTGCAGGCGTTCGTGGAAATTTTAGATTCGATTTTGTCCGACACCAACCAAACGATTGCACAGGCGATCCGAGTTACGAACAACGAACTTGATAAGATCTGGGAATGGAATGAGACAGTTCCTCCTACGATCGATACTTGCATCCACGACATCTTCATTGAAAATGCATCTCGACACCCTGAACGCCCTGCCGTCGTTTCTTGGGATGGTGAGCTATCCTATCGTGAAGTTGACGAATTCTCAACTCAACTCGCTATGCAACTGATCAACAGCAATGTCAAGATTGGCGAACCGGTTATGCTCTGTTTCGAAAAGTGTATGTGGACGGTTGTTGCTGTACTCGCGGTGATGAAATCAGGTGGCACCTTGGTGCTTACTGACCCAAGTCAACCGGAGGCGCGCCTGCAAACTATAGCGACAGAAGTAAACGCACGACTGATTTTGACGTCAGAGACGCAAGCAAAACTAGGAGCCAGGATATCTTCGACAGCCTCCATAGTAAGTGTTGGGCCTGGCATTTTCCAGAGTCGCACCCAAGAAGTCTCCAAATCCACCTTGCCGAAAGTCCCTGGATCGTCAGCGCTGTACATAATCTTCACGTCAGGAAGTACAGGCAAACCTAAGGGTGTGGTCATCTCCCACACAAATTACACCAGTGGTGCAATACCTCGAGCAGCAGCAGTCGGCTATAACGCCACCTCTCGGGTTCTTGACTTCCCTTCGTATGCATTTGACGTTAGTATCGACTGCATGCTTTGCACCCTGGCGAATGGCGGTTGCATCTGTGTTCCATCAGAAGACCAACGAGTCAATGACCTTGGCGGCGCTATAAGAGACATGAACGTAAACATGGCGCACATGACTCCGTCAGTGGCCCGTGTCTTAGACTCGGACATTCTAGAGTCATTGGATGTTCTCGGTCTCGGGGGGGAAGCTGTATCAGCTAGAGATGCTGCGGTATTTGGTCATAAAACCAAGGTCATCATTGCATACGGGCCTTCCGAATGCACTGTAGGCTGCACTATCAACAATGATGTTGGTACGGACCGAACATATACTACTATCGGCAAGGGAGTTGGATGTGCCACATGGATAGTGGACCCGGCCGATCATGACCGTTTGACGCCTGTCGGAGCAGTGGGAGAGCTTTTAGTCGAAGGCCCAATCGTTGGAAAAGGCTATCTTAACAATCTCGCCAACACGTCTACAGTATTCATAGAAAACCCTCCGTGGCTTGTTTCCGGAAATGGTAACGTGCCAGGGAGGCAGGGAAGGCTTTATAAAACAGGCGACCTGGTTAAATATGACCCAGATGGGTCTGGGTCAATTTTTTTCGTGGGGCGAGCAGATCAGCAGGTGAAGCTGAGAGGTCAGCGAGTGGAGCTAGGGGAAATCGAGTATCACTTGCGAACGAAATTACCCCCGGGCACAATGTCCGCTGTCGAAGTTATCACACCCGGGGGGAACAAAGAGAGCGCCACTTTGGTAGCTTTCATCGCAGAGCAGAATACAGAAAGCGCTGAGAGTATAGACAGTCAGGCTGTCTCGTTTTCTCCTGGACTATTGCAGGTTCTAGCTGATATTCAAAGTGAACTCGGTGTCGTGCTCCCACGATACATGATTCCGGCGGCATATATCCCCTTGAAGGAAATACCGCTACTGGTTTCATGCAAGACAGATCGGAAGCAGTTGAGAGCTATCGGGGCGGCTATGTCACGCAGAGACCTTGCAAAGCTCAAAATAACTGCCGTCGAAAAGCACGAAGTCCGGACGGATATGGAACGCCGGCTGCATGGCCTGTGGACCCGAGTACTTGGGGACGGAACTGAAATAAACACCAACGACAACTTTTTCGATGCAGGAGGTGATTCTCTCAAAGCCATGAAGCTCGTCGCGGCGGCCCGACAACAAAAGCTAAAGCTCACGGTAGCCGAAATTTTTGGGCATCCAACACTCCAAGATATGGCTTTGATGGTAAAACAAATCGACACAGATATACACATCGATATTCCCCCATTCTCCCTTCTGCCGAGCACATGGGCAGGACTGGATCCCCGCACGGACGTAGGAAATCTCTGCAGTATTGAAGCTTCGGCTATTGAAGACATATATCCATGCACGCCTCTGCAAGAAGGGCTTACGGCCCTTTCTGCAAAGATTAGCGAGGCATACGTTGCCCAGAGGGTTGTTGAACTTTCGGACTGGGACACTGCCGTCAAACTCAAAGCCGCATTTGACACTACTATCGCCGATTGTCCAATTTTGCGTACTCGAATCGTCCAAGTTCCACGTCATGGCCTGATGCAGGTAATAATCAAGGAAAATATCACATGGCACTCGAGCAACAGTCTGGAACAGTATCTTCAAGAAGATCGTGAAACCCCGATGGGGTTAGGCACAGCTCTCTCCCGTTTTGCGCTCATTGAGGATCAAACGACGTGTAAAGTACACATCGTACTCACGATCCATCACGCACTATACGATGGATGGTCAATGCCATTAGTTGTTGAACGTGTCAATGGAGCATATAACGGTATAAAAATGGAAAGGCCCACTCCTTTTAGGTCTTTCATTAAGTACCTCAATGACATGGATCGCGCCGCTTCTGAGAGCTACTGGATGGAACAGTTACAGGGAGCAAGTAGCTTGCAGTTTCCAGTTCTTCCCGAGCCAGGATACCAGCCTCAAGCCGAATCTTTGCTAGAGCATTATATCCCGCTCACAAAAAGATCAGCATCGAGTACAAGTATTGCAACGGCGATTCGAGGCGCATGGGCTCTCCTAGCATCTGAATACACTATGACTGATGACGTAGTCTTCGGTGAAACTTTGACCGGCCGAAACGCTCCAATAGAAGGGATCGAGCAGATCGAGGGGCCTATGATCACCACAGTGCCTATACGCATTCACGTTGACAAAATGAAGAGCGTGTCAGACTACCTAAAGGAGATCCACAAGGAAGGCATATCGCGCATCCCTCATGAGCATCTAGGCCTGCAGCATATTCGACGACTAAACTCAGACGCCCGTGAGGCTTGTGAGTTAAGGACCGGTCTGGTTATACACCCAACAACGGAGGCGGATGACATTAATGGTCATGAAGCAAATCCTGCGGATGGATTTGTTCCCGCCGGAGACATCGAAGCCGCGAGCGAAGCCTTAAAATTTAACTCATACTCTTTGATGTTAGTATGCTCACTTGACCCGCGAGGAATTTTAGTTATGGCAAGTTTCGATTCGAAAACGGTTGATGTACCACAGATGAATAGGGTTTTAAGACAATTAGGCCATATAGTCCAGCAATTTTGTGAACAGCCAAACAGCAAAGTTGCAGATGCGTTATCTTCGGCAGAAGAAGACGTTCTCGAGTCGCTGCGTCTCAGCAGGCTAGGGCCTAGCAGCTTGGATGAAAAGATAAACACAATGCCCGGGCACGAACTTTCAGGTGCCGTCGCAACATGGATCGTCAATCCTGCCATTCCAGACCATGTGCTCCCGGTCGGTGCCGTGGGTGAACTATTAGTCGAGGGCCCGTTCGAATCATCCCTGCCAGCTG